GTCTACCGTAGTCAAACCATACTACGAAGATCCCGATCAACCACCTAATTCCATCGCCGCGCCAGAAGAAGAAGAACCCGAAGCTGAGATACCGCAGCAGGAAGTAGTACGCGACGAAATTATCGTCGCCGGCGGAGGCAGTGAACCGGACGAACCGCAAGAGGCACCGGAGCCACCGAGAAGACGCCCGGGCAGACCCCGGAAGAGACCACTGCCAATCGCCCACTTCACAGAGGAATTCAACGATGACCCGGATTATCAACAAATATTCCTATCGATTAAGGAGCAAGCAGACGAAGAATTAGCAATCAAACTACGACGAGAAGGTGTTATTACTACACCAGGCGAACCGTTCGAACAGTCAACTAAACAAGAGATCAACAGCCTCATCGCTAGAGGAGTGTTCAAATTCACCCAGTTCAATAAGAGAAGGCACCAGAACGTACGAATCTTCCGATCTCGTATCGTCAACGAAGTCAAGGGTAAAACAACCGAACCCTACGAGAAATCGAGACTTGTAATACAGGGTTACGCCGACGATGGCAAGAAGGCTATATTGACCCAATCGCCAACGATTCAGCGGGCGAGTCAACGGCTAATTCTGTCAATTACCCCGTCACTCCTACGAGAAGGGAAACAACTATGGCTTCGAGATATCACACAAGCCTACGTTCAATCCTCCACAAGGCTCAATCGTACTATTCTCGCCTACCCACCGAAGCAAATTCAAGACCAGTACCCAAAAGGGACCATTATGGAGGTTGTGAAGCCTCTGTACGGAATCGCAGAAGCTGGAACCCACTGGTGGGCAACGTATCACAAGCATCACAGAGAGAATCTCCAGATGGTTACTTCTTCGTACGATCCATGCCTATTGATCTCATCTACCGAAAATCCACACTTTGGCTGTATCGGCATGCAAACCGACGATACCCTCGGTTTGTCAGACAAGGCGTTCTCACAATTAGAAGACGAACAGTTAGAAAAAGCGGCTTTTACGGCAAAAGCGAAGAATATCCTCACAATTGACGAACCCCTCCAATTCAACGGAGGGATAATCGCGCTGTCAACCGACAATTCGATCAATTTGAGGCAAAAGGGACAAGCCAAGAAGTTACGATGTATTGAGACTACTAAACCCAACCCAAAACAGCAATATGTCGAACAACGCGCCAGAGGGGCGTACATCGCGTCAATTTGCCAACCCGAGGCCTGTTTCGATTTATCCACTGCTGCCCAACACCAAGACCCCTCGCCAGAAGCGATAAAAGCACTGAATCAACGGATTCGATGGCAAATAGAATCGCCTAACCGAGGAATAACGTTTATCCCACTCGACCTTACAACAGCCAAGCTATTCGTTTTCGTTGACGGGTCGTTCGCTAATAACCACGACCTCTCCTCCCAATTAGGGTTTCTGATCATCCTAGCCAACGACACTTCCTCTGACAGCAACAACGGAGAATTCACGATTCACGGTAACCTCGTTCATTACAGCTCTACGAAGAGTAAACGAGTCACCCGCAGCGTATTAGCGTCAGAGATCTACGGGATGGTCGCTGGCGTCGATATGGCCTACGCCCTCGCCACAACCCTGGCGACAATCACTGACCACCTCAACCTACCAACGATTCAGACAGTTGTCTGTACCGATTCTTATTCGCTGTACGAGTGTCTCGTGAAGCTGGGCACTACCAAAGAAAAGCGACTCATGATCGATATCATGGCGTTGAGACAATCGTACGAAAGACGAGAACTACAAGAAATTCGTTGGATTAACGGCGAAGACAACCCTGCTGATGCCCTCACGAAGAGCAAACCAAATCGAGCCCTCGAGAGATTCGTTGATAGCAACACGATAACGATACGTATGGAGGGATGGGTAACAAGACCGTAACTACGGGAGAAAGTAGGGATAGGAGGCCGAATTGACGAGGAGACGGAACTGTATAGGGACAACGTATTCCAACCGCTTCAACACCATAAAAAGAGAGTTTCCAGTGTTGCGATAGTTGGAATACGGAGCCGTGTGGCACTTCCAGCCACACGCCCGCCAGGCTGAGAGGCCCAAGCCTCCCAGACCCACGTGACAGGCCAAGGGGGAATATCCCCACCTTCTAGTCAACAACACCACTTTCAACTATCATCATGAACCATCGATTAGAACCAATTTACTGTTATTTGTTATTGACGAACGGAATTCCGTTTCACCCCCTGTTTCACCCCCTGTGAAACCTACACCTCCGACAACATTGGTTGCATTCAGAGAGTAAAAGAGATCTGTCAGCTGAAATCGCGCGGATTAGAATTATGGCGAGTCATGTAATACTTGTATGTTATTTTAGCCTCAATTTCCTTCCTCCACTCCGTTATTATCTTTCACTATATTATATTAATGGCCTTTGCTTTTTATGGGGTTAATAAGTTTGTTAGTTTGAGTATCTCAACCGACTTATCCGTTCAATTGCTGATGCTATGGCCTGACTTTTGCTTCGACAATAGTCAGAGCACTCATGTCATGACGGAGCCCAGTAGAGCCGCTGAGATAACTGTCTTGCACTGGCTATAGCCTCCATGAATGACGAAAGTCGGTATTCTGGGGTTTACTTGCTGAGACGGGCCAAGAGCAAAACACATTGGAGATTATGGACACATGAATAGACACGAGCAACTCCCATCGACTTGGTTGGATGCCAGATATGTTATCAAGTTAAGTTTTCCTTGAAATGACGCTTGTATGAACAAAGCTTAGACCAATCACGGCTGCGCCCTAACCTTGGGAGATGCGGGTCGGCGAGCGGCTAAAGTATCCACCATCCATGAATTTAAAGTTGTCTGTGGGAGCATGATTCTGCCTTGCAAGATGATATTACGTTATATACTACCATGTCGAACATAGCAGATGGACGTGTTGGTGTTGTAACTCAGAAAGATAGGCTGGAGGAGCAGCTTCGTAGCATACCCCAATCTGTACCATTCTGAATATTAAGACACGGATCGTTGATTCTCACTTCAATCGTAACTTGTCCAAAGTTGAAGCATTAAGAATGTGAAAGTGATGGGCATATGCAACTCCATTCTTGTCAACCCATAGGCTAGATATTAAGGCCCCAAACAAGCATAACAACTCATACCCAAGAAAAAAATATTGATTGTCATTAGGTGTTCCTGGCTTTGAATCGGTTTCATGTTATCAAAAAAATACCACGAAGTGACTAGCAAAGAGATCTACTTCTTTTTTGTAATGGTTTAGAAAAGGTTTATGGACTTTTGAGCAAACCATCGTGTACTTGGGCTATACGTGCAATCAAGTGTTTGGGTTGATTTGCTGCAACACGTCAATAGAGTCCTGTAAAGTATGATAGGGTAAGACAATTCAAGAGATCATCGCTAATTACAGGGTAGCATTCAAGCCGCCTTCGAGAAGTCTACCATGTCGAATGGCACAAATTCTTCTTACCAACAGATTGGGCAAGTCCCATCCCCTTATAGATCACAGACATTGATTTCAGCTCGGAAGGAAGATCTCACACAAGACGTGGTACCTCTTAAGACCTTAGAAGAATCGCGAAGGATTCAGAGGAAAGGAGTAGTCCTGCTTATGTGTATAACTCGTATCCATCGCCAGCTTGTAACGTAGTGAGTACAAGAAGAAAAATGATCCGGAATTAAGTACTTTACGAGACCCAGTTACCATAGAATATTAACTGAGCCCTTGTTCGCCCCACCAGCTCTAGCTCCACTGAGATTCTCTCCGAAGCTAGCCTGCAGTGGGAATAGTATCATGAGGTTACCGATTTAGAACAGCTCATAGTAGAGACGTATGGCTAAACTGTGCTGCAGTGGTGAGCGTTTGCAGCTTGAGCAAGACCCTACGCAACATAAGTATTGGTAAGCGGCCTCGGCTGACAACAGTAGTTTCTCTCCATTTTTGAGAGTTCGGACGGCTTTTGCGCATAATTGCCTTACCCACCACAGTTCCACAGGAAAATGTTTAAAAAAGACTATCGAGCAACATTGCAATGAATGATGGAGCTGCAATGACGTCTTCAACAATCTGTGGCGTCCTTACCAGACTTCAACGATTGCGGAGATGGGAAGAGAATGATGGTATTGAAACCGTATGTTAGCTTTGATTAAGTGGTCAAAAGACTGGAGCTGCACTCTGGAGATTGATTGCATCGAACTAAATGTGTCATGGCTATCTCAGTCTGTCGATCTCTCCTAGATGTTGTCTAGCACTCGCTTTCTGTCTATATTGTACACCTTCCCCTTTAAAAATGTTGGAGCAATTCTCTCTATTCGTTCATCTACTTATACGAACTTTGCAATACGGATGACAGCGAACGCTATTCGTTCGACCCACTCTAGGCGCCCTCTCTAAACGTTACTTGTTCTTGTCACATATCCGTGCCAGGACCACAGATCGGACAGGGAGTCTCCACGTTCACAAACCCCTTCAATTTCCCCTCCTGGCAGACATGCAACAGGGTTGACGTGCAGCTTCTCCCCGACTTGCCGTATTGGGCTTAAATGTCACCCAAACCCAGCGAGTCACCCTGCCAGTTTCCGCAACATTTACATACTATATCCGGCGCAAGATGGAATTTAACTGCTATTGGCGATAGGTCTAACCCCTACTCGTGGAATCAGGCAGTGCAGAATTTCCCCGTCGTGCAGGCCAAGAAGAGTTTAGTGCATCGTCTCATCATTGCCGCCCACACTCCATCTATTTGCCTTCAATCGGGAATGAGATGCGTCAGGACATGGTGCGAAAGAAGAGTGCGATCAGCCTTTTTTTACTGCGAATCTGTTTATGAACGGATCTTTGGAAGTGGGTTCGGGGCAGCTATGGTCGAAGACGGAGGTTAAGTCTCGCCTACATATTGGCTTCCCCGCGCGCCCATCGCCTGTCGTCGCATGTCGCCCTGGCTTTTCATCGCTTGTTCGTTTCATTCGTTTCACCCTGTCTGTCTTTTCCACCTAGCTCTCTATCTTTTATGATGAAGGGCTTCTTCAAGGCCCTCGCGGCGGCTGCGCTCGCAACGGCTTCTGTAGCTCAGGAATCGGGGACCAACGGGACAGGTAGCCCAGCCCCGACCACATTGATCACCTCCCGCGTCCCCGAGGCTTCCGCGCCCCCGGGCTCCGAGTTGCCTACCGCCGCTCCTATTCGTGTCCGACTTAATCCGGCCAACGTCCGAAATCTCGCTGATTCCGACTACACCACGTGGACCATCCCCGGGGCATCGACCTCTAACCTCACAGTTGATAATGGTGTTTCTTTTATTCTCACTGCCGGAAACAATGCTGAGCTTTCTGGCAATTATTACAAGTACCAGTACACGCGTTTTCTCTCTTCTCTCGGAGAGCGAGTTGTAAACCAGGGCATCAGCACCTCAACAAAGGATGGAGCCGCACTCACACTCTCTATCAAGGGTCTCGCTGCAGGAAAGCACAGCCTGTTGACATGGCACAACGCCTGGGACAAGCTTGACAGCACGGCAACTCTTGATATCACCGTTGACGGCGAAAGCGCTCACACTGGCTTCAACCAATCTTCTCGTGTCGACAACATCTGGGAGGCCGCGACGTCATACGTGACTTTTGAGGTTACCTCTTCAACCCAGGAGGTGAAGGTGGTCTATACGCCTAAAGGCGCTGACCAGCGCGCGTTCATCAACGGCTTCGAGGTCGACAGCCCGGAGATTAAGAACCAGATCAGCTTCCCCACACCGAAGCATCGCGACGAGCGCATCGAGGTAGACGGCGAGAAGAGCTTCAAGGCTTCCTGGCGCGCCCCTGCTTCGGCGGCCGGCGTCAAATACAACGTTTTCCTTGGCACATCTCCTACCGAGCTCAAGAGCGTTGTTGAGGGTGCCACCGAGACCGAGGCTACTTTGACTGGTATGTTTTCCTTCGAGATGTCAACTTTGAATTCCGATACTAAACTGAATGAAGGACTCAACACCCTTGACACGTTTTACTGGCGCGTTGATGTTGTGTCTGGCGACGCAACTTACACTGGTCGCGTCTTCATGTTCCGCGTGGCACAGTTGGCCTTCCCCGGTGCCGAGGGTTGGGGGTAAGTTTCTCCTTTACGGGTGCCATAGCTCATTTGATTGATGCTAACGGAAATGCTAGTCGTCTCGCTCGTGGTGGTCGTGGTGGCAAGGTCATCAAGGTGACTAGCCTTGAGGATACCAACGATGAGGGCACTCTTCGCTATGCTCTGACCGTCGCTAAGGGTCCCCGCATCGTCGTCTTTGACGTTGCTGGCGTCATCACCACAACCTCCCGCATGTCCGTTAACGACCAATACATCACTGTTGCCGGCCAGACAGCTCCTGGAAAGGGTATCGTGATCCAAGGTTTCCCTCTCGGTCTTACTGGCGCGTCCGACGTCATTTTCCGTCATGTACGAGTTCGCCCGGGTAAGGTTTCCGGGCAGACTATCGATGGTATGGGTATGCAAGGCTCAAACCACTGCATTTTTGACCGTTGCTCTATGGTACGTCCCTTGTGAATTTGAGGATTGATGGGAAGGGTTGGAATCTAACACAGTCAACCAGGGTTGGACTATCGATGAGGCGTTTAGCTCGCGATCGGCCTGGAACATTAGCTTCCAGCGAAACATGATCTCAGAGCCTTTGAACGTTGCCGGTCACAAGAACTACCCCGCGGGCACAGCCCACGGATACAGCGCTACTATTGGCGGTGATGTTGGCTCTTTCCACCACAACCTCCTCGCTCACGCTGAGGGCCGAAGCTGGAGCATGGGAGGTGGCGTTGACGACAACGCTGCTTTTGCTGGCCAACTTGATATTCGCAACAACGTCGTCTACAACTTTGGTAAATATTACTCGCCAGTTTATGTGTAGAGAATGTTCAGACTAACACCTATTTTCCCCAAGGCGGCCGTGTGACCGATGGCGGAGCCAAGAAGGTCAACTTCGTTGGTAACTACTACAAGCCTGGTCCTGCCAGCACCCTCACCTACACTTTGAAGGCTACAGTGAGCTAAACTTCTCCACATACCCGGTTACCTGATGAAACTGACCTTCTGAAGTACGAGGATAACATGCCCGGTATGCAGCAGTACCACTGCGCGGGCAACTCCATGTTCGGTGTTTTCGACCAGGACTCGGTTCAGTACCCTCCTGGAGACGGCACCTCCATCAAGACCAAAATTGCATGCTACGCCGCGGTTTCCTTCTCCCCCGCACCGACCTACCAGAGGTTCTTCGATAAGCCATTTTTCGAGCCCCACGTGGACACTCAGCTCTCAACTGAGGCCTACAAGCGCGTCCTGTCAGACTCTGGTGTCAGCCAGCCAGTCCGGGATGAGCATGATACTCGCATCATTAACGAGACGCTGACAGGCACCGCCAAGTACACCGGCTCTGTGTCCGGTAAGAAGGGTCTCATCGACGACCCGAAGGACGCTGGTGGCCTTGAGAGCTTCCCTGAGGCCAAGCGCTCGGCGACCTGGGACGCCAATGGAGACGGCATTGCTGACTGGTGGGATGGCTCCACCGGCGGCGACGGCTACACTCCTATTGAAGGATACCTCAATTTCATGGCTGATCCGCACGCCTTTGTGTCCCCCTCCAAGTCGGTAGAGATTGATCTTGCTGCTTTGGCGTTGGGCTTCAAGAACCCTACCTTCACCGTCGCAGGTGCAACAAAGGGTAAGGTTACCGTCTCTGGAACTAAGGCGACATACGAGGCCGGAGCGGAGAAGGGTGTTGAGTCCCTCGACGTCAGTATTAAGGATAGTGAAGGCAGCTCGTGGACGAGGAAGTTTGGCGTTGCCATCTTTGATGACGCGGAGACTGCTTAGAGGCGTGCCCTTGGAACTTCCAGCCTCTTTCAATTTTTTTTTTCTCTTCTGAACATTTTAGCAAACGCAAATATTATCACCTCATGAGCAGCTGCTCGAGGCAATCAAGAGATTTTTTGATTTAAATATTCATCCTCCAAGCCATGTTCGAAAGAGGCAGTTGTGGAAAGTCAATAATATTACATCCGCTGTACCCCTGCCGCCTGACCATTCAAATACACGGATATCACAGCGTGCCAGCTTGCACGATGTCGTTTTGAGCAACATAGTCAAGGCTTCGTGAGAAGAGTTGTAGATTCCCCGGAACAGTAGCGTCGGGTTCGGCTGTGGTGTGGTGATTATCGTGGCATTGGTTGTGTGTTCACTTGCAGCGAGTGTGACTGCGGCGAATTTGAGTACCTTGGTAAGAGAAAGAGGCGAGGTTTATAGCAACTTGGGATCAATCATTCAAATTAAAAAGAATCGTTAGGTGCTTCCAAATTTGTATACACAGTATATATCGTGTAATTCATCGCTAAATTGTTGACAAACGCGGCTAAGTCCTGCTCCTCTGGTGGTGACACGAAGACAAGGGAGACAGAGAATGCAATCTACTACATTGAAAAGATTTCTCAAGGTCATTGTCTCTATGATGTCGATCAGTTCTTGACTAAGTTACACAACCCCGGTGCCTTCCGGTTCCCAACTTTCAGAACCGCCCCTAATTTTGGACATGCCTTGCTTTCTACCTTATTTCTATCTGCAGAGCTAGGATATGATGAGCACTCTCCATCTTGTGGCAGGTTAATGCCTCGTTCACCGCAGTAAATGATGCAACTCTCGCTAAAATTCAGACTTAGAGTTCAAGGCCCAATTTCAATTTGGGCGGGTCGGAGAAAGTCTGCCAGTGCCGGCAATCGGGGGCATAAGAAAAACCCCGATGGTGATCATACAACCAGCGTGAGTGCAAGTCTCAATGGACCCAACCAAGGAATAACATAATCTTTGAGTCAGGATTTATCGTAGTTACACATAGGTTTAATCTAGGTATTCCATTTGAAACAAAATAGGCCAACCTAAGGCACTTCTTCGCGAGTGATGTTGTTTCTTTTGACCGCTTAGCAAGTTGTGGTACCAGTTTTTCCTCACCTGACGCTCGGGAAATCCGAAACCTTAATTTACTTGAATGATGTCCGTCGTGTGCCGTTGATGCGGCTATTCAAGAAATGCAAGCAGCGAAAAATTTGCGATCATCGCGATTAATTAATTTGTGATCAGGTGTAACGCGGGAAAAAGAAAATAATAGGATAAGCTTTTCTTTAGAGTTCCTATCATTCAAGTCTTGCAAGTTAGGCGCCCTGTCCCGACCTCGACGCCTCGTTCCTGAATATTGTCAACAGCCTCGTTATAAGCACTGCTCAATAGGGTAGGAACAAATTGCAGAAGTATAAAGGATAGCAGGCCGCTACAAACGATACCTACAGTTTCCAAAGAATTCTCCATCAAAAAAAAGCCATTTTATCAATCATCATCCAACAAGTATTCTCTTGTCAAAAGTAAAGATGGTCTCTTTCACTACTATTGCACTAGCTTTGTAGGTGATTCAATACGACTCAATGTTAAATTGTTACTTACACAATCAGAATATCGGCTACTGCTGTTGCTGCACAGCTCCCTGACCCGGGCCAGGAGGTAGACTGTGACTGCACAGATCTGAGGAATGGGGTTGTAATTCCGGACGATGCTGGCACGAGAAGCGGGTGCGCGGGGCGTGGGTATCTTGTTAACCGAAACGGCGATCTTAAGGTAAATATTGACCTGTCTGCACGGTCATGTTTAAGCTAACACTTGCCTCAAGTGTGTTATTGTTGAGGATGGTACTCCGCACCACACCCGAGCCCGAGACTTCGTTAACCACTGCCACCTGCACGGAACATGCGGTTGGGTTGGTCAGTAACTTGATATGAGTTGATGAAGTAGGAGATATTTGTCTCTTTTCCCCTTTCCTTCGTTCTCTGAAGAAAGGTCTCCGCATATAAGAAGCATTGGACAACATGACAGAGTTCTGAGGCTGTGGACCCGTGTTATTGAACTAGAGTTTTAGAATGCTGCTTGTTTATGGAAACTCGATTTCTAGAATTCTTCCTTGTGATAGAAATAAGACTAAATACGCAATGGCTGCTTTCAAATTCTTAGAGCCTACCAAAAGGCTAAAAAATCGTTTGACAAGGTTGATTCATTACTCTTGGTTTTGTGTACTTCTCCTGTATCAACTCAACCGGTGTATGTACGCCTAATTCTAGCCACATAGTCCACGTGGAAGAGTTTTCTAGAAGCTTCCTTTCCGCTCAGCCAAAGATAGTAGTAAATGTTTAAGCGATGACCCAGTGGAAAGGAGGAGAATTTACTGTGACATGCTTAATAGTGCTTATACTTATGGCTAATCTCTGAGAATGCCTCATGGGAAACAGCTGCATATCTTAAGACATATACGTAAAATCATGGCTATACACTGTGCTCACTGCTATTCAGGAACAAGGAATCAATGAAGATCTCAGAGACATGTGCTTTGATTATTTTCGGTAGACCTCGCACCTTCTTTCCAAATAGTAAATAATGGCAACATTGTACCGTCCAGATAGTAATAGAAAACGCATATATGCATCTAAGTGCATCGAAATGCATCGAAAGCAAAGATATCACACTCACGGTTCCTCGGACTAAGCGTGTTAGACTACATCCAAGATCAAGACGGTACATATGACGACAACATGCTCGCTTTATACCAAATTTTAAAATAAAGAATATACCCTATCCTCATGACGAAAGTCTTGACTAATGAGCTTTCAATTAGGAGAACATGCAAGGTTATAGGGCATCCCCACATCCCCAAACTCCCCAGGCCCGATATTCTCACTGACAACAGGCTTGGAATCTTCCTATTTCAGCCTGACCTAACTAAGTATTGCTCACAAGAGCTTTCCAGGAAGTTACGTGTTACGTACAGGGAAGGAGCTCTGCCAGTCTACAAACCCCAAACAAAGTCTTCTTCCCAAGCATCAATCTCTGCTATCGGACATTCGAAACAACCTCTAATCTCTTCGATCATATGTAACAGATTACTGGTGCTCCTTCCCAGATAAATTGGACTGCCCATTAGATACTCGCAACGAGGGAAATTCCCTATAAAATCCCCGCAGTTCTGCCATGCCTTAGGTTCATTAAAAGACCTGCAACTGTACCCGCGATGAAAACGTTGAAACAAGACAGAGCATAGCCCTTTCTTCACATGCCAACTTCAGCTGGAAAACAATGTGAAAACTGTGGAATCCGAATCTAAGATGAATTCGATTAAAGGCGTCAATATTATCCGGAATCACGCTGAATAGCGATAGAATTTAGCTCGTGTCATATCAATATAGCTCGGGACATGCTGCTTCTGCTGAGGACAGGCTGCCCTAACCAGTTATTTCGGCACCCCGAAATTGCTGTTATAGTAGCTATTCCGTCAGAATACACGGGACCAGATAGCTTACCGCAGTAAAAGGTACGCGATCTCAGCTGAAGGCATCCGATGCTGGCTTCGACAGCATTACTACGGCCCCATACACTAGACATAATCGGAGCAAACTCCCATATGATTCCATAGCACGATTTCGCTAACAAGGCAGTGCCACGGCTCCCAGGACACAATGAGTATACTTAGAGCGGCGGCGGTTACCTGGTTATGAGACGCTACAACGGCTTGAGTTATTTGGCGGAGTGGTTTCGTTCCGTATCGATTTCTATGCTTACTTTACCCCCTCTCTGCCCCTCACATCACTGCCAATCAGGGTTTTGCCTCCATCAAGTCTGGCTATAAATATAGCCTTGGGTTGTATTCTTAGTGGAGACACATGGGCTTGTCATCACCTTACACAATGAGCTAGGACCTGTCTACATAAGCGCGAGCAAATGGAAATGCTGATCGCGCCCGCACAGTTGAGCGCCACTGAACATAGACGACGTCCTCTCCTCTAACTAATACTTTGTCTGATTACCATTACGGAACCACATAATCAAGACGTCCAGTGATTTGCGCGGATTTCTTGGGGATACCTAAATGAAGGAAGATGAAGGAATTTAATTCAATGTCGCCAGCTTGTGATATCTGCTCACGTATACTCAACGTATTTGTGCGGGGAGATGGACAGGATCGATTCGACGGCCTTGACATCCTACTTTCAGATACGAGTTGTGAAGGACACTCAGGATTTATCGACTTCATCAGAGGGGACCTCGTTAACGGGGAAGTCCAGACAACCGCGACAGGTGTGCTTAGTATGCATCGCGAGCATCCGGCTTTCGTAGATGTACGGGCGAGTGGATCATCAGAACGCTTTGGACAGCCGCACAATCACATGGGTTGGCTAATGACGCTTCTGCAAGACGAAACGCTCCTGAACCATCCGGGCCGTGGCCTTCCGCTGGATCCCAAATGGGTGAATCTAGACCTGGCTCGTCAGTGGAAAGCACGATGCCATTCACACCACGGGTCAGAATGCGACAATCCTTTCCTCGTCGCGCCGGCTGTGCCAGCGTGGCTGATTGATACTACAACCAACTGTCTTGTACCGGGTACAAGTGAACTCCCATACGTGGCACTAAGCTACCGATGGGGCAGTTTCAACGACTTCAAAACGCACCAAGGTGATCTCTCCAAGCTACAAGAGCGGGGCTCTTTCGTCGATCCGGAAGTTTCTGCGTCCCTCTCCCCGATCGTGAGACACGCAATGCACCTTACACGTAACATGGACGAGCGGTATCTCTGGGTCGATGCCATATGTATCACTCAAGACGACCCAGAACAGATTTCGGCGCATTTGGTCATGATGGCTGCTATTTACGCAACGGCAGTATTCACGATTGTTGGAGCGGACGGAGACAGCAGAAGTGGCCTCATCGGAGTCCCTGACACCTCTGAATCCCGTGATATTGAACAAAAAGTCATCCCTTTTGCTGGAAATCACCAAATAGCACTGAGCAGATCGACAACTGGAGTCTCTGCGATGTTGTCCAGCTCACCTTACTCTGAACGCGGTTGGACCTTTCAGGAGTATATGATGTCAAAACGGAGGCTTGTTTTTCGGAACAAGCAGCTCACTTGGGAATGCCAGAAAGACGTATGGTATGAAGATGTTTCACTGCCGGCAGTGGGCAGTGATGATAGTCCCAACTTTTTAGCTGCACCCATTCGCAGTATCCTAAGCGGGTACCCCGACCTTGCCTCATTGAATACTATAATCGGAAAATACAACAAGAGGCAATTCACCTTCGAGGAAGATGCTCTCCCAGGAATCTCTGGCCTTCTCGCCATACTCAGCCGCACATTTGAGGGCGGATTTCTCTATGGCTTGCCCGTCATGTTCTTCGACGCAGCTTTAGCCTGGAACCGTTCTCCCTTCGGGATTGGGAACTTGCAACGCCGTATCGACTCAGGTCACGCTCATCACAAGGTGTCTTCCTCCAGGTTACCCTCCTGGTCATGGATTGGCTGGCGCGGTGAGGTGGGCATTAATTGGCACCAGGAAGGGTTTTCATATTGGCACCGTAATAAGGAAACCATACCAATCACGAATTGGTTTGCTAGTGAGAAGCCTCACAGCGGACCCAAGCTGCACATAAAGCCAACGTGGTTTAGCAGGCGCGATATGTACAAGCATATGAACCCGACGTTGTCGGAGGGATGGACTGCGAATGTCAGTGGCACAAAGGCAACATCTCCTTACGCTCCACACGATTATATGTTCACATATGGAGACTGGGAACAGAAGTTCAATTATCCCATTCCAATCGCCAAAGTTACCGAGGCATCACCTTACGTCACTCCGCCGCAGTCTCCTTTTATCTCATGCTCAACCAAGCGATCATGGCTCAGGGCTAAAAGATACCGTCCGGGCATTGTTCAAACTGGAGGCCTTAAGTATGAAGTCCATCGAGTGACCCTTCATAATGCTCTCGGATCGCAAATAGGATACATGACGCTACAGAGTAATAAGGACAGTGATTTAATCTCGGAAGATTCAAAAGGAACGCTGATAGAGTTGGTGGCTATCTCCAGAGAAATAGAAATTGGAGCACATGGACATGACGAGACGAAAGATTTCTACTTGGTCCTCTGGGTCTCTTGGGTAGACTCGATCGCATACCGAAAAGGGTGTGGCAGGGTGCAGAAGGACGCTTGGGAAAGACTGGACCTCCAGGATGTGGAACTCGTTCTAGGCTAAAGTAGGTTACAGTATTACACCTAGTAAAGTATTTGAGGAAGAATCGATAGTCGTTTTAGGCTCAGGAAAAATCATTGACTAAAGATGTTGTTGATTCCGCCCCTTTATGGCCATGAGACGCTAGACCGCGTGGACTAAAGGTCAAAATGGGTTGAAGTTATAAGGAAGCGCCCTAAGTAGAGCTCATTCCGCTAGAATCAACTGATCGTTGGATTAGAAAGCCGATAATGTTCATGGTGATACTCTGGAGGCTATTACATCTTGGCAAAGCTTGAAGGTATTGTTGTAATAGCCGGAACTTCGGTCAAAGCGGATTCGTCCAAGTTCGGCGACCAACTGGAATATTCCCAGTCATGGTACGTGCAATAATACACACTAGTTTTGTCCCACTGAAAGTTCCCCACTTAACGGGTAATTCTGTGATCCCAACATCTATTTTATGTTTTGAATTTCATTGCTAGGTGATGGCAATTGATTCAATCAAGTTTATAATGATTAAACATCAAGACATTGCTAAACCAGATGGTCACTACGTGCGCTGTAGTTATCGACCTAAAATCGATTCTACGGCCGGGAACATAATCGTGCTACAAGGAGCGAATAGTTGGCCCACCTACCCGTTGCTATCTGATTAGTAATGCTCTCTTGAGACTTAATACACATTTCAGACTCAAATTAATATTCTGCCCGAGTGCCCTAGCTTTGATAGCACAATCCTTTCTTCAACGTCTCATTGCAGAAGTAATGGTAAGGATGTCTTCAGGCGAGTCACAGCAGGCCGACAGCCAGATATCACACTCTTCCACATCACCAACGTCTATGGGTCCACTGTCTGGGGGCGCCGGTAGTTTGGACGACAGCTCAACGACAATCTCACGAATTGCACGAGCCTGCGAGAGGTGTAGACGTCGAAAGATACGTTGTGAAGGCACGCAGCCCTGCTCTAGCTGCTTCCATCATAAAGAGTCTTGCATCTACCGACCCGGGCCTCCTCGCTTACGCCCACGGTTTCGCGCTCTACCCAAGCAGCCTCGAACATCGCGTCCCTGCACGCCTCCGAATACTATGTTGCCTGCGCAAGAGAATGCAACATATTCTCTACAGCTACTGGGTTGGCACACTCAGCTCCAGGCAGGCATAGGCGTCTCGAACTCGAAGACATCGTTTCAATTCTACGGTGCGTGACAAACTCGCAAACACATGGCCTCTGACCTCAGCGGTACTCCTGCTCTAAAACATCTGATCACCAGGTCCCTCGTCTCTTCCGGCTTTCATTCAGCGGGCTTATGAGCGACTTAATAAACAACCCCATTCAAGCAGCGGAGTTGAAACCGATGAAGCTGTGCCTCCAGGTATTCGAGCTTGGAAACTAGAGCGTTTCTTTTTCTCTGCGCCCGACAGTCCTTCTAGGCACTCCAATCTCAGTGCTTTCATTCCTCGGCAACTTGGAGATCAATTTCTACGCAACTACTTCAAGGTCGTACATCCTCAAATTCCGATACTTTCCTACCCTGAGACGATGGCACAGTGGGCTCGATTGTGGGAGTTGCCGATGGAGGCACCCCCTTCATGGAGTAAAGAAATCGTTTTTACTGCCCTTGCTGTTGGCGCCCGTGTTTGTCCTGTCATTGGTCAAGATGGCCTGCGTCTTGCAGCGTATTGGGCCCATCACTTTTCAGAAGCTATAGAAATACCCATCAATGCAATGAGAGAACCGTCTCTCCAACTTGTCCATCTCCTCTTATTGAAGGTAGCTTTCCACATTGCAAACTCACGTTTCTCTGTCTCACTTAATTGTAATGCAGCTGCTGACCAATCGCCCAGGCTATGTATGCGCTACATGAACACCGGTTCAATGATACATTCTTTTACGTGGGCTGCGCTTCTCGTACCTGCATCGCCTTGGGATTGAATAGAGCTGCAGTCATTGCGGGCCCTGGAATAAAGAAAGAGCAGTTCAGGCTCGCTTTCTGGATGACTTATATCATGGAAAGAACTTCAGCGTTGATTGTCGGTCGACCATCAAGTCTTCGAGACGAAGATATTGACACCCCATACCCCGAAGGTTCTCGTGCAAGTAGCAGTTCAACCTATATTGAGGATATACCGCCCTGTGGACGCATCACAGACTGGAGCTTTGTTGGAATAATGGCGAAGCTGGGCCACGTTTCTGACTGTGTCATGTCAGGCATATACTCAGTCCAGAAGGTTTCCGACGCCAGAGACCTCCTCATGGAAACCAACATTCACGGCTGCGAGTTGGCCCTTGAGAACATCAAGAACAACTTGCCAGCTTATCTCGATTTTCAAAAACTCGAGGCACCGGTTGGGACCGATTGGCAAGAGCTTCAGCGGCTTCATATTGGAATGGTACACCAGTTTATGAGAATGCTCGTTCATCGGCCAGCATTAATTTTCACGACGTATTTTTCGTCTATATCGGAGGCTCAATCAAACATACCGGGGAGCATCCAACTACAATCCTCTATTGATATCTCGAGAAAATCAGCCAAGGGTATCATAACCCTTGCGCACGAAAGCCTATCTACACGTCAGCCTGACGCTCGCTCGGATGGATCGCTTGCCATTTACATCATCGCCGCCTGTATCACTCTGCTGTACGAAGTCCTCGACCCGGCTACAACACCTCTCCATGCCAAGGACACTTTCTCGTCCGTGGAACAAGCTATCCAATGCCTGGATGGCATGAAGCACTTCGCCCCAACAACCGGCAAGACACTTAGCAGCGACATTATGCAAATGGCTAAGAACGTCCTCTTCTGCTCTACGGGTTTCGGTGCTACTGATGCATGCGACGAGTTCACGGCTGAGTTTCCTTGGCTCCGGTACGTCATTGTCATTTTCTCATTCCTCCTTGTTCTTGTCCTGCCATGCCAGTCAACCACGTCCCTTTCTTCAGCCATCAGCTATGTCTCAAGCTATTAGGGAAGTTGCGCCAGGTAAACTTTCTCTCTGTGCACATACACATGCTAACTATTGATCCACGACGTTTAATCAACAGTCCGCACCAGAATCAAACAGGGGTCCCTGCAAGCGAGCAAGACTCAATCGTCCAGAATATTCGGACCTGGTCCTTTTTGCCACCTGTGGCAGATGGTGATGCTTTTCTTGGAAATTTTGGAAGCCACATTCTTTGAATTGTATAATGGTTTTTTTTTTTTCTCATTGGACTGTGTATATGTATTCAGCGATATTCTAGATGAACCTGGAGCAACGTCGGGACAGAGATCATGCTTAAGAGAACAGAGTAAATCAGCACAAATAAAAGCTCATGAATCTGGTAATCGCTATTACCAGGATTCTGTCTAAAGGCCTGGATGCTGGATTGTTCTTTCAGCTAAGCCTGTTAGAATACTACTTTCAGTATTGCTAAGCAACAGGGCATGCATGGTGTGGCCAAGCGCCCACAAAGCTTGTTCAAAACAAGGTGGAAGCGGCAAATATTTTCCGCCTTACGCTAAGTAAGATTCCTCCCAGAAACATGTCTATGCCAAGGGAGTTCACAAGTATTGGTAGGGTACACGCCGTCTACTCCATTGTCATTTCTTCTAGGTACTACCATGCTCCTGTACGTAATTCAGTGTCAATGGCAAAACTCGGCGATCCGTTCCCGGGACGGGTCTCCTCTCCTAAGTCCGCCCCACTGCGGACGGCATCAGACTGCACTATCACGATGCCATCAGTCCGCAGGTGGGGCGGAATTAGTTGCACAATTCCGAATCCAAAGCTGGCCGTCATCATTCACGAAAGCTCTGACTGGACAACATAGCAAACACCAGCTTCACGCCAATGAACGCTCCAGAATTATGACTCGCCATATTTCCGCGTTTACAAAGCAAGAGCTTCTAGATCCATGATGATAGCTAAGCAGGGCTCTCTTGAGCCTGTACTTATAGCTTCAAGAATCAACTCTCAAAGTTACCTGCCTCATTAAATCGCAGTTTAACCTCACGTACAATCATTTATTTCAATCGTAACACTGAACCCCGATTCAAAACATATTCGATATTCTGACGAAACCTGCGCGGACAAGTTTGTGCTGACTGACAGGAAAGCGGTTCGTCAACTGCAACAAACAGAGCCTGCGGTTGGAAACTTCTTCACCAGTGTCGAGGGAAAACGTTTTCAATGGAACCCAAGGAGAATCTACCTCTTTATCGCACTGAATGGCGTGGGCTTGGTGTTCTCTTCGAGCATGTCACAGCAACAGGATCCCCGCGGACGCAGCACCAGATTGACGACACCGGACACCTCCTCTTCAAGCTCGCCACCTGGCCGGTTGAAATAGTCAGACAGTTCGCAGGGAACCGAAAGGCAATGTTTACACCCATTGTCCAAGATATCACCGGCGTCTTGTTCCCTGGCGAGACAGCCCTCGTGCTGGGCAACCCAGGAGCCGGATGTTCCTCAACGCTCAAAATCCTTGCCAACCAGTGCCGTGAATTCACGAAAGTCGAGGGGAATATTCAATACGCTTCCATTCTTTCAGAGAACCTGTCTTCGGATCTCCAGTCTGAAGTTGTCTACAACGGGCCTGAGGACATACACATTCCTCACCTAAAGGTTAAAGACACATTGGACTTCGCCCTCCGACTTCGCAACCCCAACACAAGCAATAGATCAGACCATGAGTTCTCGAGTCAGATGACAGATAGCATTCTTAGGTCCCTGGGGATACGGCATACTGCTGAGACAATTGTTGGCAACTCCTTCGTCCGAGGTGTTTCTGGGGGTGAACGCAAGAGAATATCCCTGGCAGAGGTCCTTTCGGCCAATCCCTCCGTCGTCTGCTGGGACGACGCTATCCGCGGCCTTGACAGCTCTTCTGCATTTGAATTTCTTGCCATGCTCAAGCAGCTGTCCAAGGCTGTTGGCATGACGAATATTGTCAGCCTCTATCAGACGTCCGAGTCGATGTACCAGGACTGCTTTGACAAGGTCCTCGTCCTATACCAAGGCCGAATGATATTTTTTGGCCCCGTTGCTCGAGCAAAGCCGTACTTTGAGAGCCTTGGCTTCGAACATCTCCATCGGCAAACCACACCCGAGTTTCTCACGGCAGTCACGTCACCCAAAGAGCGTCGAATTCGCACCGACTACTCTGGCCCGTTGTATCTCGATCCAGATTCCCTAGCAACAGCCTTCAGATCCTGTGATTTATACGCGGAAAACTTGGAAGAGATTGAACGCTACAAGAATACAGTCGCAAACTCGCCGGCAACGGCGGCTTTTCGACAGGAAGTCTCGCGGACGGTCTACCAATATCGCATCTTCAGATCAATCGTTTCATCGCTTCGAAAGCAGGTCTACGTTTCTTTACATAGATACTTTCGCTTGCAGTGGAGCAATCGTTTGTCCTTCTACATCATTCTCGTTCTATGCATCGTTAATGCCCTCCTCTGCGGCTCGTCATTCTATGACATCCCCTCCACGGCGACTGGTGTCTACGTTCGTTCCTGTGCGGTATTCTTCCCTTTCATCTACTTCCTTCTCAATGCTCTGACAGAAGTTGGAGCGACTGTTGAGGCGAGAGATATCTTGTCAAGACAGCAAAAGCTGGGCTTGATTCATCCGGTAGCCTACGTCATAACCGAAACAATTGGAGGGATCCCAATGGTTTTCTTGCGGACTATTTTGTTCAGCTGTCTGTACTACTTCTTGATAGGACTAGGAAGAACTGCCGCCCAGTTCTGGATCTTTGAGGTGTTTCTTTTCGTTTATTACAGTTCCCACACAGCTATGTTCCGAATGCTCGGTGCTTGGGCGCCGAACGTCAGCATCGCCTTCCTCATGAGCGGCTGCGGAACTCCGTTGACACTGGCGTGGGCCGGATACGCTCCTACATGGCCTACCATGCTGGCATGGAGCTCCTGGATCCGCCGTATCTCCCCATCTCCCTACGCACTGGAGGCTCTTATGACCAACGAGTTTGAGCATCTTGAGCTTCACTGCGAGCCGAATGAGATGGTCCCTTCTGGCCCTTCCTTTGAACAGCTTGCGTACCAAGGTTGCCCCCTTCCCGGCGCTGAACCAGGTACTTCCACAACCTCTGGCTCTTATTACCTCCGCGAGGTCTACGGGTACGAACACGCAAACCTGTGGCGCAACTTAGGTATCATGATCGCCATGTGGGCCATCTACACTATCCTCGCCGGTGTTGGCCTCACCATCATGACACGGAGCAAAGGCAACGCTTCCGGTGCTGTCTTCAAGTCTGGCGCAAAAGCCCACATCAATGGGACCGCTCCAAGAAACTGCGAGACAGACGCGGAGAAACAAGAGAATTCAGATGAGCGCGGTATCGACCCCGCTTCTGATTCTGATGGCGGAAAAACTCTTACAGCGGACAGACCTCTGCCAAAGGATGGGAAATGCAACGTTTTCACATTCAAGGATATCAAGTACACTGTCAATGTCGACGGTAAACCAAAGTGTCTACTCGACAATGTCAACGGTTACGTGCAAAGTGGTCAGCTCACCGCCTTGATGGGCGCCTCAGGCGCAGGGAAAACGACACTTCTTGATGTGCTCTCCCAGCGAAAAAGTCAGGGGCATGTCGAGGGACAAATGCAGATGAACTCGCGGGGCATCACGCCTGCTTTTGCACGATCTTGTGGCTTCTGCATGCAGCAAGATATCCACGAGCCACTGTCCACCGTGAGAGAAGCACTCCAGTTCTCTGCCAGCCTACGCCAGCCCGCTGATGTCCCTGATACTGAGAAGATGGAGTACGTCGAATACATCATTAGGCTGTTGGAGCTGGAATCCATTGCGGATGCAATTATTGGAGAGGCCGGGGACGGCAAGCTTGGTGTCGAGGAGAGAAAGCGAGTCACCATTGGCGTCGAACTGGCTGCGCGGCCGTCAGCACTGCTGTTTCTTGACGAAGTAAGTTACTTTCCTCGGACTCTTGTTGCAATAGCTTTACTGACGGAAACCTCACCGTACAGCCCACGTCCGGGCTTGACAGTCAAGCCGCGTACTCTATTGTCTCGTTTCTGCGACGCATTGCCGCCGAGGGAATTCCTATCGTTTGCACAATCCATCAACCGTCGGGTGTCATCTTCGAGATGTTTGACCACGTTCTGCTCCTTGCCCCCGGTGGTAAGACAGTCTATTTCGGGGAGACTGGGAATGGTTGTAAGAAGCTGACCCAGTACTTCGCCCAATATGGACACCACATAAGTGACAATGAGAACCCGGCAGAGTTCATCATCTCGGCTATGAGTCAAAAGCCTGGAGGCCGCGACTGGGCGCAAACTTGGAAGGATTCTCAGGATGCTATCAACCTGCGGCAACGTATCCGTGAGCTCGAGCAGCTGTCGGCGTCCATTAAGACCGGTGAGGAGTCTTCGGGGCAAAGTGCATATGCCCGACCTCTGAGGAAGCAAATCTATGCCGTCACAGTCCGCCATGCCAGAACGATCTGGCGCCACGGCCCTTACAACGCAAGTCGTTTCACCAAGGCCGTATTCCACTCTTTAGTGTTGTTGTTCTCCTTTTTTCAAGCCAAGACCGATATCACGTCGTTGCAGAATCGCGCAGTTAGCATCACTCTCATCGCTTGGATCATCCCCGTCATCGCGGCAGATTATCACGCCGTATGGTTTGACCGTTGGGCAATCTTTGAGGGGCGCGAACGGAACGGTATCTACGATTACAAGGCACTACTATTTGCGCTCATTGCCATCGAAATCCCTTGGACCGCGGTGCTATGGACGCTGGTCTTCTTTTGCAACTATTGGACCATTGGATTCCCGGCTGCGACGTCGCAGGCAGGCTTCAGCTACTTCTGCTACCTCCTGCTGTCGCTGTTCTGCATAGGCTTCAGCTTCTTGATGCCTTCGCTCTTCGGCACACGGACCCTAGCCGGCTACGCAAACTCGCTCTTCTGGGTTCTTCTTTTCATGTTCTCCGGCATGCTCCAGCCGCACAGTGGCATGAACGACTTTTACCGGCCTTGGCTCTTCTGGGTTGACCCCATGAGATACTACTTCGGAGCGTCAATCTCGACGGCTATGAATGGCGTCAAAGTCATGTGTGCGCCGGAAGACCTGGCGCGCTTCGTCCCTCCGCCCGGGGAGACGTGCTACGAATATGCGGCCTCTTTCCTTTTGACGAGTGCCGGCTACGCCTTGAATCCCAACGGTACTGATCTCTGTGACTACTGCAAGTACACTACTGGAGACGACTACACTGCAACGCTTGAATACTTCTACTCGGATCGCTGGAGAGATTGGTCAGTTTTCTTGGGCTGGTGTATCGTCAACTTTTTGTTAATCTGGTTTGTAACCTGGCTCTCGCGTATCAAATACAGATGGGTGTAGACAGGGCGTCGGAGTTTAGCCAAGCATGTCTTGCTGCGGCACAGCACATTGACATCCAGCCTTGAGAGGTGATAACCCAACAAATTGATAAATAATCTCAAGCAGACTTTACCATTAAACCTATGCCTCAGTCAACTATTGATAAACTGATATTGGCCGGCCTTCTGGGACAAGATCGTCAAGCTCGGGGACATGGCCAAAGACTTTTGCTAGTGGATGATGGAGGGCTATGGCCGGCAAAAATCGGCCGTCTTCTAGGCGCTTAAGCAATGCACCGCCGTACGTCGGCCCTATCTGTCACCGTACTTTCAGTCGCACTGAGTCGGTGTTAGAGGAGCCCGCCATTTGGACAGTTTGTGAGCAAAGAGTGTTCACCACAGGGGCGGGATTCGAAGCACCTAGACCGGGCAGCCGAGTGTGCCCGGTAACAGGCTTTGATCTCCGTGCCATTACTGTTACAGAGTTGCTTCTGGGCGCTCCTTACTGGAGGGCGTTCCGTCCATTTGGGTAGAAGCCAGCTTGACCAGCAAGTCGGCGTCCTTGATAGACTTGACTACGTCGCTAAGGTCGATTTCCAGATTGACTTTGCGCATGTGTATTGCCCTGGGAACGAATAGCATGATCCTTCAGGGAATTCCCGTCCGCGATATTGCACAAGCTGATTCAGCCTTCTCAAAAGGTAATTTATATGCAGCAGTATAAGATGAGCAACAAAGTAGCGATGATCAAGCCTACCTACCAATGCTCAAGTACCTACAGCAAGCAAGCGAACACCAAGATCTGGATGAGAAGTCGGCGAGTTCGCCCATAGCTTTGGCTGATCGATTCACTGCGTCGCCAAAGATTTCATGATAATGATCGTTAGCCACAAGTAGGTAAGGTTAGCTGTGACAAACTCCATTTGAAGCAACCCGTAAACCTTCTACGGCCAGCTTCCAAGGGGTAAAGAGACGCATCGTATGGGCTCGTGGTATTCTTTTTCCGTGGAGAGAAAGCTGTCCAAACCTCCGAGCGGGTGATTCCATTACCGCTTGTTACAAGGTAACAAATCACAGGTCTTTTCGAGTGGGCTGCAAGCGCAATTTTATCAAACAACTGGGTTGAAAGGACGGCGACAGGGCTTTGAACTTGTTTTGCGGTAATCCAATATAGACGGGAGGAACCTGTGCTTCCGTAGCAGCGATACTGTCATCGCTGAAGTCTAGGCGGTGTGTCCCTGAGTCAAATCCTTTACACATCTATTGGGTAACCATGCCGAATACGGGGCAACAAATCAATGGCTGATGACTACTAGTTTTGTCATTCCCGGCGGCCACAGTCCATGATAAGCCTCAGCAGACCCAGTTTCAGGAACCACAACATTGCAAGGGCGTCACAAGATTTGGAAGTCTGGCCTGCCTGTTCCTCGCAAGCGGAGATGTAGCACTGGCAGCAGCTCAGCTCGAGAATCGTAAAATTTTTCAGGTCTGAGTTGGCAATTGCTTGCGATCAGTGCACACACAGACCGCAACATGGCAAAGCTGAACAAGCAAGGCGAACGCATGTTTTGCCCCTTCATCCGACATTGCGACGACCCATGGATCAGCCCCTGGATCTTGCTTTTGGCGTTAAGTCAACCTTGACTGTGTGACTGTGTCCGATCATTCCTTTTCAGGATCAGACGTATCCCGGTTTGCTTAACTCTACTCATGATGAAAGTAGACCAGCTGTTTCACAAACGAAATGCTTTATACTTTCTGCGCTATTTCTTGCATTCTATGGTCTCATAAAATTGTCCAAAATTTAATGACTGCATCAAGCAACAGCCTGATAGAGCCAAAATGGGAGGCTAAGGTAAATGCCTGACAGTATTGATGGCGAAGAATTTGAAAATCTGCAACTTCGCTGTCGAAGCATGCTTCACCCTGTTCCCAGTTCAAAATTTCCAAGTTTACTCACATGATCTCGATTCAGATACAGCCATCCCCTGTGAATCACTATGTTCACCTACACGCGGCAACAGAGACTGATTGTGGGTTGCTAACTCGTTTGCAGTCCGGCTAAATCCACGCCAAAGCCACTTGCATCATCACCGCCTCTATCTCCATCCTTTTCTCACCCTTAATATGCAATTTTAGACAGCATGAGTTATAATCGCCGACGATTTCGCCGTTGTTTCCAGGGGGTTTCTCTTAATACCCCTGCAGTCTGATTATACTACCATCAATCTACCTACCCAGAAGCGCGAGATGAACACCGAGACATTTTTACCATATACGTATGGCGCACAACGCATTACAACCCCGTCATAGATGCTACGCTAACTTGTAAGCGCCTTGGTACTCTGAGTATCCCGAACAGAATAGTCGAGGCCCGGGATTGGCAGCCTCTGGCGACTGATGAAACTGCTATCATGTTGTGGACGCTAGTTTCGGGTGGATTTCGCTGGCAAATACTGTAAACTATGCTGTGCGCCAGTCGAATCCGGAATCAGTCCGATTGCGGTCTAGCTTTCTCAATATGCGATGCATGCCAGCCTTCCTTTACTCCACGCCGAACTGGCGAATTACCCCTGAACCGGAACTGGCCCGGAGCTAGATCTGAGTAATGCAGGGTGGGAACGCCGCTCATAGACATTGACGAAGATATCGTTATGATCATGGAGCATTCGATTGACCGCTTGTCTGCCCGCGCTGGCCCCATTCGAACTCTCCTTCAGCCCACCTCTTGATTCCAACAGACGCTGACAGAGTAGCGGGCGGATCGTTAAAGTTAGGAGTTAGTTATGGCATGTGGGCGCCAGAGACGTGCACTCAACGGCCAGACACGCTATGGGAGCCTTTGGCCTTTGGCTCCTCCACAAGGTGTATTCCAACCCCGTACAGCGGCCCATGTTGAACCAGAATCGACGAAACCCCTAGGATTGTTTAAGGCCGCCATAACCCGTCATTATCAAGATGTTGCCTTTGAAGCTATGGGGCTTTAGTGTCAAGCTCGTTTAGAAGGGAGTCAAAGCTTTTTTTCTCCCCAGTCTAGAACATTGAAAGAATGGTCTTTACTCTTCCAAAAACCACAATGGTGCGACATTGACTGAAAGCCTGTCACAAATAGCTGGGTCATGCTGGTTTCCTAGTTTGCTTCGCTCGGATTACCTTGATACAGAATAGTTCCAATATTGTAACCCGTTGCATTTTGTCCTTAAACGAAAGAAAATGACATTTTCTTCTGCCCTGGGCTATCAACCTGTTTCAATTCACACATGGTGTTTACTGAACTGAAAATACAGGAGGATTCCGGATGGCACGAATGCTGCTCACAAAGCATTGAAAACGCCACCCTTTCACCATGAACTCTATCTCCATGTATGAATACAGCAAGGTGAAAAGCAGAAACAGCTTGATTTCCTAAATTTAGAAATGATGGAATTTTTTCTAGAAATATTGAGATGAACTATCGGGGGCTTTGCCTTTGGTGGTCGAGCAAGCTACTTCAGATGAATCAACCCCTCTACGTAGTAGGCAGTGGATCAGTAATTCGTCAAAAGTTCCCTAGAATATGCCTTATCAATTCTCCACATGCTTTACCACACGGTCAGGTACTAAAGCATCTTTTTAGTGCAAAGAAACAGGCCTATTGATTCAAAGGTCCCAGCCCCCAGTCTCCGTGTGGAATCGCGCCACATTCAAAGCTGCAGAGGTTTGTAACCTTTATTTCTTATTTTTTTTCTTTTTCTCTCAACCAGGGCCCGGGGTCACAAGCTAGCTCCGCCTAAGGATAAGCGTAATTGGTTACTCGTTTTGATGTGAAAGTTATTGATGCGTTAGAGGCCACCAGTTCATTCATGTGCTGCTCCAGTTTTCCGATTTCCCGACCCCTGGGAAATGACTTGGCAGGTCATCAATAACTGGCAGTTGCTAAGTGGTTCATCCATGATCCCTGTCTTGCAAGTCTTGCAAGGGGCTTGCAACTCCCCGACGCTCGACGAAAATCTCCGTCCAAGTATAACTCCGGTGCGGATCCCAACCCCGATTTTGGTAGCGGAGATTTGTGTCCTTCTCATTAGGGATCGCAAGACATTTACCAGCAGATCGGGCTTCAAGTAGACATTCGTTTTGATCCTTGATCCCACATCGCACCAGGATAGTCTCTTGTGCTGATTTGTGGGAGCTTGTTATAAGATCAATTATTTGGAGCTGGAACGGGAAAAAACGTGGAGAGCCCTGGCATCCGTAGTCGATGCATGGGCTCATATCAGTACGCCGAGGTTCTAATAGTCGGAATTTGTCGAGCTCATCCGAGGCGTTCGCCTCTCGGAAGCATCCGTCACTTTTGCCTATTTTTACGTAAAGTTACTTGCGTCTGCTTAACTGAAAATTATTAGACGGCATGGCATGTAGTCATACCCAGTAAAGTTGGCATCGATGGAACTCAGCGATGGCAGAGATTGCCGGATAGTTTCCTTTATGTCGAAACCTTGAAAGCTCGGCTTAAATTCTATGTGTTCTCTCTTCATAAGTTTGAGAGAGATAGCGAGGAAAAGGGGGAGAAAAAGGTCCGAAATCACCTTGAGCTTTTTCATTCGCTAACAATTATAAGTGAGTAAATCTTATGGCAGTAGAGTAACTTCATGATGTCCTTTCTATGTGGTGAGATAGCATGATGTTAGGTTTGTGGGTTTGCAAGAAAGAACAAGGTAATGGAAATGCGCTAAAGCTATAGGAGCGTGTATTAGCACGACGATCGCTAGCGTTTACGTCTTGTCATTTATGGCTACAGAAAGATCGAAAAGAAACACAGTGTCGCACCTTTACGTTTCAGAAGAGTGAGGCCTGTGGCGCCTGGTCCGCTCTTGTCAAAAGGCTTTTCCCGAACTGTGCGAAAAGCTCGCATGTCGGCAACGTCCCCGAATACGCTTCGTCTACTCGGCTTATAGCCCCTAACCATGTTGTCGGTTCGGCCGCGACGCCACAGTACTACAGCCTACTGCTCCACAAGGGCTACGGAGTAATTAAGGGATCAATGCAAGTGCTAAAGAAGTATGGTCGCCAAGAACATAACGTTTAGCACATCTATGATACCGGTGCTAGGGCTTCATTGGTTTGCTAATAAGAATAAACGATAATCTCCATTGAGCTTTGTCTTGGGCGCGAACAGCGAATTGCTCGGCTACGGAAATGGCTTGCCGTGGATATTGTAGGCTAAGGTACTCTGATGAAGAGCTTATTTTGGGTCAAATGTGATTGAGATAGACTTCGAATGAAGTATCCAAATGCCTCAGAGCCATCACAGTGTGGTTTCTCATCAATAAGAGAGTTCACTGATGTTGGTATCAAAAGCTCCTGTTTCACCACTTACCTTATATCAAAATAGGTTTTCCTGCCGTAAACGAAGTGGTCATTGCTGTGGGCTCAGCCGTGACTGTTTTGCAAATGGTTCTATCATCAGTGACGATGTGGTTATTCATATTGAACAACGACTTCATGCTCAATAATTGGTGGGACGGCTTCATCGACGTTTTACTGTTAAGCAAGGGGGTACGAAGCCGTCGGACTACTGTGGATGATTAACCTGTTTGTCATCCCACCTACATCCACAGGCATACCATGCTAACGAATATAGACGCCAGGGGCGTAAGGTACGCCACAGTCTGGAACATCCCGATGAGGCTATAAGGAGATTGACTAAGATCGGCTGGCCAATGCCCTAAAGAGAAGATCCACAAGCGTCTTATGACCAGTGTAAGAGTAAGACGTTCTATCCGAGGTACACTGTAAATCTAAATGTCATCTACTAACAAATCAGTACTAGGACCAATATCATCACTACTGCCTTCTTTTGTTTTCATTTCATTTTATACAGACTCCTGTGAAAAGAGAGAATGCAACTTATTGACTACTAGGGACCTTTGCGTCCTTTCCTAAATGAGCACACCCTGCTCTACACAATCAGAGCCTAGAACACATCCTTCCAAGGGCGGCTACAGCTACATGCTGACGCCCCTGTCCTGCTCCACAAACAGCGGCTACGAAAAGGGTAATGAAGGTGCGAGAGGGGCTTCTACTCCATGTCCACTGCTTGCCGCTTGGCGTCTTAGATCCTGCAAACAATTTATGTCGAACATAGCAAGACGAAAGAAGGAAACATGTCGATGAAAGTGACTCCACTGGGAATTCTGGAGAAAGCTGTGGTATCTAGATGAAGGATAGGGGCATCTTGAAGCTGTCATTCAAGCCCTGGATAGGAGGTGTCGATGGCTGCTATCGGCGTATTTAAGGAACATCAAAGCCAGCATCTTCAAGGTAGCTAGAGAACAATTCACTTCGGCATCAGTTTCCTGACACTCTTTACTTCTCCTTCCATTCCTTTGAATTGTATCATTCACTCGTTCGACTTGAAGTCGTTTCATTCTTTCACTTTACCTTCAACCAACAAAATGAAGACCACCGTCGTTCTTTCCGCCGTCCTCGGCCTGCTGTCCTCGGCCTCTGCCCATTACACCTTCGACAAGCTCCTTGTCAACGGCGCTCAGAAGGGCGGTGACAACACCTACATTCGCAAGCACCAGAATGGTTACATGCCCACCAAGTTCAAGAACATCCCCTCTGGCTCCATCTCTCCCAACGACGCCGACTTTACCTGCAACAAGCAGGCCACGGGCGCCCCTATGGTCATGACCGTCAAGGCTGGAGACAAGATCGGTCTTAAGCAGGCTTTCGGCGGCACTGGCATGCTTCACCCCGGACCCTCCCAGGTCTATATGAGCCCTGTGAGCAACGCCAAGACTGACAAGGGCAGCAACTGGTACAAGGTCCACCAGTCTCTTCTCTGCAAATCTGGAAACCCCGAGCTCCTTCGCTCCGGCGCTTGGTGCAGCTATGGCGAGGACAACGTTTGGTTCACCGTTCCCTCCACCATCCCCAACGGCCAGTACCTCGTTCGCGGCGAGCACATTGGCCTCCACGGTGCCCACGACGGCCAGGCTGAGTTTTACTATGCCTGCGCCCAGGTTGAGGTCACTGGCAACAGCGCCACCAGCATGCCTGGCACCGCTACCAAGATTCCTGGCGTCTACAAGCAGTCTGATGCCCCCGTCAACTTCAGCCTTTGGGGCAGCGCGACTTCTTACCCCAAGGCTCCCGGCCCCGATGTCATTCCCGGTGGAACCATCCGCGGCAGCGCCAACGGATCTGGCGGCGACAAGACTGCGACCGTTGGCGGTGGTAGCTCATCTTCCAAGGCCACTTCTGGCAACGGAGGCGCCTCTTCGGCTCCTGCCTGCAACAAGAACTAAATAGTCGGCATTTTCGGCCGGCTTGGCTACGAGTGGATGTTGGCTTACTCTTTTCAGAAAGGCAACCCACCACTCTGACACTAGGTTATTTAACACTTCCGAGCCATTTCTAAGGTGCTTCTCTGGCTACTGACGACAATGGTATGCAACCTGGAAGTTGGTGTTGACAAGGTATACTTCAAATGTACATAGTTCGCTGCTGGAAACAGCGGATGCAAATAAGATTCGAATTGATTTCGTACTTCACACACAAATTGTTTCCCGTGACGAAGATGATTTTAGATTTTGTATCAAAATCTAGTGCGCATATGATGTTGAAAGATGATGTAAGAGTGTTGGGAGAATAGTCAAATCCCCAACGTAATTATTCGCAAACTGGGTGCCGCATTCGAGTCGAGAACGAAAACGAGAACGAAAGCTAACTTCTGCTCCACTATGCAGGTTCTTGAATTTAATACCCACGGCCTAAAAACATTCACCAACGCCATTCTACCTTCGCAGCAAATCTCCTGGCCAAGCATGAAACTCTGATCGACATTGCAGACCAGGCGAGGTCCTTTCTTTGATGGAGTGAGACTGAGTAATCCGCCACATGAGTCGAGGCTCCATTCGAACTCAGGTACAACTCAAAGCACGTATCGGAACATGGGCTTGGCTTCCGTTAGTATTCTTACTGGGTAGAGCTGGTCGATGGTGCGACTCACATTTTCCTTGTCCGTCACGTCCTCAAAACCAAATACTTCTCCTTCTCGTTGCATTTCTGCAATCTCCTCTTCAGACTTGCCTTCAAGAAGCTTGTCTCGCTTCTTGTTTTCTCGAACATAAATAAACCGAAGAATCTGGTTCATAACTAGATTAAGGATGAAGCCGCAAAGCATGGCCACAATACCATTGTGGTATGCCGGTGCTTCGGTACTTTTGAAGAACTGCGGGCCTGCAATTTGCCCGACGCAATAGCAGACAAAAACCCATCCCGAGGCCACTGATCGCTTTGTGCTACCCGCAATGTTTGTCGACAGCAGACCGAGGATCACCATGAAGCCGACGGGGTAGGAGCCGAGCAGCCAGACACCGACAAGGCGACCCCATTTGTTGTCCAAGTGAAGCTGGTTGATTAGGCATGTGCCAACAATCTGGGGTACTGTCAGTCTTCATCCGTGCTGCGCGTGAGGCCTGTGTATCATACCGGTGGGATCATGGCGACTGTGCCAACATGCAACCTGGAACTGGTGATTTTGCTGCTTAAAAACCCAGCGCCAAGTTGTGCGATAGCCTGGACCGTAGAGAGCGGGAGGTTCATAAGCGTCGTCTGCAGGGGGTTAAATCCGAGTCCCTGGATAATCAACGATCCAAAAGCGAGACCCCCCGAAGCAATGGCATTGACAAACGAGATGAGCCCTAGCAAAATGACGGCAGGGTCCTTTGCTGCCTCAACAACCTGAGCCATGACAAAGTTCCTGCTTCGGCCTGTGCCGGTCTTGTTCTCTGCGACGCGTTGCACTGCAACAATCTTTTCGTGCTCTGTCAACCACTTCACCTTGGCAGGGCCGTCAGGCACAAAGATGGTGAACACGACACCCCAGACAACTGTCATGGCACCCAAGATGAGGAAGATGTACTTCCATGGCGATAATGAGCCGGTGATGTGCCCGATGCCAAAGGCCAGCAGCGTGCCGATGAAACTTCCAACGCCGAGAAACGATATCCACAGTGCGGAACGGCCAGCCTGCTCCTGACGCGACCACCACATTCCCGTTACCGCAACGAAGCCGGGTGAGATGGTTGCCTCGGTCATACCAAGGAGGAATCTCACGCTGGCCAAGCCGGCGAAAGAGCTACATGCTGCGGTGGTCATCAGAATCATCCCCCAGAGAATGATGTTTACGCCCAGGAACTTGGCGACTGGGAAGCGCTGCAGCACCGCAACGCCGGGATATTCCGCAACCAGATATCCGAAATAGAAGATGCTGCTCGCCCAACTATACTGCTGGCCGACAAGCTTGTTATCGGGGATGATGCCGTAGACCGAACTGTAACCCAACGAGGTTTTGTCGATGAACTGCAGAGCATAGGTGATGCACAAGAATGGCAGAATTCTGGAAGCGTGTAAGCAGCCGAACAGTTCCTGGCTTGACTACCAAACTACCTGTAGTCTATTTTTCGAAGCACTGCTTTGGATTCGGCCTCTGAAAGTGGAGCGGAATTGAGAGCGGAGGCGGCGAGGTCACCAGTCTCATCAGTGATGTGGTGCTTAGAGATCGGGTCATCCTCAGCCGGGGAGGGGCCGATGGTCGGGTCGGCAGAGGCGGCGGCCCGCTTCTCGGGGTCGGAGACCGGTTTTTCGGTGGCTGTCATTTCGGATTGAGCAGTTTATTTGTCAGCTCCAGTTTTCTTTCAATAAGGCTTTTCTGACATTTAAATAAGACGCAATCAAGCATTCTTCCTTGAGTCACATTTTGAGAGATTTCTTCTGCTTTATGAACGTCGAAAGGTAGTAAGTGCAAGGATTGTGGGGAACTGATATCGGGGGACATCCGACCATCGGCAATTGTTTTTCATCCAATGGTCTTATCTCAGGTCATTTCCTTCTCCGAACAACCCCACCAGAAATTGTCAGCGGCAAATGAAGTTGGTAGGATTAGATATGAGAGATTGTGTTTGTCACTCATCCTTCAAGTAGTAACTTGGCACTTGACCAGACTGGCATAGGCTGGCTGTAGTGGCACGAGACATACTTCAAGTTCTGGCGGTTACGGCCCTTACTGATCCGAGATGCAGACCGCCTTCTAGATACCATACTCGACATTTCAACTTGGTGGAGATATCTCTCCATAGCTCAAACCTCCTTATGAGGCCGAAGTTTAGGTTATCCTGCCCTCGGAAAACTCAACATGGTCTCCAGCGTAACCGGAGCGCTGGGACGTAACTGCGGGGATGTCGAGGCAAGGAATGGAATCCACTATCGGGTAGGTATCTTGTGTGGGGTACGGAGCACGCCCATTTCTATCTGAGCGATCGCCGCCTTAAGCTTGGAATGGGACTACAGTTTGCATAATTTCTGCATAGATCTAGTCGAGCTCCTTCCATTCCTTGTTGACCGATGGTGATCAAGTTTGGTCCTTGGTCAGTAAAGACAATTCACTCTGAGGCCAGTTTGCGACCAGCTTCTTGAAAACCAGTACAGTGCTGTGCTGTGGGTGGCACCAGTTACACTCGGCCAGCCAAGTTTTTTGACGAACCCAATTATCTCATTTGCCTTTATAACGTGGTTAAAGGTCATAGCCTAACAACTGTTGGAAGAACTGGTCTCAATGGGAGATGGCCGACCATGAAAGCAGATGGCATATGCTTGTGTACCTATACAAAGTTGAGAAAGACGGAAGCCGGGATTTGGGAACCTGTAGCCCATGACACACCACCCACATGTGACAGATTCCAAGTTCAAGCAGTCAATTGCTAATTATACAAAGTCTCCTTGTTTCATAAAACGACCATTACAAAAATACAGAGAGACACTAGAACAACCAACTACCTATAATTCAGTGCCACCTTGCAACATTAGCATATTCATAAGCTTGTTCGGAGAAACTGCCCCATGGTTCAGGCTTTTTGAGTGGCACGTCCGATACCTTAGAGCCCCTAAACTCGACATTCTTTCCAATGTAGGGGAACTCATAAGCCAGACCGGCAAACTGCTTACCCTCCGCATCGAGAAAATCGAGGTGGCCTGACGAGGTTTCGTACAGGATTTCGCCTTCTCCCGTTTCGCGTCCTCGGAGCCTGTAATACACCCGGCGAGAAAGTGAAGGTGTCATTCTCTTTGATCTTTTCGCGAGTCTTTGGCCACTTAAGCTACCTGCGGCTCGTTTCTTCAACGCTGCTGTTTCTTTCAAAGTCTTTTGCCCTGGTCGATGTTCCTCGTCATCCGAAGAATAGTCGGGGTATTCGTCAGAGTCTTCTTCCCGATCTTCTGGGGCTGAATCGAGTTCCACCACGGAGTCTAATTTCTCTTCCGATAGACTTAGAATCATTGTACCCTCAATCATCCCAAAATCATACGCAGCAATGAGCAGGCCATCTTTGCCGACGGTTATGTTCAGGGTAAGCGGCTGTTTGGGTGAAACATCAAAACCATGCATCACTGCATTGCATTTCATCACGTAGGACCCCTTGCATTGCCCGATGTCGAACGGGGGTGCCGGTTTGTTCTTGAGAGCAGCGCCTTTTTTGTTTGCGGGTAAGCCACGCTGCTGTGCTTTTGGTGCTAGCATCCCTGAAGTATCCCAGGCCTCAACCTCTCTTTCCCATGCCTGCCGCAGACGTTTATAGTCTCGACGCATGGTGCTATGTAGGCAAACGATTGGTCTCGGCATTCGATTACACTAATGAAATATTCGGTAAGTATTGGTTTGGGAATATCCCATGGTTCCGAGAATCAGATTTGGAAGAATAACTGGGATACCTACTTTACCCTTCTTTGCAGCGTCACTCAGTAAAGTCTGGAGCATAGACTCTACGTCTGACTCCAAGAACTTGATACCGTAAAATCTTAACTGGGCGGCGTAGAATCCTTTCGGTTGGTTGCGCAACCATATAATCTCCTCATTAAAAGCATCTCGATCTTCTTTGGACGTGTATTTCCCGGGATCGGGATTCAGCAAATGGTTTAACTTGGAGCCTTCGACGCGATTGATGCCCTCCACCGTGATCTGGCCACCGCACAGCTGGAAGCCACCGCGATGTAGAACTGGTGGTTCAGGTCGGTCCCCCATCTCGACGGTCTTCGTGGCTTTAAGGCGAGGTGACTATTAAGTGATTAAATGCGGTGAGTGATGCTAAAGTGGCCAGCCACGAGCATTGTAGGAGGCAAGAAAGGGAGGGCGCTCTCCCTGCGGACTGCATACGCGTCTTTGACGCGTTTAAGGTTCATGAGGGAGGAGCATAATTGCCCCGCATCGCCATGTTTTGCATACTCACGCATAAGTACTCACACTATCACCTGAGATCGATCAACTACCTACATCGTACCCGTGGTCGGATGTAACTCTAGTTACACCGCTACCCACTCACCTTGCTGACAACACAGATTCTATCTATCGTAGTGACCTTGTAGTACCAATCGAGCCAGCACACCCTGGCAGATTCCCTTGTATTAATAGTCCATGTAGGATTTGAAGCCCAGCCTACACCAATTGGCGCCTTAAACAACTCCACATACAGAATTTTAAGAAGGAAATGAGCATTCACAAAGTAAAGTGATTCGGAGCTGACTCCAAAAGTCAACAGGTAAACCCAAAGGAGATAGAAGCTAATATAGTTCCACAGTGTGCATATTGGTATCATGAAATAGAGCTAGCTGGACTAGATGTTCGAGCACTTACATGCCTCACTAACAAACCCACAATACAGACATGGTAAATGCCCACTTTCATCCCCTTCTTTTTTGACCATCGCTTCGGTAAACTCGGTATTAAACTTTCCCAATCTGTCCAACAGCTGCTGGAACCCTGACCTTTCGCTTAACTCGGGTGAATGCTTTGCCGCGACTCTAACCAAGACCCTCTTCGCCAGATCATCAACGTTCGACTTCGGCGCATACGCCTGGAATATCGCCTTCGTAAACCCTTCCGTATCCCAAAACTCATCCGCCGAAGCTTTCAACTTTTGCGCAGCGTACCGCTTCAGCGACGGCAACTCATACTTGTCCGCGGCAGCGAGCATCTGTAAGTTGAAAACAACAGCATCAGATGGCGGTGACGTGCCATCTGCAAGCCATACATCTCTGTAGTCGGCATGGTACATGAAACACAGGATCCCCTCGACAACTCGGGGGCTCTCATCGTGCATGTTGAGTATCTGCTGGCTCCCCGGCACGAGTCTCCTTACTCCGTCCCCGTTTCCGAGAACCGCCGGCTCGCCTGTTACTGCTGCAGAAAGGACATCAGTATCTGGGAATGCCTTGGCGAAGAAGGCGGACTGGCTGGCGAGGACGATCCGATGGGCGTAAAAGTTTCTCGAACGACATTGGATCGTGACGTCGGAGTATTCTGGGCTATCAAAATACCTACGCAAGATTAACCTCCACTTGGCCGACCACCCATCAACTTCCAGCACGCGACCCGGTATTTATAAACGGTATACATACCTCTCGAGACCCTTTACGAGATTCACAGAGTACGGTTTGGTTTCCACCTTGGCCAGATGTCGCAGTACTGACCCCAAGATCTGCATTTTCTTTCATCTGTCCCCAACAAGACTCTTGAAAGCATCAATTAATCAAAGTCAAAAAGCAAACCATGGCCTTCAAAATGAACAAAGAAGAAGATAATTCCAACCTCAAGGCTATGGACAATTTTTTTTTTATAACCCTGCGCCAAGCTCGCACATCGAACCCCGGTCCGAGCTCTGAGTGAGCGTTGATGAGACTACTTCTAACTTCCCCTTTAGGAAAACCATTGTCCCTCCAATGCCATCATTCCATATGAGGATCGATGCAGGAGCTCTAAACCACAACGGTAGCAATCGTAAAAAAACCTCCCATAGGCAAATGCACTGCATTCTTTTCCTTCCAGATGGATCCTCCGGCCGCAGTACCCTTCGCCAGGTGGATGCGAGATCAAAGCCTCACCGTAACAACATGCAGGCAGTCCGAGATACTAATACCCGTCGCTGTGGGCCGTCATGGCTGATTGGTTTATTCCTTTATTAATATCTTACGATCCGATACCTTTACGTCAGTTTGGTCATCGGTCTGTGTAACCTGCTTACTTTTCTTTTTAAAAAAAAAAAAGTCCGAGACAAGACACCATTGCGAACCTTTTTCACCGCTCGATTATCTTTATCATCGTGATCATCGTCATCGTAAAAAAAAAGCCTGGGCGTGCATACCATTACAAACAGATCCGTCTGCGTTCATTACCTTACCACATGTAGACATAGCGCCGCATTGATTTACAACAGCGATTGCGCTAACCCAAGTGGGCAGTAGAGACCACATGGCACTCCGCAAGCTGCTGGCCCCCCCGGGGGAGAGATAACCGGCCGGTGGTCGGAGCTCCTCCGCTCGGGGGGCAACGGTTACACTGCCCCATCAAGCAGGGCCAACCTCTCTTATCCATGTCGCATCATCCTTCACTACCTACCCTAGGTAACCTCACCTCTCGCCCATACCGCTCAAAGTCATCCTCAACGCTCACGCTCACCAAAAATGGCCCCATTGGATTCTCATCGGAATCGCAAGCATCTCACAATGGACTTCGACGACTTTGACGACGATGACGACTTCATCCTCATCTCACACTCGGACTGCCACCCCACGACGTACTCATCCTATCTCGATGAGATCAACTCAATCGTATCAGACTTTGCAGAAGCGCTGTGGCCCGTCAACAAAAAGATACACGACAATCCTGAGCTGGGGTACAAGGAGTTCATCGCGCACGATGCGCTGACCTCCTTCATGCGGGGCCGAGAGGGCTGGAAGGTGACGCCGTCCGCGTACGGGATGAAGACGGCCTGGGTCGCGCTGTGGGATAGCGGGAAGAAGGGGCCCACGGTCTCGTTCAATGCCGAAATGGGTGAGTGTGTTCCGCATCTCTCACGTCTCGTTCACGGCCGTTCATAGTTGTTCTTGAATTCGGGGCGAAGGAATAAGCTGACGTGAAGAACCCCCAAAAAGACTGCCTCCCCGGCATCGGCCACGCCTGCGGGCACAACCTCATCGCCTCGGCCTCCGTCGCCGGCGCGCTCGCATCCGCCGCGATGCTCAAACGCCACTCTCTCCCGGGTAAAATCGTCCTCTTCGGCACCCCGGCCGAAGAAGGCGGCGGCGGCAAAATCCGCCTCCTCAAAGCCGGAGCGTACTCGGCGCACGGCGTGGACCTCAATCTAATCTCCCACCCGGGCATCGTCGCCGACACGGCGCTCATGAGGACGTCGGCGTACACGGCGTTCAAGGTGGAATTCTTCGGCCGCGAAGCGCACGCCGCGGCGAACCCGTGGCTGGGCATCAACGCCCTCGACGCGCTCATCACCTCGTACAACGCCATCTCCGTGCTGAGACAGCAGACGATGCCGGGCGACGTGATCCAGGGGAACATCACGAACGGCGGCGCGCGCCCGAACATCATCCACGCGTACGCGGCAGGCCAGTTCGTCGTGCGGTCCGACACGCGGCCGCGGCTCAGGGAGCTCGTGGCCAAGGTCGAAGCGTGCTTCAGAGCGGGAGCCGAGGCCACCGGCGCCAAGCTCAAGATCACGCAGGGCGGGAGCTACATGGACCACGTGCCGAACCGCGTGCTGGGACGGAGCTACACGGAGCACTGGAACGCGCTGGCCAGGTCGCCCGGGGACGGGACGATCCCCGTGGATGCGGACGTCGACGAGATCCGCGGGCGGACGATGGCGAGTACGGACCAGGGCGACATCAGCTATGCCATGCCGAGCCTGAGCGCCGGGTTCAGGATTCCGCCGGGCAAGGGCGGGCAGGGCCCGCACAACCCCGAGTTCGCGGAGGCGGCGGGGACGAGGGAGGCATTCGAGATTAGTTTGAAGGTGGGCAAGGCGCTGGCTGCTGTTGCGGTTGATATTTACACACAGAAGGGGATGTTGGAGGAGGTGAAGAAGGCATGGAAGAAGGATGTGGGCAAATAGGGGCGAGGGGGAGAGCGTGAAAGGAAATGTCGAGGGTGCATATAACGACATGTACGATTCTGTCCGAGTAAATGCCTAAAGAAAACAAAACCAGTATATTTTGATATTGAAATCGTTCTGTGGTGAAAGAAGATCCCGAAGACGCTCTCATCACGATCAACTCACCAACAAGGCTCGAATCTGTCTAAATGAAACTCCAGTCATATTGGCACAAGGTCCCGTGATATCCCTAGTCGCTAAAAAATACACACCCAACTCCGCTAGCCGTATTCACACATTTGCGTATCAAAACATCCCTCGAATCTTCCAGGCATGGCCTCCCGTTGCCATTGATGAGCCCCTTCAGTCGTGGTATTCTTTACAAAAACCCTCTACATCCTCTTGGGTCCCATCTCCTCAGCCGCATAATCATCCCACTCCTCCGTCCCGATCTTTCTCGAGATCCACACACCAATACCCGTGACGGCGCAGCTCATCAAGAACCACCCCTCAAACCACCAATCCACGAACCGCGGCTCGAGTGCGCCCTCGAGCGCGTCGCCGACGGCACTCCCCATCTCCCTAGGCAGGTTGCTACGAAGTAGCAGCGCCGCGCTGATGACGTAGACGGCCGCAATCTGCCCGATCAGCAGCGCAAGATTCGCCTGTGCCTGGTACAACAGGCCCGGCATCCACTTGGAAAAGATGTGAAACGTCTGCAGGACGCTATTGGCGCTGGCCGCGAGGATGACGCCAGACAAGAGGAAACTGATCTGCCTCGCCCAGGCAATCTGATCCAGTTTCGGGTCCCAGTGTCGCGCCAGCAGACCCAAAAACCGGTTGATGGGGTCAGAGGAGCTGAAGCTCGCGGCCGGGTAGTATGCCCTTCGCAGTGTTGCGAGCGTCGTGGCAAGAATGCGGTATAGACAGTACAGGCTGAAGATGTAATGCGGGACGGCCAGTATCTTGCCCAGTGGCGTCGCGGCGCGGGCATCGGCAGCCTGACGCGAGCGCATCATGCCTAGCGAAGAGTTGAGGTTCGCCTCCATTGTCTCGAGTCCCGCAATCTCCAACCTAAGCGCCTTCATCTCGGCCTCTTCACCACCCATGCCGCGCACGGCACCTAGCATCTTGCCCATGAAGCCGCCCGAGCTGGAAGCCGCGGCCTGCGACTCTGCAGCCTTGCGCTCCAGCGCCTGCAGACGGTGTCGCTTGGTCAACAGCATCTCGTTTGTTGCGTCCAAGCCGGCCTGTTTCCTCGACACATCCGTCTCCGTGACCGGTCTCTTTCTTCGTTCCGAAACAGTGCCGAGAGTATGCCAAGGGCTCGAAACCGCCGCGAACCCGCTCAGCATCGCCATCAGTGATATCCCGATGACCCCGATCCTCTCAAGGCAAGCACGTAGTATACCTCCGCCGGCAGTCGTCGTCTTGTCGAGGCCGACTGCGCTCCCTAGGCTCCAGAAAGCGAACAACCACCCTGCAAACGCAAGCATCTGCACGCTCCATGCGAACCTCGGTATCCTGCCCTTGCTGTTCCTCTGAAACTTCCACCCGAAGCCCGACACCAGGCTCTGTATCTCCAGGAAGGGTATAACACCGACGAGCAGGACGAGCAGCGTCGGCACCGTGAAGCGCAACGCCACCTCTCTCGCCCTGGGACTGACAGCATCCGAGATTTCGCTAAGTATCAACTCGCCCAGCACCGCAGCCAGGCCAACCGTCACGCAGAAAACCACCGCGGCGATCCTCCGTCTGGTGCTCTTTTGTCCGTGTTCGGCGTGCGCCTGTCGCAGGCTAGGCGGCGCGTGCGACGGGAGGAAATGGTCCTCGCCGTCATTCGCATCGTGCACCTTTGCAAGTTTTGGGAAAATCGTCCGGTTCGCAACAGTAGCAACAGCCACAAAAGTGATGATGAACGGCAGCAACGAGAGCAGAAGACTCAGAGTGGACGGCGCATTGGGATCTACAGCGGCGCAAGCGGTCTCGTCGCAGGAGGAGGAGCTGAACCAGGGCATCTGGGGCGGCTTGGCGGGTCGTGGCTCGTACGGGATCGAAAAGGCATATGGTGGCGGCGGTGGTAGTTGTTACAATTCTTTGGCGACAGATGCATCCTAGATCGCAACAGTATGGTGATGAAAGGAAAGTGCTCAACGCGGAATCAGCAGGGCTGGCTTCGACATCGTTTGGTATGTGGTTGACTTGAACGGACAACCGTTGCAACTACAGCTGCAAATCGTTATAGGTACCGTACCGGTACTCGTCACCCTGTGTCGGAAGTGACCCGCCTCAGCCACGCCAACCTGGCCTCAGCTCGAGCTCCAGCCACCCCACCAAGGGCACGAGCCACATCGTCCGCCCCCGCAATATGAGACGAAAAGGCCAATGGGTGGTGACGGGAGACTCACTCCCGTGTGTCAAGATGTAAATAGCATCTTGGTATGCACGTCACTTAGTGAGCAACATCACGAGAGGGGCATATATATGTGGGGAAGGGTTCGTAATCATTTCTGTCTTTTTAATTTGGGTATCAACCCGCGGGCACAATAAGTAGGGAGCGCGACTGTCGCTATATGCTTATACGAAACCGGGGTAAACATAGGTGCATGCATTCCCGTGCCCTTCGTAAAAGGCATGCTCCCATTTAAACGATACTCTGCCCACGCTGGCAACCAAAAACGCCGTCCCATAAGATAATGCATGTGTGCGTCTTTGAGGGCCTACCACTCATGCGACCGCAATCACCGCCGTTTCCCTGTCGCTGCTGGTAGCATTAACTAGCGCTACTGGTCCGCGACTCCTTCGACTCGTCATCCTCGTCATCGTCTGCATTGCCAGAAGAGTCGAGACTGTCCTTCCGGTTCTGCTGTAAGAGAGCAGCAGCTTCGCCAACCTCCATCTTATGGAGTTTCTCCTTTTGGTTCGAGTTGATGAGTTGGTCACCCGACATGACCTCAAACTCGTCCTCTTCCTCATCGTCGTCGTCCTCACTATCGCCAGCCGTGCTTGGTGGTGCTTTTCCGGATGCCGCAGACGTCGTCTGCGACAAGCTGTAGCCCCTCGGCTGCAGAAACGAGTTGGGGTCGATTGGCTTAATGGTAGGATCGAAAGCGGCCGGCAGCCCCAGCGCCTTGGCGACTTGGTGTGCCTCCTCGTCCGCCGTGTTCCGAATCTCCACCTCGTACATGCTGCTTCGCTCGCTGTCGGCTTCGTGCTTGCCTCCCGTAGCCGAAAGCATCCTGACGTATGTTTGCCGTTCCGAGTCGTTTTGTCTCTTATTCTTCTTCTTCTCCCGCTTCTCGGTCGGACGGACAACAACCACCGGCACCGGCGAGTACTGCAGGCAGTATTTGGAGAATGAGTTGCGGGTGTTGACCAGCCCTTGAAGACCTCCGAGTGATCTGCCACGAGTGCCGACGATGAGCATCGCAGGTTGGTACATTTGGATCTAGAATCGCAAGTGTTGTTAGCCACAACGTGCTCCACACGGTTTGCCAAGCATGATGCGTCATGAGCACTCACCAGCTTCTGGAAGGTCGAGTGCAGTTTGCCACAAGCGTATTCCAGTACAATACTGATGGCGCGGTTTGCGCCATTGCGCCTGAGAATCGAGTTCATGACATTTTGGGCATCGTCTTGGTATGCCTTGGGGTCGCTAGTGCGCAGCTCCTTCTCGATGACGCGCACACATACTATCTCGTCACCATCGTCGACAAGCTCGTCGAGCAGCCATTGCAATGCATAATCAGAATAGGCGTGCTCGTCAACGCCGACCATAAAAGTGCGCGATCTTCTCTGAGCCTGATATCCCTTATGCCTGACATTCAGTGTCAGTGAGGGCGTGTTGTTCTTAGTCGCCTCACCCAGCGGGAGGTTATCGAAAGCGACATGTGATTGGAACCTGTCCGGCGCGGGGTTTTGAGTTAGCGTTGCCATTAAGTAATGTACAGGATCAGCGCGTAAGGACGGTAAAGCCCGGAAAGAGGGTGGTCAGGATATTGACCAAAGAGGCAGAAGCAAAAAAACAAAAAGAGTTGAGGAGAGTCAAGGCAGACGAGGCGACTGGCCAAGGTAGCAAAAAAATTGTGGTTGATGTGTTTTCGTCAAGAGGCAGCCAACAAGTAGGGAAATGGCTGGATAGGTAAGGTAATGAGTGCCACAACAGTGACAGTGGCAGCAGTCCTTCAGCGGGACTCCTCCAGGTTGCAGTCCAGTTTGGGCTAGGGGTGGCTGTGGGATGAGCGACTTTGGTGCCATCTTGGTTCCCTTTGCAGAGGGTAAACGAAGAGGCACAGGCGCATGCGGCGGGGTAGTGGGGTAGGCGATGGCCTACTCCAACGAATTACAGCGCTTCCTCCGCTGACGGGGGTTCCTGTTGTGTCGTGTGATGGAGGAAAATTGCAACATTGGTGCTGCTGGCTGATGTGTCCAGGAAATTGGTCGAAACGAAGGAGACCATATCCCCTCTCTTTGTGAATTCCTTTTGCTCTTTGCTGCCACGGTACCGTCTCGTTTGTGCCTGGCAATGACAAAGACAGCCCCCAAACGATGCTTCATACCAAAAGAAAAGGGGTCTTTGTAAGTGACGCCGTCATTACTAAGGGCCGGGTGATTGACAGTCCGCCGGCGGTGGTGGCGGCCATGTCCCCCAACCCCACCATTCCGACCCAGCCCCAGAGACTGGTGTCAGCATCTGTGTCCCTGACCTTTGCAGCAATCAAATGGCGGGCTGAAGCATCCTCCCCCGCATCCGAACCCAATCCGGCTCCATGGACTGTTAGAAGTCTCCAAGTGGATACATGTCGGCGGCACCCGATATGCCCAATCGTGGTTCTTTAATCATCTGTCGTCTGATAGAATCTGGGCGACTTAGGCTGCGGGAATATCGCGGGAGAAGCTGGATATTACTGGGTGGCCAGCCACGTTTTCTAATGACTGGAAGAGCTCGACTGGGAGAGCGGCCACGAAAGACGTGAGGCATATTAAACAAGCAAGGTAGGTGATGCAGCATACGCGTATAAATCAGACTTGCACCCGAGCCACACTGCAGCTGGTGCATCCGAGTTTGCCGGCGACGTTTGTGTATGTATAAACATACAAATGGCCTGGCCTTGCCCCTGACTTGGAGGCTCAACATGGGCACTTTGCCAATGAGGATTTCAAGGCATATTTCCTCACAGACAAGCCAGCAACGAAAATGCGACACTTGACGAACCAAGAAAGATGATTGCGCTTACCTTTCATGCGGAGGTGATGATGCCCTGATACGCTCCTTATCCGTTCTCTTCTGAGAACCCTGCGGTAGCGAAGGATTACGAAGCGGTGCAAACGTCAGCGACGATATCGACGACCCCCTGTGCCGTTCTGCGTACGATTCGGTCCTCGATGATTCGGCTGAAAAGCTCCCTGCTGTGCTCTCAAGCGACGGACTTGCAAAGCTCGACAGCGTCGTAGCACGGCTTAACTGCTCTGTGTCTCCCGCCTTATTTTCCTCCTCTTTTCTTTGCCTCTCAATGGAGAAGTAGTCCGCTTTGGTCTTATCTGCTGGCTGCACCGGCGTCTTCGGCGAGATGTCGGAATCGGGGCTTTGAACCCGGAGTGTCGAGAGGGAACCAGGATCCGACATGGTGTGTCGGCGGGGAATCTGCGTTTGCTGTATACGAGGAGGTTTGGGTAGGGACACTTTCTGCGGCGGCGGCGACGGGCTGTCTTTTGTGTTCTTCTGATTCTTCTTCTTGGCGCTTCGCGGAAGCAAGAATACGTTACGCCAGTTTTCCGATGGCTTCATCGGATGGGCCTCACAAAAGCTATGGAAATCTAATCAGCATGAGGACTCGAGGCAACAAGTCGCGGCCAGTGATTATCGATGCCAAGGTTGCAGGTCTTCTAAGTCGTGGGGGAGAGTGCTGGAGGACGCAGGACAAGACTGCCTTGCGACGGTTGAAAGGATAAAAGGCAAATGCTCGAATGGTGTTTTGGGGGCGGAGAGATAGTTGATGGTGGACTGACTACACGATCTAAAGATGGAAAAGGGGCGTCTGTCGACTGAAGCTTGTGATCGAACGGAGAAGGTCAGAGCGGTTCCTCCTTGCGTAGGCTGGGTAAGGTACAACGGCCGGGACAGGTACGAGGGTATGGATTGGGTGGTAGGTTTGTGGTTGTTGGCACGGATGATGCTGATTCAGGTGAACTTTGACGTGGTGTTTGCCTGCTCACTCGCCATGTGCGAGAAACCTTGGACGTAGTATATGTTGATTGGAAAGGTAATCTCAAAAGGCAACAGCCGGTAGCGATGATTAAGCAAAACTGACGGGGGCAGGGTATCGTGGGCTCGCGCGCTCGTCGTCGAGGAGGTCTTTCTTTTATGGAAGCGGTTTGGTGGGTGCAGGAGGCGGTTATGCCAAGGCTGGCGGGGCCTCACAGGGCGCAGAAAGCCCCGAAGATGATAACTGTCGATAGGGGAGATGGGGTTTCTCAAGGGTCGGGGTGTGGAGTGGCAGTAGTAGCGCTACTCTAAAGACCGAGAGGGCTCAGGATAGGCCCATGAGGCTGTTCTGACTTTGTGGTATCAGGCCGGGTCGGGGGAGCAGCTGACGTCTGGGCAGCGCCGTTGACCGGGATGGGAGTTCCTCTGATGGTGTGAGCTGGTGGCGCGCCGGACAGAAAGCTGAGTCTGGCCCTTGCGAGACGGATCGAGGTACCGTTTACTCAGGAATGATGGCCAAGAGACCAAAAGGAGACCAAATTCGTGGCGGAAATACGGCGGAATGAGTCCAGTATCTTGGCTGCGGGGGAGAACAGACGTGGGACTCGTGGAATGGGGAGAGGATAAGACAATTAAGAAAAGAAGAAGCTCAAGAATGGGGTTGGAAAGTCTGGGCATGCATCGCCTATGGGCAAAAAGAAGAAAAAAAGCATATATAGCCGTCTTGGGTTGGAGACACGCAACAAGGTATGAGGCAAGGCGAGGCAGAGAGCTTTCACATGGGGAGGATGTCTCTCTATCTAAGTACGGAGTACGGATGCAGGGACATTTACTCTGGAGGAGGGCACACATCTTGAAATGTGACGCACAACATGCAAGCAGCACCAGCAACAACAGCAGCATCAGTAGCTCAGGCGCAAACATGGGTAAAAGATGCCCTCGTCTGGGCCTGGCTTGGGTCGGCATGGTGGAGGGCAGAGGGGCACAAGCAAACAGGGTGCTGAAAGGGGAAGGGGTGAGGGATGACGGCGGAAGAGTGGAGAGGAGGGGCTCGGGAAGCATGCACTGGGTATTGACGGGGGAGAAAAGGCAGGGGTGAGACGGAGGAGTACGTACTGCGCACACTAATTCAAGACCTTAATCCTGTGCTGTGTCGGTTGCCTCAAGTCTGGTGTCCACTAAGAAATGTATCCGTAGCTGGTGTGTGTGTGTGTGCATAACACGAATATCTATGTGGGAAGGAAATGACAAGAAGCTAGAGCAACTTCCTTTGAAAAAGTCGCCTTGAAGAAAGTATACATAGGCATATGGAGAGGGAAGGCACTTTGTGTACTCCGGACGTGTAATATCTCTACTGGAAGGAACGGCATGGGGAAAGAGAGGTACTTTCTCTTGGCTGCAAAGCGGGTGTGGCACCAAGTAACTTCATCTGCTAAAGGCAAGTAGGGTGCAGCTGAGAGGGAGCTAGGACCACTTACAGCCACTTGCGGTACCTCCTGCACCTGCCGCACCAAAATTGTGCTGGCGGACATTTGAGTTCCAACTCCCACTAAGAAGGAACGGCATGGCGGGCTGCCCACCAAACTACGGTTTTCTCTTCCTACCACAAGACTTGGGATCTGGGTGCATGTATGTTTTCTTTCTTCGTCTTCCTCTTCTTTTTCCTCCTATTTTCGCAATTTTCGGCATGCTTTTACTTTCTTTCTCTTAAGCCGTTATCAGAGCCATGACGCTAGTCTATCCTTGCTCCCCAAGTCAGCAGAATCTCACCAAACGACAACACCAAACGTACCAGAGACCCTGCAACCCTTTGACTACCTCGCCAGCTCCGCACACTCTTAGGAGCCCCAAAAATTACTGAAAATACCACGTAAAACTCGCCAAGACCAACCAAGTACCGAGCCCAATCATGCCCACCTGTCTCCAGAAGCTCTAATGCCTCTAAACGCCTCTAATTACACATCTGCTTCATCTTCAAGCTTCTCGGGGCCCATTCCCCAGCACCTGCAGTCACCCGATCCCTGTTCTCTCGAGGCTGGACTGCTGCACATTTTGCACACTAACACCCTATCTCGACAAACACGACTTGACTAAAATCCTGACTCGACTCGATTCCAACGGACGAACTTCGCCGGCGCCAGATGCGCTGTTGAGAGAGCCCGTGCTTGCTGTCACGCCTCGCCCTGGTCTGCAATGACATGACATGACATGACATGGCCGCGTTGGCATGCGGGTGTGTGCAGTCCCTCCGACAATACTTCCATCATCAGTGATCCTGACGTCTAAGAATACGAATCGAAGATCGCGTTAGGGGCCTCCAACTATTTTTTTTTTCTTTTCTTTCTTAGCAAACAGCATGCCGCAGGCCCCCTCAAAAGTACCCTCGTCAAATATGGATACACCTTAGGAGGGGACACATTACGCACAACTTACCGCCACCTCTCATCATTCAAACAGCAAGCCTTCTCACTAACATACCACATTCCCATACTTTCCGTCTGACAAACCTCCGAAACCCCAAAATCCCACCAACGTAGGCGGCGGCACGCGGCAGTATGATGTGCCAAGCTGATTTTCGCCGTCGGCGGGGCCCCTAAACCTCCAGAGAATCCTCTTCGCCAATGGTTTGTACAAGACACCAAGAACCATCGCTATACCAGCGCATTCTACATCGCATTAAACTGACGCACTCCCACGTCTGCCCAGACGGCCCTTCAGATGCTAAGAGTTGTAAGACTGTTCCCTTCGCAGCCCTTGCTCGACTCATCGTGAATCTCACCCCTCCATCTTAACTACTTGTCCACTCATTAACCACCAATATTTCTTGGCAAACCACTTAACCATCTTTCCCGTCTCCTAGGATGGAGGAAAAAGTTGCCGTCTACCTCATATCTTGCAGCAAGCTGGAGTCGGTGTGCGCGCCGCCCTAAACCGTTTCCTCTGGCTCGCAATTCGAACCTTGCTTCTTTTCATTTCCGTCTCGTTAATGAGCCGGCATGTTTTGCTGATGAGCCCCGTTACCAACCTCGCAAGCTTGCCCATCCAATCCACACTTTGTGCCCAATCTCCAGGCCTAAGCCAAGACAACCATATCTCTCAATGTTGTTGCTCCGCTATCCCTGGGGTCTCTTCCTTTTTTTGGTCTTTTTCATACCTTTTTTTTTTTTCTTCCAGGTGTGTGACCTGAAGTCAGGCAGGGCCTGAGGGACTAAAGTGGGCGCCGCGGCTCCCTCCCTCACCCTCTTGTTCGGCGCGCAAATCTCTTGGCTTGGACCCATCAACGTTGCAAGGAGCCGTCTTGGTTACTGGGGTTCAATTGAGGGGAACCCGCTAGACTACGCTGTCATTTGAAGACGAGACAACAACGAGTGCCCAAGAAAAGCAGCATGCAAAATCAGTAGAAGTGTGTTCCGAAGACACAAAGCCAAGCCGGCAGGCACAAGCGGTTTGGAGGCAGCCCATGCAAGAGGATGACCATGGTGCCCATCATTCAGCATTCCACGCCATTCGGCGACCATTTCCTGTTGCAATGATGCCATTCGCAGCCCACCGCTCCGCCCAGACATTCGTCCCGATTTTCCGGCCATATTCCTTGTCATCGATAGTGCTGTCACCCTTGCTGTACCACCTTTCACCGACAAGCTACCCTTCAAGACAATCTGCGCCGTGTGCGCCGTGCAGACTCACCGAAACAAACAGAGCAAGGTTCCAATCAGCGTCCAATCGAGTGACCAGCCAAATCTCTTATCTGAGCCACGAGGGTAATGGAGACCCATGGCTGCTTGACATCTATCAAATCTCACCTCGGTTGGCGTTTAAAACAAAAATGCCGTCTTTGATACTTGGCATCCAGATACATATTCAAATCAGCCCCCTACGGCTGTAATCGACAGCGACTGACAGAGCTCGCAGCCCCGAGCATGCTATAACGGTGTCATTGCTTAGTTACTTGTCAATTTTACGCCAGTTTCGGACTGAGCAGTTGGGATGGCCTAGCCATGGCACCCACATCATCGTGTCTTCGGATGGCAGCTACAGTGCCAGCAGATGTTGAATAATATCTAACAGAGTGGCCCCTGACGCATATTTTTTCACGTTTGCTTGTGGCATGCAGTCAGCCACTCGTCCAGCTCGGTCTCTCCCTCCCTCACCTGCTTCTTTCGTGCAGCTTTTGCCTATCTAACTTACAGCCGGGAGCCATCCAGAAGCAAAGCCTCCTGTCGGCCAAGTCCAGAGATTGTGCACATCTGCAACCTCATCTCAATTCTGTGATCGCTTGCGTAAGTCCAAACGTAATCTTGTGCGCTTGCCGGACTTGCATGCCGATGCACCTGCAATAGCCGAGCGACATGCTCATCTGCCATCAATCAGCTGTGCCAGCATCCCAGTCGACAGAGCTGCAGGTCGATCCAGGAAGACGACGTCAAGTGCGCCCGTGATCTGCGTCGTTGTTTCTCACAACACACTTCAACCAACTTTCTTGGCATATTCCAACGAACAAGAGGAACAGACACACGCACACATGCATGGCATGATATGACTCGTGGGAAGCCTAGCCAAGACACAGGAGCGCAGATTTAGGGCAGACTAGGGAAGAATAACGTGAGACACCGTCCAACATTAAACCGCTAGCCTCGCGCGAGTAGCACATGCTACCAGGAAATAGTGATCTGGGAATTACAATACTCCAATTTTCTTTCCTCTCCCACGCGGACCAACCCGTCCTTCCCGACGATTTCCCCGGCCTACCGATGGGCGTAAGGACGGACACAATGCCAGAAGGGGAAGCATCTCCCCCGCGGACTCCGCTTCGCCGTCACGGACATCGGGCATGCGGGATGCGTTCCATCATACAAATCACAAAAGGCGGCAAGCCGCGATGAGTGGCGCAATGGGGGAAGGGGGATCTGTCTATGAGCGGATAGATCTCACTCAGCCTCCGCCCCCCCAATACAAACAGATTCCTGAAACCTGGACAAGGATGACCCCTTACTACCGCCACAAGGACAAACCCTAGGTCTATCCTCCTCACTTCCCGCGCGCTCACTTCAGCTCGCTCAGCCGCCTCGGACGGATACTAGGTATGTACCAAACGCGGGGTCTGGACTGTCTTGTGGGAAAATGTCCCCGGCCATCTTCAGAAGCACATGTTGAAGCAGGAGAACTGCAACCTTACCTAGACATAGAGGGCTTGGCTTCTTTGAGTTGCACAAGAAATTGCGATTCAGGCAAATGGGGTTTTGGGGATTCAGAGTACACGGCGTAAGCTTGGCAATCTTTTATCTTCATATCCAGACATTCTCTTTAGCGACGGCTTTTGGGGGGGGGGACAATAAGATTCTTGACCAAACATTTTGACTTGACTTTCTCTATGGACCGTTACCCGGCTGCAAACTGGGGGTTGGTGGTGGTGGTTGTTGCAAAAAAAGCAACCCAGATCGGGACAAACCCCCTACCCAGCTGTGCGGCGCCAGGCTCCAAGATCCAAGTTCTTTATCTTGTTTCCTTTTTTTCCATAGGGGGACGCTTGGGGGGACGGTGACCGAAGGTTTCCATCCCCCACCCTTGTGCTGCTTCGCCTTCGCTTGCGGCACGTATCTCTCTCTCTGTCGCTCGCTCTTCTCCCTTCTTTCGGTTTCCTGAGGCCTCGAATGCTTCGGAAAATGGACATCGATCATACTCTTCTTCAATTCTAATTATTCCCTTTGGTTCACTTCATCCCGCCCCCAGCCAACCAGGTCCAGTGTTCCAGGAAGCAAAAGACGCCTGAACGCCGTAACAATGCGAGCATTCCCATCTCCGGGCCTTCCTCGTTTTTTCTTCCCATAAAAGTTCTCTTTTTGTCAACTCTCTCTCTCTCTCTCCCGTCATCTGCCTCGACCACAAGTGTCGTCAGTGACAGAGAGTTGGTTTCCCCCCCTCCAACGGCAGGTCTGGTAGATACAAACACCCTGCCTCCTCGAGCACTCCTTTTGCGAACCTCCCTTGCTTCTTTAGCCAGCTGCACATCACCTTGCCTCCTGGTGGTATAGGGCCATAGTTCTTTGCCAATCACACTCAAGCGTATGTGCGGGACAGGTTGCGGAGGTACCAGTCCACCAGCTTGCGTCCGACCTTGGCCTCGGAGATGTGGATCAGATCCTGCAGATTTAATTAGCCAATCGTCCAGTATAATCATGTCATATGTGAAGCTCTTGTAGCTATTCATCAAGGGAATACTTACACCCTGCATGGCGTAGTCCAGGTCGCTGACGTTGACCAGGTCGCCGTCCAACAGGCTGCCGTCGGTCCAGCGCAGCTGCTTGGTGCGCTGCTTGTTGACAAGAAGCCACGAGCGGAGCTCGTCAGGCTTGACCTCAAGGAAGCCAGCCAGCTTGTTAAGGTCCATGGTGGTGTAGAGGCGGAGGTAGGACTTGACGGTAGGGCTCCACATGTTGGTCTTGACCTCGTCCATGAAGATGGCGAGGTGGTGCTCGACAGGGTCGATGTTGGACTCGGGGTTCTCAAAGTCGGGGGGGACGGGAGAGATGAACTTGGGGCAGGCGGCGCGGAAGAGCTCCTCGAAGATGGGCAGGGACTCGGGGCCACCGCGCTGGAGCTTGAGGAGCTGGTCACCGTACTTCTCGCGCAGCGCGGAGTGGATGGTGTCGTCGAGACGGGTGGGGTGGAAGGCAACGCAGATGGCGATGAGGGCGTACATCTGGTCGTTCTTCTTGGTGATGGAGTCGTACTGGGCGTTCTTCTGGAAGTTCTTGGTACGGGAGACGTAGACCAAGATGTGGTTGAACATGCGGATGGCATCGGCGTAGCGGTGCATCATCATGTAGGAGAAGCCGACGTAGTAGTACGTCGTGAAGTGGGCGGCCATGACGCGAGCGAACATGGCCTTCTTGTTGAGCTCGATGTCGTCGAGCGTCTTGAGGGCGAGGCTGAAGTCACCCAACAAGCAGTGGACACGCAGCAGGCCGATAATGGAGAAGTAGCCGAGCATGCGGTACAGGTTCTTGGAGCCGTACTCGCCAGCGACGGCCATGGGGTCCTCGTTACGGCGCATGGCGGCCAGCTGCTCGGTGATCTGGGAGCGCTGGATGAGCGAGTAGAGGACGTTGAGGACGCTGTAGCAACCCCAGGTGTTCGGGTTGTCTTTCAGGACCTGCATCTCCTCCTCGTTGGAAGCCTGGCGAGCGATGCGCATGCGGTAGGAGGAGAAGGAGTTGAACTGGTAGATGAACTCATCGATGACATCCCAAGCCCAGTAGTACTATCGCGCCAAGGTTAGCTTAAGGGTAGCTCTCAAAATAGCTCGATGCTCGGCGCAAGATCACACGGCATCAAGTTGAGACAACATACAGAAGGGGGCTCAAGGTCGACGGGACCCTCGCTGTTCAGGATGAAGTGGAACAGGCTGCAGTAGGAGTCGTAGCTCTGGAACTTGACATCGAGAGGTGCGGAGAAGTCGAGGGGCTGGGCGGCGGCGGCAAGACGCGACTGGATGTCGTCGGTCTGCTGAGCCAAGCTGAGGGAGTTGGTCTGCTCGAGGTCCTCACCGATGCCGTCCTCGTACTGGACCTGCTCCTTGTAGTCGTTGACGAGGGCCTCCTCCTCGACATCGCTGTCATCGTCGAGGCGGACGGGCCGCTCGCCGTTCTGGTAGCCGCTCATGGTGTCTGCCGCTTGTGGGTTTCTTCCGGTTCCACCAGAAGAAATAGAGGGAGAAGGAAAAAAAGAAATTGATCGGAGAACCGAGAAGGAAAGGCGCTGGTGTTGTCGTCAACGTCGCAAAGGTTGAGGACAGATGGGCGGTCGGGTTTCCGGTCGATCGCTTGTTCGTCGGCTGAAGGAGGGGTGGGGTGTGGGAAATTTTCTCTTCTCGGATACACACTTCTCAGCACAGGCACGGCCGGCGATATTCTTTCCTAAGTGTGGGAAAATTGAGTAGGGTTTGCAGCCATCCTCGATAGAGCGGTCCACTGGGTAGAATGCACTAGCGCGGCAAATGCGTCTAACCGGTGTTTTGGCGGGGTTGTGGCGGGGTACAAGCGGGAAAGAGGCGACTGTGCTGAGGTAATTGCAGCTGCTCCAACACACAGCATTTTGACCTTGATTCACAGCCACTCAAAGGGAAGGAAAAAGAAGAAAAAAAAAGGCCGTTCCAGAGGGGTGCATATGATACATACACTATAGTATCTTCGTCATTTCTCGGCAGAGCACACTCTTAGCAATCTACGCTTGTTCTAAGGTCATTCCACAACCACATATCCATCCCTTCGACCTGCATTATAAACCAGAAAGAAAAAAAAAAGAAAAAAGAGTCATCGTGTCCCACGCAAAAGATTCAATCAGACAAAAGTAGCGAATCAACGGCCTTTACCCAGGTTACTCGAACTCGTTTGAATCCCAGTTCGGGCCAGCCTATTAGTCACAGGCCATGCCCAATTAGTCGTCAAACATCATCCTCAAAAAGTGAACTGGTCGACATCCTTGCTCGGACAAGTCACCCTACTTCAACCTCCTGCGCCGCATAAACCCGTAGAGGTGTATACATACGCATACGCGCCTTTCTCTCTTCCTACTTCATTTCACAGTCTCATTCACACTCTATTGCTTTCTGTCCCTAAATCTTTGATACCCATTCTCTCTTCTTGTTATCTCACCCCCCCTTACCCCCCCTCATCTCACCCTTCTCTTAAATCCTGCCCATCATGCCTGTCGTCACACCTGAGAAGCTGGGCAGCCTGCAAAGGCACTCGGCGGATGTCCGGAATGTAAGTCCTACCCTACCATCACCATCTTCCATTGTTAACATAGCTGACGGTCCTGGCTAGATTTGCATCCTGGCCCATGTCGACCATGGCAAGACGTCACTGACAGATGCGCTGCTGGCGACAAACGGCATCATCTCACCCAAACTTGCCGGCAAGATTCGTTACCTGGATTCGCGACCCGACGAACAGCTGCGAGGCATCACCATGGAGTCTTCCGCTATCTCACTCTATTTCTCCATGCTGAGAAGATCGGCCCCGGAAGCCGCCCCGGAACCGAAAGAGTACCTCATCAACCTCATCGACTCACCCGGCCACATTGATTTCAGCAGTGAAGTCTCTACCGCCTCCCGTCTTTGTGACGGCGCCGTCGTTCTGGTCGATGCGGTTGAGGGTGTTTGCAGTCAGACCGTCACGGTTTTGCGACAGACATGGACTGAGAAGCTGAAGCCGCTTCTTGTCATCAACAAGATCGACAGACTGGTCACTGAGCTCAAAATGTCTCCAAATGAGGCTTACACCCATCTGAGCAAGATTCTCGAACAAGTCAACGCGGTACTAGGTAGTTTTTTCCAGGGTGAGCGCATGGAAGAGGACCTCAACTGGAGAGAGCGGATGGAGGAGCGTGTCCAGGCCACGGCTGCCAAGGAGGCCGGTGTCGAGCAGATGACCGAGTCAGGAGAGTTACAATTCGAAGAAAGGGACGACGAAGATTTGTACTTCGCGCCGGAGAAGAACAACGTCATTTTTAGCAGTGCCATTGATGGATGGGCCTTCACTGTCCGCCAATTCGCAGGCTTGTACGAGAAGAAGCTCGGTATCAAGAGGGGCATCATGGAAAAGGTCTTGTGGGGAAGCTTTTACCTAGACCCCAAGACCAAGAAGATTCTGGGCCAAAAGCATCTCAAGGGGAGAAACCTGAAGCCCATGTTTGTTCAGCTCGTACTGGAGCCTATTTGGACGGTCTATCAGGCCACTGTCGGTGGCGACCACGGAAAGGGGGACCCGGCTCTGTTGGAGAAGATTACAAAGTCCCTCGGACTCACCATCCCGCCGCACATCTTGCGTGCCCGCGACCCCAGACTTCTCCTGACGACCGTCTTTGCTTCGTGGCTCCCTCTGTCTACGGCACTTTTGGTCTCTGTTGTCGAGTCTCTACCCTCGCCCCCAGCTGCACAAGCAGCAAGACTGCCGGAGATGTTGGCCAACGTCCCCGGAGCCGAAGCCGTCGACACGAAAATTAAGGATTCCATGGTGTCATTTAAGACCTCTGCTTCAGACCCTGTTGTGGCATATGTCAGCAAGATGGTTTCCATCCCCGAGAGCGAACTCCCCCAGAACAAGCGAAGGGGCCAGCTGAGTGCCGAAGAGGCAAAGGAGCTTGCACGGAAGAAGCGTGCGGAAGCGGCTCGCGCTCAAGCAGCTGCCGCATCAGGCGGAAACGGCATTAACGAACTCACGTCGGCTCTCGAGGACGTCAACCTGGATGACTACGCCCCCGAGCAAGAAGAAAAAGAGATTGATCCTGAACACCTCATCGGCTTTGCACGAATGTACTCGGGCACACTCTCCGTCGGTGACTCTCTCTGGGTTATCCCGCCCAAGTGGTCTCCCGCGAACCCGGACGCTTCTCCCAAGCCGACGCAAATCACCGTCACCGCCCTGTACATGCTCATGGGCCGCAACCTCGAAGCACTCGAGAGTGTTCCAGCAGGTGTTGTCTTCGGCATCGGCGGCCTCGAAGGCCACCTCCTCAAGAACGGCACTCTATGCAGCCAGCTAGAGGGGGCCGTCAACCTTGCTGGTGTCGCCACCCTAGGCAAGCCTATCGTCCGTGTCGCCCTGGAGCCCGTCAACCCCGCCGACCTTGACAAGATGATCCACGGCCTTCAGCTTCTCGTCCAGTCCGATCCCTGCGCCGAGTACGAGCAGCTTAGCAGCGGCGAGCACGTCATACTGACAGCTGGCGAACTGCATCTCGAGCGCTGTCTCACCGATCTCAAGGAGCGTTTCGCCCGCTGCGACATCCAGGCCGGCGCCCCCATTGTGCCTTACCGCGAGACTATCGTCCGCGCGGAGGAAATGCGCCCTCCCGTCAACAAAGAGCTCGGCCGTGGCGTCGTCGTAGGCACCACCTCTTCCAAACAGGTCTCCATCCGCCTTCAAGTCCGCCCCCTGCCCGCAGACGTGACCGACTTCCTCCTCAAGAACGGCGACGTCATCAAGCGCATGTACTCGGAACGCAAAGCCGCTGTAGATGATGATACCAACGACGCAGCCGAATCTGGCGCCGCTAATAATGAGGAAAACATCGAAGTCGACACGGACCTGATTGCGGCTACAAACATGTCCCTGGATGAGTTCAAGACCAAGCTCCAGTCGCTCCTCGAGACAGGCCGCGGCAAGGAGGCATTCAAATCCGCCGTCGACCGCATCGCTGCCTTTGGGCCGCGCCGCACGGGTCCCAACATCCTCGTCGACGCAACCAAGGACGGTCTCCTGTCCAAGATCTTCTCCCCGGCAGCCGACCGCGACGAGCGCGCTGCTCCCCAAGCAGACGAGGCTCTCCGGCCGTCTCACGTCGCCGACAAGATCCCCTACGCCTTCCAGCTCGCCACCGCGCAGGGCCCGCTCTGCCACGAGCCGGTCCAGGGCATCGCCGTCTTCGTCGAGGATGTGGTCATCCACTCCACCGAAGACGACCCCAACCCTTCCGCCCGCGACAGACTGCCGCGGTTGACGGGAGAAGTGATCAAGACCTTCACGGCGTCCATGCGCTCCGGCATGCTCGACTGGTCGCCGCGCCTGATGCTCGCAATGTACAGCGTCGAAATCCAGGCGTCGACAGAGGTCCTCGGCCGCGTCTACGACGTGCTCACCCGCCGTCGCGGCCGCGTGCTGTCGGAGGCGATGAAGGAAGGCACGCCCTTCTTCACGATCCAGTCCGTCCTGCCCGTCGCCGAGTCCTTTGGTTTCGCGGATGAGATGCGCAAGAGGACGAGCGGCGCCGCGCAGCCGCAGCTGATCTTTGCGGGCTACGAGGTCCTGGACGAGGATCCCTTCTGGGTTCCCTTTACCGAGGACGACCTCGAGGACCTCGGCGAGTTGGCGGATAAGGAGAACGTGGCCAAGAGGTACATGGACGGCGTGCGTAGGAAGAAGGGACTGTTGGTTGAGGGACGCAATGTGGCTAGAGACGCGGAGAAGCAGAAGACGCTGAAGAGGTAAAAACAGACATTTCTTTTGTTTGGATACATGGTAGCATAATAGGAATAGTAAAGCAAAGAAACGTCAACTCATTATTATTGTTCTTCTTTTTACATTGAAGGGCCGAGATACAGATCACAAAGGGTGAGGATATACACACACAAATATTTGCACTAATTTATTTCATTCGACTTGCCTATCGTCTATTTGCATCTTACGGTTGCCCGTCCCTCAACCCAGCACCTCCCGCCATCGACGACATGACTCGTCGCCTACCAGCGCCCCGCCAGGCCAATCGTTTTCCGTCCATTCTTTTTTTTCATTCGCAGAAGAGGGAAACAAAAGAGTCCGGGCCCAGAAGAAGTAGGCTACAGCTCGCATGAATTTTTGGTATCGAAGGAGGAAGAGAGACAAGAGGGATTGAGAAGGGGCGAGAAAAAAGAAAAGGAAAAAAAAAGACATGAATAATAAGAGAGCAAACAAGTCATTTCAAAAACAGCCTCGCGGAAAACCACGAAACAAGGGAGAGTGAGGAGGTGGAGAGAATATCATCAAACGAAGAACAGCCGTTCATGAGGGGGGGATTCTATCGTTGCATTTCCAGTCGCATTCCGCAAAGGGATGGGAGAAGAGAGATTGGAGGATTGGAGGAGAGGAAGTCGAGAACGTGATAGTAGTAGAACTTGTGATTGTGATTTGTGAATTCTCGGTGCTCCTTTTCGTGTCACTAGGAGCAGAAAATCCTGGCGGATCGACTTTTTTGCTGGTTCGTTGAGAAGACCCTGGGCGAGCTTTTGAGCGCAGCAGAGGGAGAGGACAAAGGAGAGAGGAGAAAAAATAAAGAGAAAAAAAAACAACATTTTGGTCATGACCCCTTCCCTTCCAACATCCATGAGCCCATACTTTTTGTAACCACTTCGCAAACTCCGACGAATGCGTGCGAGTACGCACCTTCTCCAGTCGTTGAGAGTCGGGGAGACCGTTTTGTGTGTTGCCCTAGGGATGACAGGGCAATCCGAGCAAGAACTGTTGAGGGTGCCGAGTTAAAAGGAAAGAGTATTCTCCTTCAGCAATCCGAATAAGCCAGGTTTCTTCGCATGAGAGGAAAGCAAAATATCGGGGAAAAGTAGGAGAATCGTGCCCCCCGTCAAGCTCCAAGTATGCGGTTCGTGGCGTAAAATCGTTCGTCAGAATCGTATGCGGAGTCATCTGGGTATATGTGACGAGCAATCTCGTCTATGCCCGGCATGTAGACAAGCGGGCGCATCTTCTCAGCGACATATGCGGAATCTGCCCCATCGGGCCCGGCTGGACGCTGCAGGATGATTGGAGGCGCAGTAGCCCTCTAGGCAGTGCCACGAGGGCCAACGTTGCGCCGGCTCTTGTTGGGAACCGTAGTCCAGCCATCGTCTTCGACGGGAGCAGCTTCGCCGTCAGCGGCGGGGGTGGAAGGCTGCTGAGAAGCGGCAGGCCCGCCGTTGGAGCGGGGAGGGCGGGCACCACCCTCGAACCGGCCACCACGAGGGCCGCCAGGACCGCCACGGCGAGGTCCAGTAGGGGGGCCACGAGGGCCTCTTTCTCCAGAGGATGCCGATCTCCAGTTGTTGCTCTCGTTGGCACGAGACTTGGCGTTCTCACGGGGCTCCTTGGGCTGGGCCTTCTGGGCATCGGAAGCGCCATCGGCCTTGCTCTCTGCGCCCTCCTTCGCCGGCTCAGATTCCTCCTTGGGAGCCTCCTCGGCAGCCTTCTTCTCGCTGTTGGCCTTGGCAGCCTCCTCCTGGGCCTTGTCGGCAGCCTCCTTATCAGCAGCCTCCTTAGCGGCAGCCTCCTTGGCCAAACGGCGCTCCTCCTTAGCCTTCTCATCAGCCTCGCGCTTCTCCTTGAGCAGCTGCTGTTTCTTCTCCTCGATCTGGCGCTCCTTCGCGGCAGTGTCAATGGGACGAGCGGCACCGAAGGGGCTGGCCTTGGAGTCGGTAGCGGAAGGTGACAAAACGTCTGTGGCCTCAGACACGGTACGCTTGGTGAGGTTCAGCCTGGGGCGACCAACGGGGGCAGCGGCAGAAGTGGCGGGAGAGGGAGGAGCCTCGCTGCCGTCACGGGACTGGCTGCCAGACTTGGCGGCAGCGTCGGGACGCATCTTGGTTCTCCACTGGTTGTCCTGCTCAGCGGCGGTGGGAGCACGCTCAGGGCGGGGAGGACGGGAGTCCTGGCGAGGCTGCTGGCCCTCACCCCAGGCGGCAGGAGACTCGCGGCGGTTACGGAACTCACGAGGTCCATCATTAGTACGGGGACGGCTGCCCTCACGGCCCTCACGGGGGCCGGACTCTTCCTGGGGAAGAGGAGAAAGAGGGCCTCTGCGCTCCCAGTTACCGAAGTCACGGACCTTGCCATCGTCCTCACGGGGCTCGCGGGGCTCGCGAGGGGCACGGCGCTCACCAAAGTCAGAGCCGCGGCGGTCGTTTCCACCACGTCCGGGGAGGTCGGGAAGGGGGCCCTTGCGGGTCCAGTCGCCAAAGTCGCGGGTCGATTCACCACGGTCGCCGCCACGAGCTATATTTAGGTTAGCTGCTATTTAGATCTTTGTTGGATCTACCATGAGTGCTTACGAGGATCGGCAACCTTGATTCTGATAACGCGGCCCTGGAAGGACTGGCCATCCAGAGTCAAGGCCTGCTTCAAGCCCTCAACGTCTTGGAATTCGGCGTAGGCGAAACCCTTGGGGCGCTGCTGCTCACGATCCTCGATAATACGGACGTTGATAATGTTGCATCCCTCAAAGAACTCAGTGACGGTGTCAACGGTGGCATCGTAGGACAGGTTGCCAAGATGAGCGGTATAGGGAGGCTTGTCGGGAAGCGTCTGGGGGAGGTTCTCGCGGATGGAAGAGTAGCCTCCGTAGTCCCCTACAATTATTAGCAAGTTGTATGACGTATGTGTAGTTGATCGGACATACTGCGTTCGGGGCGGTCGCCGCCACTGCTGCCCCAACCACCTCCGGTGGGTCGGTAGCCAGCTCGCTCGGGAGGAGGAAGTGCCTGAGTGCCTAAACGCAAATATTAGTTGGCGAAAGAGCCTTGAAATCGAATCTGAAGACGGAAATTTGTCGCATACCGGCTGCGTGAGTGTTAGCAAAATTCCTGGGTGCATTGTGATTGACGGCGCTGAGGGGGTAAGAGGGGAGGAAAAAAAAAAAAAAACTCACTGTAAGTATCTTCGACCTCATCTGCCCACGATCCTCCGTAGCCTGCAAATCGTTAGTTGACCATGCCCCCAAATATTCGATGATGGATAGTCGATATAGTAAAGAGTCGATCGGTCTATCCTCGGAGGACATTATAAGTCTATGAAGGGGTAGGTGACTGACTTTGGTCCTGCAGGAAGTCGCCAAGCGACATCTTCTGCTGTTCCTTCTTCTTGGGAGCTATGGCGACATGGTCAGCACGGGCACAGGTGGGTGGGAGGCGACAGGATAGTCCTGAACTGAGAGCTGCTCACCCATGATTGCGGTGTTAAGGCGGCTTCGCGCAACGACTTCGGATCGATGCGCGAGGCTGGGATTCGTAGTAGCCGAACGAGGCGGCTGTTCGCAAGGGGTGCGGTGGTGGTGCGGAGGTGGGATATCCGAGGGATATTCTGCAAGGTGAGATGCCGCCTAGGAGGGGGAATCTCGGTCGCCGGAGTCGAGGGGGTCGATTGGCGATGCGTCAGAGGAGCGCGATAGACTGGCAAGGGCCCAGCTAATATTTGTTCTGCTGGGGCGGTAGTCTTTGGAAAAAGGTGAAGTTTTACCCGCGCAGGAAGGGTGGTCGAAAGTTTGTGAGGGTTGGACAATTTTCTCGAGGTGGCCAGGAGGTGGGAGGCACTAGCCCCGCCGTGGCCTAGTTCACTTTTTTCACCTAGCGCCCCGCCAAAGAAGCACGGGCCAATAGAGCCGGGAAAACCCGTGATTGAACAATCCCGTTTTGCGAGAGGGGCTTTCGGAGCCTTGGGGGAGGGGGCAGCCCGCTGTTTGACCACAAATGCTGCATTTGCATCTATCGGGGTCGCACGGTCAGCGATGTTTTGAGCCGCACGAAACATTCTCGCTTGTTTGTCATCAATCTCGTTTGATGCATATCGCCAGCTGTTTGAGGAAAGCTTCCAGAAGCCCGTCTCATCCCCTTGATTTGAGCTGTCGCCTGTTGTTCGGACGTCGTTTTCCTGCAACCTGCCGCCACAAACAATATGGCAGATGACGCGAGAGACGATCCGGTAGATAAGAGGCGACAGCGTCGAGGTTTGCTGCCGCCTGAGCTCGTCAACCTCTTGGGGCCGTCTCTGAAGGTCGGCGCCGTGACTGGTATGTTATATGTTTGTGAGATTCGCTCTCATGCTCTCTCCAGGTAGCTTCGGAATAACAATTGCTTACGCTTGTTTTTGAAGGAACTGCCGGTCTGTTTAGCGGTATCGCCGCTGGCATTATTCGTGACTCGACCCCAGCCTTGTTCGCGATAGCGTCAGGTGTCCAATGGTTTGCTTTGGGTTCCACCTACTGGCGTAAGTACCTTCAGTCTCCCTGTTATTGAGATGAAAATGCTAACCAATCCGCAGTGTCGAGATCAGCGGCGATTGGTTATTGGACCCATGAAGGTCAGCTTTCAAACTCTTCAAAAGTCAAGGCAAGTGCTTTGGCAGGAGGCACTGCAGGAATGGTCGGCGGTCTCATCCGTAAGTGCGTTTCATCTCCCCCGAGTACTACTGCTGATAAGTTCTAGGCGGTCCGAAGAACATCATTCCAGGAGTTATTGTCTTTTCACTGCTTGGCGGGGCCGGTCAAGCTATCATCAACAGCACGCAGGGTACCACTTCGGAGGTCAAGCAGGAAAAGAAGAGCTTCTTCCAATCGAGTTGGAGTCCTCTTAAGAAGCTCACGGACGATGAGTATCGCGAGATGATTGACGAAAAGATGTTGAGAATTGATGCCGAGATTGCCTTGATCGACGACAAGATCGCCGAACTGCGGGCTGCTAAGGCGGCCGCACCCCTTGAACCTCAGGAATCAGAACCGAGGCAAGTTAGTTCTAGGAACTAAGCTTAAACCTGTTTCAACTACATGTACACATAATCATCATACCACATTAAATGTAGCAACAATGTACAATACTATCATGTGATTTTGGCCTCTCTCGATGGTGACCTTGTAAATGGCCAACCCACTTTAGCTGTCATTATGAAACCTATCAAACGTTGTCTCTTAACGCTATTTTGTCTTTGTTTCGAACGAGGTAGCTGAGCTAGAACAACACTGCGGAGCTCCTTATATCCGCATAATTTATTACGTGGTCTGTGATGCAGCATCGCTTCGACCCGACAACAAGCCGGCTTCACTCATTTCTGTTGTGTTGCTAGCCCGGTTGTATTGTTGGGAATTTTTCTTGGAGATGATGTGGCTGTAGACTCACAAACGCAACGGTTATTCAGCTTGAAGTCTTGTTCGGTTACAATCGCTGTGTCATCCCCTATAAATTCGAGGCAAAGAAGAAGTGGTTTTCAAAATAGTGGAAACTACATTAGGGAGATGAGACTTTGTAAGGCGGGAGCAAGGCTGAACGAGATCCTAAGCAAGACTGGTTAAGTATGATTACGTCTAGATAGATACAAATTGCGCTGATAAACGGAGAGCTTCCGGGGGGCACCAATTCAGTGCTCATTTCGTAAGAAATGCCCTCTTCATGTAGGCATTGCTTAGTTGGAAGGACTTCCAAATGCCTGCTAGAGTAGACAACTCTCACTCGGATGTGGCAGGTTCACAAAAAAGTAAACACTGCGGCAACACTTCTTCAGCCTTGGAACTTATCCTTCAAAGGCGTTTCCGAGAAAGCTTTCTGGAGATTGGTTCGACAGAAGGCTGAGATGGAACACTGGGCTCAACCAGCTTGTCTAGGTTCGGGCTGGAGAGTTCCCATTCACCAACACGATTGCCACAGACGGATCCGAACATATTATAGTGCTCTCACTCTTGAATTTGAAGAGTTACACTTGAAATATGCGGGTTCTTTGCATGGCGCCACATTGCCGAATCACCTCGCCATAAATACCATTTCGAGACGATGAAAGTCGTCTTCGCATTTTCTCAATCCAACGTTTTTATGTAGGTACCCTGATTTTCGACTACTGTTTACATCCGAAGGCCCGCTAGCATTACTTACCAGCACCGCCAGTCGCGAAGCCGACGATGGAACTGACAATTTCAACTCGATTCCTCTCAATAAATACTGCGAGACGAAGGTCTAATGAGTTATAAAGAGATTATATTCCGTCTAAATAATCAACTGCTGAAGAGAAACAGACATGTAATCTTATGCAATTACATCATCTTCCATAACAAGGCAGATAATACTCGTTGAGTGCCGGTCATGTGGTGCATTCACAATTTTGGTTGGGATTGCACATTCCTCAAAATATGCCCGAACCCTGTCGACATCTAACGCAGCAAAATGAACTTTTTGGTGGTTTGATCATTAGTAATGGCGACAAGTTGCCAGGAGCGATAGATGCAGTAGTAACATGCCGCATTTCTTTCTCGAGAGTTCAAATCATTACTCCTCAGTCGAGCGATCTACACCCTAATAAAAATTGGAAATGAACTTCACACAGTGGAATAACAGCACATTATCCCCGCCGAATTAAATCAAGAGCACATCGTTGCCAGTGAACTCTGCGACTGAGGGCATGACTCGGTGAGTAGTCTGGTTCACCACGTGTTTCGTTCACAGTTGGACCCTGTCGTACTCTAATTCTCACCTTGACGTCCAGCTAGGGTTGGTGGATCGCTCACGGATGGAATAACTTCCGGTTTGCATAGGTGGTAAGCTACATGGATGATGGCAATGGCTTGGCAGCAGAGATCAACACGAATCTACGCACACCAGTAGTGCTTTAGGGGTCTTGAAAAGCGACATTCAGATGTGAGGCATCAGGATCCTTGTTGAACCACGAGGGGCCGCAACTCGTTCCTTCTTCTCCAAAGGATCCTGAAAAGAAAAGACCGTTGTGAGGCCCTTGCGCATTCAGGGACCGACAATGCTTATCTGACCTGGAAAAAATAATAATAATTTAAACATGTTGGGGTCGAGGTCGCACAGGTCTGAGTCTCACGTCGGAGGCTGGTGTTCAGTTCGAAAAGTCCGGAATGACGATATCGAACAGGGACCCCATGGGCGAAGTGGCTGAGCAAGCTGGAGATTAGAGGCGGTTACTGCACGTGCTAAAGCGTTAGACCAGCCCTAGCTTCGGCGCTACAGGTGGTATCGTACTCCGTACGGGCGCCCCAACAATGCACAAGCGCGATGAATCAGCGAGGAAGCACGGCCCCTCCCCTCCCCTCTGATGCAAGCAATTGATCTGAATCTGTGGCGGCAAGTAATTAGTAGCGGGATTATAACAAAAACAGTGGATGAATTAATACCTACCCCCCCAGTGTTGGGGGGAGCCAGTTGGCCAATGGCACGCTGTATCTGCCGGAACTAGCCGGGAAGCGAGGAACATTCCTGGGGGTGGGAATCTAATTGATGTGTTGAATAGCCATGCTCCGGCTGTCATCTAAGGGTACCTGAATATTGGATGCAATTTGCAGCTACGGTCAAAGTACCCTAACCATCCCACCCCCCCTGGCCAGAGTGGGTTTTGGTGATGTTCATTTCCACCCGCCAAAATTCCCAGGTGCCCTGTTCCTGGATTCCGCAGCTCCGGCCGTCTCCTTTGCTAACCAGGCCGCCCTGCACCGTCGCCGCTCTATCCTGTTCCTCTCATTGTATTAGCCCGGTCTGGACAGAACTTGTCTTACCAATCAAAATCATCCATCCCTCTAGACTTTCTGCTAACTCATTTGTTATTCAAACCAAAAGGGTGCCGTGTTGTTTGCTGGCTCTATCAACCCGCCTTACTAGTATCCGTCATCATCGTTACTATTATTTTGTTTATTACCTATCTCCGTTACTACGTAAAAAAACGACCACGTCTCAACCATCCCTTACCTGTACTACAGAAGCTATATACTCGAACCCTGCAAGGATATATATTCCACTGGCGACTGGAACCTTCAGGTGGTGTGTGAGAGAGAGTGTGTGTGTGGGAAGCTGCCACGCCCAGAAGTCACCCAAGACCAGACAAGGGCTTAGACGGCATCTCTCCTCCCATTTCGTCAATCCAACAAATTCCTGGCTGACGTTGCGTCACTCGTTCTGCAGCAAGTGCATCTCCGATAAGCCGAGCTTCTAAGCCAAACCCTCTGCGCTCCTTCGAATCGTTACCTACTACTGCACACGCACAAACACATACACATACGCACACATACACACTAGACGTCGTATTTTCCCCCCAACGGAACGCTTTCTCCGAACTTCCATCGCTGCCGCCATTTTTCGGGGGAACAATCAACCCACACCATCCTGCCGCAACCCTCCCTTTCGACCAATTCAAGGGATCCGGTCGTCTTATTCTCTCCCGCCGTACATCCCCTGCGACCGTTTTTTTTCGATCGACCGATTAAGCTAGCCGCCCTACATTCCCCCCCGTCGAATACCGTAATCCGCCTGGGCGCCGGAACTCTGCAGCTGTCAGCAACGCAGAGTCTACATCATCACCAACCGCTCACAAGACCCATACGCACACACACAAATACCAGCTCACGACGACATGGCGCGCTCGGATCGTTGGAGGCGGCAATAAACGTGCGGGATTCCATAGAGATCTGGGTTCTCTCTCCAGGTACGTTGGCGCCATCTCTCTCCGTTCTTGGCTGGCCCCTCCTTCATACCCACTCCATTCTGGGGGAAACTGTTGGACTAACGTCATCGTCGTCGGTTACAGACACTGAACAGGGCCTTTGATCGCGTGAGTCGTTTGCGCGCTCACTATGGCTCTGCTCAACCCGACCTTCATATTCGGCGTCATTGTCCTCCTCTACCTGTCCTCATTCATCCTCTTCGCTGTCGTCCGAATCCTCACCGGCGTATCGATACAGAGAATAGGCTACTTCTCCCTCCGTCGGCTCGCCTACACACCCAGAGATGGATTCAAGATCGAGATTCGTGGGCTGGGGCTCAACGTCCACCGCCCGACCTTCGCCCAGCCCACATGGCTGAGCGTCGTGGTTAGCGAGCTGGTCGTCACTGTCGACATCCGTGAGCTAGACGGAAAGAAAGGCGAGGATAGCTCGAGCGATTCCGAAGGCACTGATGCGGAGGAGGAGGAGGTGACGGATACCCGGCCGGCGGAACAGCAGAAAGTGCCATTGATACGGCGAAATGGCGGCCCCCCACCACGGAGCGAGACCTGGAAGCATCTCATGAAGCTTAAGGACAGGATAAAGCGGGCGCATCGCAAACTTAATTGGTTGCGTATGGTGGACATCGTGGCCACCAATTCCACAATCAAGGTCGTTGATGTGGGCGACGTGCAGTTCGGAAGCTTCACTGTGGCAGTCGACACCCGGCGCAAGATGGTTGACCGCGCGCGTTTCTTCTTCCAGTCCCGCGCCGACAAGAACAGGAACAAGCAGCGACAGGCGGAATGGATAATGACACTACGCAGCGTCTTGTTTACGCCAGAGGGCAAGGAGTCCCTTGAAATTCTCGACAATGCGACCTTGAATATCCATGGATTTCTGTACGAAGCGCTGGACGGGCTGCGGGATGCTGCAATTGCTCTCAAGCTCGGCCGTGTCCACATACCCCTCGACGATGTCCGGCTATGCGCCGACCGACTCAAGCAATGCAAGGCGGCTGTCGACACACCCTCTGCGCCAAAGGAGACGGCCGACTTTTTCCTGGAGAAGGTCATCCATGAGGTGGCTGAGCCAGGAAGCACTCATCGAGAGCTTATTCAAACCGTGTCCGACTCGAAAGAGTTCGTTAGCTCCATCCTCAGGGGTGTCAAGGAGGTTCAGTTCGCAGTCAGTTTTGTCGGCATGACGAAGAGGGTAGAAACAGTCAAGCCCAACGCGAAACCCATTATGCTGAACGCCTCCATGAAGGAAGTCGGCATCGACTTGCATCGTCTAGACCCCAAGTCGCCGTCTCACCGGATGTACTTCCCCTCCAAAGACATCGCCCACGAGGCACTCGCCGCAGCATTGTCCATATCCGTTGGTGTTGACGACGGAGACGGCAAGCCTGAAAGGCTTTTATACATCCCAATGGCAACGACGACAGTCAAGACGACACTGCCGTCGAAGACGGTAGAGATGGCACAGGATGTCGGCGCCGAAGAAAGAAATGCAAACATTCTCTTCGCTAACTCCGTCGTAACGTCCCCTTCGGTGGACCTCGACCCGCGCCATCTGCCCCTCCTCGTTGCCATGCTCCAACCAAAACCGAAAAAGTCGAGAGGAGACAGCCAACCCAGGCACATTCTCATATCGCGACTATTGCCAAAGGCTAATATCAAGTTTACGATGCACGAGCCGGTTCTTCGAGTTGCTCTTCCTGCCGTAGACCAACACGCTGCTCCCGACGACTTTGACCTAATCATATCTTCTATTTCATCGATTTCACTCGACATGGAGTCGTTCCATTCCACTGTGGAAGACCTTCATTACTCACTAGCATCAACGATGAGAATCCAGTCACACGAACTGTACTACCAGACGTCATCGAGTAACCGGTTCGATCTCATTCAAACCGAGTCTTTTGAGCTAAAGGTGCAACTCAGTGCCACACCAGATGTCCACGTTGTAGCATCCGGAAATCTGCAAACCTTCGCGATCAAAATGGTACGACCCGAGATCACAGACGGCCTTAGACAGATTGTGAAACAGCTGAGGATGAACGTCGAGTCTGAGAAACGCTTTACGTCAAAGACCTCAGGCAGTAAACAACAAAACTTCCTCCGCGCGTTGCCGTCTTGGTTGCTGCAATTCCAGCTTCAAGCGTCCGATTTCAGCGTCGAAATTGCTGGTATCGACGAGGACATCTCGGACGACACACGTGGCGTGTCTTTGCAGCTCGACGAATTCTCTGCTGAGTATCGAGCACAAAGGCTGGAGGGCCTCCAGCGGCGACCATCGCGTCGTAGGGCTAATAGCCGTACCGTTGCTCCGGACTCAGACCTCCTTAAACACCCTGTCTCGCCCGCACCGAGGAGAAAGCAGCAAAACTATGGCGACGGACGAAGGGTTGCGGTTCACGTGCGAGGGTTGGAGGCTTATATTGTCGAGTCAGAGGACAGGGTCGAGTTGGAGCCTTTCGTCAACATGCCTCGCTTCGAAGTAGCCTTCCAGGCTATGAGTGATCAACAAGGTCCAATCTTCCACGTCCACGCCGGAATTCGAACAGTTCTCCTTCAGTATTCTCTCTTTAGGCACTACTCTGTTGGTGTGGCGATCATGATTCTCAAGAAAGCCTTCATGAGGTCTGGACCAGATGTTACGTCGCCCGTCATGTCACCGACAACACCACGAAAAGATGTTGGCGGCGACTTCCTGTCTCCTCCGATGTCACCAGAGTCCCCTTTCGTCGACATGAGCGATTTCTCAACAGTGACTCCCGAGCTTGTGGCTATTGATATTAAGGCCGCCCTCGTCCAAGTCAAGGCCGAACTGCCTAATGATCCTCAGGTGATGCTTCAGGTCTACGGCGTGGAGGCCGGTCGTCACAGGTGGTCCGCCCCCTACCTCGTGTCCAAGCTCATCCGCGTATACGTTCAACCGCCCAGAATGCGGACTACCTGGGCGAGGATGGTGAGTATCAAGGGGGGACGAGTTGACTACAGGAAATCTCGGCGGAAGCTCACTAGTGGTGGGTTTCAAGAGGACAAGATGATCGACATCAACTCCGACGCTATACGGTTCGCTGTGCCACACGAGGTCCAGGTCAACAAGATCTCTGATAACATCATTAATACCCTCAAGTCGATCCAGCAGCTTCATCATCGCTTCAAGACAGGCACCAACGAATATATTCTCGACAAGAAGCCAGGGGGCCCAAAGAACGTACCCAAGGTTTCAGTTCGAACCCGTTCGTTGCTCTTCGAGCTAGAAGATGGCGCCTTCGAGTGGAAGCTGGGGATGATTTACCGCGCTGGTAGAGTCGAGCAAATGCAGCGCCTTGCTCGTGAGGAAGCATTCGAGGTCAAGAGAAAGAAGGTCCGTGAGGAAGAGTCAAGGAAAGAGTCTGGCAAGCTGCGAGCTCGTTCACTCTTCCACAGAGGACGCCAAAAGAACGGCGCCTCTTGGGCCAGGAGCCAGAGTGCGGATGGGCGTGGGCGCAGGCGCAGCAGCGACGACCACTCACGAGGAAGAGCACCGCGATACGATCCCGACACAGGCGGGCTCGGCCTTACAGGATCCGCCAAAATTGCCGAGCAAGAGGCGCGAGAAAAGCTGGATGCGTATAATGCGCAAAGCTGGAAGAAGCGGATCGACCGCTTCTATTCCATGGCGAAGAACGGCATGAAGGAGATTCGCGGTCTTTTCTGGGGCCCTGACCAGCTTCCTGATGATCTGGAGGATACCGAAAACATTCTTGAGGTGCCCCAGAGACCAGCTTTGATGTCTGCTCTCATCACTGATCTTCAATTTGTCATTGACAAACCTACGTTTGCCATGAAGGATCTGCCTGACTTCATTCATTCAGTTGGAAAGGGTATGCCCAAGGACATGCAGTACGGTCTTCTGGTGCCTATGCATGTCTCTATTGACCTCGGCGAGGCGAGGATATCATTACGCGACTACCCCCTGCCACTGATTCACATTCCCAGCTTAAAGGCAGGACAGTCTACCAGATTGCCGGCCATGTCTCTCAAGACCAACTTTGTAATTGCGGAAGAATTCCGAGGAATGGAGTCGACCCGCCGTATCAAGGTCAACATTGTTCCTCCCCGAACCCTAGAACCCGGTGGTAGCAGCGAAGGCGGCTTCGCCATTGATGTTCGTCGTACGATCGGACCAGTCAAATCTTATACCAATATGAGAGTCGACATCAATACGGCCCTGCCAACCAGAATTACGTGGGGCCCAGCGTACCAACCAGCTATTCAAGATATGATGATGGTCATTGAATCCTTCACTAAACCCCAGGTTGACCCTTCCGATAGAGTGGGTTTCTGGGATAAGATCAGACTCAACTTCCATTCGAGAATACATGTTGCCTGGAGGGGGGATGGCGACATGCACCTGGCGCTGAAGGGCACCCGCGATCCTTACTGTGTAACCGGTAACGGTGCAGGATTCCTCATGTGCTGGCGTAACGATGTCAAGTGGAACATCAATGCCGATGACAATCCCAAGCGTTTCATGACTGTCGACGCCGGCGAATACGTCCTTGCCATCCCGGACTACAGCCACCAGGTCCGTGAAGCTGCTCGACGGACAGGTGATGATGATAGCCTCATGAGTGAAGACAGCTACAAATCCGGAGCCTCTTTCAAGAAGGTGGTGATGAAGCTGTCTGGCAAGGTGCAATGGATGGCTGGTCTCGTCTTTGAGCAGGCAATCCAGAACGGACAACGGACATTCGAGTTCAGGCCGCATTACGACGTAGTCCTACGGTCTCCGCATCACGTCAGACCCGAGGACAAACCTTATGACGCTTTCCGTGGATTCCGAAGCCAGCATATTCACTTGTCGATCGCCGTACGAGCACCTGTCGACCGCGACTGGATGTCTTCCAACCCTGAGCCATCAAGGAGTTACAATACGGTGCACTGCACACCTCGTTTCTTCACCCACTTCTTCGCATGGTGGTCTCTGTTTGGTGGGGCGATGGCGCTTCCTATTCGTCAGGGATCACTGTGGCCGGGAAGAGAGAGGAACAGCAAGAAATTCGGCAAACATCTGTCGACCATCAAATACAACCTGTTGTTGGCGCCGCTGTTCCTTAGTCATATCTACAAGCATAAGGATGCCGAAGATGCCTCCGAGAACGGTGTTTCTGCGACGGGTCTCAAAGTTCGTTTCGATAGCTTTATGCTGGATCTACATCAGAGACGAGAAGAGTTCAACACAAGGGATCGTGGCCGCAAAACTAAAGGAAAGACGAGCGGTATCAAGATCCATGCGGCTCAGCTTGACCTGGCAGCTGCGGATGTGCGAGCTGTTTCGGCGAGTATAAGAGGCACCACAACAGAAGCTATCAAGAATGGCAACATTGCCACTCTTGTCACACCAGAGGACAGCGCCGACTTGTCACGTTTCACGATCCCAGATAATGACTTGAGTTGGATCGATATGGACGACTTTGTCGAGCTGGATTGGATTTTGCCCACGGAACCTAACCCAGACACCAAAATCCTACCCCTAGCATACGCACCTCGCCTCACTTACTTCCGACAAACCGACATTGGCGGCGTCATTTCTGGGGACCCAGACCGCAGGAGCCCTTTCGGCAACGAGCCCACGCACTTTTGCATCATGAGCCAAGACGATGACCCTCGACGTGTCCAGGCACAGCTCATCCAGGAACGGCTCGCACAGCTTGAGGTGCAAATAGAAAACTACGGGCGGAACCTGGGCGAAGCCGAGCTGCGGGTTGTGCGCGACGATGCAAAGGACCCCAAGCTGATCGCTGCGTTTGAGAGTCTGCAGCAGCAGGGTGCGATATTGCAGAAAAAGAAGTTGTATCTGCAAAATATGCTGCGACAGATGAACAAGCCGTCGGACGGCAAACCATTCTTCAAGCGCGAGACCAACAAAGATCAGTCCGACGACTCAATCGAGCTTGAAGACGACTCCCTGACCATACCCTCGGGTGCCGAATTCGAGAGCGACTTCAACAACCGCTTCGTCATTCACAACCTACACTTCAAATGGAATAACACGCTGCGAAACATTGTTCTTCGGTACATTCACCAAGTGAGCCAGCGACGAGGTTTCGTCTACTACTTGTCCCGTCCAGCGGTTAAGTTTATTCTGGACATCGTGGAGGAGCAGTACAAGGCCAAACAGAATCCCAAACCAGCTAGCAAGAACCGGACTCCTACTGGCGGCGCCACTGCCGGAGCCTCTCCAGATCTTGATGCCGCGGAGCGCGAATTCAAACAGGATATCGAGGAGCGCATCAAGAAAATTCTCCAAGACGGTAAAAAGTACGTCAATGCAGACGGCAAAGGCGGTGAAAGTGTTCCCAACGTTCCCATTGAAGACCTTTCCAGTGGTATCTCGGACGAATTTACTCCACAGAACAGCTACCATGTTCGCCTCATTGCACCACAGATCCAGCTGCAGAGTGACAAGAACAAAAAGAATGTGGTCATTCTCACGTCAAAGGGCATGGAGCTAAAGGTCGTCGAGGTCATGGACAAGATGAGAATCTCCGACGTGGTCAGCGGTCTTGTGCAGCGAAGGTTCCTCGTGAACATGGACAGCACCCAGTTCTTCGTCACGCATCAGTCTTACTTTTCAGACATTGTCACAACGTACGCTGGAAGCCGCTATGGTACTCCCGCCACGACCTCGTGGCCACCATGGGTTCCTATGGAGGTCATGTTCGACTTCGAGACTGATCCCTTCGGATTCAACCGCGTCGTCCAGAAGACTTCCGCGATGCTCCGATACGAAAAGTTCAACACGCTGCGTCTGAAGTACAACGACGAGGTTAACACTGAAGGCTCCAATGACTCGTCGCAGCCTAACACCGAGCGAAAGATGGACAATCTCTGGGTCGAGTTCCCACAAGCAAGAGCCCTTTGCAACTCGGGAGACTACTACGCGATGTATGTCATTGTACTTGATTTGCTGATGTACAATGAGCCTCTCGAAAAGACAAGAAGTGAGCGTCTGGAGAAGATTATGCTAGCGTCTGACTTCAGCGATCTCAGCGGTACGCCTGAGATGGTGCAGAAGTTGCAAGAGCGCATCCGGCAACTGCAGGATATCAAATCGCACTTCCAAATCTACTCCAAGTACCTGGATCAGCGGGGCTGGGAGGACCGACTACTTCTAGAGCGTGACTTGGCGGCTTGCGAGGATGAGTTGTTCTTCATGATGAAGGCCATCACTTCTTCGCAGCGTAGGTACGAGACGGCATCGGAGAGCAATGCGCTGCTGAGATGGAGCATCACAGCCCGCGACACCGTTTGGCATATGCTCCGCGACAATAAGGAGCCCCTCGTTGAACTGCAGCTCAAGGACGTCGAGTACGACCGAACTGACAACGCGGACGGATCGCACATCAACCTGATTCGGGTTGGCAAGGTTTTTGGCTTAAATCTCCTGCCCGATGCCATATACCCGGAGATAATTGCTCCCTATGTTGAGGGTGACAAGAGCGCGGCCGACTTGGGTAACCAAGAAATGATCCGAGTCTACTGGTACATGCTCGAAGCTATTGCCGGCATTCCTGTCATGGATCACTTTGAAGTCAATCTATTCCCGATGAAGATTCAACTGGAGCGCGAAGTCGGCAAGCGGATATTCGAGTACATTTTCCCAGGCATTGACGGCGAAACTAAAACCGGCAAGAATGATTCCCCGTTTATGCTTAAGCATTTCCCCGCAGACGAGGAAGAGGAAGACGACGACTCGATGTCTGGTTCGGGCCGTCTCACCGCCAGTGATAAGGATGGTTTCAACACCAGACCTGGCTCACTCGAGCTGCGCCTGCATCCAACACTGAACTCGGACTCCCCGTCCAAGTCGGTCGGCAGCACATCCAAAAAGAGCCTCACGGTCAACACGGGAGAAGGCCACTCCTTCCGTCTCTTCCGATCGGCGGGCACAGGTAAGACTGCTGTTAAGAAGCCGTCATACGAGTCGCTCAAGTCATCGGCAAACGTACCACGCCCGGGAATCGGCCGCACTTCGACGGGCATCTCGTCCAAGGATGGCTCAGTCGCTAGCGACAGTAAGAAGTCACGCTTCGGACTGCGCAAGGAATCTAAAGCGGAGGAGAACAAGCCGTCGGACGACCTGACCAAGATGATGTCGCGAGCCAGCAATTACATGACGTTTGCCCACATCAAGATGCCCTCCGTGGTGTTGTGTCTGAGCTACAAGGGCAAAGACAATCGCAACGTCGAGGACGTGCACGATTTCGTCTTCCGCATGCCCGCGGTCGAGTGGCGCAACAAGACGTGGTCGAACCTGGATCTCGCGCTCGCGCTCAAGAAAGCCGTGATCAAAGCCCTCATCTCACATACCGGCGCCATCATCGGCAACAAGTTCAAGCACCGACCGAGCACGGCCCAGACCAGCAAGCTGCGGGAGTTGGCGAGCGGATCCTCACTCATCGCGCCGTCGTCGGCCTCGCAACATGACGCCGAGAGCGTCAACAATAGCGACGACTCGTCCAGTCTGTACGGCAACTCGCCTGTGGACTACTCGCGGTCACCGCCGAGGTCTCTTCACGGCAGCTCCGCCAGCAGCATCCCGATCCCGCGATCCACGAGTAGGAGTTCCAGCGTCGCGAGTTCCCGATCGCAGAGGACGGGCGGGTCGAGTAACCCGCAGGGGCCGGCCGTCCCCAGTTTCCTGATGATGACGCCGCCCACGCCGCACGACAGCAGAACACCCCATGGTCTCGGCATAGAATTCCTGCGGCCGTCATCCAGGAACAGCCTCGCGCCGTTCGATCAGGCCGGTGGTGGGACGATAAGGTCCCTTTCAAGATCGCCCGGGACAGGCGTGGAGCCGGAGGGGCGTCGCAAGTCGGCCAGTGGCGGATTCCTACGCGACAAGCTCAGCGCTCTTACGCATAGGAAGAGGGAACCGAGTCAGAAGGAGCCGAGCCAGACTCAGAGGGAAGAGACGCCGGAGACGGAGGAGGATCTGACTGACGCCACCGGCGACAGTCCCAAGGCCGTGAAGAGGTTTGCGGGGTTGAGCAGCCGCGTGAAGACGGGATAAAGACGGCGTCTCGTAGTGCCTGTCGTTTAGAAAATACATTATAATAAAGAATTGTGGGAAGGATAGGAAAGGGAAGGGAAAAGGCATACATGCCGGAAATTAGACTGGGGAAAACACCCGACGAACGGGGTAAACAAGGGCGGCGGCGGCGGCTAAGAAGCTCGTTCGGGATACCCGGCGTTTGACGGTATAGCACATATACAATCACAGACAGACAGACAGACATTGGGCTCTTGTCGGTTTTATTTTTCTGTAATTTATTTATTTTTCTTTTCCTCTAACAACCCCCCCTTTCTCTTCTCTTGTCTATTTGGGAGAAGGGGGAGGGTTCATTCAGTGGAGGATTAAAGAGAATAAGAGGGAAGATAAGAAGGAAAGAAAGAAAGAAAGCAAGCGTTTGTTTTTATTCTCTTCTTCTTTTTATATTGAGCGTATACGTTTTCTATCAAAAAAAAAAAAAGGATCGGATCTTTTTGTTTATTCGTACGTGAAGACTTGGTGTTTGGTGTTTGATAAAGTAGATGTCTATATCGTGTAGAATACTTCACTGTTGTGACGATGTCGTTTAACAGGGGAGGAAGAGTGACTTTTTTTTTTTTTTTTTTGGAGGTGAATGCTGTTTTATGCCATGATGTGTTCCACTGCTTGCTTGTCTGCCTTGATATATATATCCTTCTTTTCTATAAAAGTCAGGTTGTAATGTTGGGGTCTGTTTACATTTTGCACTAGATTATATGTGAATTTCAAATCATTTTCCCAAGTCATCTTGACTATTTGTTTCACCAGAGACGAAGATTTGGGTCGCGGAAGGGCCTATTACATGTGTACGTTTATCCTCGTCTATAACATTCTGCTGACTTTTCGGGTTAAGCCAAATAATTTGATCCCACGTAAGCTGTTTTCCAACTTTGGATACGCGGTATCGTTGCGCGGACGGCCGCTGCATATCGATTGTAAGCAACCTGCTTGCCTTGTCTCACACATTCAACAAATCTAGCAAAGGTCGGTGTGAAAGCAGATATCAAAAGCGATCAAAAGCCACACGTTTACCTGGTTTATACACATGAAAGGCCTGTCCCTAGAGGGCTCACTTGCAGGAGGCATGCACCAGGGTTATTGTCATACAAATAAGTCCAACCGGCGCAGGCATCTCCGCAAAACACCGTACATCTATCTCATCCAAAACGATTCCGCCAAGACTCGGAGCGGTTTCCCGACTAGCATGCGTGCGGACTACCGGCCCCATCGACGTTCCGACACCAGAACTACTGTCAGAACTACTGGGGGGCACAGGAAAAGAGGCATGTGGTTCGCAATCCATATTTCCGCTCCGCTTGGCTGGCGGTCCCGTGTCAGGCTCGGCGTGGGGATCTAAGGCCTCACGTCTGTAAAGGGGTCCATGTCCGATTGGGTTTAGATGGTGTAGCTGACGAGGAAACATTCAGGTGATGTCGAGGCTGTACCGGCGTGGCAGGTACTTTGTGTCCCCCCCCCCCCCCCGCGCGCGCGTGCTTCGTGCCGAACTGCCTCGTTGAGGCAGCGGCGTGACAACCCTCGTACCTGTGTCGGCCATTCATGACCCTGCTCAGCTCGCTGCTGGCAGGCCACATGGGAAAGTCGAATCTGGTCACGGATAGGTTAGACAAAAGGCACGTGAGGTGTTGGATTACGTGTGAAACATGTCTATGGAGGGGGAGGGCACCCGGGGATGGGACGGGCTTGGAGACGGCGGGGTGAAGCCCAGTGTTTGTCGGGGCTACGGGGGAGTTTGGTGCGAGAAAAGAGAGCCCAGGTGCGAAGCGCTGTTAGCGGGTTTGAGTTAGGAGGAGGACATGCTGGAATGGCGCCGTTGAGATCCGGAGCCGTGTCCTGGGGCCTTGGCGGTTACTACTCGTTGGGCGGCAATGATCTCGAGCGTCTGCGTTTGTCCATCTTGCGGCCACATCGCGTGCGACGAGCACTCGACCAAACGTATTGGAACAACATGAACTTTTTTCTTCTTCTTTCAGGGGTTGAAAGTTGGCATCGGACCAGACGTCAGGTGTCCGCATGGTTTTGGTCCTGGCAGCGACAAAACAAAAGGTTAGGTCCCTTGCATGCATGCCAATACTGTTAATTCATGGTTTTACCCCGCAAAATCATATCTTGGGAAGGTTGGTTCTGGTTCAGGCGTAGCGGCGACTCAAGCATGCTCCCGGGCTTGTGGATGGTTTACCATCATCCCCCGTTCCACTCACACTAAGATCAACGCCCAGTTGACTTTGCCGGCGTAGTATGACGCACTTGTCTGGTAGGACCTGACGAATCAGAGTTCGGCGATAAGACTGGCTTCTGGAGACTCGTGAGGGTGGGGATGGCGTTGCTAGATTTGGGGTGGTGCATAATGACTCTCTTCCACGCCTGGTTTGTGTGTAAGCCATCGATTGTCCGTCAACGTTGTGAAATGTCTGTATCAAGCTTACCTGACTTTTTGAAAGGGGGGGAATGTTAGAAGCACTGTGTTTGCTCATTCCTGAGCACAGCTGCATGTGATTATTGGCTGGTTTTGCAGACAGCGAATAATACCCTGGAAGAGCCTTAATTCGAGGCTTGTCACTGGCCGGGGGTGTTGCATTCGGATGCCCAAAAAAATGATGATCGATGATGAGAAGAAAAGTTGGGGGTTAGGGGGAGGAATGGGCAAGTGACGGAGGGTCCAAAATGGTGAGGGGAGGGCGGGTTGAGGATGAGACAGCCCTGAATATCATTTGCCATGTCGGCTGGAGGATATCCGTGGGCGAAGACCCGACCCAACGGGTGGTGCGGAAGGTAATCAACCAGGATGTATTTCCCAGAGAGGCACTCCCGTTTTAGGCAACCCTCCTAGTCGTATTCACAGGTATCGAATTCGTGGGCGAGGACGATAGGTCGAGTCAAGCCTCAATGCCTGCCTAAAGCATACTGTCCATTTGAAATATGAAGCAAATAGTAGTGTATGACAGCCCACTAATGTCATGAATCGAGCCCCATCGGCTGTTCGTCTGTTGATTTCTCTTTGTGCAAGGCTGGAGTTTGTTCACGTTGACTGGGTGAAAGCGGTGGTGACACGTCTGGATGGCGCTGAAAGCGGGAGAGGCGCCGAGAGGATCGACGTTGACCACTACATAGTGCGGGTGATACTGGTTCCCCGAAAGCCATCGATCATCGAAAGGCCCTGGCCCAGTTCACAGTCCCCATCAGATTCGAGGAGACGAACATGGCGAGGATGGGGTTCGGGGCGGTTGGGCAGCCAAGAGAACGGATGGAGCGGAAAGTGAGAGATGAGCGCGGCACTAGAACTAGCCCCGTGGGACACTGCGAGGGACGTCTCGTCTCTCGTCGATAGAGCCTGCCTCGGCTGACCAGGATACAATAAGCTTGAGTGTCTGAGGAGGTCACTGATGTTCAGATTCCATGGTAAGATGGTTATTGGACAAAGTGGAGATGAGAGAGAGAAACAGGTTATATCTGGGCTGGAGGAGGCCGATGAAAGTGGATTGAGGATGATGGTGTCCTCGGGACAGCTCTTCGAAGGCGACCATGGAAGGGCCAGCAGCTGGCTGGTGATGTACACAGGAGTCAACACAGCAGAGTGGGGTGGCTCGTCGGCGGCGGCAACGATGACGGTACAAGTGGCAGTCCAGACCCTGACGCCAGGCCGTTGGCGGCCGGTTGACGATTCGATAATGGTGTCGCGTTGTCTTAGATTCTGCAATTGTTTGGCCTCCCGTCCTACACTTTCGGCGTGGCTCAGAGTCAGGTCCGGAGCTACGGAAAGAATTAGAGCCCTGGATTCTCAAAGTCCCTTCCGTCATCAGCTGAAGGGCACGCCGAGTGCCTCGAATAGCGAGAGAGAGTGTGGGTGGGTGGTTGTTGTTGTTGTGTGTGCGTGTGTGTGTGCCTAGTGGGCTGGCACGGTGACAAGGTCGGCGGATCTTTGTGGTTGCCTCTTGATCCAGATGGAGGGTCACGGAGGCGTTGGGAAAATACCTGTAATTGGATGCATTTGCTGGCGGATAGAGGGGGGATAGGACGAAAATTGGTGTGTTATGTCTGGCGCTGATCAGAGCACAGTAAAAAGGACCAGGGCCAAGGTTCAAAGCCAAAGCCAAGTCCAAGACCAAGGTCGAGGTTGTAAAGTCCGCATGAAGGAGCGACGCATAACAAATTACATAGTACGGAGTATCCCACTACGTACATAAGGTGACATAAAATAGCACAGAATATGCAGTGGCCGTGCACAATGCAGGACCACAAAAGTTGTGCAAGCACTGGGCCCTATTTTATCCAAGGAGTGAAAGATAATTGGAGAAAGCCGAGGGTCGGTTATGTCTTACATAAGGTCGTTTACACTTGATTTTATTCCACCAAGAGTCCTGAGGCCACCATTGGCCCCATCTGGAAGTGTTGGCCAGCTGAACTCAGCTGTTTGCCACTTAGTACGACGGGGCCTTTGTTCGGGTCAACCGGTCGCTCACACGGTATGTCCCTGCTGAAGAACGATAATGGTTCTGGGAATTTCCACCTTCACCAGGACCACTGCCACTGCCACTGCCACTGCTCCCAGAGCCCTGGCCACCGGCTGCTCCAGAGCCAGCCAGGCCCGTAGATCCGGTGTCAGGAAGGCTGTTTTTAGTGATAATGTGCACCGTGCTCGCCTATCAAGTCTGTACCTGTAACCGTCCTCAATAAAGCCGGAAATGCGAAGTTCGCAGGCGAATTAGCAGCTCGTATTATCATCATCATTCCCCTAGATGGCCCACTGACTCACTGTTCATCGAAGTTGGGCGGAGCAAGCACCACGGCACCCAAGGTCGGTCTTTAGTGCGCATGATCTTGTGGTCCCTTGGGTCGTCCTGGTCCCCCCCAACGCTCATGTCACCCCAAACTCTAAGACCCAGACAGAACACAAGGGGAAAAACGATTGGGGGTTAGAGGCTTCGGGTGCTTATCAGTTGGGGCCTGTGCGCCCATCCATCGCTCTTGGTCTTGTTTGCTTTTGGGGTCGAGGATAACGCCCCCAAATCAGGCAGGAAGCAAGCGTATGAGGGAGGCAGGCAGACAGGCAAACAGGAGACCAGCCCGTAAGTACGGATATCAGCAGGCAGGAGCAAAGAGGAAGAAGTGGCAGCCAGTGGCAGACGTAGCTGCCCAGACCAGAAGTATCCATAGCACATGTGTGTTGCAAGCCAGGCAGGACCAGCTGAGGAAGGCAGCGCACCAGCAGCAGCACCCTCTTTCCTGCCCGTCCTCGTGTCTAATCATCATGGCACCTTCCCAACCGTTCTTTTTCCCCGAAGCCGCTGCTTATCAGCATATCTCCATCTTGGTTCCCGGCCCTACATACTAAGTGCGCAGTAGCGGCCCAGTGAGAAGGTGAGAGGTGTCATGCTGTGTTAATCAGTCGAGTCTCTGGGGTAGCTTCCGTAGTCAGTTATCTATCTCTGTCCCCAGCCATACACATCTTACCTACACCTATCGACCTGCCTAGGTCTTGGAAGCTGAGAGAAACTGTCCTAAAACTAAGAGAGCCCCCATCTTGTCTATTATTCTTGATCAGTGGTGGTGTCTCTTTTCTTCTTACATCCTTCGCTTCGCTCTCTTCACTCTCACTCTCGCCTTTGTCGCCGTCCTCGCCGCCTCTCCTGGCCACGTTCGACTTCACTCATCTGACCTGGCACTGCCTCCCCGATAAAATATAATCAAACCCCCAACAACAACAACAACAACACAAGGCCTCCCAACCGAGTCTCGATTATTCACATCTGATATCAGTATCCATCATCGTCATCGCGAGTCTCGAATCTACCCTCGTGACGGTTAACACCCTTCGATATCCAAGGACTAGAAGACGTCAAACTCCAGGTCCCAGCCAGGTCTTCCCTGTGATACGTCTCGCATTCCGCTTATCAACAGCCACCATCTTCTCTTAACCTCTGACGACGACCCCGACTCGTGCACTCCAAGACTCTCCACAACTTTACGCAAACCGCATCCGCACCGACATTACCTCCTAGTACACACGAACCCACTCTCGTCCAGCATTTCATCAAACTGCCCTCTGCAAGGGGAGCGCAACCTATCGGCTTTCCTTGCTTCTCGATTGTTGGAATGAAGGGTGCAGCTCCAGCCTGCCATCACAATCAAGCCTTCAACCCCATCCCCCACTGCGTCACTTCCCGTCAATCACCATCGTCAAAGGACCCGTCCCCATTCCCTGTTTGAGCATATCCTTGAAAAACCTCGCCTCTGATTTGCTGCTGAACCATTGTCTTTACGTTACCAAAACATTGGCGACCCCTGGCCCCGGCACACGACACTGTGCAGCTTCCAGTCCCAGAAAGGCAGAAGGGCAGAAGGGCAGAAGGGCAGAACGGGTCACAGAAGACAGACGAGCACGTCCTTCGACACGCCCACACACGCCCCCCCAAAACCAAATTTCAAGTGCCTGCCCAAGGGCGAAACTGATCGAACTGGTCCCCTATTGTGCGTGCGCTCGGCAGCAGTCCGCCACGCTATCCACTGGTCAACCTAACCCACCTCAGTATCGTCCCCCTAGTTTGCGCCGCCGCCGCCGCCGCCGCCAGTTCCAGCACTTCCAGTCCTGGCTCCAGTGCCCTGCCCTGCCCTGCGGCCCAGAGGTACCTAACATACCCTCTTCCCTGACCGCGTGAACCCTACACACCCCTGGGGAGTGTGTGTCCTCCTGGTCTGGTCCCCTTCCACCCCCTTCCCTGTCAACCTGTCTTTGCCTGTCGGGTCCGGCTTGCCCCGCCGAGCCACTGGCGCACCAGGCTCAGGGAATGTCCAGACGCCATGATGTCCCCAAGGAGTTTCCTTTACTACAATAGGCAGCCCTCGGCCTCAAACAAGACTACCTCTTCCCTCTCTCCATTTTCCACGCGTAAACCGACCAGCGACAGCTTCGCCGCCAACACGAGTTCGACCTCCAAGACTACTTCTCCCATCGACACCCCCAGAACGGCTCTGCCTTCTGCCCTGCTGGATCGGAAAAAGGATGCCCAGAACGTTTCCGTCACCGTCACGCCTATCCCTACTCCTCCCACTGCCACCACAGCTACCATGGCCAAAAAGAAGGATGCTCGCCGCGAAACGTCTAAGCTGGCGCCGTCTAGCCCTCCAAGGACCACCACGAGCGTAACCGTCAGACCGACGACACCTACCGGCCCGGTTCAGATCCCTTCGAAATCCAAATCCAGCTTGTTTTATAGTTCCCAACGCCACGCCCAGAGGAAACCCTCCCGTCCCCGAGATGTGCACTCGCCAGATACCGTTCCTCCCGCCATGCTGGCCCTGCTGGCTGTTACTGATATCCCTAGACCGCGACGCAGCTCGAAGCAGAAGCTTGCTAGGGATCAGCCAATGACTCTGGAAGCCGTCATCGAGAGGCAACAGGTTTGCGAGAAGGAACTCAGCCTCACTTTTGGCAAAACCCCGATGGACTTGCTCCTCTCGCCACCTGATGACCTCGAAGACGACATGTCCATTAGTGACAGCGGAGTAGGCTCCGTTCTGTCCACCAGAACGGTCTCTGTTGAGTCGATGCCTTCTCTTGGCGACTCATTCTCTACTGAAAACACATTATCTTCACTTGAGTCTCCTTGCGGATCGAGTCCCCGAAGGAGGCGATCGCGACAGCCTCGGAGATCTTTGGAGCCAGTATCTTCCCCTCCCGGCCAGCCTGAGGATCACCCCTTGTCTCGCGACCATGTTGGTGTGGATGAGCTTGATTTCAGAGTTTTTGACGAGTCTCAAGACGAAGAAGATGACACCAAGTCGGAGTTCTCATTTTCTGACTACACCTTCCCCTTGCGTCCCCTCAAGTCGGCTTTCAAGTCCAACTTGACCGCATCACTTCGCGCTCTGCGCTCTGCTGCAAGGTCCATCTCGAACATCAACTTCTCTTCCATTCCCCCAGACGATTTTCTCACCAGGTCCATTCTCACCATCGACCCCAAAGTGCCTTACACGGATGAGCGTCGACCTCCTGTATTGGAGGAGGAGCCTTCCGCCGCCCTCCGCCGGTACCTGAACCCTACGACCAATGCTCGCATTGAGCCCCACCCAGCGACGGCTGCCGCTGCGCCTGGCGGCACGCGAGGCTTTACTGCCTCAATCCAGATGCAGACCTACAAGGTTCAGCGAAGCCGCAGTGCACCACCCCCATCGTCCCGGGGTCCCTCTCCGACGACATCGGCGGGCACGACTCAGTCAACGCCTTATCAGCCCCCATCTCAATCTCCGAACCAGACTGCCTTTACCTACCCACCTGGCGGCATGCGACAGCGGGAGATGCGAGAGAACTCAGACTTCATTCGCATTGCCGTCATGGAGATGGCGATGCGAAAACGCGGAAAGCTTGACGACCAACGGCCAGGCCGTGCCCGCTGGGCTTTACCGCCACGGAAGCCGAACGTACGGGCCTACGAAGTTGGCCCCGACGGTGTGCCAGCTCGATGGATCCCCGTGTCACAGTGAAGGCGCACGTCCACGCACGAGATGTTGGCATCACGCATACCCGGCGATAAAATCGCACCAAGGATGCAGGAACCCCCACGACCGGACACCGCCCGACGATGCGTGGTTGAATCAAGTTGAGTCACTCGGCACCGATTCCGCAGCATTTCGGTTACTCGACGAACAGAGCACGTCAGAGGTCGGACGGGGGTCCGAATTATTTCACCCGCGGCAAGCTTGCTTATTGCCGGTATTTTTACCCTCTGGCGTGGGACACCGCCCTTGGTGTTGTCCGCGGAGAAGGCGAAAAAAAAAACAAGAAGGTCGGGGTTCCTCGCATGTTGTGTGCGCTGCCCTGATTGCACCGTACCTTTCTGGTGGAATTGTCACTCATCAGTGCCCCCCTCCAAGACGCTAAATTACGGGGAAGCATCAGACCCGCAATCATCGGGCAGGGAGCCGACGTAAGTGCCTGCCTTATCCGATATCGCGGAATTGTCAGCATCATCGCGCGTCTGGCTCCCTGCTCAAACGCTCCATTTTCTGCCCAAATAGTCGACTAAACCGCCTGGGGCACCGAAGACGGCATCCATTTTTTTTCAGCGCTTCTAGAAGGTCTCGATCTGCGGGTCTTCTCACGCAGTTTTACCTTACCGTTTGGTAATAGTGAGGGACCTTTTGCAATCTGCCTACCGCCTGCCGCCTACGGCCAGGAACTTTTTCATTTGAGCCTTCGATAGCGGGACAATCACAACGAAATGAGCTGCTCACTAGCGGGCCATGACCACCTGCTACATTTGTCGATTTTTCTAGAAGCGAACACTGGTCTGAGGCGAACCGCAAACATGGTTTTCTCGGCCAGTCAGTCGGTTGGGTGTTCACACACTTGAAGTTTTTTTGAAACAGGAGGCGGAGCAATCCACGAATTTGGGAGACGCAAGATGCGTTGTCAACAAAAAAAAAAAAAAAAAAGTAACAAGTATTTACGACGAGACCGATGGACACACGTCCGACAAACCACATACGACACCACACCCACACCCACACATACACATGTTCTTTTTCTTCCTCTCAGCCGGTTTCAAGCGCATGGCCTGATTGCAGCAACTCCCAACGAGGATTCCTCGATGTGGGATGCCCATGGCCAAGACTGCGCCGTGGGGTCGCATTTCACTTTGCGACGGATCCAATGTTGCGGGTATCACTGCCACCGAAGGAACCGGACCACTCAGAGCACTTTTGATTCACATTTGATTCGACAGCATATGCATAGCGACGGAATTGGGATTACAAGCATTTGAGAGCGCGAGCATATGGGTGTTTATTCTTTTTTTTTTTTCCCTTCCCGTCTCCCCGGCTCCGCTGGACACGAACACGTTGCCGCTCGCCGCCGTATATTTCATGTGGTATACGGTGGAAAACAATCCACAAGGCACGAATTCGGGAGTTTGCGGGGATTTCCATCAAACCAACCCCCCTTGGGAGTATCATCCCACGCGAACAGTCCACTTCTTGGCGAATTTTGACTCTGACCTTGCATGTGAATGCATGTCGGGTCACTGGCGCCCAAGTCCTGCGACGTGACTCAGGGAAGGACCACGCACAGCAAGGAGTAAGGACGCAAGGAAATGTTGCTCTTTTTTTTTTTTCAAACATGCACAGATGCAAGTACTTACATGGAAGACGACAGTGCTTCCAATTTGTTTCTTTTTTTGTAAATTTTTATTTTTTCTTTCTGGTGTTATTACGGCGCAGTGGCATCAGCGATGAATAGGAGCATATGGATCAGGCAATGCGGCATCAGAATCCGCAGAAGGAGTAACGAGCGTGCTACAGGCGCACATTATTGATTTAGCAGTTGCAAACCAATCTCAAATCATATATTGAACATTTATTTGTTTATTCTTCTTTATTGACTTTGGTAATGTGTTGAGAGAGTGACTTATCCTTGCATGGCAAGGTCCAGGAACACGTTGCTCGGACTGGGCCGGAAGCATGCAGGGCGGCCTAACACAACCTCCAATCTGCAGCGACACCGCTACAGAGTGTTGAGTTGAGCAGCAATTGGGATAACGGGGGGGTGTTGGACTGGCGGTCACGCGTTTGCGGGGCCAGTCTCCGGAGCAATCTCACCGCCATCCAAATACGGCGAAGCCGACATTGACGTGGTTCAAGGCCTCTCATTCGCTAGTTCGGCGCCGAGACGCTGACGGACGTATCGGGCCTTGGTGGTGGTGGTGGTGGTGGTATTAGTGGTGATGGGACAAGCATTTGTTTTCTCGGTGTAATTTTTTGGTAGTGGGCGTGGAGTCATCCCGCACAGTATCAAAGATTGATTTCATCATGACAAGGTCAATTCCGAGACGAGCGAACACCGAGCAAGCGAGCGACGGGTCTAGACGGTCCTAGGCGAAGCAACGATTCCCACACACTCTCTCTCTCTCTCTATTTCTCCGTTCTCATGTGTGGCTCGGAGGACCGCCCGCCCGCCACGCCTCGGCAGTTGGAAGCACTGACTTTGCCCAATTCCGCTGGTACATTGTCCACTTTTAAGCCCTTCGCTTGCGCGGTTTGCGGGATAGGGCTCCAGAATTTTCCTTTTTTTTTTTTTCTGCTCTTTGCGTTGGACAGCCAGTTATTCACTTCATGTACAATCCTGTGCTAATGGTGTCTTTTGCTCAGAAGGGCTAAGTCTCGCCACCTCCTTGCAGATGATGCTACCAAATCGCCGGGATCCGCTTTCGGGACGTCGCGAGCTACGCGATCTTGCGCCCGTTTGCACATGGCGGTGGCGAACGGGTGCTAGCCTTCTATCAGTTATTTCCCTGCCCGTGCCTGGGAGAGTATAGTTTTGATGGTGTAAAATTTTCAGGGTTTTATGGGACTTTTATTTCGTCTTTATTTAATTTTTTTGTCGTTGCGTTGACACATGGAAAAATTGTTAGGGGGAGGGGGATGGGGGGGGGGGGGGTGGTGGGAGTGTTTCTTTACCGAATATGTGTCCCCATGTTTTCTTTTTGGGTGAGGTGATTAAGGGTCCTTTTTTGCTCCGTCGAGCAACGATCCTTGCTTCCTTGTTGATCATTGGACGAGGATAGAGAAGAAAAAAAGGGGGAGCTAATGTGTATCCGTACACCGTGTAGTGAGGGAACCCTAGGGGCTAATCCTTGAGTCTGACCTTTTGGGGGAGGAAGGCCACAGAAGGTCCTTGCAGGGTCTTGCAGGGCTTCGCAGGGCTTCGCAGGGGCTTTTGCACGGGGGCGTGGGTTTATGGGATTTCTTTTTGAATGTGGTTTTTTGCGAGTTAAACGCATTCTAGAAGGTGGTGGTTGGGATGGGGAATTTTTAAGAACATCGGTTTTTTTGGGAAGGGGGAGGGTGTTTTGTCGCTTTCGTCCCTGCGGAAGATTGTTCTTGTTTTAGAAGGAGGGAAGATTGTTCGATAAGGTAAACTCTCTTTTTTTAGTCCCTTTGGGGAAGGAGACAAGACATGATGTTAGGTACTACTAGTAAGACTCCCTCGAAGACCGAAGCGAAGCCCGTGTCCTACGGGACGGACCGTGATACTTTTTTATCCTTTTTATTCGTTCTTTTTATGAAAAAAAGTAATCCGAGCATTGGCATTCGACGTCGTGCAGGTAGCACGTGAGTTGCATTGTGTTTGGGGTCCTGCGGGCGTAGAGCGTTTTCCTTTTGCTGCTTTTAGTAGGTGATAGGAAGCTACTGATGCATAGGGGTCTTTTTTTTTTTCCTTGGCGAGATAACCGAAAGTTTGGAGAGTGGTTCTCTATGTGAAAGGCGGTGGGAAAAGAGAGTTTCGGGGAGCATTTGGGACTCCGTTGCTAGTCAGGTTCCATGTCACTCTCCGGCTGCGGGGAGGGGGGTGGGGACTGCTGTAGCTCTTTTTGTGGGATATCGGGGTCGATAGGGGACGGAGGTATGTCATGATGTGTGGGAGGTCGAGGTAAAGTGTTCTGGGACGCCGCCGTGTAATGATGACGGGATGAGGGAAAGAGAGGGTTAGGTGAGTTGTGCCGCCTGCGATGGCGGGATTGCGTGAGGTTGCGAGGGGATGGTGTTTGATGGCGACATTTTGGGGTGTATTGGTTTTTCGAGTTGTGTTATATAGCGCGTAGCTGCATTCTGGTTGACAGTTCCTTTCGTGTTCGTTCTTTTTAGACTTATCCTTGAATTCGACCATGATCAGTTTTGGTTTCGGAGATGATCGAGAGATGATCGAGACGAGGCTAGGATACGGTCCAGAGAAGCAGTTTGGCAATCATCCACGGCATGTTTTGCTCTCCGGGGAACCACGTATTCGATCGAAGTCGACTGTTTGATGAATAGACGGGGTACTCGAGAGAAGTTGGCCAACGAGATTGTTGTGAATCGAGCAAGGTTAAGGGAGGGGGTTGTTACGCAAGAGGTGGATTCGACTTCCTCAAGGACGTCAACATGGGCTGAGAGGCGATTTCACTGTTAATCTATGAAGAAATTCTTGAGTGTCCCTGGAGGGATTTAGTCGACCGTGGCTGAGGTACTCCTTCCAACAAGTCTGAGCGTGTGGTTGGATAACTGGCGGGAGGCATCGGCCAATGTCCATATATCGAACGAGCTACGTCGCTACATCTTTCCTTGAGGTCCATCGATACGCATGAATCCATCCTTGGCCGGACGTCGAGGGGGGCGCCGCACCGCTCCGAGTGGGACTAGGATGGAGTCGACGGCGGATAAAGGGTTGAGTTGCTCAGTCTCGTCATGGCTCTTTCAACCGGTGGCAGCGAGTGGTCGTCTGCATTTCTAGATGGAACATTACCTGGGTAAAGTATGCTGTTATGCCGGAAACTGAAAAGGGATACTAGACACAAGGAGCCCACGAATTTTGTGCATCGTGACGGCTGTATGCATTCTCTCGAGTTTAGTTGATGATGAGTGAAGCTGGAAGGTAAGTTGGGAATGGGGGCACGAACTAGATTCAGTAATCTCTTCTCTTGACACACACAGTCGAAAGATCAGCTCTATGCAGAGTCAAAAAGTCTGTTGGCGATAGTAGTCTGACAGGCTCCTCCATGTGGCAGACATCTCTTAGCCTTGATGTTAGGCATGCTGTCGAATACGTGGTCAGCAGTAGTAATGCCTACCAGAAACTTGCTAATGAAGGCCCGGGGGTTTACTGAAATTGTGTACTCAAGGATTTATACAATCCGGCAAACATTACCGTTGTCATGTGCTCGTGCTAAGAAAGCAGGTTATGATGATGGCAGAAAAGGCACAAGATACCGTCATAAAGTGACGATGAGCAGATTTATTGAAGTTCTGTTGTGAGTTTATACCACTTCAAATTTACCATCGCAAATGTCTTTGGTTGGAACATCAATTATTTTATGTTTTGGATTTGATGCCCATTCCTGTTTCCCCTGAACCTGATTCTCTCAGCTATTATGCCCCGCACGGTACATATGGTTTCTGTAGTCCGTAATCATGGCGAGAATGTCATGACATGAACGATATTTCTTGTACAGCCCAGGGTATCCCATTGATTTTCTCTTTCTCCGTCGTGAGGCATACATCTGCCAACACAGGAGCTTCATATGATGGAGCATTGTGATGAAAGCTCTTTGACAATGGATCCCGAGTTACGGGGACCACTCCTATAAGCAACAAACCTCTTAAATATCTCACAATCGCTACCTGAAATGTCCAGCTTCACATTTCGCAATATTACCCAAGCCACTGTGGTGAACTAAGACTACGATGGTGGCTGGAACTGGGAAAGTCAGGTTGGCAGTGTGGCCCGCTTCTATCTTTCCACCACGCTGATAACTGGAAGTGTTCCAAGCCAGTTTCACGAGAGTAGGATAGAAGCTCTATTACAATGGATCATTGTATGATGCTAGTAAAGGTAATGGGTCCAAGTGGTTAGCCGGACTAACGTTTGCAAGGCATGAAATCTTGTAATTGTCCTCAAGAAAGTATCCGTCGCCTCAGCCTTTTTACTCTAAGCCGGCCTTCTCAACCCGGTTTAGAGCGGATATACGTCTTTATGTAAATCTTGATACCTTCTTGTGCGTTGATTATAGGTACTCGAACGTATGTTCGCCGAGACACGGCGAAGAATAAGCCAAGAGGCAGATAGGGCAGGCTCAACTATTTACAGGTCGTATGCGTTATGTCTATTGTGATGAGAAGCTTTCGATCCCTTGCTACCGTTGTAATTGGTTTTGACCACTGAAGTCGCCGAGCCAAGAATCGCCAGGTAGCCATTAGAGATTGTGAGTGGGACAGAGAAGATGTATGCAAATTTCAAATATACATTAGCCTTCTCAAGCTCGGAAGAGAATGTGTTTTAGCCATATCCCCTGTCTACCTCAAAAACTCCCAGCCTTGGAAATGCACTTGTGGTACAGTCATTAATGCTAGTAACCAGAAGAGCACTATGTGGCTGAGGTGTCAAAAACAAAGGCCAGTCTGTACCATTGTAAAAAGTAAACGAATAGATCAACTGGCGGAAAGATTAATGTGCTCACAATTAGGGCTCATGGTAAAAGATTCTTACCAACCAAAACCATGCAACCATGTAACTACTTCCGAAATCATTATGACAATCCGACTTTCCTCCGAAGAGGCACGCAGGATTCCTGTTCTGGGTAACCCTTCAACCCTACTCACAGGTTTCCCCCAAGTGATGTTGCACCTTCTAAGTTCCAGGTTGCCGCCAATATACAGGGTTTATTAAATTTGCCTACCGGACAGACTATCATTTTTCAAACTTTCTGCGCCCCAAGCCCGCTTGCTTAGATATATAACTGTTCGGAAACCCGCGGTGTTGGGCTTATCAGATAGAGATAGCAAGATATGAGCTTGGTCCAGTGTCCTTGCTGACATAGAAAGCTATTGTAGCACTTATACCCAGCCTTTGTAGACCCGGTGTGTACCATGGCAAGAGATGTCTCGATGTCATGACAAGCAAGTGCTTGACGTATAACAACAAATTGACAGTCTAATGCCATTGTGATGTGTTAAGATGTTTTCATCAAGACAAATGTGGCTGATGGATTTCTCTACTTTCAAACTATGTGAAATCTTAATGGGCAAGCCAGCCTCTGTTGGGCTATTTTCCCCCACAGGTCAGGAGTAGAATGAAAGGCTATCCATCTCAAGGTAGACGTTTTGACGAACCAGGTACAGTCTGTGGTTCAAGAAGTGGCTACTGTCGGTCATAACAGGCTGTGTATTTACTGAAACGTTCCAAGACATCATCTGCTACTCTATGGCAGCCACTGGTTGATACTTGCAAGGCTTTTTGCCAGCCCTTGGCAGCCCCGTCGTTCGACAACCCGTCCCAGGGCGAGGATGTTGGGTTCAATCACTCAGCCTACCAATCTAGGCTCACCGATAATAACCTAGACGCATACTAACAAATGCAATCACTCGAGAGAACATGGTTGCTCAAAATCATTGTCATCATTTTGGGGCCAACCCCTTGTTATCCTCTAAACGCCATCTATCATGCTCACGAGGCCTTTAAACCTCGGATGACGTCGGGAAATTATCAATACCTCATCCAGCTTACGAAGCGTTCGCGCTCACGTCATTGAAGATCTTCTTCTTGACCTCCATCGCCACTAATCCTGTCCTCTCCTGCGTAGCTACCGTATTGCTATCCTTCATAAGCTTCTCCACCAAGTTGTCTACCTTCTTGCCGCTTGTCGCCATCGAGTTCATCGCCGATGCAGTCCGTCCTTGCCGTGCGACCTGAGTCGTTGCCTCCTTGATCTTGGACGCAAGGTCTAATATCTGCTTGTTTCCGTAGTCGCGGTTGGTGAAGAGCGGGCTCTGGCTCAGGGTCTGCACCCAGTACTTGTGCCACAGCAGCTCCAACAGATGCGAGTCGAGAGTGCTCTTGAAGTGTGACACTTCAAGACTGTAATACTTGCTGGCGTGTGCGCCAAACTCTGCCGCTTTAGCCAGGGGAACCTCTTGCCAGCCATCGCTTGTCACGCCGCCGCCGCCACCGCTGCTACTCTCCTTCTCCTTGATGTAGTTTTCGGGGTATGTTCGAAATGCGCCAATCTCCACTTTGCCGGCATTGATGGTGCGGTCGGGATCAATGACGACTGCAAGAAAGGGTTCCTGGAACTGCTGCTGCAGAGCCTGAGTACCAACGTCGATGCCAGACAGCCAACAGCCGTAGCCCGGATGCGAGTGGTACCATCCGACAACGTTTTCCATGCGGCCTTGTTCGCGACACAGACTGAGATATTCCACCATGTACTCTTCAGCGTCACCTTGGGCATTGACACGTGTTTCGGTTCCTTCCACAGGCAATCGGAAGGCATCGGTGACGATGAATGTATCGCCGTTGACGTATCCTTGCATGAGACCCATCACCTCCAGGTTGCCGCCGGATCGGGCGTGCATGACCATTTTGATGAGTGCAACGGCACTTATGCGAACATTCTTGAAGTGATTCGGGTTCTGCGCCCAGGGGCGAGCGCTCATCGCTTCTTTCTGGGCGTCGGTATCGAGATTGTAGAGGGCATCGCGTTTGGGGTCGACCAACTTGACGTTATTGTCGAGCTCTGCGGAAAGCGGTCAGCTCAAGACATCACATGTACAAACAAAGGGGTTAAACTTGGTAAACATACCCCATGACTTAAGAGCTACCTCCATCTTGACTGCTCAAACTGCGTGAGCAGGATCTGTTTGACGAAGATGGCGATGGTGACGGAAGGTTGAAGGTTGGAGACGTTGGCGCAGCAGTTACCCCACCATCCAGGCGCTTGCCTCATGCCAATCCTTATCGATAAGATAAAGCTATTAGGCTCCAGTAAACAGCTTATATAAGCAGTACTCCATATCAACTGGTCCACCCACAGCGAACTTGTAGAAGAATTGGGTCTCTTGCCTTCACGACGAAATAGACAATCAAGCATCATTGCCAACGGCCACCATACAGGAGTCTCGCAGCAATCATAATCAGGCAGCCAATTGAATGGGCAAAGTCAATTCCAAAAATTTTCGTCTGGGCTTTTTTTTTTTTTTCCCTTTTTTTTTGTTCTTCCAAAATTTGGTCAGTTGCCCCAAATGAACAGTCCTTCCGAGCAACTGGTTGGACCTTGCACTGAAGCGAAGCGAGTGGCAATATGAAGTAACTCCTCGCATTTGCAAACAACTGCGCAAAGCTAAGTGTTGTGGAACACCTTCTTGGGGGTACAGATGACCTTTATTATGGTCGGACTCCCCATCTCGCTAGCCCGAGAGGGTGGTTCTGTCGCGAGGTTATGTGAAACCACCGAAGTTGATGGTAGTCCTCAGTATTCTACCCTTCTTTTCAGCGGGTCCAAGTCGACTGGACTGACCGATCTGAATTGCGGGGGAAATGGTCGAAAGAGATCTTTTGGGGGTCCGAACCAATGTTCTTAGATGCTTGGTTCCAAGGCTGTGGGAAGTGAACCCTGGCAGATCATGTCGACAAGCAACTCTTGGCGAAAACGGTTCCTGGTTTAATTCTGAGGGCTTCAACAACGACAAACGTCTTGACATTCTCGGATATCTAACGTGCCGGATCAGCTGGCGCGTAACTCCATGTGGAACTCCGTCGGACGGTCTTGCAAGGCAATACGGACATTAGCTACCCTCGCTCTTTATCGCCGGCCGGGCCTTCAAACACGAGAGCGAGGTTGCCCCCGTAACATCGCACAGCCCATCCAACCTTGCTGCAAGATGCTTTGACGTCATCCCATAGCGAATGTAAGTCGAAACACTAAAATCATCGCAACCCGCCATCGTTCATGCAACCAGCAACGCACGCGGCAAAGGCTGTTTTAGCAGCACCGGCCTTGCGATTGGACAGTTTCACAAGTCTACGCACATACACACCATGTCTGGGACATCGAAAGCACATTAGGTACCGTCATTATTACTGTAAAAATATATGGAAAACGAAGAGCTGATCTAGTCTGTAAACGTGGCATGGACCAAGCCTTCCCAAGCCCGAACCCGCTACCTGAGCCCGAGGTGGTAATTTCTTCTCCTAGGCAACTCGGACTTTACATACAAGTGACGGGAGGTTGTCTGAACTCAAGGGTGCCCTGTCAGAGCAATCGTAGCTGGCCCCTTTGCCTGCCATCTGGCACCCTTTAGGCGACGAAAGCGACGGCCTCACCGGCCGCGAACTCGTCGCGGCGGTTGTTCTTGGCCTTCTTGGTCTTCTTGCCGCGATGGTGGGGCTCACGAGCCTCAATGGCGTGGTCAGCTCCATCCTCAGCAGCGAACTCGTCGCGGCGGTTGTTCTTAGCCTTCTTGGTCTTCTTGCCGCGGTGATGGGGCTCACGAGCCTCGATCTCACGAGCCTCAACAGCATGGTCGGCAGCGTCCTCAGCAGCGAACTCATCACGACGGTTGTTCTTGGCCTTCTTGGTCTTCTTGCCACGGTGGTGAGGCTCGCGAGCCTCAATGGCGTGGTCGGCTCCATCCTCAGCAGCGAACTCATCACGGCGGTTGTTCTTGGCCTTCTTGGTCTTCTTTCCGCGGTGGTGGGGTTCACGGGCCTCAATGTCACGGGCCTCAACAGCATGGTCGGCAGCGTCCTCAGCAGCGAACTCGTCGCGGCGGTTGTTCTTGGCCTTCTTGGTCTTCTTGCCGCGGTGATGGGGCTCACGAGCCTCAATATCACGAGCCTCTACGGCATGGTCGGCGGCATCCTCGGCGGCGAATTCATCACGGCGGTTGTTCTTGGCCTTCTTGGTCTTCTTGCCGCGGTGGTGAGGCTCACGAGCCTCGATGTCACGAGCCTCAAGAGCATCCTCCGCAACAAATTCGTCACGGCGGTTGTTCTTGGCCTTCTTGGTCTTCTTGCCACGGTGGTGAGGCTATGAAAGCACGTCAGTACGGGAAATCTTCATCATATATAGAGAAGATTCTTACCTCGCGGGCCTCAATGCTGGCAGGCTGGGGCGCAGCCACGACAGGCATGGCAAGTGCCAAGGCGGGAGCCTAAATAAACTCTTATTAGCGCAAATTCCCTACGGGATAGATTCGTGATGGCATTCAACGTACTACATAGCGTCTGGCAACCTCGCCCGTGGGGATAAGGGAGAGAGACTGAACACCCTGGACGGCAAGGATGCTCGCCAAGAGGAAGTGGCCGAAGGAAGGGTAATGCATCTTGAAAGGAATGATAGGCTGACCGGCAGCGAATGACAGCAACTGAATTAACAAAGAAAGGGAATGAAAGGTCGCGTCAAGCGATAAGGGGCCAGTTGTGGAATGAGACGTACGAATGGTCAGATGTTGGTGGGCTGATGAGCGGGTTTGAGAGATTTATATCTAGCTCAAGCCTTCTCGCTCTGTGCCTGGCAGGGTTACATGGCTCACCTTTCGGGACTTTTCGTCCCCAGTCCCATCGCGAGTACGTTGAGCAAGGGTTGGGACCCCAAGTTTAGACGATTTTCTTCTCTCAAGACTTCGAGCTACGATCGTCCTGCTCTGCTAGACTAGAAACGTCTCAGAGTTCGAGTGAAAGGGTCCACAGGGGGATGGGGGCAGGGCTACTGGCTATGACGGCTTCGAATGTTGCTCGGACTCAGCTGGCTGTGGAAAGGAGACACGATGAGGCTTGTTGGAGGCGGGGAGGGCCATGCTGGGTGCGAGCCGTTGCCAGCGGCTGCATTCTCGCTTCAACAAGCATATTACCTTAACGGCAATAGGAATGACCCTGACGGCGGCTCGCTTGCAGTTTCAGTCAACAGAGAGTGCCTGCGAGAGCCAGCGGACCACGGGGTTGGAGGCACCCTCGTAGAAATCCCAGCCAAATCTGATGCTAAGCTTGATCGACATACTGTTACGGAAGGTCTTCACGATACTAGCGCCGGTCAGGGTGTAGAGACGTATTCGATTCGAAGAGGTCGATCTCATAGGAGCCGCACAAGGGTGTGTATTGGCCGGCTCTGATACAGCTAAAACCGCAGGCGCTAAGCCAATGTCACCGAACCTGGCAAAGGTCCCGACTTGTAAGGTGGAGCTACGAAGTTGCGGCAGCAAGTTGCCGGGTTTTAAGCCGCAGAAGTGCCCCATACTGGCCCAGGCGCTGTTCATTTACAGTCGATCTTGGCTTTGCCTGACTTGTTCCTAGCTGAAGTTGAGGCAGAAGGGAGTTGGTGTGTGGCTGTTGGTGTTTGTTGGACGCTCCGCAAGCCACTCCCTGTCGCGCACCCACTCCGCGTTTCGCCAACCCCCTGTACTGAGACACCGCACCAACGCCGCAGACCCGGCCAAACACGGGTGGGGGGAAGGGCCAGGAGAGGTCGCATTCTGAGGGAACAAGCACTCAAATGGACATGCAACCTGAGTTGACCATGGCATTTGGCCGAATATTGGGGCACATGATGCCCTTCATCAATTGGATAAGCGATCCCGTATTTCCCTTACCGGCTGCAACGGTGCTGGAGCCCACGCTGTGTCGTCTATTCTTGCTTTGGATGAAAGGCCCTGTGGTTCGTCCACCGCTTCGCAACGAAGATCAAACAGCCCAAACGTTTCTGATGGCTGGATGACATATCCGCTTGGCTTGTTCTATTCAGGAGTAGCGAACGCTGTGGACAACCCCCCCTTTCGTAGGATCGGAGATTTTTGTAATCATTTTTTTTTTCCCTTCTTGGCCAAGGCAAGACAAGCTCTAGTGCCCCTTGATGGTTGATGGTTGATGGTCTGCGATCTCCCATCACTCTGGTAATACGATTTTCATGCCTAGAGCGATCGCCTTGGCGCCTCGTCTCTTCTTACCCTCAGACAGCACGCTGGCGCCCGCTTTTGATTGTTCACACCTCTGTTCCTTTTCCCTCTCTCTCATTTGTTTGGTTTTACCCTGCCTTTTTCCCACCATTACACATTCTGCCACTATCCCCATTCATTCTTTTCTAATTAGCACCTGGTGTGCAGTAGTATCATAGTACACTTATCATACCCCCTTTTAATCATGTCTTCTGAAAAGCTCTACCGATCAGTGCCTCACGAGGAGGAGGAAGTTGAAAGCCTCGCTGGAAGCCTGAGCACCGAAAATACCGAGAACAGGGAAAGCACAGAAAAAGCGACGTCGAGATGGAGGCGGATGAGAGTCGGCGATGAGAACCCGTGCAAAGAGAGAGCCCGTCGGCTGTTACGCTATTGGCCCTGGGCCGCTCACGCCGTCCTGTTGACGACGTCCGTTACCCTCTTCGCGCTGACCGTCTGTATGCGATATGGAAACCCCAAGGATGATACATTCTTCACCAAGAAGTATTCCTCATACTGTATGTTTTGTTGTACTGCGTTCCACGACCCAAGCTGACAGCCATGTAGCCCCCGCCGCCGGTGTTGTTCGGTATCACTCTGAGAGATACAACCTCACGCCCATCATGGATTGGTCACCATTCGTCGGAGCCGGGTATGAAGTCGACCGAGCATGGGACCACATCACCAACAATGGTAGGCCTCCATGAAAGGATTTCGTGAGAATTTTGTCGACTGACGCATTCGGGTTGCAGTTGGCGACCAAATGATCTCCCACGCCGAGCTTACCAAGCTGGGTCTTGACCCCAAGTCCATCAAGATCACGAACCCTATTACGGGTGAGGAGGGATACCGTGCCGGTCTCGAAGTCTTCCACCAGCTTCACTGCCTCAACCTCCTGCGCATGTCGAGTTACCCCGATTACTACTCCAGAGAAGAAGTTGGCGGAGACGTAGCTACTGACGCCGAGGACCTGAGAGGACATATCGGTATGCTAGTCCACTATTGCCATTACCACAATCAGGTCGATTAACAAAGTTTACAGATCATTGTCTCGAGGCGCTTAGGTTGAACCTCATGTGCCAGGCCGATATTGGTGTCTTCACCTTCAAGATGTACCCGGAACTCTCGGTCGAGGGTCACTGGCCGGACTTTAGCACTTTGCATACTTGCCGCAACTTCGACGACATTCGCAACTGGGCCATGATTCATTCGGTAACGTTTGAGGATGAGGAATAGAGTTACTTGCTGGTGGCCCGTGAACAAAGTATCAGGTTGCCGGTTGCCGTACGAGTTCATAGAAAAAAAGACAACACAATCTCTTTCAGATAAGCAGTGCATCCACACCCACGGTGGAGTTTGGCATTGCATGCAAACTTTAAACAAAAGTGAGAAATCAGCAGACTTCGCGTGAACCATAGAGGAGGCCAGCGCTTCGGAGCCTGCCGAACGGGAATAACTTAGCTTTTTCTTCTTCTCATATACAGACTCAAGCTTTAGATTTACTTTTCAGTCAGCAATGACAGCGACTTTAGCTACGCCGTATGCGGGTAGATTAGCGCTATGAGTAGGCGGGTATAATGTGCATTTCTCTCCGACGATTCCATATCCACCAGCGCCAGCTGGTCACATCTGGATTTCGATCCACAATCAGCCCTGATGGTCTAGCGGTATGATTCTCCCTTAGGGTTGTCTGTTGACTACTCAATTCTGGGAGAGGTCCCAGGTTCGATCCCTGGTTAGGGCCCTTCTCTTTTGCAAAATTACCATTACTTTTTCCGTCCTTTTACGGTATTCTGTAGGCCGAGTTTGTTTTGTCGTAAAGGCAAAAACAGCGTGTAGGAGCACTGTAGCGGGTAAGGCGTTTGCCGACACGGGCTCTTTATGCACGATGCAGGTACAAGACTTAATTTTGAGGCCCGGTGCCTGTGTGTCATGCTTACTCGCATCTGCTTTTCCTTGATATACTTTTCTGCCATCCTTGCATAGAACTCGCGAAGAAGAAGAAGATGATAGATCCTTGGGACGGAAAATAATACCCGAGTCCTGTCCTTGTTTCTTACGACTCGGGAGTTTCGGCGAATCGCATATTTACTCCGCGGGACACGCGTAGTACGCAAAGGCTTGATACGAACCCGAGGATTTCTGTTCACCTTTGGCATTGCCCTGTCCACTACAACAAGCACATGCCCTGCCGAGAGCCTCACGGGTTGAAGTAATCATTGAACAAAACATGACTAAACCATATAAACCTTCTTGTTTATTAGCCTTTTGAGGCATCCGCTTCCAGGGGGTATCACATCATCTTTCTCTCTAAACAATTCGTTACAACAGCAGCCACCAAGATAAACTTCTCCCGAGTCATCTCTGTACCAATGTTTCGTTTACACATCCTCCAGATCCTTCTTTGTCACGATGCCCATCTGCTTGTTCATGACCTCGTCCGGGTCACCGGCACCGGCATCCAGGACCTCTAGGTTGCCCTTGTCGTCCTTCGCGCCCGTCCTGTAACCGGAATGGCTACCAAACACATACCAGACGTAGCCGGCGAGCAGGGCAGTAGCTGCCAGGAAGCCAAAGATTGTCCAGTTGCCCATGCTGTACATGGGGGAGTCGGTGCTGGGGAAGAGGAACGGGGCAGAAATGCCGCCCGTGTTGGCGATGGCGATCATGCCGCCCGTCGCCAGGGCTGTTGCGGTGGAACCCTGAACAGTAGCAGTTCGATGCTGTTTTTCTCCCTGTTAGCTTTCTTTTATACTTCTCAAAAGTTTCAAGTTGTGTTCGTTTTTTTTTTTTTTTCTTTTTGTCAAGGAAGAAACTTACAGCGACGAAGGGAAGGACAGCGGCGTTGGTGCAGGCAATGATGCAAACCGCAAAGTAGCGAACACCCCAGTGCTTCACGACAGCCAACAACAGGTATCCGGTGGCGACGAAAATGAGGGCGCCGATGACGTGGCGGGAACGTTCCTTGGTCTTGTCGCTGTGCAGACAGTTGCCGATGATGACGAACATGGCAAAGACGTTGGGCGGGACGGTGAGCAGCTGTGCGTTGTGTCCCTTGAACCCGAGCGAGGAGACGATGGTGGGAGCGAAGTAGCCGAATGCGTTGAGCGAGTTGGTCATGAGGAAGTACATGACGGCGAACAGCCAGAAGAAGGGGTCGGCGAGCGTCGACTTGGCGACCTTGCTGTCCCAGTGCTTGTCCTTCATGGAGGGCGCGTAGGGGCCGAGGCGCTTGACGGCGAAGGCGCGCTCCTCGGGAGTGAGCCAGGCGGCCGTCTGCGGGTAGTCGGGAAGCATGAACCAGACCATGACACCCACGATGACGGCGGGGATGCCCTCGAGGACGAAGAGCCACTGCCAGCCCGCGAGCCCACCCTTGCCGTTCAGGAATGAGATGGCGGTAGCGAGGAGGCCACCGAAAGCGCCGGCGACGGCGACGGAGGACGCAAAGATGGCCATGCGGGTCGCGCGTTCCTCGGGCTTGTACCAAAAGCAGAGATACATCATGATACCGGGGAAGAAACCGGCTTCGGCGAGACCGAGCATGATGCGAACGGCGAGGAGACCGCCGTAGGTCGAGACGGCGGCGGTGCAGATGGTGACGATTCCCCAGGAGACCATAATACGGGAGATCCACTTGGAAGGGGAGAAGTACTTGAGCAGGATGTTTGACGGGAACTCCATCAGCACGTAGGGGACGAAGAAGAGGGCGACGGCAACATTGTAGCGCTGGCCGGTGAGGTTGAGCTGGGTTACAATGTTGTCTTCGGGCGTGTCGTTGTTGAGCGTGCGGGCATTTCCTAGGTTGACACGGTCGAGGTAGTCTGTCAAAGGGGTGTTAGTTAATAATCCTTTCGGGGGTTGATGTATAACTGAGATGGCAGATGGCATACTCAAGAGGTAAGTTACCTGCGACGTCTTTGTTAGTAATCATGCACCTGGGGAATTGACGAGGGGTTGAGGAGTTCGTACACAAATCCATGGAAGAATACGGAGATCTTGTTTCCTGACAATTCTCTTCTCCATCTCCTTGTCGGCAAGGTCGACGGTTTCCAGGCCAGGCACGTCTAGCGACGGCGCTGGAGAGAACAGGGCTTTCCAGTCAACCATTATGGCAAATGGCGTGAGATTTCAAAAGTTGTCTGGTTCGTGGTTTGATGAGGCCTTTTTTTTTCGTGAATGTGGTCGATATTATTGGAATGAATGTCCTTTGGGTGGTTGTTCAGGGGCTAGGCTCTATCCGACAACCGTGAGACCGTGCTGATAACCCTAATAATCGGCAGATAATGATGATGCTGGGACGACTTGGAGTACATCAGACAGAAACTTCTACCCCAAGCCGACGGGAACAGAGGTTGATATAAGTTGAAAGCACCTTGCCACGGTTCCGCGTGCATGGTTCGATCCATCCCGACATCCACCCGCAGCATCTCCGTGTTAGTCTGCCACCCACCCCAGCTATCTGTTTTAGAAACTGCATTCACACAACCAAAACCAACCTCCCTTATCTCTGCAACTTTGGCGCCAGTGATAGTTATGATAGGTGGTGGCGTCAAAGGGTTCGGGGTCATCCCCAAAGAAGCGTTTGGGCGAAGTCAATTGGTAAATGCCGGCGGGGGAGATAACATGTCGACCAATCAGACATTGGCAGACTACTCTAGATAAGGCCAAGTCTAGACATGTCAGTCCCGGGGACAACCCCAGACTCGGGAGGGAAAACCATTTCCCACAGATTGTGGAAATGCCCCTAGGCTTGCATTTGACAAGTGAGATAATGTTAGTATCTTGCCTGCGTCCGGTCATCGGCCTAGCTGACTCAATCTCTATACGAACGAATACAGGAATTACGCAGGCGACACGAGGCCAGCACATGTCAAATCTTGCACCTCTCAAGCGCCGTCAAAACTCTAGCACGTTGCCGCACTTCCGAGGCGGTCAAGGCCAGGTAGTAGTTCCCGTCAGGCATTGACTTGCTCCGTATAGGCTAAGTCATATATTGAACCGTTATTCAAGTTGTCTCCCAGCCTGTCGTTGGCCAAGTCTGCAGATGCAAAGACAAGACGATATTATTCACAGTCTCCTGTGGATCTCCGAGGGGGAGGGCCCCGCCGGTGCATAGCGCTCCGAGCGGAGTGCTGCATCTAATCTAAGTTGGGAACTACCTCCTTATCTCCGGATCCATTGAGAAGCTGAGGATTATACCTTGTCCATGCCTTCAATCGCATAGAGATTATTATGCTCCTCAATACCTTCATTAGAAGAGCCCAAGACTCCCACAAACCTGTTCGTCTCATCCCGCGCATGTCGGGTCCTGACTCGCGCACGGAATCAACGGCTTGCTCTGGTTGTAATACAGCTGATAACGGCAGCGTGGGAGGCGTTCCAAAGCTCACAATCGGCGGCAATTGCAAGCGACTTGAATGAGTCGCCCGCATCCCATTCCACCGGCGCAGCATTTTGGCTATTACACAAAACGATTGATCAAGATGGGCCCATCTGCGCATTAACCCCCCATCCCTCGCTTGCTGGGCTCCAATCTTTGAAGAAGGGCTCTCGCCTCGCATATTGCAATTGAGAATCTCGGTTCGTGAGTACTCATGGCTGTATATGCCTATCAGAGCCCAATACGCGGTGTCAAAGAGCGGTTAGCAATAACGATTTGAGTTCTCTTGTAGTAAACGAAAACACCAAAGACTCTGATTTCGCCTCTGCCGAGGGCTGGGCAGCCTACTACTCATCCTGGCCGCGCGGGATTCAGCGGAGCGTCTCCGCAAAATGGCATGCTGCAAGATTTGGAACTCCGAAGACGATGACGGTAGCATTTTACCTGCATCTTTCGCAGTTGCATGGCGCGAAGACGAGACCGATATCAATGGATGATAGGTGCGAATCCACGTGCGCATCCATGCCGCGCGCCGGCGGCCTACTTCTAAGTGGCTGCAGCCCTGGACCCACCGCCCGACGGGCCAACAATGGCCTGCCCGAGCCGATCGGCAATGCGCAGTATGCGGGAGGCAAGAAAGCCTAGTCTAGTCAACAACACAGGTTACCCATTCACTTCGGAAGCTAGAGAGTTCTTTAAAGAGCCGATGGACCGGTGGCTGCTTCAGCGAACGCCCGAAGCTCAGTGTCCAATACTTAAGTTGCCGGAGTGAGCCGAATTTTGTCTTCAACGACTTGTTCGTGAACCAACGGCTCTGGTACCCTTACTATAAAGTTTCTTCCGAAAACTGTCCTCTTTATCATACTGGGCTGCCATTACATACTTTCCTCAGGTCCCCCTTATTTCAAAGCCGAGAAGTCCTTCTCTCGCCGAATGTTCGGGCCATGGCTTAGCCTGCCCTTTTAAACCGATCTTTGGTAATTCAAACGAAAACAATTTGCGAAGTAAAAGGTGATTACATAGGCTATTAAAGCGTGTAATAGTGCTTAAAAGTATTAGCAGCGACGAACTTCGAGCTCTGCTGGATTTGTAGGCTCGCAAATGCATACGAGAGGCGCAGCACGGCCAGACTCAACAACTCACAACTAGGCGCAATTGCGACGTTGAGTTGACGCAGGGCACTGACACTCCGGATTCAAACTGGTAAATGCTGCCGATATGTGCTCTCGGTTGCGTTAATGGGATCCTGAATAAATGCAATGTCGGTGTTCTATTCTGTAGTAAAGCATTTTAGTACAATCAAACCCAACCAAGCACAAGACCACTCGCTTGTGATGACAAGCCACACGAAGATAATCAATTATTATTTCTAAAGTAAAAAACATCATGCAATTTGGTTTACAGTACACTGTAGGCCATTCATAAGATATGAAAGCATCAAAGTTATGAAATCTAAAAATAATGATGTTCGGCCATTAGGCTTTCTGAAGTGGACCCAGTCTGGGTTGAAGGGTGCCACCCTTCTAGAACCACACCAATGAGAAGGGGTTGATAATAGTTTGTTTACGAGACCAAACCGACAATCTGCATATCGTCAATCCTTTGAACTTCGGCTAGAAGAGATACATAGGCGTCATGCAGTGAATGTAGCAGGCCTGAAATCATCGCCCAGCCTTTTTATCGCTGATTTTCTGCCTCATTTTAGAGTCTCATTAACTCAGGTATTGATGATGGGTAAAGATAGGACGATAATTGGCAGCCCCTTTAACGCCAGTGCTGAACTGAATACTCTTGGAAACTATTTTGGAGACTTTTGGGTCTATCAAAGACTACGATAATTTGTTATTGTTTGCAGGTTTTTAAGTGTTGGAAAGCGGAAGCTGGGACCCTAATGACCAAGTGGTTGTAGTCAAACTTAACACTTGCCTTTACTATATCTGTTGCGATAGTTGGAATACGGAGCCGTGTGGCACTTCCAGCCACACGCCCGCCAGGCTGAGAGGCCCAAGCCTCCCAGACCCACGTGACAGGCCAAGGGGGAATATCCCCACCTTCTAGTCAACAACACCACTTTCAACAATCATCATGAACCATCGATTAGAACCAATTTACTGTTATTTGTTATTGACGAACGGAATTCCGTTTCACCCCCTGTTTCACCCCCTGTGAAACCTACACTGATCAGTGGTAAACCTCACAGTTGCCATTAATTTGGTTAACTTCACAATTACCACTCTGCTACGGACAAACCGCAGATCAGCAAGGTCAACACCAGAAGAGACGACTTCTTGAACTGGATACCCAAGCCCAGGTAAAAGTAGGGATTTCGTGCTAACGAGAGAAGAAGCGAGAGTAACTGGGATCTACGGAAACCAGCAGAAGAAAGCTTCTTTTCCTCGAATCTACCAGCAATCCGATTATTCGAGTAACCTAGGGACTGCTACGCTCACCCTAGGCGGGATAAGGTTAATCGCAGCCAATTATCGCTGGCAAGAGCGTTCCATCACGCGTTTTCAATCACCAGAAGAAGAGACCTACCGAATCGACGGTCTTCCAACCTCTTCACGCCACAAGGGCGAAGATTCACGAATCCCACAAGGGACAACAACTTCCCCAACTACAACTATCCCCCACGCGCGGTGCCAATCACGAGGCGCCCGCTAGTTTCTCAATAAATCCCCAGACGAGGTGCCAACCGCGAGGCGCCTGCCACAAGAGACCTCCCCACTAGAAGAAGAACACGCCGAAAGGCGAGCGGAGACTACCGGCGGTAATCCGCCTATACAGCTATACGTATACGCCTCCGAGGCTGCGGCTTAGGAGAAACGCACGTGGTTGTGGGCGTCATAAGGCCAACTGTCCGCTAGATTCTAAACTTCCCAACAGTGAGGAGCGAAGCCCGAAGCGAGAAAGAGAGATTCACGAGAGAATCTACGAAGTAATCCTTTTATACTGTCAGAATGGAGCGAAATTCACGAGAAGGATCGCCCGCGAGCGGCGTCACTGCCAAAAGCCAATCAACAGTCCCCATCCCACAGAGAATCGAAAGTATGATCGATCCAGCAGTATGGGGCAACTGGGCAATCGACCTTACAAACGCTAGCCCACAGCAACTGGGTTCCTATATGGGTTTCCTACTTGAGACCTATGAGAAGAGGAATCTCACGGGCCTCGAGCTATGGAACGAAGTTTCTCCCGATTTCGCCGACTGGTCAGAAGAAGACTTCCAGAACGTACCTCCCCCAATCCTACGATTCTTCAGAGACTATTTAATCGGTAACGGCGTCTACGTCGAAATGGATGGCAAGAAAATCTCGAAAAACGTGGCATTAGCCCTCAAAAAGGAAGAATTCCACTACTGGTCACCCCAAGAACTCGAACAAGGCGTCAAGAGATATCGCAACCTGAAGGCTCTGATAAAAGACCCCGAATTCCACGAAGAGATCACGAGACCGGCAACAGTAGCCAACAGCACAGGAGGAAGAGTCGAACCAACCCTACAGCCACCTCCTCCACAAGAACAACAACAGTGGCAACTACCGTACCGACCGCCACATCCCACGGTCTCTCCGTTAACAGACTTCCAACCATACGAGTCAACAGACCGTATCGGAAAGCAATTAACAGAATTCGCGAAACTATACCCCGACGATATGAAATACAGCGGCGATATGTACGATGTACGCGAAAAGAAGGGCTGGACCGGACCGTTTACTTTAGCAGCCATAAACGGCGAAACCTGTACTGTCGATACGCCACGTGGTCCGAAGACCTTCCGGTCTACCGTAGTCAAACCATACTACGAAGATCCCGATCAACCACCTAATTCCATCGCCGCGCCAGAAGAAGAAGAACCCGAAGCTGAGATACCGCAGCAGGAAGTAGTACGCGACGAAATTATCGTCGCCGGCGGAGGCAGTGAACCGGACGAACCGCAAGAGGCACCGGAGCCACCGAGAAGACGCCCGGGCAGACCCCGGAAGAGACCACTGCCAATCGCCCACTTCACAGAGGAATTCAACGATGACCCGGATTATCAACAAATATTCCTATCGATTAAGGAGCAAGCAGACGAAGAATTAGCAATCAAACTACGACGAGAAGGTGTTATTACTACACCAGGCGAACCGTTCGAACAGTCAACTAAACAAGAGATCAACAGCCTCATCGCTAGAGGAGTGTTCAAATTCACCCAGTTCAATAAGAGAAGGCACCAGAACGTACGAATCTTCCGATCTCGTATCGTCAACGAAGTCAAGGGTAAAACAACCGAACCCTACGAGAAATCGAGACTTGTAATACAGGGTTACGCCGACGATGGCAAGAAGGCTATATTGACCCAATCGCCAACGATTCAGCGGGCGAGTCAACGGCTAATTCTGTCAATTACCCCGTCACTCCTACGAGAAGGGAAACAACTATGGCTTCGAGATATCACACAAGCCTACGTTCAATCCTCCACAAGGCTCAATCGTACTATTCTCGCCTACCCACCGAAGCAAATTCAAGACCAGTACCCAAAAGGGACCATTATGGAGGTTGTGAAGCCTCTGTACGGAATCGCAGAAGCTGGAACCCACTGGTGGGCAACGTATCACAAGCATCACAGAGAGAATCTCCAGATGGTTACTTCTTCGTACGATCCATGCCTATTGATCTCATCTACCGAAAATCCACACTTTGGCTGTATCGGCATGCAAACCGACGATACCCTCGGTTTGTCAGACAAGGCGTTCTCACAATTAGAAGACGAACAGTTAGAAAAAGCGGCTTTTACGGCAAAAGCGAAGAATATCCTCACAATTGACGAACCCCTCCAATTCAACGGAGGGATAATCGCGCTGTCAACCGACAATTCGATCAATTTGAGGCAAAAGGGACAAGCCAAGAAGTTACGATGTATTGAGACTACTAAACCCAACCCAAAACAGCAATATGTCGAACAACGCGCCAGAGGGGCGTACATCGCGTCAATTTGCCAACCCGAGGCCTGTTTCGATTTATCCACTGCTGCCCAACACCAAGACCCCTCGCCAGAAGCGATAAAAGCACTGAATCAACGGATTCGATGGCAAATAGAATCGCCTAACCGAGGAATAACGTTTATCCCACTCGACCTTACAACAGCCAAGCTATTCGTTTTCGTTGACGGGTCGTTCGCTAATAACCACGACCTCTCCTCCCAATTAGGGTTTCTGATCATCCTAGCCAACGACACTTCCTCTGACAGCAACAACGGAGAATTCACGATTCACGGTAACCTCGTTCATTACAGCTCTACGAAGAGTAAACGAGTCACCCGCAGCGTATTAGCGTCAGAGATCTACGGGATGGTCGCTGGCGTCGATATGGCCTACGCCCTCGCCACAACCCTGGCGACAATCACTGACCACCTCAACCTACCAACGATTCAGACAGTTGTCTGTACCGATTCTTATTCGCTGTACGAGTGTCTCGTGAAGCTGGGCACTACCAAAGAAAAGCGACTCATGATCGATATCATGGCGTTGAGACAATCGTACGAAAGACGAGAACTACAAGAAATTCGTTGGATTAACGGCGAAGACAACCCTGCTGATGCCCTCACGAAGAGCAAACCAAATCGAGCCCTCGAGAGATTCGTTGATAGCAACACGATAACGATACGTATGGAGGGATGGGTAACAAGACCGTAACTACGGGAGAAAGTAGGGATAGGAGGCCGAATTGACGAGGAGACGGAACTGTATAGGGACAACGTATTCCAACCGCTTCAACACCATAAAAAGAGAGTTTCCAGTGTTGCGATAGTTGGAATACGGAGCCGTGTGGCACTTCCAGCCACACGCCCGCCAGGCTGAGAGGCCCAAGCCTCCCAGACCCACGTGACAGGCCAAGGGGGAATATCCCCACCTTCTAGTCAACAACACCACTTTCAACAATCATCATGAACCATCGATTAGAACCAATTTACTGTTATTTGTTATTGACGAACGGAATTCCGTTTCACCCCCTGTTTCACCCCCTGTGAAACCTACAATATCTAAAGACGAAAGACGAAAGACGACAGACTTCAAGAGGTGTTAGGTTCTCTATGAACTCCACTACGACGTCACGTAATTTAGCGCATATAATGGTGAGTTTTTTGCTATTGTCTTGTGTTTACTGACAGGGTGGTCTATGAACGTTTGGTGAGAGTAAAAAACGAAGAAAGTTGTTGAAGGCTGGTGAATATTGTGATTGGCGGGCTCGTAGATCTATATTTCCGTTGTTGCCGAGGAAATGGAAACACGATTGGGACAAGATGAATCTAAACTTACAAGTTCTTATGTAACTATACTACATCGTAAGAGCTCAACACCTACCTTAGGTGAAGTGTGCACCATTTCTTCTTCCCCGTCGTCACATACGACTCATGTAATGTAAAACCACTGACAGGTTCCCAACATACGGCCGAGACCTCGTCTCTTAGGACCCATCGTAGCATAATTACAGAATAATTCTCATGTGAAGGGATGGCACGACATTACTTTCTCTGTCCTTGAAAATTGGCTATTCACCTACCAAGGGTTGTGGTTGTGCAAACAACAGGTTAAATAGTGCCCCTTTGATGCACTGTGCGCTGAGGACGAACATTCTCCAGTCATCTGCCTGGTTTTCAACCTCGTCAGTCATTATGTTGAATTACAGCTAGTTCGTTAATCAAACTCACGCGTCTTATCCGATGTCACGCGCGCTTGAAGACCGAGGAACTTCATATGCCACTGACCGCTTTCTGAGCTACCCCGTTGATGTGCACCTCCCGGAAGGAAACCTAAGGCAAATTGCCAAGTTCCGACAGAGTCTTCAACATAGTAACACAGTCTAACGTGGAGGCGTTGCAACTATTTAGAGGGTGGCGAACGCGATAAGTAGGTGTGGTATTCGCAGAATTTATAAACAGCCTTTAATACACATGTGTGTTGAACTAGATACAGATATACAATAGGCGATACGCTGGCTCAACAAAACACACTACTCCGCCTTACGCCTTGAATTTAAAAATGCCGACCTTCGCTCGGCATTTAGAGTCTCCTTTTGCGCCCTTAGCTTGGCACGCCTTTCTGAAACTGCAGTTATCGATGCCTTCGACGACCCAAACATAGTTTTGGTATTTGTTGCACTCGTAGTATCCTTGGTCGTTAATAAGCGTGTCGGAACATACAGAAGAGGTCGTTAGGTCATCGGTGTTCCCATTTTCGTCGGTACAAGCACAGTATTTGTATGTATCGCAACCCTGAGCAGTCAACACCAAGGCGAAGACAGTGAAGACAGTTGATAATTTCATGGTAAAAATGAAGTAACTGAATGCGTTAGCCTGAAAACACTACTAGCCTGGAAAATCTTACTGGTGGTTTTTGTGACTTGACTAATCTGTGAAGAAATGAAAGTGACGTGTAGAAGGATGGCGATGTGAAAACCGTTCTCGATAGTACCCGAACTGTCTTCATACCTTACAACAGCAGGGTCTTATATATATATTCTCAGAAAATTGGGAACATGACAAACGTACATATAAGCCTACTCTTCTGGTCGAATAGAGTTTATGGAGATTTGTCAACTGTGGAATGCCAACTGGCACATCGCCGTAAGTTTAGGAAAACAACTACCGAGGGGCCCTGCCAAGACACTCTTATGGCTAAATAAAGTATTCCATACATTACTTTTTTGTCATACTACTGGTAGGCGCACCCATTTATAATGTTGATCATAACCAAGAACGGGCTAGAAACATACGGCAATGGAGTATAACTCACTGCCTTTCGGCTGTGGAGGCAATAAAGTACATGAATGGAAAAGAGGGCCTAAACAGTTTGGATGAAATAAGACCAAGAGTAGTTGTCCTTTCTCGCAAACTAATCAACTCTAATAAAGTGAGATCGGCATTCTTTTTTTAACCCGAGGCGATGTATGCATAAGTCTGGTTCAATTAATTGTGACTACAACTAGATTGAGCCTTGAATTAATTAGCTGACAATTAGGTTTGTTTTTGTTGCGATAGTTGGAATACGGAGCCGTGTGGCACTTCCAGCCACACGCCCGCCAGGCTGAGAGGCCCAAGCCTCCCAGACCCACGTGACAGGCCAAGGGGGAATATCCCCACCTTCTAGTCAACAACACCACTTTCAACTATCATCATGAACCATCGATTAGAACCAATTTACTGTTATTTGTTATTGACGAACGGAATTCCGTTTCACCCCCTGTTTCACCCCCTGTGAAACCTACACTGATCAGTGGTAAACCTCACAGTTGCCATTAATTTGGTTAACTTCACAATTACCACTCTGCTACGGACAAACCGCAGATCAGCAAGGTCAACACCAGAAGAGACGACTTCTTGAACTGGATACCCAAGCCCAGGTAAAAGTAGGGATTTCGTGCTAACGAGAGAAGAAGCGAGAGTAACTGGGATCTACGGAAACCAGCAGAAGAAAGCTTCTTTTCCTCGAATCTACCAGCAATCCGATTATTCGAGTAACCTAGGGACTGCTACGCTCACCCTAGGCGGGATAAGGTTAATCGCAGCCAATTATCGCTGGCAAGAGCGTTCCATCACGCGTTTTCAATCACCAGAAGAAGAGACCTACCGAATCGACGGTCTTCCAACCTCTTCACGCCACAAGGGCGAAGATTCACGAATCCCACAAGGGACAACAACTTCCCCAACTACAACTATCCCCCACGCGCGGTGCCAATCACGAGGCGCCCGCTAGTTTCTCAATAAATCCCCAGACGAGGTGCCAACCGCGAGGCGCCTGCCACAAGAGACCTCCCTACCAGAAGAAGAACACGCCGAAAGGCGAGCGGAGACTACCGGCGGTAATCCGCCTATACAGCTATACGTATACGCCTCCGAGGCTGCGGCTTAGGAGAAACGCACGTGGTTGTGGGCGTCATAAGGCCAACTGTCCGCTAGATTCTAAACTTCCCAACAGTGAGGAGCGAAGCCCGAAGCGAGAAAGAGAGATTCACGAGAGAATCTACGGTAGAACTCTCTCCCTACCAATTCGAGACCTGTGTATACCCTCACACCCCTCGAGAACATCAGCGAGAACGGCGCCGACGGAAACAAACGACGAACCGACGAAAATCCCCGATTTCACGATTCTTTCCCCTTAGAATCGTAATATCCCGAATCGTCTTTTGACTCCCACTTCCAGGCCTGCATCTTGCACCAATCGCAGCTGACGCTGTTGAGGATTAGAATTCAAGATTCTAAACAGAAGTAATCCTTTTATACTGTCAGAATGGAGCGAAATTCACGAGAAGGATCGCCCGCGAGCGGCGTCACTGCCAAAAGCCAATCAACAGTCCCCATCCCACAGAGAATCGAAAGTATGATCGATCCAGCAGTATGGGGCAACTGGGCAATCGACCTTACAAACGCTAGCCCACAGCAACTGGGTTCCTATATGGGTTTCCTACTTGAGACCTATGAGAAGAGGAATCTCACGGGCCTCGAGCTATGGAACGAAGTTTCTCCCGATTTCGCCGACTGGTCAGAAGAAGACTTCCAGAACGTACCTCCCCCAATCCTACGATTCTTCAGAGACTATTTAATCGGTAACGGCGTCTACGTCGAAATGGATGGCAAGAAAATCTCGAAAAACGTGGCATTAGCCCTCAAAAAGGAAGAATTCCACTACTGGTCACCCCAAGAACTCGAACAAGGCGTCAAGAGATATCGCAACCTGAAGGCTCTGATAAAAGACCCCGAATTCCACGAAGAGATCACGAGACCGGCAACAGTAGCCAACAGCACAGGAGGAAGAGTCGAACCAACCCTACAGCCACCTCCTCCACAAGAACAACAACAGTGGCAACTACCGTACCGACCGCCACATCCCACGGTCTCTCCGTTAACAGACTTCCAACCATACGAGTCAACAGACCGTATCGGAAAGCAATTAACAGAATTCGCGAAACTATACCCCGACGATATGAAATACAGCGGCGATATGTACGATGTACTCGAAAAGAAGATGCCAGTATTCGTGGATCACTGTAGAATGCTGGGAATTCACACCTCCCAATACAACAGGGCACTTCCCCTAATACTGAAAGGAATAGCCAAAACCTACTTCTACGCCTCGATTAAAGTGATCAACCCACAGCCCAACTTCGAGACCATGATCAACCAATTGAAATCACACTTCGAGACTAGGGAAAGGCAACAAGCGTACGTTACGCAGTGGAATACAACTACTCTTCCCCAAATCATTCGCGATAACCCTGGAAAGACCAAATCGGAGTGTTTTGACATACTATGTGACAAATTAAGCAAGATTCAGCCCGGTTTGCCACAACAGGATCACAACGACCGATCCCTCCATACCCAACTTCTACACGCTTGTAGAGATATTCCAGAGTGTGCAATGGCGTTATTTGTACCGGCTGAGACGTACGAGGGACTTCGCAGCCAATTAATCTCGTCGATCGAGACAGCTACCCGTCTCAACCAACAACAATTCAACACAGTAGCCAACCCACCAGAGCAGTACTGGACCGACAGAACTTTCAACGGTCGAGGGCGTTATTCACGATACAGTCGTTCATCACGAAGTCGATCATCACGAGGAAGAAGCCGTGACAGACCCCTATTACCGCCAACGCCTAAGAAGTGCTACGTGTGTGGAAAACCTAACTGCTGGTCAACCAAACACACCACAGAAGAGAGACGAAAAGCGTACGAGAAGTTCAAAACCACCCAATATGCCCAGGATACGTCACTTCCAGCATATGGCCAATTTCTCGTCCAATACGAGGGTTTCGACGGGTTAGACCTACAACCTACCGCCGAAGACCCCCAGCAATACTACCACGTAACCGAACAAACCAGTGAAAGTGACGAAGAGGAAGAGACCGGCAGCGACAGTCAATTCCAGGTCACCGCCTATTTCACTACAACAGCAATTGACGGCAACAGGATCGCCACGATCCTAGCAGACCAGTCAACCCGCCATGCTATTACGAAAGAAGACCTCTTCCGCAACCAACCAGAACCGAAAGAGCTACCTTCGCAATTCACACTCGAGGGACGCTACTCTGCCCAGAACTTCCAAGGGATCATGCCCGACTCGGGCGCAGCAGGATTCTCAACCGCTGGCCACCCACAATTCGTGGCCCTACAACAAATTTACGAAGGAATTACGTTAAACACTGAGGCGGCTGGCGGCGTTACAGTGAAATTCGGCGATGGGATACCACTGGAGTCTATAGGGACTACCAAAGTGCCAACGCCGTTTGGAAGCGTCAAATTTCACGTTATTGAGACTAACACTCCCTTCCTTATGTGCCTAGGAGATATGGACCGATTGAAGGTCTACTTTAACAACGTTACGAATACCCTCATCCAAGGAAACAAGGTCGTACCTATTATTCGCAAATGGGGCCACCCATGGTTATTACTCGATAAGGAGAAACCACTCGCCTGGAACCACCTCACAGACGCTGAATTGCGACGGGTTCACCGTCGCTTCGGACACCCATCTGTTCAACGATTACACAAGGTGCTCCAGAGGGCCGGCCACCCAGTTGAAATTACGGCAATTGAGCAACTATCGAAAGTCTGCCATCGATGCCAAATGCACGCACCAGCGCCATCACGGTTCAAATTCACGTTACGAGACGATTACGAATTCAACTACGAGGTTATCGCCGACGTGATGTACCTTGAGGGTAACAGACCGGTCCTCCACGTCGTCGATACCGCCACGGCGTTCAACGCCGCCCGGTTCCTTGAGGACATTTCTGCGAAAGCCACTTGGGAAGCCCTACGCCTCTGCTGGATAGATGTGTATCAGGGACCCCCAGACTGGCTAGTTACCGACGCTGGAACAAACTTCCGCTCAACAGAATTCCGAAACGCGGCGAGAGGAATGGCAATTGAAATCAAGGAAATTCCCATAGAAGCCCACAACAGTATTGGGAAAGTTGAACGATACCATACACCTCTAAGGAGGGCGTACGAAATCATCAGAGCAGAAGACCCAACAATTACGCCAGAATCAGCACTTCAAACAGCAGTCAAAGCAGTCAACGATACTGCTGGCCCGAACGGAATAGTGCCAACACTCTTGGTATTCGGCTCGTACCCACGAATTACCGACGATTCGCCGCCATCTCCCGAAGTCACAAGGCGGGCGAAAGCGATTAAGAAGGCGACGAGCGAAGTACGCGAACTTCACGCAAGGCGACAGGTGGCAGAAGCTATCGCCACCCGCAATGGCCCTGATACAGGGCCAATTGTTAATTTACCGCTACGGTCGCAAGTACGAGTATGGCGCGAAAAGAAGGGCTGGACCGGACCGTTTACTTTAGCAGCCATAAACGGCGAAACCTGTACTGTCGATACGCCACGTGGTCCGAAGACCTTCCGGTCTACCGTAGTCAAACCATACTACGAAGATCCCGATCAACCACCTAATTCCATCGCCGCGCCAGAAGAAGAAGAACCCGAAGCTGAGATACCGCAGCAGGAAGTAGTACGCGACGAAATTATCGTCGCCGGCGGAGGCAGTGAACCGGACGAACCGCAAGAGGCACCGGAGCCACCGAGAAGACGCCCGGGCAGACCCCGGAAGAGACCACTGCCAATCGCCCACTTCACAGAGGAATTCAACGATGACCCGGATTATCAACAAATATTCCTATCGATTAAGGAGCAAGCAGACGAAGAATTGGCAATCAAACTACGACGAGAAGGTGTTATTACTACACCAGGCGAACCGTTCGAACAGTCAACTAAACAAGAGATCAACAGCCTCATCGCTAGAGGAGTGTTCAAATTCACCCAGTTCAATAAGAGAAGGCACCAGAACGTACGAATCTTCCGATCTCGTATCGTCAACGAAGTCAAGGGTAAAACAACCGAACCCTACGAGAAATCGAGACTTGTAATACAGGGTTACGCCGACGATAGCAAGAAGGCTATATTGACCCAATCGCCAACGATTCAACGGGCGAGTCAACGGCTAATTCTGTCAATTACCCCGTCACTCCTACGAGAAGGGAAACAACTATGGCTTCGAGATATCACACAAGCCTACGTTCAATCCTCCACAAGGCTCAATCGTACTATTCTCGCCTACCCACCGAAGCAAATTCAAGACCAGTACCCAAAAGGGACCATTATGGAGGTTGTGAAGCCTCTGTACGGAATCGCAGAAGCTGGAACCCACTGGTGGGCAACGTATCACAAGCATCACAGAGAGAATCTCCAGATGGTTACTTCTTCGTACGATCCATGCCTATTGATCTCATCTACCGAAAATCCACACTTTGGCTGTATCGGCATGCAAACCGACGATACCCTCGGTTTGTCAGACAAGGCGTTCTCACAATTAGAAGACGAACAGTTAGAAAAAGCGGCTTTTACGGCAAAAGCGAAGAATATCCTCACAATTGACGAACCCCTCCAATTCAACGGAGGGATAATCGCGCTGTCAACCGACAATTCGATCAATTTGAGGCAAAAGGGACAAGCCAAGAAGTTACGATGTATTGAGACTACTAAACCCAACCCAAAACAGCAATATGTCGAACAACGCGCCAGAGGGGCGTACATCGCGTCAATTTGCCAACCCGAGGCCTGTTTCGATTTATCCACTGCTGCCCAACACCAAGACCCCTCGCCAGAAGCGATAAAAGCACTGAATCAACGGATTCGATGGCAAATAGAATCGCCTAACCGAGGAATAACGTTTATCCCACTCGACCTTACAACAGCCAAGCTATTCGTTTTCGTTGACGGGTCGTTCGCTAATAACCACGACCTCTCCTCCCAATTAGGGTTTCTGATCATCCTAGCCAACGACACTTCCTCTGACAGCAACAACGGAGAATTCACGATTCACGGTAACCTCGTTCATTACAGCTCTACGAAGAGTAAACGAGTCACCCGCAGCGTATTAGCGTCAGAGATCTACGGGATGGTCGCTGGCGTCGATATGGCCTACGCCCTCGCCACAACCCTGGCGACAATCACTGACCACCTCAACCTACCAACGATTCAGACAGTTGTCTGTACCGATTCTTATTCGCTGTACGAGTGTCTCGTGAAGCTGGGCACTACCAAAGAAAAGCGACTCATGATCGATATCATGGCGTTGAGACAATCGTACGAAAGACGAGAACTACAAGAAATTCGTTGGATTAACGGCGAAGACAACCCTGCTGATGCCCTCACGAAGAGCAAACCAAATCGAGCCCTCGAGAGATTCGTTGATAGCAACACGATAACGATACGTATGGAGGGATGGGTAACAAGACCGTAACTACGGGAGAAAGTAGGGATAGGAGGCCGAATTGACGAGGAGACGGAACTGTATAGGGACAACGTATTCCAACCGCTTCAACACCATAAAAAGAGAGTTTCCAGTGTTGCGATAGTTGGAATACGGAGCCGTGTGGCACTTCCAGCCACACGCCCGCCAGGCTGAGAGGCCCAAGCCTCCCAGACCCACGTGACAGGCCAAGGGGGAATATCCCCACCTTCTAGTCAACAACACCACTTTCAACAATCATCATGAACCATCGATTAGAACCAATTTACTGTTATTTGTTATTGACGAACGGAATTCCGTTTCACCCCCTGTTTCACCCCCTGTGAAACCTACAGTTTTACGTTGACTGCTATGGCTTTGTGTCGGCTAATTTTTGATTTCAAACTTGATCGTTGTCACACGGACCACTGCATATATCGGGGCATGCATTCAACCCATGCACCCGGCTATTGTTTCCCATATAAAACTAACGGGGATGTCATTTTGTGCATGAAAACCTTCAAATCGGTAATTACCGAATAGACGGTTATATAATCAACCCAATAACCCCTAGACAGTCTCTAATGAATGGAAGCATCTTTTTTTACCCCATAAGTGGTGGGCAAATTGACTGCGTGACAATCGTCCTGACCACGCGGATGGGGCCACAAATATTTCTGTGTCGATCCATACTCTCTTAGTTTCTCGACACCGTCGGAGACATCGGAACACATGTGGCAGTCGCCGGGATTTGCTTAACTTTTCTAATGTGATCCTAACAAACCCCACCTAATACCAGAGTGCGTATTATGTCCATCAGCCGCTAGATCCGATGCGACAGTCACACTCGCATTCGGAGACTTAATGGTATTTGACGATCACAAGAGTGGTTACAAAGCGTGCAGGCAGCATTCAGCATATGATACTCTATCCAGGCGCCGGGAAAACTATTGGTTACTGGAATATTATGATAAGACCTAGCTCATACATGCAGGTCGTCTGCAGTTACTTTTATTGTATTGTTGTTGTGACAGTTTGCCACGAGGTTCAGGCCATAGAACATCGGATGACACAACGGTTCGGTCAGCCGGCAGCTGCTCCATATAGATAGACCTCGCCAGCTTGAACAGCGCATTGATTCTGGGAGGTCGCCCAGTTTTCAAAACCATAAGATACTTCATATCAAGAGCTGGGTGCTTGTGATACTTCGCAAAGCGGACGGTGTGCTAAGACAAGGCGTCACAAAACTGTCGTAAATGATTGTCTGCAAGACGCAGCGCCTGCAGCCACTACTAATACGGCTGCATAGAAACTGGTCTTTTTACGAATAGCACATGGCAACATTAATCTAATAGTCAAACTCAATAATTAAAGTCCGGACTAATCACCTCGTTCACCGCCAGGACTAGGTACAGCGAGACTAGCAAGTCGCTTTTGCAACATGTTGCTGTGCAGGAGCAAGTTTGTTCGGCCCAGCATAATGATTCAAATGTTAAACCACAGATTCATTTCGATTTCACTATTGGTCTAGGTCCCTGAATAATACTGCAGATGCCTATAATACCTTTATTCCATCGACTGTCATAAGGCAACAGGTACATAACATGAAGGGTACTAGTCAATCATACATTGATAGTGCAATTTTGGTCGAGTGATGAGCATTATCTGGTTAGAGTTTGGAGAAATTTGGGCTTCAAAATGGATTAGTATTTACCTGTTGCCTTGTGGCAGTCGATGGGATAAGCTCATGATTCACAGTTTCATAAGACTCCAAATCTGGGAGCCGGGCTCTTCCTCTTGAGAATTATGGCTAATACTTACAACGCTTATCTTATCTCTCCACGAACTGTCTGTTGCAATAACCCGGAACTCCGGGTTGAAGTCGCTCCGTCGCTGGTAAGCCTGCCGGCTGCCGACTTGACGGACATAATAAGTTCGGTGATCACTTCATCCATCGCATCTACTGGAACTTCTTAGACGTTAGGCATAAAAACAAACACCACTTTCCCCCTGTATACAATTTTACAGGTACCCCTGTGATCCCAACACTACCACCCAGTCTCTCCACGAACTACCACCATCGCTAACCCGGATACCACAAGTTGTCGACTGATTTAACGAAACTCACGTAGGTGCTTTGTATAGAAGATGTTATAATCATACTAGGCGGTTGTGATATAGTAGTCGTGTTAGGTTTTCTATATCATAATCTCTTAACACTTCGCGTAGCATAAGAACATATTCAGTAGCCCAACTCTGGAAGATAACCCCTAACCTAACTCTTAGCCTAAATAAACCAGAAACTTATGATATAGACCACGAGGGAATGTTGGGGCCCTAATAGATACATGGCCACTGGTAGGGTTGCTAATGTTTCCATATCGCGCTTATCATAGGGGCCTGGCAATTTGCTATGGTTGAATTCGAGAAATCTTATCATTGAGCGGTAAATTAGCCTTAAAGTAGATATTTATACTCAGAATAAACTCCCACAATTCGAGTTGAAATGAACTGCCTGTGAGACGTCAACTTCGATTTCCAACAACCAAGTTATTTTAGGTGATTAGTATTATTTGGCGTGCTTATTAGCATGGTATTTACTCGCATACTGCTTGACTGGAACATCAAAAAAATGAAAAGGTAAAACATGTGATAGCATGGTCAAATTAGCTCGGAGCTTTAGATTTGGGGTTCAAGCAACAAGGTCAACATCACGGTTTCAACGAGAAAAGGCAAGATCCCAAGGTTAGACTACATACAAGTACTTAAGCTATGACAGTCATGGATTGGTCAGATTAGATGTAAACTCAAACTGACAAATCTTTTTGAAGCTTAGTGGAGTCGGGAGAACTGTCTTGCGTGCCTCTTCCCACGGTAAGTTGTCTCCTCCGACGTCTTGTTGATACCGGCAGCCAAAGCCGCATCCAGCTCCGTGAGGACTCCATTATCAACGGGCTTGCCCAAGTTGTTAGACACAGGCCTAACCACATCGCAGCGCAAAGCTTGGGCAGTGCTCATCTTCTCCATGTGAGTGTTGTTAGTCTGCACAAACAATCTCTCACGGCCGTTAGGGCCAGTGAAGGGCTTCCACTCTGCGGCACCCTTTTCACGGTCGGTGTTAGGGTCCAGGTTACGGATGAACGATACCCAGTATTTCCTGAACTGCGAGACAATGGGTGCGTTGGTAGTGTGGTAAGAGTCCGGGGGAGAACCATCGGTGCGATTAGGGCCCCAGAAAGCATAGGTGTTAACCGTGTGGTAAGCTCCGAAACCCTCGGCCTCGCTCTTGGGGTCGAGAACAGCGTATTTGTAGTTGAACGTAGTCACCTCATCGCGAGCAAGGTAGTTCTGGATGTTACGAGTGATGCAGTGAGTGCCGATATCGCCGATCATGTTCGCTGCCTGTCGCCATTTCTCACCTGAGTTGGGGAAAACGGGTTGAGGGACGTTGATGTACAAGTCGTCGAGGATAGCAAGCGAGTTGTTGGAAATGGATGGATCCTGACCAAGAATGAACTGGTTTGCCTCTTCAGTAGAGTTGGTGCTCTGAGGCGCGGAGTACATAGTTCCCTCGTTGGCGCATGATCCCCAAATCGTTGGAACCTTGGTGTACTTCCCGGCCGCAAAGAGGTCAACCATACCGTCAGAGAAAAGCTCGCCATCAATACCCGGGTTGAACCAGCACTTGGATGAGCGGACGTCAGACTCGCTAAGGGCACGAAGGCAAGAAAGCGAATCGGCGGAATCGGTGCAGTTCTTTTCCTTGACGAGACAGTCGTACTGACCCTGACCCTGTGTCATCGTTCGCATAGTCACCCAGCCACCAGATTCAGCAATGCCTCCAGCAAAGAGCTTTTTACCACCAGTGTTGGCGGCCATCAGGAGGCCAACAGCACTGCCTCCGGCACTGGGTCCATCAAGAACAACCTGCGCAGGGTTTCCGCCGAATTTCTCGATGTTGGTCTGGACCCACTCCAAGGCCTTGATCATGTCTTTGACACCAGCGTTGAGGCTGCCACCGGCACGAACCTCCTCACTCTGCAAAAAGCCGTACATACCAACACGATAGTTGAACTGTACGACGAGGACATTGCCGTCGGCGGCAATCTCGCTAGCGTCCCAGTTGGCGTTGGAGTTGGACCCGAAACCTCCACCTTGAATAAAGAAGACGACAGGCAACTTCGAGTCGACAGCTGCACCAGAAGGAGCCGTCACTGATAGATAGAGACAGTCTTCAGCCACAGTGAAGCGCTTGTTAGGCTGGCTGACAGTCCAGTCCGTGGGTTGCTGGGGAGGGCAAATAGGCCCGTGAGCGGTAGCATTCACGGTACCGCGCTGGATCGGGTCTGCCGGCGCGGCGAATCGCAACTTTCCAACCGGGGGAGCGGCGTATTGAATACCCTTCCAAGTCGTGACACCCAGTGCGGCATCGGTCACGGCACCTTGAAACTTGGCATATCCGAGATCGACGAGGGTGTCCACAGCTTGTACGTTAGGGACGAAGATGTTCGCAGCGGCCAGCAAGAAGGCCAAATGAGATCCTTGCCACATTTTGGTAATGAGCTCCGTGCTAAATGTAGTAAAAGAATGAATGTAGAGAAGGCTCAGGGAGCAAAAAGAAAGTAACGATCTGCAATGAGACCTGATGGAAAGAATGTAAGTAGTGCTAGCACTACGTGTTGTGGAAACAAAAGGTGAGAGAATGCAGCGGATGGTAAACGGATCTCATGATGACTGGAAGTAAGTATGTCCTAATTATATGCGAAAACTGTATGAAGCCCAATGGCCCTATCCGCGTATTAGGGGGTTCATCTGTCGAAGTTCCATCGACTGTACCGTCAACACCTGTTCGAGTCATTGTGTTTCCTTATTTGAAACGTTGGCCTAGGATCACACTTCTCCTTTTGGCAAGGAAAGCTCGGGGCATCGCTCCGCTGTCCATTAAAAATGATAAAGGCCTATCAGTGTAACAGAAAGTACTTGGAGAAATTCCGGATTGCTCCGGATTCGCAAGACTGAATATTCCAAAGCGACGGACGATTTGCGTTAAGGAGTGCTGGACGGAAAGCCGGACTCTAAACGTGGGGTCTAACGGAGCCTCCCGCCGGCATGGTATACCTGTGGGGAGATCTGCCAAGAACATTCATTTTGTTAAACTTTTGTCTAACTAGTCAGTCACTAATTACAGTACCCTCGAGAACCTGGTTGTCGGAACACAGTTCAGGCCCGGTGGGATTAACGTTCTTAATGTATTTGCGCTGCGCTGCCACCTGCCAAGCGATTTCTTCCGGCGCTCCCGGATACGTCGCGATATGCAGCTCTTTACGCCTGGAGGCTTCTTCTGTTGTTTCATATATACCCGATTGCGCTGTCGCACAGTTTTCAGCACCTCCCTTCAGGATATGTTAGTAACGGTGATTGTAACCTTGAATTGTGAGTCAAGGTTTGGTACTTACAAGAGCTGATCTGGTTGTCATAATCTCCCGAGTAGTCGTCAGTCGCCTCACCCAGATTATAGTTGTAAGAGAGAGTCACACCACGGTCATCTCCCTTATTGTTACAACCGGGGAACCTGGTGGTAATCAGCTCGACGTTCATCCGAAGGAGAAGCAGACGTTATACTCACTTGTAGAACTGACACAATCCACCAGTGTTGGTGCTCAAAGAGCTAGTTTGATTATCATACTTGTCGAGGAATGCCTGTGTTTTGTTGTAGCTAGAGTAGCTCACTTTTTTATTGTTGTTAGTGTCAACCATTTCATGCAAAATCGTGTCTCCAATGTACTGAAATGAGTGACTTACCGCATTTGCCAGGGGGGGCTCCCCAGGAAAGGCATTCCCCTTGAAATCCGGCGTCAGAGCATTGAAGAACAAAGATGTTCTTTGGCGTGGTAATAGGGCGTGTGCTGTTCGGTTGTCCGTCTACAGGGACCTCTTGACGCTTCTCGTTAGTCGCCTCGAGGTTTATGAAAGGGGCAGTCAGAAATGCCGCGTATGCCTCTGGGTGCGTGGCTTTAAGACTATCGGATAGAGGGATGAGGGTATTCTCTTGGACGGCAGGGAGAGCGCCAATCTGGGGAATAGCCATGGAGGCAAGGACGAGGGATGTGAGTGTGGTGAGCTGCATGGTGACGAGGTATTTTATGACGAACTATTTAACTGGCAACTTGACTGACAATTTGGCGATGACGGGCTGCTCCTTTAAGTCACAAAAACAACGTTTGCGCAGAGGAGCTACCGGCGGCCTATTATACTTGCCCGGAGAGTTTACAAAACTCATGTCAATCTTCGGGCAATAACTTTCTGCTTGGCGACCCCAGTCAAGAAACCGGCGAAACAAATTAGGTTCATACCTTACCGTGAAGGTTTTCAGGTGACTCCAATTATGTCCCATTAGCAATTGCTGTCTTCGCCCTAATTTGATTTGAACAGCGATGATCTCTGCTTCACTATCTGTGCCGATTCCTTGCGAGAAGGCGCACGACTCAATAAAATTTCCCGTTTCTCCGAGTCCGGGCAATAAACAAAGTGTGTGCGTGGGAGTGTTGCACCCGGTTCATCCGAAATGTAGTACCACACAAATTACTAAAACTCAATTTCCAGTTGATGATACAGAGAATTATCAGAGATGATGGGGGACGTTAATCTTGTGAATCGATTAGCTATTATAGAGCCTCAGGTGTTGGTTTATATTGATCTGATCCGATGTTAATGTAAGAGAACCTTTTCACCGACTTGCGAGTTACTGGAGACCATTTAGATTCAACAGAGTTGCCAAAGCGTGCTCATTGAAAGCGGACTGATAAATAGAGATGAAGAGTATGATGATTGTGTTGACTTCGTGAAAATATTCACTCTATTAGAATAAGTCTTCTTTATAGTCGGACGCCAGCATATGATTGCGTTGCATTTTACCAAGCCCAGTGCCACAGTCATCGGCAAATTGAATGCAGATGCGATGCATTTGATACGAACCGCGACTATCTGGTGATGTCCAATCGGAATAGGATAGGACTAGACTTCGGAAATCCATGTAAAAATCTCAGGTTGCTTGGTATTCTCAGTTCGGCTGGCTTAAGTAGAATTGGTGCGTATGTCCAGGGTGCTTAGGCAGAAAGGATGAGTTTACAATTGCCAGTTCAGCTCGTTGGCTACTTCTGCCAATAAAAACAACAAATTATGTTTTTGTTCAAGAGACTGGTTTATAAGGCAAGGCAGTAGTTCAGAGAAAAAGATGTGTCGAGGCAGAGGTACAATATCAATCGAGGGGAAACGACTTTTGAATTCATTTATCTCGGTATGACACTGCCTTCCTGGGAAGTGTTAGGTGCATCATGTCATGGCGGCAGTGACGTCGCAGTCAGACAGGCCTCCACTAAGTGCTAAAGGAGGCAAGCCTATGTTAGTGGTAGCCGAAAGCCAAACCTTCGGAGCCCCATGAGCAAATCCTGAAATGCGGTAGGCTGCGGCTCTTCTTTCGTAGCATATATGAAGCGGCCTCTTGCTGACGAGGAAAGTTTCTGCTTCCCAAAAGTCCACGATTAATGACATTACCTAGTGAAAATAGTTGATGCTGAGGTTTCCGTTGGTGTGAGAAATTTTGCCAGCCTTACTGATTGTTCATGAATCAATGTCCTTGGTAAATGAGTTCAGACTAATTTAAACAAGGACATGCAATCACTAGTGAATAATAATTATTGACGCCGTCTCAGCCATGTCTCAATCATGAAGGGTTATGTGTATGTGCGTTTGGATTTCTTGACAAGGACCCTGTGGGTAACTTAGGAATTATGCGGAGTGACCAGCTGCACCGGGCCGCTGCAAATCATTCGATTTGGGCCCGTGTTAGCTTCTTCAAATACCTTCAAAGCATCGACGAGAAGAAGCAAAAGATCTACGCTGGAGAATTTTTGCTATATGTGGCTTGGCGCTAATTGCCTGACTCATATAGTGTTGTCATTCCCTAGGGTTTCGGAGGAAATCCCCCTAGCGCCTACCAGTGTCTGGCATGTCAAGTAAGTGCCGAAAGGATAGTTAAGGCCTAGCTGCTGTTCTAGATCACAAGCTAGTAGATCCTCGTTTAATGACCTAGCAAACTGGATAGCAAATGGCCTTGTTGGGGTATCTGAGTGTATGGAATAGTGTAATTGTGCCACATCCACCAAAACTAAGACAATTCCGGCGCTGCGGAACATTTCCTTCTCTTTGTGCAGCCACCTCGCGTGGGAGGTTGAGAAGTTTACCAAGTTCTCGAAGGCCTTTGTTCAATTTCGCGTGCTGGAAATAGACGCCGCCACTGATGCGAACGATCAAAAATGTGTGGCAGCTGTCCGGTTATTATTCCGACGACAAGCCCTTCAAGAATTTAGATATCTTCTAGGAGACTCGTCGACGAGAGCAACGTCTGAGATCTAGGAACATCCACCATTGTAACCCCCTAGCTGAAGGTGCACAAAACCAACCCATCGAGGTTTGCCATTGAACATCGCCAACGATGAGGATTCCGCCACTTGATGTTATTTTGGCATGGCCGACACCAAACTATAAGAACCCTGTAAACCGGGGTCCGGGTCTACTCGTCATCGAATTGGTATTTCTCATTTTGGCTTTGGGATGCCTCGGGTTGCGAATGTATGTCAGATTGGTCAAAATCCGCCAAACATGGTGGGATGACTGGCTCATGGTCGGTTCTGCAGTAAGCCTCCAACGGTCCATGCGAAACACAAAGTTTAAGCTAACATAAAGGCCTTAGATCTTTTGCATAGGCGTCACAATATGCGTTATTCTTGGTTCGGCTATCCTGTCAAAGAAAGGAGGGATAGAGTAAGATGCTAATACTCATGTCTTAGCAACGGAATTATACGGTTGGAATCTTCATGTCTGGGACGTGCCGATAACGGCTATTCCTCAAAGTCGTCAAGTAAGCACCAGAAAGAATCTATGGTACTTCTAGAAAACTAACATCAACGTGGAGATTTCAATCGCAGCACAGACACTATTTTTATTCGCCTCTGGCCTTTCTAAGTTGTCTATTCTTGCTAGTTATTTACGAATCGCTGCACCCGCTACCTGGTTTTCACGACTCACTTGGTTTACGGGTGTAGTTGTCTTTGCCTTGATTTGGATTTTCTTAATCGTGCTATGGACTCAATGCTCGTAAGTGCCCTGCATAGGGTCGCTCTTTTTACTATCGAAACTTCCACTAATCATTTCTTTCTTCAGTCCGATTTGGCACTACTGGACGCTTTTCGCTGACTGGGGTAATTGCATCCCTGAATGGCCACCTCTGGCTGGTCAAGGAATCACAAATGTCATAACCGACATCGCTGTTTACCTCTTGCCAATGCCAACTCTTTTCAAGCTCCAGATGCCCATGACGCAGCGTGTCAGTCTGGTGGTATTGTTTGGACTGGGATTAGTGGTCGTCATCGCAGGCATCATGAGAACTTATTGGGTCCTTTACGTCGAGATCAAATATGTGCAGGATCCTAGCTACGACCTGATGTGGGATTCTTACAACATCTGGATCTGGACTGCCCTTGAAGCAAATCTGGCCATCATCTGCGGCTGTGCCCCTGCAATTCGCCGGTTGTTCACTAAGGGCGGAAACCAAAACAATTACAAGGTTGGCAGCTCGGTGCAGACGATCGGATCATCCGGAAACAAGAGGTTCAGGGGTGCAAGGGACACGGTGACACAAGATGAGGCTGACGAACATGGATTAGCGGCCCTTGAGTCGCGAGGAACGAATGATGCTTCTGTTACGGAGCTTGTGCATATCAGAGAGGAGGACAAAAAAACATGAGGTGCAAACCAGGCTAGTTGAGAGACAGGTTGGAATTAGCGTATCGTTGCACTCAATCTGGACATCAAAGACGACCTTCTTGTTCGGAGACCGTGTTTCTCCCATAAGCTTGCATTTCAGCCTCTGTTCTGGTATGGTGAACAAAAGCGTTCAGAGAAGCTCGGACTGTCGGATAAACTGACAAATTAACGTTTCTCGTTCTCGTCTAGGCTCTCGTTGTTTCATCCTAAGGAACGTGTTTTGTTCGCGTGGAACCACGGAATGCTCCTCCCAGATCTTCCAGCATCTCCACTTTCGTGGTAACCAGCTCCTTCGGTAAAGAATAGTCAATTTCTTTCGCTGCTGTTCGTCTGAGTTGCTCAGATTTTGCTTCTGCATTAGTATTAGATGAAGGGGCAAACCTTTAAACCTGCTAGGATAAGGCGGCTTATTTTGGACAGAGTTCACATCTGATAAAAAACCGGTTTTGTCTCATGAACAGCATGCAGTCCCAAGTCGAGTGAGTTCAGCACGGAACATCAGCAAACTTTGGGGTATAGTTTGTAAAAATAGCTTTGCACTGTCCGAGTCGGCCAATTGACTAAGGGATATCATCCGGCAACTCCTTGGGGCCAAGGCCAGTTACTTATCCGACTAAAGAGACGACAGAAATGTCCATATCCGCGTATCAAAGTAAACGGCTCTTGACCCTGTCTGCAAGCGGCGACTTATGGCTTTTCAGCCTTTCATTTCCAAAAAATGCCGATCTCAAGGGATCCCCAGTCAGATTTCATTTTCAAGTTTCAGATTCGTAGACCTCAATATTCATTTCACACGAATGTTGAAACGATGAGCAAGTAGATCACCATAAACAAACGCTTGAGAAATGACTAGAAATTCGATTCTTTCAATCGTCAGCAAACCCGCAAAAATTTTCGTTTATGTAGAAGGTCTTGTACTCAACAAACCATCTCGGACGCTGACAAGCTATCTCCTAAAGGAGACCATCCTGGTTTGCACCATCATCCGACACTTGTTAGCGTCATTCCTGTTTTAATGCGCTTGGAATTAGATGGGAAGTCGAGAGAGCACGTCATGCGTATTTTTAGAAACGCCTCCTACTGGCGTAGGGGACATGTAGTGGAGCGTACAGTTCATCACCTCACAGAGGTAATTTGTATATGAATCTCAAGAACTCCTCCAATCTGGGAGTTGTTACATAACTTAAAAGCCAGCTTAAATCTGCTTTAGGTAATTATAAGAAAGCGTTGACCCTGTCGACAGGTAAGGTACTGTGATGTTCCTGGGTATAAGAAAATAACCCAGGCTATCAGTGACGCATTGACTTTGTGTTCCTAAGACCTGTCTCTGTATCGCTGCTCGCTCAGAAACGGTGGTCCTGTGGCTTCTGTTTCCTTGGTGAAAGCGGGTCGAAGGGTCCGGAAGCCTTAGATTCAAAGCCATTTCTGTTTGGTATCCAGACCGAGAAATATGTGATTCACAAACTCTTTCGAAGTCTTCTTACTCGACAAGAAAGTGGTTTCCTTATTCGCTTTTTACCGTGGTGAGGTCGCATCTTCCGTCGCCATGTACTTCGACTTGGCGGCTCTCATATGTACTAGAGGAAAAGTTAAACGAGGTCCTGGTCACCCGTGAGGTATATCAAGCTTTTCAAAGCTAAGTCGGACAGTGATGACTTCTCGGGTCGCCAAAGTGACTGGTCGAGGGGATCTTGCATATATCAATTAAATTTAAACTTCTAACCAGGACCATCAACTGCTAAATTGTTATGATCGTTACGTCTGAACATTCAGAGATCAATGGCTCAAGAAATTCTGTTATTGGTAAAGATGGCTTATCAAGTAACACCAAAATTGCCAAACAGCGACTGAGGAACCCCTGAACCGGATGCCACTCACAACTTCGCAGTCTCGGAGAATGTTGCGCAATGGTAAGAACGGCGGTTTAACTGTTAATATTCCAACTCATCATACTTATGCCACCAGAGCCAATCGAAAATACTCTGTCATCGTGTCGATTAATATCGTGTAGCTCACTTCAATATAGTTGTCAACTGAATTGTGAGAAACATGGGAACAATTGGTGGATACGAATTGGGCGAATGCTTAAGTAGGCAGAGTAGGTAACCAATCTAAGAAGGTGAAGCATCAAATCAAGCTACTTCAACCTCAAAGTCAGTTAAGTACCTAGTCAATGATGTCCGAATTTTTGAACAAATGGCAGAGAAAGAAATCATTTCATAATGCGTAGAAGGGCTTAACTTGTTAAAAGCATTCCAAATACCCAATCTAAGCACTTTCTTACAAATGTTACGGATCAAGACGGTCTGGGACTTTATTCAACGAGTGGGTAGGTTTGGCCCGAGAAATCAAGACAGTATTCTCTCCATCATACTTTCTTCTGTTACAGAAGTAATACGCTAGGTACATGGTGATAGTTACAGGTCTTCTCAAATAAAGAGAAATTCCTAGTATCTGTGTTCTGATCATGTTAGTTTAGGCATCTTGAAGTTTCACCAAATCCAGGTTGGACGTTGGTCGCTGAGTGCTCTCTGATAACTAGACTGGAAGGCAGCGTCGCCGAGGAGTGAAGTTCTCCAACAGAGCTCGAGAGTTGATATGCTTGCCCGGTGGAGCGTCTACATGGCTTTGCCGTTGAGTGCGGAAACAAATAAGCTCAATTGGCATGAGATCAGAGACTATTGGATGAACTGAGGTTTAAGTACGATGTTTGTCAGAAAGTTACGTCTCAGCACTTCTACCGTAGATAACAGGACCCATCGCAGACCGACATTGTTGCATTAATCGGAATTTCGGGTTGAAGTAGTGTCGTGGCCACCTAGCTGTCAGCTACCAGCTATCAGGCCGGCATTACGTAGGCAGGCGACCACAGCTACCTACTCATGTGACAGGCAACCGGAAGGGATACATCTCTTCCGACCACGTGAACCTACCATTCCGCGGCTTCTTTGTCCATAGAAAAAGCCATAGCTTTCGAGAAGAATTCCTCTTCTTACGCATGTAAGAGTAGCCATTGATAACAACAAATGTGGAATGGAAGTCCGTGGAACTTTTACTGTCAGCAGACAGTTTTTGACTGAAAAGCGCCCCACAGAGTCTGGACGAAATTACTATGTTATGGTTGCCGCTATTGAGTGGCCCCAAGGAAAGATTTCCTAACCCCCCTGTAAAACTATGTGTTTTGTTGAACTCTCGGGGAACGAAATGTTTTCAGTCTACGACAATACGTGCAATTACTATATCTATCAAGTCAGCTAGTCGAATTAGGGAAATAATCGCGGGGTATGCTAGAACTGAAGTCTAAGCCATCGATTATTAGGTTCTCTACGATATTCTCTACCGGTTCTAGGGAGCTGTTCGGTAGCGTTTCCGCCGACTACCGAATCCCAGTAGTCACACGTCCATTTCCCCAGACGAAATAGGGGGTTGATCAGCCTCTAGCTCACCATTCTGTCAGTACAGGGGACATTTGTATTTCCTATTTTGTCCTGGCTCCCCCCAAAAAGGACAATCACTCGCTCGCTTGGCCAGTCCAAAATTTGGGCGTAATTCCGTCAGTTGTGTTACATTGGTCGCAAGATCAAGTTCGTGTCTGCCGATTGCGGGGATTTATGATGCCAAGGCGGACTAATTCAACATTTTGCTGTCAGGACTGGTCCCCCACATTTTCCTCCATGGGAAAATACGAGTTAAGCACCGGAGCTGTCGGTACTGATTGCAGAACCAGTCAAGCGACTCTGCAGGTGAAGGGGGGGAACAAACAATGCCTTTCTCGGGCGGCATTCGCGCAGAAAAACACACAGCTCGAAAGGCGGGGGACGAAGGATCGTGCAGGAACCCACTAAATAAAGTCTATATTCCCACACGGCTGGTTTAATTGTGTCCCCATGACCATCACAACCGCTGTATTGTATACCGAATCAACACATTCAGAACTGATGCTCCAGAAAACAGGATCGTTAAGCTTGCCGGGATGACCCTGGAGTTGAGAAATGAAACATCAGATGGCACTTGTTGTCAAAGAAGCTAAGTGTGGGACAAGATGCTCATGAGACATGAAGAGAAGCAAGAGGCACTAGTTTGGCCCCAAAGTAAAAGATATTGTCAACTTGAGACGTTTGCCCTGGATGGTGGCTTGTCGCCGAACTGCCAAGCATTCACATTTCGTTAAATAAAGTACTGCACTTGTAGACCAGGGTATGCTTACAACCATATGAAATCTGACTAATGTGAACCACGGACACGCATAAGGCGAATAGAGGCCAAGAAGAAAAGAAAAAGAAGGAGAAAAAAAAAAGAACAATTGTTTGTTAAATCGGGTATATCAGCGTTTCATCTTTAAAGCAGACTAGCAACTGAATAAAGTACTTGGCTGTTGAAAGAAGCGCTGATGGGCATGCATCGGCCAATTCCAAGGCTTGCCGTGTGAGCCAAGGCACTCCAGTTTCAAAGTCATGGGCCAGGAAGGTCGAGAATATAGAGTTAATATCATATGCCGAGTTTCTATTTGCGCGCCCTTAGATTGCCTCCCCTCGCCTAACGTTCGACCGATTGTACTACCATTACAGGCGTAGGCTGGCCATCAGCACAATAACCAAGCTGGTCGGGGGGGGAACCACCGTGAGCAGCGCCGAGGCCGTCCAAGCTCGTAGTAGATGAATGCGGAGGTTGCTTCCCCGGTCTAAGGGGCGGGCCCAATTTCGTCCTCCAACGAAAGGGCTCGTTGTGGTCACCTCTGCCAGACTGGGGCGCTTCTCGGGCAGACATCTAGGCGCATCACCGACTCCACCACTTGCGTAAGGTAAATAATATAAACACGTTGAGTCGACACTCTAGGTCGATCCTCATAGCTGTTTACCTCAACCTATCCGACTTCACCCCCCTACCTAACTACCGCAGACTCTCCAGAGAATAACCAACACAATGGTTAAGATTTCCGTCCTCTCGGCTGTGGTGGCCCTCGCCTCGGGCGCCGCCGCCCAGTGCGGCTCTGGCAGCCCCCACGCCCGCGTTACCGGCTCCGGAAGCTCATTCACGGCTACTAAGGGTTCTACCAACCTTTACACGGGCTCGGACTACCGCCTCGCCATCCAGACCGCCCTGGACAACATCTCCAGTGGTCAGCGTGTAGCTGTCATTGCCTCTGGCTCGATCGGTGCCAACACCATCACCATCTCGAGCGGCAAGATCTTCGAGGGCTGTGGCACTATTAACACCGCCCTGCGTAACGGTCGCGGTGCTATCGAGTCCACAGACACCACGGGGGTGCAGATTCCCTACCTCACCATGACGGGTAACCCGTACTTCGGCCTGCGGTTCTCCGGCACCAAGGATCTCACCCTCGGCGCTATCACCATGAACCTCAGCGGCGGTATTGGTATTCGCTTTGACCGTGACCGCGCTGCCAACTCCAACGTCAAGATGGGCGTCATCCGCGTCACCGGTGCCGGCAGCCACGCCGTCGAGACCTGGAACATCGACCGCCTGACCATCGACCAGGTTATCGCTCGCAACTGCGGCGAGTCTGGACTGCTGATCCAGAAGACGACCAATGCTCGCGTTGGTCTCGTCGACGGCAACAACATCGGTGCCGGTACGGGCTACGGCACTCTCCGCTTCGCCAACAACAACGGCCAGCTCTCCAACGGTGCCTACACTACCAACATCTTCATCGACAAGGTCGTCTCCCGCGGTGGTGGTCGTGGCATCTTCTGCGTCTCGCAGTCCGGCGCTGCTGAGATTGGCAGCATCGACCTTGCCAACAACGGCAACAACGCTATCCTCATCGAGAACTGCTACAACGTCAACATCAAGAGCGGTACCGTCAACGGTGGCGGACCAGTCCGTCTTGCTGCCCGTTCCGAGTTCCCCAACAACAGAGACATCACCATCAACATCAGAGTCGATGGCACTCAGGTCCAAGAGAACCCCTGTGGCCAGAACATCAAGTGGACTCTCTCTGGCAACGGCCAGAGAAGCATCTGCTAAGCGGACAAATGGTCCGGGGCATAGGATGGAGGGGTGGTTTATGAGCTGTTTATTTCCATGAGCACATTTTTTCTGTGTGGCTTCACATAGCCACCGTCTATATTTACCTTTTACACTTGGTAACGCTCAGTTGCATCAAGTGCCAGTACAAAAAAGCTGAGCGAAAATGTTTGGAATAAGTAAAACAAAGGGATGAAATTCGTGAGGGAATCATTTGAGAAGCTAAAGCCTCGATTTCCCAACCACAGTAAATATCACCCCGTCAGTAAATACAAATAAATATTTTGTTTCCATTTGACATGCCCCAGTGTAGGTGGCATTGTGCTCGCATTTCGTCTAAAAGTTTACACCAATCACAGTGATCTAAGCACGCGACCAGTCGGGATCGTGCGTCGGTCATCTCGGGCCGACGCCTAATACTCCCATTTAGGGAAGGAGCTTGAATCATTTTATGCTTCATGAACCTTTGCTGAGGCTGTAGAGTATTACCTTTAGTCAACCCACGGTGCGAAGCGGTGTCATGACCTCGCTAATTCTGGCCGCGCAAACTGGTGTCATTGTTGCATTCGTAACCTGGGGCGAGCCGTGTTGATCACACATCGACGAGGAAATCCTAACCACCCGGCAGGTCCTTTTGCCTAGGTAGGCAATATCCAGATCGTCGCAATAAGCTTACAAGGGCCGTTGGGACTGCGGAAAGCCTTCCGATACGGCCATGGCGACCTAATGACCGTCAAGCTCTACGTTTATGCCATGTTGACTAACAAACACCCCGTCTTCGCAGTTCTCCGTGACCGGCTGAGTGTTTAGGACTGCCTCTTTAAGACTGGAACAAATTAATCTTTCGAAATCTCAACTGAGAATTCCCCAGAAGATGCTAAAACGGCAACTCTTGGGGCCCCGCATGTAAGATGCTGGGGTACAGGAACTCATCCGCGTTCTTCCGATTTCATGTTCAATCAGATATAAGTTAAAAGAGGCAAGTCTTCCAGACAGTCTCGTCAACGCGACATAGACTAGAACACAGTGCAACGGCTTCTCTTTTCTTCGGTCAAGATGTTCGCGAAAATTAAGAATGATCCGCTCTACCAGGACCTTAATTGGCGCTTGTTGCTGATCGGGTGTGTCGCCAACCTGGGGGCGATGGGATTCGGATTTGATAATGGCTGGTGGGGAGGCGCTCTTGGTTTGTCACAGTTTCAGCGCAAGTACGGCGCCTACAACGAAGAGCTGGGTCGCTATGCGATACCTTCGGACAAGACTTCCGTCGGAACCGGTACCGGCTCTGCTGGAATCATTCTCGGATGTATCATGGCTCCCTTTGTCACCTCAAGACTCGGCCGGAAGAAGTCGTTCCTAGTCATCTCGGCTTTCATGGGCACTGGCGTGGTTCTAGAGTCGTCTGCTGTCACGTCGTTCTGGCAACTGGTAGTTGGCAGAATCTTGGTCTATGCGGGCATGGGACTGGCGTCCAACCTAACGCCTATGTATCTCTCGGAGTGCTCGCCTCCGAGGATCAGAGGTACGGCAACAATGACATCCGATGTCGTATTTCAGGAGCTAACTGTAACCACAGGCGCTTTCCTTGCACTTTACAGCTTCTTCCTCTCTTTCGGTGTCTTCATGGCCGCCATTGCAGTCTATTTGTCGCGGACAAGGACGGACAAATGGCAATATTTGTGAGTGTCCACAAAGTCTGGTCGACTTTTTGGAACCGAGAAACTAACCACCGGTTGAAAGAATTGTCATTCTATGTCAGCTCTTTGTTCCTATTGGATACGTCGTCATGTATCCATTCCTCCCAGAATCCCCTCGGTATCTCATCTACCGCGGGAAATACGATGAAGCCGAACAAGTCCTCAAGAAGTTATCAAACCATCCTGAAACGATTGCACAAGAAGTCCAGCTGCTCAAAATACAAGTTGAGGAGCAGCGCGAGCTGCACAAGGCTACGTCACTTAAAGACTGTTTCAAGGGCGTAAACTTGCGCCGCACCATCATAGCTATGAGCGTGCAGATCTTGCAGCAGGCACAGGGCGTCTCTTTTATCCAAAACTTCATTGTCACCTTCATGCAGCAACTCGGATTTCCGGATTCCTTGCGCACCAATGTCATGGTCACTGGTTGTGGTTTTGCAGTCCACTTCATCACCTTTCTGACTTTCGACAAGCTCGGCCGACGTCGGTCCTTGTCTCTGGGCGCTGTTTTCTTGGCTGGTATGATGCTTGGCACTGGAGCGGCAACGGCGACTGGGTCGGCAGGGCATTACTCTTCAACAGTTGCCAATGCTTCAGCTGCGTTGCTCATCCTATGGTAAGTAATTCGCATTGGCCAATTTAGGACAAACTCTGACGAGAATATAGGTATTCGATTTACGGAATCACCTGGGGCCCCGGATGCTGGGTTGTTGCTGGTGAGATTGGAACTGGTCAGCTTCGGGAGAAAACCTTGTTCCTTGCATCCATGGGCAGCTTCCTGACGTCCGTTCCGATAAACTTTGTCAATCCTTACGTCCAGGCCAGACTCGGTGGTGGTGTCACATTCATCTACGGTGCCTTTTCCGTCGTGGCGGCTGTATGGGTCTTCTTCATGGTCCCCGAGACGAAAAACCGTTCGCTTGAAGAGTTGGATGAGATGTTCCAAGCCAATATCAAAACTCGAGGGTTTAAGAAGTATGTCTCAACCGGCTTGGGTGCCCAGATCACCATGGCGGAGGATAAGGGCGCGAAGAATATTGAAGTTGAGCAAGAGGAGGATGCATGAGATTCTCAATCTTCGATCAAATACACCTATCTGGACAAGTCATACAGGTCTAGGAAAGGATTGACTTTGTTCAAGAGCAAGATGCCACACGCAAGTCGGAACATGGGCGTCTAATACGTCTCTTCTCTTTGTTGAAACAACGATAAGCATAGTGGAAGTCGCCAGTCTGATCAGCATGTTAGCAAAGAGTTTGGCTTATATAAATAATTTATGTTAGACTCATTGGACTTTTAGAGCGTCATACAAAAGTCCCGAATCATGGATGAGATTATTTCCTGGCGATAGTCCTTCAAAGAAAATGTTTTCAAAAGACTTTAGCTTCTCTTAAACAAAACTTTCCGCTGAATTAACGATACAACTGACACCTGGTTGCAACTAATCATTCTTGAATGGGAAGAGGCCCCGTACTCTGCGGAATTCATGGGAGATGTCTCATGCCGGAGGTCCCGTTCAGTCTGTGCAAACTATTTACCAAGATTGGCAAAAGGTAGAGAGGCGGAAAAACAAAATGACCCATTGAAAAGAAGATGATTATAGCTATTAAATGAAATACTAAAAAATAGCCACTGTCTAGCCCATGTCCGCTGAGCCATTGGTTTCCGTAAGAGGCAATTCAACTCACTCGCTGTACTCACACAATGATGTTGGTTACGATATAGTGGGGAACCTACAGAGCCTAGAGGATCCATAATAGGGCCAATTACTTGAGTTTAGGCCCCCAAGCCCCCCAAAGACTCCGTTCTGTTGGCAGTACAAAGAACGGATACTCGCTTGAATTTGTGAGACAAGGGTGGCTATTCCTTCCTGTTTTATATGGGGATTGGCAGGGCTTGCCGAGAGCCGGAGATTACTACGATATCGGCCACCGCTGACACAAACGGAACCGAGCGAGAGCTCTGTGCTTGGGGAGCTCTGACACAACGTGGTCCCAATTAAAACACACCGCATCTTCAAAACGCATCTGACGATCTCACCAGCCCAACGCCGCTTCAACTCATCAACCTATCAACAAGAGAGCACCATCGCTCGCTCGCAATAATGCCCTCACTTCTCGCTACGGCAGTCCAGTCGGCAACACTCAAAGCCTCCGCCAATTTCACCGCCCAGATTGTGAACCAGCACAGGCAAGCCGGCGCGCCTCCGCTTGACTGGCGCCGCGTCGCTGAGTTTGCGACATTCGGCTTCATCCAAGGTCACATCAACTACTGGTGGCAGCACTTCCTTGAGGACAGATTCCCCAATTCTGCGACCAGGTCAGCGCACAAAGCATCATCATCAACCGTTGAAAAGGGGGAGGCAAAGCCGGAAAAGCCGGAGAAACCCGTTATTGCCACTAAACCGCCCGGCGGAAAGAATTACTTCAATGTTGCTCGCAAGCTGGTGATCGACCAGACTCTCGGCCTGTTCATCATGAACTCGGCTTTTCTGATAATCACGTCGATTTTACGAACAGGGAGTGCGGCCATCACTTATCAGATCTGGAGCGAGAGGATATTCGATCTTATCAAGGCAGCTTGGAAACTTTGGCCACTGGTGGCTTTCTGCAACTTTGCCTTCGTCCCGGTTGGGTACAGGGCACTCGTAGGAATGACGGTTGGGTTTGCGTGGAACATGTTCCTCACGTTTTTCCTGTTATAAGAGTTGCAAGCGGGTGTGGGTTGCATTTATCAAGACACGGATTCTTGGGTTTTCCGGTTCCAGCATAGCATGTATTCTAAGACACGGGGATAGAGCGGTGTTTATGGTTCTAAAAAAAGGAATCTTATTACAATTCATCATGAGCGCCCGTCTTTTTGGAGGCACCTTCATCCTCCTTAGGCCCAGGGATTGTAAAGACTACCCTGCGGTATGAAACCAGGGTTCCATCAGAGACCTCCAGGATGAGATGCAAATGCTTGTCGTCGTTCGGGTGGCGGTTGCGCCCGGCGGCTCGGAGGACCTTCTTAGACGGCATTGTGACTGTAATGATAGGCGAGTCAATATCACTTAGCTCCAGTTTACCGACATCTCGCCCAGGGCTGTTGTTGTTCGAAGAAGGTTCCAGGTATTGCCACCACTTGTAAGTCAATTCCCCTCCATCGGGGTCACACGATTCCCTTGCGTCCAGTCCAATTTCCTGTCCCTCTTTGACAACCATCTTGATAACTCTCCGCGATTTGTCCCCGTTGACAACAGCGACGGGAGCGTGCTGTGCCTCGCCAAACTCGGAACTGCCAGACCATTTCATCCGCGCGGCAAAATCGTTCTGAAATGCCTCTCGCCACCTCCAAACTGTAGCCTGAGAGCTCATGATGGTCTTTCCCGAATGTTTGATGACATCAATACTGTCAGCAAAGTGGCCCTCACCATAGGTGACCGGGCCGTACCGACCGCCCCAAGAGCCCCATTCCGGGTGTTCAGGGTCCGAGAGGCCGTTGGGAATGAGGTAAAGAAGTGAAGGCGTGTCTCCCTCAACAATGAAGTCGGCATCTGGGTACTTCGCACCCAGGGGACTTACGCTCTGGACATTCTGTTTGATCCATTCAGGAGATACAACATCCCGACTCGCCAGGCTGGGGAAATTGTAGTATTCCTCGCCTGAGATTCCTCCCCAAGCAGCCAGTGCGTAGCGATTGAAGTGATGGATGCTGGCGATGAAGAAGAGCTGTGGAAAGTTGCGGCGGATCCAGGACCCGGTGTTGTCTTGGTCGGAGATGCTGTACGCCCGCAGCTTTGAGACAAACTTTTTAATTTCGGGTTCCGATCTTGTGGCATTTACATGCCACAGAGCCTGTGCGAGAACGGAGGCGCCACCCCATATTGGCACCCAGAGAGGCTCATCCGAGGCATCAACTGTCTTCACTAGCATCTGTGATCCCTCGCTATCCTTTTCTTCCCCAACACCATCCATACCGTAGACAGGCCGACCAGATGCAATAAGATCTCTGAGGTATTTGGCCTCGGGCCATCCGGTCGAATGTTTCTTCAGATTAGGAAGCACCTCCTCGTAGGCGTTGACAATGTCATGCATCTGGTCTGGGCGTGTCGTGTCATTGAGCCAGACGCTGGTTGTAGCCACAAGGCCTTCAATGTGGAGCTCATTTGCGTAGACGAGTAGTCTCACGAGGGACTGGGCGTCGTCGGGCTCGTTGGCGATGTCGCTGAGGAGGAACACGCGAGGTCTGTCAGGTGTCGACGTCTTACACTGTCCAGCGGCTAAAGATGAGCTGATTGCAGAGAGCAAGATGGCAGCCTTGGCCAAAGTCTGTAGCCAAAACATGTCTACTGATGGTGTGCCAAAACTGTTTCTTTTCGACTGTTGGCTGAAATGTCATAAACCCCGAAGTAGCAAGGTACAAAGTTGGTTCATATACGACTTCGTCCCTCCGCAAGCCCCGTCGCTACGAGCGCTTAGGATTCCCCTTTTGGGCGGGCCCCAAAACATTCACATGGGTCAACAATGCCCCTCAACGTTGCGTCACCAACGGATGCCGAATGCGGTGTAACTCAAGTCTTTGACTGGCAACCACATCTTTTGCGCAGACGGGCGTTTTTTGTTTTTTGTTTTTTTCACTCCCTCCCCAACTTGTTTGAATAAATACAATGGCCTATTCAAAGAACATGGCCAGATCGCCGGACAGCTTGAAATATGAGATCCACCCCAATAGATCGAGGTCAGCGCCAACTAGTGTGCACAAATGACTGGCTATCTTAGTGACTTAGCATGCTGCAGCTAAGACGGTTATTGTACTATTCTTTTTTCACTAGTTTGAAAAGAATAACTGAAGTTTGATAATGAAGCTATGCTAATCTAAGAGTAATGGTAAAACTTATCGTTATTGAGTATTATTTAACCCATGTTTAAAACAAGTACTTAGGTATCGAATGGGTATCGTGGTATTCGCTCTAATAAGTGTACGATGTCTATGGGCCTCATTGACATCTAAGCCCAAATGTGAGGGGATGCGTACCCTTCTAAGGATACTGGGGTCTCAGATGTCATGGCCAAACTTTTGAAATCCATCAAGCCTTGGTGGAGCCTGTAGCCGCTGACAAGCTGCTCATGGTACATCTCCTGTGAACTCGTCATCTCTGGATCTGGGTTGGTAACCTGTCCAGATTGCTGACTAGGATCGGATATGTGTATAAGGTACGGTTTCTTGGAATCGGTGGAGCTCGCGCTTCCTGATTTCGGTGTGAAATGCTGGACGAACTTGCGTAACGTCGGCATGGAGCCGCAAATGATGAACAGATTTGTCTCCACAAAGCTGTATACTAATAAGGAAATTGTTTTAGACGTAGAGTAGAAAGAGTAACATACCTCCACACGTTTGCCGGGGCGCTATCCCATGAAGGATCGCTGCTTCTTAATAGTCGTGGTAAGAGTATTAATTTGATTACGGAGGTTGCACAAGTCCTCGAGTCAGTGTCAGCAGGTCGGTTAGAAAAGTGCCTTTCCAATGCGATACTTACATTGAGCCCACGGCAAACATGGCCAGAGCCCCAAGCTTTTTCCCAATACCCATGCGAAGGCTGCATATCATTGGGATTGGAAGAACAAATAGGATGATGTCGGTGATGATGTTGGCGACTGAGTTGGACATGTAAAGTGTGTCGGCGTCGATACAAGTTCCCCAGTCTATGCGAACATCAAATCCTTTCCTGATTGGAGCGCATCGAATGATCATGGTGAAGGATACTGCAGCCGTAGTGGTGGCAACAAACAATATTCCCATCCAGACTGCGACACGATACTTCTTTTGTGGCGAGAGTTGAAGGTAAACCGTTAGAAGCGAAAGTTTGCTAAAACCATTGCATAAAACGAATGTCGGACCCGCAACATACGTAATCTTGAATTGTATAAGCCAAATGTCTTTGTCGTTATTCAGCCTTTAATGCAAGATCTTCTTACCAGCAAGTAAGACTCAAATCGTGTGAGCGGCATATCCCAAGCATGTGAGCACATCCCGCCTTCCGTAATCGAGTCTGGAGTTCAAATATCAGTAGTCGCTATGTTAGGAAATGAACTTGATGCTTACCAATGATCATTATTTGCGTTGTGACGGACGCAATCTACTTATTGTCTTTTCGTCAGGCACAACGACGATATGGAGATGCAAGGAAAGCTCTTTAAAAGGCCTCAAACAAGTCCACTCACCCAAGCAAAGAACATGAAGACTAAAGACAGTTAGCATATAATCCAGGCATAGAACATGCATTATTTAGACCTTTCAAATATCATTCCAAACATTATCGTATGCCAACTTACCATCATCAACCTTCAATCCGTTGGATAACCAAATTTTGGTATAAAATCTTTGTAGCAACGCGATAAAAGCGATAGGGCAACCGATGCTGAACACTAGGTAATGTTCCAACACCAGGTGTTGTTGAGGATGATTGAAATCGACAACATAGCCGACAGGCGGCTGCGAAAATATTTCGGTGCCGTTGACGGTCGGAAATTCGGGCATGGTGCTTCATGAGGACGGATTGCACCAGGCTTGGGAAAAGTTGAATTCGAGGGCGTACACTCCATAATATGTAGGAAGTTATAGTTAATGTTCATACACCACTGTTAAACTTTGTTGGGCCATTAAACTACTTCATCTGCGGGTAGAAAGGATAGCTAGCTTGGGGCAGGTCGACCTGTTTCTAAGTATTTGGTGCCAACCTTGTTGATCAACCTTACCCAAGTCTCCCCTCACCTCTATCCTCATGATATCATTATTTTCAACATTGTCACAGATATGTATCTTGGTGGTTATTACTTTATCGCTACTGACCTAGTGAAAATGACACTGAAGCAAGATGTGCTACCGAGATGGCTTCCTCATATGTGCCTACCTACAGTAAGGTACGATTGCCCCATGGATCAAGATCATGTAACCACTGCAACGTACCACTGGTATTATTAGTCAGATGCCGACTCACTGAATCAGATGAGTTCGACTACTTCGAAGAGACATGATTCATGATGGATGATGGATTACTGATTCATGATGCGATTAGCCGCTCGGGTTTCATTCAGGCATTATTACTGGCGTAAGCAAATCTTCTTGTGAGCAAGCATTGAACCACGTGCCAATGTATCGACAACAAAGCTGTCATCCTTGGTCGTACATACGAACATCGGCACCCGCGGGGTATTCTTTTATGTGCCTACTGATCACCGTACCGTAATTCGTGGAAATTTCCGGCGAAAAAACAGATCAGAACGTTTATCCTGGGACGGCATGCCAAGAACTCTATCCGGATTTGTGTTAAGGTTTGTTCAAGTGCTTCCAGATCCTAAGGATTCAAACATTTCTAGCTGTCGAAACCCTGCAGACACGTTGCGAAAAAGGCCCGTGACAAACGATAGTTTGAGAGCGAAACCATTGGAGCCCAAAAAAATGTACTACATAGCATGGACGCTGCGTAAAACTTCTGCGGGGTACCATTGAAGCTTTGAGGAAGGAATGGACTGACCCTGCAAGAACTTACGAATCATGAGTTGGATGTTCTGCTCGGATCAATCCACAGGTCTCATTTGATGTCTGGCGGGAACTATCGAAAGACTGAGCTCAAGCTCCGCATGTCAGAATACTTGGCAAAGATTGGCACAGATGTGGTATCCACATGTCATCCGCTTTTAGATGAAAGGCTGCACCAACATCGCCGTCTAAGCGGCATGACCAATGATCTCTCTGTATGATCCGCGATCCGATCCGTGATCAGCAAACCTGATGGTGCCATTGAACATGATGAGCCAGGCAGAGCAAGCCCTGCATTGACAAAAAAGGAAGTTGAATGAAGTGGGGGTTTGATTGCAAATGATTTGATTCTAGGATGGACAGCGAAACAATAGGATACGATCCAGCTGAAGCAGGCAATACGAGACAATTCTTTCGCAGATCACTCAAACCTTTAAAAGATGATCATCCTTAAACGCTAGTTTTTCTTGGTAGTCATCTGAGAGCTAGAGTTTGCATTTGCGGGCCTGATCGAAAATACTGTCATGATTCGACATCTGAGCATCCCCTTATCATAGAAGCTACTTTTGTCTGATAGACCTCAGCACCATGTAATTGCTAAGCGTGCGTGGAATTTGCAGTGACAGTCTCTTCCAAGTTCATACGCTATTACCAGCGGCTTCCTTATGAAATAGGATCCAGTATATCTTGGAAAGTAAACCTCTCCCTTCGGAGGCTTGGAGTGAGACAACCTCCTTCGAACATCTTGAAGCAAGTCCACTCGCGTGGGTAGTCGACTCATTGAATTATTTGTATCAAGAGACTTTGGGTGCATGGCTCCACTAATACTACATGCTGAGGGAGAGACATGACTTTGACTGCTTGAGATTCATCAGCCAATTTATGCAAGGACCTCTTTCGGGCGTATTTTGAGGTTGCATGCGCGCCTTACACGCCACACTTTCGGGACTTTAGTAGAGCCATATGGAGACCACCTCGAACTAAGACATTTGAAAAGAGTAGACTGAGCATGATGCAGTAAACATAGTCCGTAAGTCGAGTACAAAAGACTTCTGACAGTCAACTCAACGCTGCTTGACGTCCGATATTCGGTACCTAGTTGCTGATTGTTCTACTCAATCAAGAATGCTAACTCTTGTCTAGCATTGTCTGTCTATTAAGCCCAGCAAACTTAATTCGATTCAAGTGCAAGCGCAGGAATCAGAGCGGTTTCAATCGAGCAACCATGAAGATGCCTACTAGTCCAACAATCCTTGTCCTCTTGCTCTCTTTAGCACTGGGCACTAATGCTGGTAACGCCCATGACCCAAAATGCATTTGTGTTAGCTCAACCCCCCTTCACTCTTGATTCTTCCCCAGACGTGGCACACGCTTACCGCTGTCCTCGTACTAACAGCCACAGTAGTGCTCTGCTCTTGCGAAAGATCCTGACCTGAGGGAGAAAGTCCTTTTTCCAAAAAGCATTCCTTACCTTGCCCGCCTGGACTCTTACTACTCCGCCAATGCGGCACAGGAACCCTGGTGCATGGTACTGCCAACCACCACGTCTGATGTGTCACGTGTAGCGGTGATAATTTCCAAGCACCAATGTCCATTCGGAATACGCAGCGGTGCGCATTCAGCTTTCAAGGGATCTAGTGGATGCGCTGAAGGCATCACCGTTGACTTAGGTAACACAACTTTTGACGAAGGTTAGAAGCATTTGCATTAACAGTTGGCTTCCTTAGGTTATATGAACACTACAACATACAATAAAACAAATGGTATTGCTTCCATTCAGCCTGGATCTAACTGGGAAATGGTCTTTTCCTCGCTTGCTCATCATGGGGTGACTGCTGTGGGAGGTCGAGCCTCAGTTGTTGGCGTAGGTGGATTTGTCACTGGTGGCGGTGTAAGTACACAGCTTTCCTTTGGGCAAATCAAGTCCTGGGACATGTGGAGATTCTTAGCTGATTTCACTTTCGATAGTACTCTTTTCATACCAATTCACACGGATTTGCGTGTGACTCAGTCGCCAATTTCGAAGTCGTGCTCGCCAACGGCACAATAACAAACGCTAATGCAAAAGATAACGCCGATCTCTGGAAAGCCCTGAAAGGTAGCTCCGGCAACCTAGGATTTGTGACCCGAATAGACCAGTGTAAGAAAGTTTAAACTTCTCATGTCCAGAGGCATTTGACCATGCTACTGGTGATCCCCTGCCTAGTAGTATGAATCATTGTTAATCTCAATTTAGATGTTGTTAACTCAACAGATATGTGGGGAGGTCTGGTCAGGTATAATCTTAGCCAAAGAGACAACGTCTTCAATGCCTATATCGATTTTGCCGACAACATGGCGAAGGACCTTGCGAGCCAGAACATTGTGGCAATGTCTTGGGGTAGTCAGGGGTATGGCCATAGTGCCATATTATCAAACATAGATGCCAAAGAAGCTCCTCCGGCTTTTGACAAGTACATGGCGATCCCTACATCTTCAAGCACGCTTCGCCTCGGAGCCGTCGCAGAGATAGTGCCGGAGTTCACTGGGCCAACCCCGCTTGGTCTTTAGTAAGTCCTCCCTCCTTTTAAACCCAAAGAGTTACCTCAAACTTAGTCGACTTACGTATAATTGTTATGGCTACTAGTGCCAACTGGATTGTAGGCCAGTTCAGAAATGATTTTCGTATGATGGATTTTATCGACAAGAAGCTTCAGCAGTACGGTACGATGATGGAGGAAGCGGCACCAAAGGCAAAATTTGATGTCCTTGTCCAATTGCAACCGTTCACCCAGTCAATGGTGGCCCACGGTCTTAGGAAAGGCGGGAATGTCCTGGGTCTCGAGCACGTGGTTGCTGATGGGCCTACAACCAACTGGCTCATCGTTCTGACCACTGATACCCTCGAAACCCAGAAAAAGATTCTTCCACTGGCGCTGCAATACCGCAAGGACATCAACGCACATGCTAAGAAGCTTGGAGTCTACAAAGAATGGACGTATCTCAACTATGCTTGGGCTGACCAGGATCCGATTGCTACTTATGGAGATGACAATATTGCGTTTCTCAAGCTTGTTGCAATGAAAGTTGACCCCGACGGTGTTTTTCAGAAGCGGAGGAAAACAGGATTTAAACTTCCAGTCTAAGCCGAGCAACTTAGCTAGTAAATGGGTGATAGCGAAGCTGTGTATGGGGTTTGGTCTAGATTGGGATATATTCAAATGCACTAGTACATGGCATTACAGTATTACTGACGGGGAACAACGCTTTCAGCCAGCCTAGGCGTAACTTCTCCACCTATCTCATTCCCTTGTCGACTGTCTAGAGGTTGAACTTCATTCACCTTTATCTCAAATGTTACTATTTGTGACTTCCCACGACATCGGCGCTGCAAATCTCGTTGACTTGAGTGTCAATCACCGCTTCTTTCCCAAACACCCGGGCACCTGAATCTTCAGTAAGCATAATAACCAGTTTAACGGCCTCCAGTGCAATGAATATGCCGTGCTTGTACTATTCATCAAACTCATCAAGAGGTGGGGGAGGAAAGAGGAAATGACAGGATAGAAAAGAGCGAATGATACAAGGAACCCAATAAAAGACGTAAAAAGTATAACTCATATGTTACATCATTGGCATCACTGTCATTCCAAATAATCAACATTAAACCACCGATAGTCGGCGCCCATTCAGCTGCTCAGCAGAGACTCACTCGCCAATTCGTACGATGCCAGTACCAAAGTTCCGAGCCTTCAGAGTGAAATAGATGTGATAACTCAGTAATAACTTAACTTTACGCTGCCGCAGGGAAAAGAAGTCGCAAACCATAACACCCATGATAGGTTCAAGGAATGCCTAGTTCCGAGTAGGGGCATCGTTGCCTTTCACAAGAGCAGCACAACAGCCAACCCAAGTGATGGTATCAACGCCGTCATCACAGTCAACAGTTGATCCGACCAACATGGCCAGCATAAAAATGGGACCATACACTTCATCGATGCCGTCGCATCTCGCGCAAACTGCTGTCATCCGTCTCTGTGGGCTGTTCTTGAGTATCCCTGAGAGGTTGACAGGTCACCGCAATTGCGCGTATCGGGGATTTACCGATGGTGGACTTGAATAGGCGGCAGTCTCATCGCTCAATTGTAAGAAGGTGCCGGGAGAACAGAAGGCGATATAATCATGGGCCCGTCAGCGACCGTGAAAAAAAAGTCTTGGGGGATTGAGAACGCCATTTTCTTATGATGTCCAAGCGGCCGAGCTGCAGTGTTCCCGCGGCGTAACAATAAAATCAACAGATTCGCTGAGGCTATTGTTGGTAAAGTCATTGGTTGTGAGTCTGCGAAAGTTCTCCTCAGGGGGAAGATTGTAGGCGTAAAGAGGGTGACACGGCTGGGCCACGCGTATGGTGAGGTGGTATCGCCGGTACATCTACAAGCAACAATGGTTTAGGAAAGCAGGGGATTCCGTTGAAGAATTAGAATACCCTTGGAAAGAAAGTGAATGTAGAGGGCAAGGAAGAGGTAAAGTCATCTGTCAGCCTGGTTCAGGCTCAGGATAAAATTCCAAATATTGCTATCGTACGGATCCTTGCGGGTACCCCGGGTTTAGTTTGCGATTAGTTTGCGATGCTCAAAACGGCGAGGCTACCTGCCTATAACTGTATTGTCACCGCCTTTTTGTTGTGGTTATTGGTCTCATAGCCTTTGAAAAATCGACATTTACTGTCCGCAGTATTGAATTTGATGGATTGAAGAGATTTGGCATGGATGACCTGGACTATATGCCACTCTGAAAGTTCAAAAAGCCTCCAAGTGTAACTGATGAGTGTCAGCTAGTCGCATGAAATACCAATTCATACACTCGAACGCGGGGAGGAAGATTCTTTTAGCTCTTGCGGAAAACAGGCATTTTAACGCCCAGAAAACCATCAATGAGTCGCTTCAGTGGTGATCAGATCCTCATCGACCCGTCATTTCGGGGTAACAGCATCTTGGCTAATTGTGCCAAAGCCTCGAGAAATGGCTCAAGTCCATCTATGAGAAATGAGGAGCTGCGGCAATCTAAGAACGAGTTGAGAATGTAATTCATGCCGCTAATACTTACTCGGCAGGTATGAAGCTCAGGAAAGATTCTTCGGCTGGCGGCGGAACCATGTACTGCTTTCCACGCCGTTAAAGAACAGACAGGCATTGAGGACGTCAACTTGCAGTGTTCTTACTGGGGTGGGATAACGCAACTAGACTAGTCCCATGAGATGGTGTGCCGAAGACACCCTACAATCGGAGCATTTAAACCGCCACGTTGCGAACGTGTCCTACCAGTCGGTTAACAAATTACTACGGGTACAGGCGGAGATTTCAGACATGGGGGAACTGCAAGCGACGAAGAAACAGATGGTACGATTTGAGAGATTTTTCTTTTTGGAATAGCACTGTAAAGCTTAAGAAGACCCCGGCTCCGTCTACCGTAACCACGGAGCACGACATCGGCGCTGCGGGGCATCCCGATCGGCGAACCCCACACCCATATTGTCTCGCGTCATCGGACGAGCTTCGCGATATGGGTCCCTGAGCACGCCATCTGTTGCGTCGAGCTCGACAACCTCTCGAGCCCCTCGAACCCTCCATCCCAATGGACTGGTTGCCGGTGATAAAGAGCGCAAGGCCCCCTTGCGGCGTCAGAGTTTCTGGCGAGTGAGGGGTAGATCATTGCTCTCTTTTCTTCCGTGTTCCCTTTCTCCAAATCCTTCAAAATCAATCATTGAGCACCGTCTTCTTTTCCCCTCATTGTAGTTCTTAAACACACATTTGATACCCAAAAACTCTGTGTTAGCCATGGCACCGGGTATTCTCATTGACGAGCCTGCCCAGGCTCCTGTCACGCCCTGGAAGGGCAAGAATGACGATGCTCCCCGCGACATCTTCCCCGATGGCATTAGAACCTCGGGACAGCACAACCCCCTCTACGATACCCTGCGACCGTATGAGGAGTTCCCCAAGGAGATTACAGGCCGAACGGTCTGGCAAAAAGAGGAGTTTGAGAACCACCCCGAGAAGTGGACGCACCGCTTCACCCCCGAAGAGGTCGAAGAGCTTGGCCGCACATCTGATGCTTTTATCGCCAGTGGTACCCCGCTGACGGGCATCTCCAAGGTATGTCAACTACGGTGCCCAGTAACGCCAATTGACCTGTATTTCCATCGACGATACTAACTCTCCTCCTTGCAGAGCAACTTTCCTCTCCCTACATTGGGCAAGGCGCTTACCGATCTCCGCGAGGATCTCCTCAACGGCAAGGGCTTCATTCTCTTCAAGGGGTTCCCTGCACAAGAATGGGGCCCTCACAAGACAGCCGTCGGATACATGGGCCTCGGTACATACCTTGGCTACTTTGTCTCTCAGAACGGCCGCGGCCACGTGCTGGGACATGTTAAGGACGTCGGCGATGACCCGACTCAGATTGACAAGGTGCGAATCTACCGCACCACGGCTCGGCAATTTTTCCACGCCGACGACGGCGACCTTGTCGGCCTTCTCTGCGTTCACCGCGCTGCCGAGGGTGGCGAGAGTGATCTCGTCAGCATCCACGCCGTCTGGAACGAGCTGCAGCGCTCTCACCCAGAGGTTGCCGAGCTGTTGACCAAGCCCGTGTGGTACTTCGACCGCAAGGGTGAGGTGTCTGAAGGTCAAGAAGAGTGGACGAAGCAGCCCGTGTTCTACATCGAGAACGGTGGACAGCAGCGCGTGTACTGCAAGTGGGATCCGTACTATGTGCGCTCGCTCACGCGGTTCTCCGACAAGGGCATTATCCCGCCGCTGAGCGAGGAGCAACTGCATGCTCTCAAGACTCTTGAGGACACTTGCCAGAAGCTTGCGTTGCACATGATTTTGGAGGTTGGCGACATCCAGTTCCTAAGCAATGCGCACTTGCTGCATGCCCGAACGGCGTACAGGGACTACCCTCCCCCTGCGCCCAGACGCCACTTGCTTCGTCTGTGGCTGTCGACGCCCGAGACGGAGGGCGGATGGGCTTTGCCGTTCCCCGACAGCAAGGAGAAGAAGCGCGGTGGCATCCAGGTCAACAACACTCCTCCTCGCGCGCCGCTTGACGCCGAGTAAACGAACCCTGACGGGATCTACTGTTTGGAAACTCTGCTTGTATAAACTACATGGATGTTATTAGCTCCATGCATTTGTTCGCAGCGAAAATTGATTACGAAGAAACGCACACATCGCAGTCATCTCACAATCCTGTGTTGATGAGATGGAACACCGGGAGGAAAAGGATTCAAAGGGGAATAAAACATATGTCTTGTCGTTTCGTTCATTGCCATTTGCGTGTGGAGGATAGGGAGAAAAGAAAATAGTCACACTGCAAAGTATAAATGAATAAAAAAAGTAAAATTGCTCATGAACCAAAAGAAAAGTCTCAAACCATTATGAAATGAGAATAATCACGTTCGAAGTCCTTACAGAACTAAAGCTGATTCCGACCTCCGGGAAGTGAGCGGATTCCGTGCCCCGGGCAAGTCCTCCGATCTCGTTAGTTCGGCGAAGTTGCCCGCCAATTTCCCGCGGGAAACCCAGTTTCCCGGCTTCTCCGTAGGGTTGCCCGAAATCGCGTGGTTTTCCGGTCGCGCCATCGCGGGGTCGTTGCTGGCTGGAACAGTGAACACCCCGCGTATGATGTGACCGAATTAGCGACTGCGGGGCACCTGTCTTCCCTGAGAGGAGGGGGAGGGGTTCCCTGAGACACAGTAAAACGCGAAGATGGAGGGGCAAAGGCCTCAGTAATGAGAATGACGTTCAGTGACATCAAGCAAATCTGCCATCTCGCTGTGTATAAGTCTTGGGCAACAAAACAGCTCCTGTCATATTTCAAGCTAACTTTCTATCTATTAAAATCTCAAAAAAATCTGTGAACCGTTCAGTAAACATCATTTTTAGCAACAGTCGTTACCTCGTCGATAGGACATTGATCATAGCCTCCACAATCCCGCCTCTTCCCGTTGCAGATAACGGTGGACCATTACTATCCACCCGCCCGCGTTTACCCCTCGAGTCAGCTTATTAGTCTTGGCTTCGACTTTCCGACGTCGCTGTCCTCAAGGTATCGCCATCGTGTTATTAAAGACGGCATCTGTTCGCCATTGATTCCCTCAGATGGTCTTCTACAGTCCCTTCTTTCTTCCTTAGATACCCCTTTCTGCATAACAACCATCATCAAAATGTCTCTCCTCCCAGAGCCTTTCGCTAGCATCCCGAGGGAATCCTTCCTCTTCGGCCCCTCTCCCATTGAGCCCCTCCCCCGCATATCCGCTGCTTTGGGTGGTAAGGTCAATGTTTATGCGAAGCGTGAGGACTGCAACTCTGGTCTAGCCTACGGCGGTAACAAGACCCGCAAGCTTGAGTAAGTCCATGGTATTCTTTAAGTTTCCTGGGGCTTGTATACTGACAACATCAGATATCTTGCTTCTGATGCTCTCGCCCAAGGTTGCGATACCCTCGTCAGCATCGGTGGTGTCCAATCCAACCACACCCGTCAGGTGACGGCTGTCGCCGCCAAGCTCGGCCTCAAGGCCGCCCTTGTGCAGGAGAAGTGGGTTGACTGGGAGGACCCTGTCTACGACAAGGTCGGCAACCTCCAGCTGTCCCGCCTCATGGGTGCCGATGTCCGTCTGGACCCCTCCAAGTTCGGTATTGAGCACAAGAACACCCTCGCCTCTCTCAAGGAAGAGCTCCAGGCCGCCGGCCGCAAGCCGTACTACATCCCTGCCGGTGCCTCCGACCACCCTCTTGGCGGTCTTGGTTTTGCCCGCTGGGCATTCGAGGTCGAGGCTCAGGAGAAGGAGCTGGGCGTCTTCTTTGACACCATCATCGTCTGCGCCGTTACCGGATCCACCATGGCTGGTATGGTCGCCGGCTTCAAGCTCGCGGAGAAGAATGGCTCGCGCAAGCGCAAGGTTATCGGTATCGATGCCTCTGCCACAGTAAAGCAGACTTTCGACCAGGTGCTGCGCATCGCGAAGAACACTGGTGTCAAGATCGGTCTTGAGGAGGGTGACATCACTGAGGCGGACATTATCCTGGATGACCGCTTCCACGGCGGCATCTACGGTGTTCCCGACCAGGTTACCATTGACGCCATCAAGTTTGGCGCCAGCACCGAGGGCTTCATCACGGACCCCGTCTACGAGGGAAAGAGTCTGGCGGGCATGATGGCCCTGATTAAGAACGAGGAGATCCCCGCAGGGAGCAATGTCTTGTATGCCCATCTGGGTGGCCAGCTGGCGCTGAACGCCTACTCCGGCATGTAAATTTTGACGCTTTAACGAATTAAATACCCCTGAAGCTTTGTTGATTGTTGGATCATACAATACCTTGATGACTCGCTGTGTGGTGATGCCGTCCCAGTGGGCCTAAATACGTATTGATGCTCTTGGGTTGCAAAATGTAATTGTCGTTGTTGCTGAAGGATTGTCGACGGCGTAAATCGCGTCCTGGACTGTCCATTTTTGTGACAGGAATAAACTCATCTCATGATAAGGGGGAACGCTCTCAGGTATCTCATCGACTGCGGCATGGCAACTGGTGCATAGCCTAAGGGGTACGAACCATCAAGCATGGGTGCTGTAACTTTCACTCGAATAGCGAGCATTATGTTATTTAGTATCTGGAGAAAGTTGGGTCTTAAAATGGAATGGTTCGTATCTGTTGCCATGCCGCAGTCGATAGGATACCGGAGGCCAGCATGTTGTCATTAACCAAGTAACTTGAGCCTATGATCAGAGAGAGATTGCTTTTGTGTTCTCGATGATTCTCTCGGCCCATGCAAACAACTGCGGCACAATTTTCAGCTCAAGCTCTTCATCTGTCACTATGGCGTTTAAAACGATCGGCTTTTATCACATTTGGGTACTACCGTAAGCCAATTCAAATACCTACGACTGCCCCAGCAATCTCAAAGATAACTTTGCTTAGGCGTAACGATTAGGCATCAGCATATAATAAGTATACCGAACCCGATGATACAACACCTGCCATGAACAGGTTTCAAGCATTTACAATCAAGGAGGAAATCTAGAGAATGACGCGGGTTGATCATTGATATTACGTATAGCCAAGAAGAAGATCAATGTTGAATACAGTACCTATTAAAGACATTCTCAAGTTAAGCTATCTTGGTGCATACCGTTATATTCAAAATAAGTTCAGTATTGGTTACAGTCCTGCTCTCGACAAAGCCAACACGAAGATTACCTGGCTGTAATAGTGTCAAATTAGTGAAGCGCCTCGTGGTTCAGGTCCAGACAACACACCCAATCAGCTTTACGACCCTAGTGAAAATATGCCCAGCTCTTTGTATTCAGAACATTGAGCTTCCCCCAGATTTCCTCCCCTGTCCCATCCTTCCTGTTGCCTCAACTCAGCCTACCCCGCCTACGTAGCTGACCTACCACAGCACGCCGATCGTGTCTTAAACAAGTAGCCAAATGGCCGGGGCCACTGAGGCCGGGGCCACTGAGGCCGGGCGGTATCTTCTGTATGCCTCTTTTCTTCTCTTTCTCGGTCTATTTATCAACAGCATGGCTAGGCTTACCTCCTAAAATCGAAATTGAAATGAACGAGAGGCAGAATCACCATGGTAGTTGCTATTGATTGTGATATGAGTAGCAAGCTTACATAGACTTCTTAGGGGGAAGACTAATAACAATACTGTTATTGGCGGCAATTATTTTTCTCGTTTTACTTTGCCCTTCTCTCAGAGCAGGCCCAAAATTTGATGCATCGGGCATCGTGTTACGTACTTGGATGCTTACCCATGGTGAATCAAACTAAGTAAGCCTTCCTTTTCAACAAGAGGTCCAACGAGCAGACGCCTGTCCAAGCCACTCTGAGATGAGGTTACACTAAGCAAGGGCACCATACGCAATCACTTTGCCGGGTCCGGAAGTCGTTGTCTCAGAAGAAGGTACTGTACAAGTTGCCGATCCTTCATAGCCACCCCCAGTACCGTTGCGGTGTCGTAGATAAAAACAGTTAGCGTCTTACTTCCAACCACTCACCGTCCCGTATGTAATGTGGCTGTATCTGACATGTTGAGCTGGAATTCCAATCGTCTTTTTGAAATCTCACGATAATAAAATCACTAGGCTTAGCCCTGCTTCGCGTAAACTCATGTGGTACATATTGGCCGTGTGTGTGGCAATTTGCACTTGGCAGAAGGCAGGCTCAGACGTCGGCTTACACACGTGATGGGTACGTGTTTAAACCATCGTGACTGTCATTGGGTCGACTATGTTGGGCTCCTCATCGTGTTTCTGCCCTGCCTTACTTCCATGAGAGACATGATGCGGGGTAAAGGATTTCGGTGAGAAGAGGTATGAGACGGAAAGATATCGTGAGTGGGTTAAATAGCAGCCTGCCTCTCCATCCCATTTGAGCGATAGTAATTCAACAAGCCTGTCATCCAAGACATCCTCGCAACACGTGCTTTGTTTCCCTTAGAGCAAGCACATGTACCTGCGGTAAACGAGACCACTTCATATACCTGAGAACACTGCTTACAGTCAAATACTATTGATTGTGGTTCAAAGTTTTGTTCTCCAAAGAAAATTCACAGAATCTAGTGACGGACAATCAATCGGTAGCTCATCCTCAAAAAGTCGAATAGCACCACTACCAAAACATCGTTATACGAGTTGCGGGCCCAGGCGACACCAATACCCTGTTACGTTTCCTACCTCCATATTCGCATTGAGCAGGCATGGATTCTCCAGATACTGGTATCCATCTTGGATGTCAATGCCAAAATCTTCCCACGCAGTCTCAACTGAGGATTACCGATCTTCCTCCGGAAATCCACCACTACATCGTAGATTTCTTGGATCGGATCGACAGTACGTGCTTTGGTTTGACCAACCGACACTTCTTTGCGATTCACCAACGCAGACATGGCTCTGTTCCACTTTCCACGGGACGAGACAAATTGAATGATATCGAATGGGTATGGGGACTTGCGACGGCAACGATTGACAAAGAATCGGGCCTCACGAGCTTCGAAGCAGATAACAGAGCAAACGTTGACCAAAAGTCAGCATCAGCTGGGGAACCTACAACTCCCAATAAGCCTTACTGTCGGATATGTAACTTCCTACGGTGCGAGCTTCATAGGCACTTGAATGAATGGATACCGCGAAACCTTGAGTACTGCTCGGTCTCTCAAAGACTTGGGCCACCAGCATTAAAAGATGCAGCTGACTATTGCCACAGACGTTCTCCCAGGGACCCGCGAAGATGTGGCAGGCATCATCCGAGAGTCCCTGCGGAAACATCAACCTGTCAGCTGATGGCAACGAAGGACGGTTGAACGAACGGTGCCAACATCCACGCACTCGCATAGAGTTATAGTTCCGGTAGAAGCTTATTATCCTGTCCTATCTTGCTTAGGCTGTGTAGCATCGACTATGATTAAAAGTCAGCTCCTAAAAATCAAAACTGGGCTACATCTTCAATCCAACTACCCCGGACATGTGTTGCATGAAACCTGCAGTCAGAGTGGGAAAGGAGATTACACGAGGCAACCGACCTGCGGTGTGTAGTCTCATGTTAGTCAAGATACCTAATTGCAAGAAAAGAAGAAAAAAAAAACTACAAAAAGATACGCTTGTCAACCGCTGACGGGAATTGAGCCCGACGTGGGGGTCGAACCCACAACCTTGAGATTAAGAGTCTCACGCTCTACCGATTGAGCTAGCCGGGCGGCTGAAGCGGTGCCATTGGCTGATGGGTGCTTGATTCTGAATTCTTTTGTTTCGTGGGAAACCTGGCAGTCAGTGGAGCTCTTTTGTTGTGGGTCATTGTGTTGTGGGCTTCAGTTTGGGGAGTGGGAATGTGCTCATGAAAATAAATGCTAGCGGAACAGAAAGACACAGCGTCTACAGCGCTTCGCCTAAGAACAGCCTGAAATAACAGAACAATCGGAGTGTGTTGATAAACCTAGGAGAAAAGTAAAACGGAGAGAAGATAAGAAAAATTTTACATGTATCAGAAGGGCACACTACTTTGGAAATCTACCTATTTCGCAACCTTATTTCCCCAAGCATCTTCTGCAAAACAAAGAAAACTCTTCAGTAAAAATTGAGTATACTGACAGTCTACTTTTGTTGAGTTTGGATTACCCAAGAATAAATTCTTTCCACTCTGGTCCAGGCCCATACCCGTCCTCGAGCGCCGTGTTGTTGATCCAGCCAAGCCCTCTCCTTTCGGCAACTGGGCCGTTACATTCAAGAAGCATCACAAAGTATTTTGTGCTATCGTGCGAGGAATCACCGTAACTAATTATCATCCAGGCCTCTGAAAGTAACGCAAACTCAAATGGGCCCTCGGATTCAAACATGGACGTTTCTTCCAATGCGTCTAGATGAGCTTCACCAATGACGTTCCCATGCCGGGCCAAAATCGACACCTCTCCTTCAAAGATGTTCTTCATTCGGATTTTAAAGTTTAAGGATAGAGTCCAGAACTGTAGGAACGGGTAATCCAAGCTTGGAAGCTGATATGGGAGATCCTCAGTAGGGTATGTTCGTGATACTAAAAGGCCAGCTAGCAAACCATTTGGCGGTTTAAACGGACGTCGCTTCCTGTATCCTGGGATACTATGATCTCCGATGGGGAAGGAGTCGTTTGCCGAGGGATCCCAAATGGGATTGACGACACCTGAGGGGCTTCTCTTGTACCATATGATCCATGTACTATCCGCCAACCATCTGTTAAGATCCCCAAATTGTAGCATTTCGCGACGTTGAATCAAGATTCCGCCTCTCCAGCCGGTCCACGAGTAGCTTGGAAATCCCCGCCGCCGGCGGAGCATCTGGTCTATTCCAGTGAACACCATGAAGGCGTCAAATGCTGCAGTTGGAATACCCTGGAAGAAAATGCATCTGGCTTTCGTAGATACTCTTCGAATTATACCGGACATTGCACGAAGGATGTCGCTTTGGTCTGTGAGACCTCTTTGGGTGTAGTAGAGAAGCATATTTGCGAAGTCCTCTACTGGTTGGTCCAAGCTTGCCGCAAGAGGGAGCATAGATGACCAGATCTCATTGTCCAACGCAAGTTTGCCCGGCCGAGGTTTATGGTCGGTGAGGTGCTCAGCGTACACGTCCTCTCTGCAGCGGAAGAACACTTTGTTGTCTACGAAGTATACGGCACGTCGAGCAAGTAGTTGTTCTTGGAAGCTTCCGTAAAGGGGTCAGTTAGTCAGAGCACATTTTGTTTGTTGGGTTTCACTTCTTACGTCCATGCCCTTGTGGAGTGAACAGAGCATTTTAGCAGTCGATCCAATGGAACGTAGACTCCGAGGTATAAGCCCTCCAAAATGCGAGATGAAGTGTTCACTTTTGGCCGACTTCCTTCCTGGACACCTGGTAAGCCGGCATTGGCATTGTGTCCAGAGGCCGCTATGATGGTCAACCAAGACCTCTCATAAATTTGGTCCATGACATTAACGCCGAGACTCAGGTCTTTCGGCTCATTCTGCACAAGACAGATTGCATCAACCCAGAGATACCGTGCGCCGAGCTTGCGCACCAATTCGATCGCGTCTTTAATGGTTCGGGGAAGAGCACTCCATGCTGCCTTGATTCCACCCCGCCGCAGAAGCTGCGGTCTATTGACGGTGGATAGCCTGACGCTGGGAACTTCTCCCCACACATAGCTTAGTGCAACATACTGTGGAACTGTTCGTAACTCCACCAGACACTCATTTGCGACATCGATAAGTCGCAAGACGGGTAGTCCTGGGAAGGTTTTCGAAAACTCGAGCGGTGGGACGTAGCAGCTTTCCTTGTGAGAAGTTGTGCAAACCGATATCCATTTCAAGAGGCGGTTGACGTCGAAGACAGGATTGATTGCGTGCTTGAGGTAGATGTAGTGAGCGTCTGCGGCTGAGGATGGTTTGGTCTCAACCTGACAGATCCAGTTCTGTAAAGCCCCGGCGTCAATGGCAAAAGCATTACGCCCACCAGGGCCATTGTTGTAGTGCCAGGTGATTTCGACGTCTTCTTGCAACATCAGCATCTTTGCGGTTCCAGCTGTATCTGTTTGATATAAACTGTCGTATGCCCGGGTCACAATCTTGCAAAAAGGACAGGGCCTGAACTGAACTCTTGCGCCATGCCCCAGCGACCAGCGGTTGACTTTTTCAGTGACTCTGAGGCCCTCCTCTGCTTTTTCTCGCGCCGCAGGGGTGAATGGAATTTGGCGGCAGTATTGACATAGTGGCTCTAAAGGCAGGGCTGAGGAGCTTTGGGAGCGCTGAGATGGCTTTCCCGCGCCCTTACTGTATGTCTGGTCATTTTGCATGGTCAGGTAAGACAAGGACGCCGGGTAGGGCCTTTGCAGTCCTAAGACAGCTTGAGCAGAGAAAAAACGCGGGGTGATGAGAAGCAGCTGACAGGCATCGGTAAGCCGCATCAGTCTTCGGCTTCTATCACGTGGTGTTATCCAATCCACGATAACAGAAAAAGCGGGTGCTTAATCGGTCACCTTATGCAAGGTGTAGTAATATCCGCACAGAATGACCAACACATGGGTATATTGAAATAACGGATTGGTTTCAAGTGTGGAACAGGTGGAAAGCAGTTGATAACTACAACTCCGATAATAAGCTCAGCTTGATTTAAGCCTACTTCCCCAGATGTCGTTCTATCTATTACCTAATCGAGGGGGTTGGATGGCATCAAGAATGCCGTGAAAAGTCAAATATCTTCCATGTGAAGGGAAAAGTCTAGGTAGACTTGAAAACTTAAGGAACCACAACAGCACCAGCGAGTGGCTTACCAAACAACATGGCATCAAATACTGATGTACAAACCACTTGCACATTACTGTAGGCATATTTCACCAGTTAATTTCCGCAATCGTTCAAGCAAAGGGTTGCGAAAGAGTGGTTGGCCGGATAATTTACTGGTGACTATATTTATGGTGCAGAAGCAACATCCTTGGCCACCCACCTAGCCAGCTCATCTAACTCATAACTGCCACACTGCAGAAGTAGCCGTTGGTTATAAGGCACCTGAATCCTCTTCGAGCCCCCTGTTTCGTCTGCAACTGCGAGATCTGCAAACCGGTGATCCGTAGTATAGTCTTTGATCCGCATCTCTTCCGCTGGCAACGAAAACAAATGAGCGTTTTCCCGGTTTATCTCTTCAATCTTGGCGTTATGTTCCCTTTCTATTGTTCGTTTTCCTACAAGGTGCAGATTCCTCAGTGTAATAGGCTCGTTGCGCGCTGTTGCGAGCCCCCAGACGATCATCCAGGCCTGATACCGGATATCAAGCCATCGGCATTTGGTTACAACGAACTCCAGAAGAGGAAGGTAGCTCATTTTGAAGTTGAATCTGTACTCTGCCGATTCGGCTGGAATCTCCAAACAGCTTTGGTATATCTCCTGTGCAAGGGCCGTAATACGTCTGAAACTGTCCTTGAAGCAGTCATATACTGATTCATCATGTGACCGGCAGATGCTGACGCATATCTTTGCAGTCAAATACTTCATCTCAGTCTCTGCACACACGATGCCAGTGTGTGATGGTAGAGGCTGGTCGGTGCCGTGCCTTGGCTCCCTAATAAATACCGTAAATGCAGCGTGCCACTTGTCGAAAGCGTTGCAGATCGCAGTCTGCTGTTCGTCCATGACTGGCCCCTTTGAAGCCAGTCGCGAATCTGTCCTCGATTCGGGGCCTGCCGTGCGTATATACCTAATGGCGTCTAGTATAATGGCATCCATTGCGCTCTGCGGCCTGTAGATGCTACTGTCCTTGTTGAATGGCCCCAGGTTATACCTAGGAGCGCCGCCATGAGTCAAGTCGAGGGAGGGAAACCCTGGTCTGTCATAGAAGCATAATTGAATTATACTTAGGCGATGAAATTGGGGGAGAACATTGATGACTGTAGAGGTGGCGAGCTCTTTATAGTCTACGTTGTTCAAAACGTCGATTCCCGAGGCAAGCTGTTCCATTGCCGCCTGAAGGCCATGCCGTAAGAACTCCACAGTAATGAAGAGAAGGCAGCCAGAAAGAGTAATGTTCACCTCGTTGTGCACTCTAGGGTCGGAATCACTATCATACTCATGTTGCTGAGGAGAGGCCACAGGATTTGTTAGCCCAGAGCACGACCCTGATGGGTTTATCTCCGGATTGGGTGTTATTGATAACCGGCTTGTTGAAGAAAGACTTGCTGGGGACGAGCTGGCCGGCGAGTTGATAACATTGGGATGGCCTAGATGGTGGCTGCTTCTCTTTGTTAGGTCACCCACTGGTTGACTGTCCACGCCCTCTTTCTGCTTGCGGGTGTTCCCTTCAAGAACACTCATGACTCTGGTGTAAGGATCAATGGCGTACCCAGTGTTCCCATCCTCCAAGGCATCATCTGAACATCCAGGCATGAGCGTGGCAATGGCGGCCATTGCTTGCCGAAAGGCGGGTTCGGTCCTGCCCATACGCGGCATTATATCGGTCCAGAACTGGCCCTCTAGATGCCCTGGCATCATCGGCGCAACCTCGCGTCGAAAGTGCTCCATGACTTTCTCCTCATCCATGTCCCCGTCCCATGCGGCCGATACATGTGCCAACGCAGCATTCAACCGCGTGGTCCTTGAGCGGGCCCGGGCAAGAGCGCGGTTACTGGGAACGACGACAGCATACCCATCACACTTTCGCCCGGTGCTCGTGCAACGGACGCATGCTGGTTTCGCCTCATCACATTTCACTTTACGTGATCTACCGTAAGGTTTTCAAGTCAGTATGAGATGATCAGGTAGAGATGTCTTTCCGTTTGGCCAGTGATTCCATGAAAGCCCGCCGTTGGAGCTCGGAGCCGGATCAGACCGCCCGGATCGCGTAGACACTTCAGGCTTTTGGGCTAAAGCCAAACAAATCTGTGTGATGCGCGGCGACAACATCAGATCATGGGGAATGAGAAAACACTTACTTGCATGTTAGACAACCGGTTCGGACCTTGGGTTGGCCCTTTCTTGTCATTGTAGCTCGAATCCGGGTTCATAGAGAAGAGATAGGTACGAAATAGGCCGCCCTCGATCACAGCTAGCCCTTAGGTACCTCTACCCGCAAGTCCAAGGCCACGTTCACCACTACCTGCAAAATAGCAGTAGTCCAGTGGTGCAGGCACAAATGTGCAAGGGGGAGATAAAAAAAAAACCCTCCCCCCAAAAAAAAGTCCGAGGCGACCTATCGAGAGGCTCTGATGATCTAGAAAAGACTTGTTTCAAGTTTGGAGGGGCAGAATCAGCCGGCCGAGAGATTGTCAGCGACCGAGGCTGTGGGAATTTGGTGCCTCAATAGTTTTGCGCCAAACGGTGTGCGGTGGTATCACTTCCGCCTCCCTGCGTCACGGTTTGGTTCTTAATTTGGGGGCCGCCGCACCAAGCCGTTCTCGCTGAATCAAATATTATCTCCCCTGTGCATGTCATGTCACCTGAGAACCTTGGTTCTGTGTTCAATCCAACATGGCGCTAATTTTGGTCACCACGACTTGGCGTTGGGGCCGGGGATGTTGCTGAGAGTGGTCCACCAGTTTGGCTGCTGGTGGCCGTATGGGGAAAATATGCTGCAGGAGACCTCGTTCCTAGCTCTCTTGGGTTATTATGGTGCTGACTGGGCAAAATACTGTGCCTGTTGGCGGCCAGCGCGGGTCAAATCAGGTCATCGAAACGTCAAAGAGCCTAACTGTTAGGGCTCGGATATTGACAAGACGGACGAACTTAGTGTCAGGATTCTAGACCCTGCCATGTCAGCTCAGCTGTGCCAATAGCGGACCAATAGGAACGTGAAGATTGAGACCTCGGAACGAGATGAGTTCGGGAAAAGCTCGCATTTTGCGTGCCCGTCCTCACTGCCGAAAAACATGGCTTCAGAGAATATGGGTCCGTTAGCAACGAAGGACGTATTGGCACGTGTCAGCGTGGTCCCTTCAAGTAGACAAGCTTGCCTAGAATGGCTTCTGTGGCTGGTTCGTAATTGAAGGGAATCGACAAGTGGATCAAGTGTTACTGACGAAAACTGTCTGACGCATTTTATTGGCCTGCGGCTGATCCTATCATCTCCCGTCTACGACGTACGCCTTACAAAGGACAGGGATTACTAGGAGGATTTTCAATGTTTTGATGGCCATTGGTACTCATCCCAATAATCGATACCAGCCCCTTCCATCTTGCATATTCTGGTGTGCGATTTGAAGATTTAAAGATGGTGAAACCCTCAATTATCGAACGATTGGGAAATCATACCGCTGTTCCATGGTGGTGGCTTTGTTAACTAACTGAATGCCGAGCGAGGATTCACCCGCAACTACCTTAGTATATTCTGCCCAGGCAGTCGAATGGGTAGTCCGTGTGGCAAGAGAACAATGCATCTGAGGAGTCACGACCTGTTCCTGTAAGAAAACAAAAGAGACTAGTTAATCGGTTGCGAGCTAGTTGAATTTTCGCTTATAGGTCGGCACATGGCCAAACGACAATGAGCTTCGGCAAGTAAAATCGTCTCAGCATAAGCCGCCTTGTCACAAATGGGAAACGGTTGGGAAATAGAAACAAGGACTGATCGTAATATCTGTGCCAACTCAATCAAAACATTCTAGCCATTTGCGAGAGATTCAATGGAAAGGAAAGGGGAGAGTAGCCTCGCTTACATCGAGCTATTCCAATTCGCGACTTAGAGGCTCCCCATACTCACGATAACCACATCATCTAGACCCGCCTTGCTAGCTCAATCGGTAGAGCGTGAGACTCTTAATCTCAAGGTTGCGGGTTCGACCCCCGCGTGAGGCTCAAATCCTCACCGCGATTGACTTAATCCAATCTACGGGTTCATCTTTTTGGAAATTTTCCTGCCTGGTGAGAGAAACCGTCAATAATGTCAATGACTGCGCTCTAAACGAAGTCATGTCCAAAACTTAGATTGGAACACTCGCCCGTTGGCGGGATTATTAGCTATTTTACTTTTTTAATGTAACGGGTTGGAGGTTATAGTTTCGTTGTATTGGTAAAGTCGTCTTCATAGTTGAGACTCTGGATTTCAAAACTTGCTCTCACACATTTGCATTTTCAGTTGGGTGAAGTCTAATCGTTGTTCACGCACGAGCACACACGGGATGTTCTTGAGAAGCTGTGATTCGTCCTTTCGCCTTGCGGTATTTGGCCACCAAGGGTCCTAGAACAACGACGACACGTGACAGACACATTGGGTTCATACCAAACTTCTTATCCTGGTGCGATATCCATGTTTCAGGTTTACTTGATCATGTACCATGATCCTGGCGCTCGCATCTGCATAGAAATTGGAGCAAGGAATGGAATTCGAAAGAATGCTAGACAACAAACGCAGCCCCAAAGCTCAGAGAATTCATGATAAGCACTACTATCTGAAAATGCGGGGTTTCTCTAGATATTTTAAAAGTTCTGGGACCTCAGATTGCTCAAAGTATTGCCGCCACCACACTCTCCAGCTTAGAGAATGAAACCGCGTCGTCGGCCGAACCGTACGAGCTGAGCCAAGTAGTCGACCTATGAGTTGTGAATTTGTGCTGTCAACGGCCCGCGATGAAAAATGTGTAAGGACTTCGGATCACAATGAGTTGTGACATGCATTTGTTGTAGGCAAGCTACGTCTTTTTAATGGCGAGGAATTATTTCCGAGTCCGCTTTCAACTTAGCACTTGCCGAGCAGACGAATATTACTGACCATCACTGACTGTTGAGCCCGAATTGCGGTTGGTACATGAATATGCTTAGTCATGTGGCATTTCTCTCGACTCATTTTCACTTTTCCTGAGGGTTGCCGTAAACGAGTCTGTCAGTAGCTCCGAACTTCACCTCAACAGGTCCCACCTCAGCTCATCTTTCCTCCCGCACCTAACTTGTTGTCCTGCAAATACATTGACACTCGCCTCGAACGATTCTTCGGCCATATTGGTAGCCATAATCACAAGAAGACCCGAATCCCGCCGTAATACGACAAGGCTGCTATAGTCTTAATGGCTAATATGATGCCCGCTCATCAAGATGTGTGTGACGCTTTCTGCTCCTCTCAAGATTTTGGGGGGTTTTTGGACGACTTCATCCGGACTCTCAACATGGTTACACCGCTTTGGGAGTGTTTGACCATAGGCCTCTTAGCTCTTGACCTTGCGATCACTCTTCACGGTATCAGTTCTAAGATAGCAGATACCGTTCTGTTGGAAGCACATGCAAACACCACTACAGTGCTTGCACTCACTGAGCTGATCACCCTCATGCAGCTTCTGCAAATGTTTCTTCCAGCTTATCCCACCGACGAATTTGAAAGCCTTGAACTGTCTAAAAAGCTTAGGGATCATGTGCACTGCAAGTGGATAGGCGGACTGTTCGGCACATATGGAGCAGAGTTCGCTGCATCTATCCCAAGACTTGACGAGGGCGAGCTAAGGACCTTTGGTCTTTTCTTGATTCCTGTCGGAATCGCCGTTGTAAGGAAATGGAGGAATTTAAGGCGGCGCTTGAGGGAATTGCGGAGGATGGAAGAGGAGGAGCTAATCGCAGGAGTGTTTCGAGGTTGAGAAGGCTGGAGATTATAAGTTCCGTAGATGGCTTTGCGTTCTACCAGTGCATGTTCAGTATATCCACATCATCAAAGTAAGGAGAATACGAGAACAAAACCAGCTTTGTCATCCATTTTGTTGAACTTGGAACCCCATGCTGGAGACTCTGTGACATGTTAATTTGAATAGAAGACTGGAGTTTTCCCAATGGTCTCACCAAGGCGTATGGATTTCTTGTTTTTCCGTACCTTTGACTTGATCTTGAACGTCTCCAGACTTTAATTGCACAGAAACGTATGGTAGATGGATGGTCGAATGTTTTCTCAATTCAGCGACCCATAAGTTATCAAATACAGGCGGTCCGATCTCCTACACTACGAACCAGCAAGAAAGAGGATGTTTCTTTGAGCCATCAAACAGCTATTTTTGCATTTCGTATTCAGACCGATAAAAATATTATACTGAAGTAGGAACGATCTTTCCACCTGCCGAATCCGTTTTTTTATTCACCAACAAGCACTTTCTTTAGGCTGGACTTGTGGGTCTCGTCGCTCTTTCCTTTGGTTGAAAGGAAAAGAAACTCAGGCCTCACTTTCACTTCAACCAAGCCTGAACACCCGCGACGGTGAATAATTCTGCAGAGCCATTTCCTTTCTAAATTCTGTTCATCAAGTATCAACACAGAAAACCCTTTCTTCTCATCACCGAAGAAAGATTTCAACTCTCACGGATCGCCAGTCACAAACCAGCACAACCAAGCACCAAGCAACACAATGGAGTCTGTGGTCCTCGGCACTTTCTGGTAAGTTCCACTCTTCTCCAGAACTTAATTCTATCTGGAAACTCACGGGAATTGGTTCACAGGGTCTGGTACCTTTATGACGATGCCCTCACTGCCCGCCTGGCCAAAAAGTATCAGTCTCTGCCTCTGCCTAAGGAGCCCTCCTACTCCAGCAGAGACGTGAGCATCATCATCCCAACTATCGATACACCTGATACTTTCACGGACTGCCTTCGTCTTTGGTTGGCCAACAATCCTCGTGAAATTATTATTGTCACCATCGAGCGTGATCTCCAGCGCGTTTACGACCTCGTCAAACCAGTTATTCCCGAAGGCGAGGAACGCATCAGTCTGATGACAGCTGACTATGCCAACAAGCGAGAGCAGCTAGTTGTAGGTATCAAGGAGGCAAAGGGTAAAATCTTGGCCCTTGTCGACGATGATGCCTTTTGGGGCTATGAGGTTCTACCTTCTCTTCTTGCTCCCTTTGAGGACAATAATGTTGGCGGTGCCGTGGGCAAGCAGAGGTACGTTGAAATTTACTTGTGTCAAGCTTCAACAGTGTAAACCTTCCAGTCTAACAACTTTCGTCTTGTAGCGCCCACATCCCGAAGTCGCGTCGTGATCCTGCGGTCATCACTCCTTGGGAGGTTGCTTCCCTTCGATCCCTTGACAACCAGAACAACATCCAGGCAATCCGTTTTGCTGCTGATGGAGGCTGCTTTTGTCTTGTCGGAAGAACTCTCCTGATGCGAACTGAGATCGCTATGGACGTCCGCTTCATACATGCCATCACTCACGAATACTGGCGCGGCAAGCGCCTCAACACTGGTGATGATGTCTTCATTACTCGCTGGCTTCTCAGCAAGGGGTGGGATGTTAGCATTCAAAATGCTCCTGAGGCAGAGATCACGACCAGTGTCATGCGTGACTCCAACTTGCTTCGTCAGATGACCCGCTGGCAGCGTAACGCAATCCAGTCATTCCTCACCACTGTGGTCTACAGTCCGGGCATCTGGAACATACACAAGTGAATCATCTCATGAACAATCCTTGGCTCCGTACCTGACATCCTCACAGGAAGCATCCTTACATGGCTCGCAAGATGATTGAACGTCTTCTTCGTCCTGTTCTGGCATGGATCCATATTGCTGCCTTTATTCAGGGCTTTCGCAACAGCTCGTGGGTAGCGTATGTCCTCTCGGTGTTCCTTCACCCCCAGATTTACCTGCTAACATGTGCCTAAGCTATTTCGCCGCCTTTTGGTACATTTGGAGAATGTTCAGTACATACACCCGCTTTGTCCGCCGCTTTCCGTGGGCTTCCAGAAGCATCTGGGCTGCTGTCCTTCTCGACAACTGCCATCCGATTCTTGATGTGTACGCATGGATCACTCTCAGCACAGAGGCCTGGGGCACTCGCAATGAGGATGCTTAGATAACTGGATGGCACTGGCGCCAATTAGGATTTGGTTTTGATTCCAAGGCGGGGTGAGGGACAGGCATATAGCAACAGGCTTGGACAGTTGCACAAGAACGGAGACGAAGGAGAAACACTTCACTAGAGCAAAGAAGCAGCCTCCTAGTGAAGAGAATTGCATGTAACCTAGTTACAAAAGCCGAAAATTCACTATTCTGGCCATTGAAGTGTGTAGTATCAATCTTGCCTCGGATGACAGTTTCGATATGCTTTTCTCCCTGGGCGCCGGGTCGGGCCGTGGGCCGTTCTGCAACTAAATTCTCTGGCATCATAGTTAAACGTTCATTCTTTAGATTTTTTTTCACTTTGCCCTTCTGAGTTTTCATGCCTCAGCAATGTAAGCACGTGACAGTTTCACAATCCCTTGGCCGAAGACCATTTTGTCTGACTGTCCACGGAAGTGATTGGGCCACAAACTGAAGCTAACCTGCACTCACTTTGCAACTAGGTCAAATTTTAAACCTGGTGACCCCAAATCGATCAGAAATCAAGAAGATCATGCAGCTAAATTCTCCCTTACAGCCCTACGATAACGGGTAACCCAATCGGGCGTCTTGTGGCGTCCCTTCCAAGTCACCAACCTCCCCTATGAGAGTAAAGGGCGATTCAGATTATCAAAAGCTTACCAGACATCTGTTGTCAGCGGCGATATCGCCGAATGAGCGCCAGATCGATTTCAAGAAGCCACATGATGTGGATTAAGTGATTTCAGTCCGCCAAGGCCATCTTTTCAATTTGAGCTGCCGGTACTCCCTTGCGGTCGATGGTTGGAATTTTGGCTATTCCCTGCTTGCTCAGAACATCATTGAGATTCACCAAACCTTGAAACTCCTACAAACTCCAGCAATTCTTGAAAGTCTGAGAGGCGTTCACACAGTTAAGCTAGCAATGTCGGAGCTGGTCGACGTTGGAAGTGCCGTTCGATTTAGGGACTGGTACAGCTATTATGGCCATATCTTCCAGAATATATCGACGGGCACGTGTAGTGAGTCTCTCGCCGCCTACATTGCCGACCATCAACAGTTCGTCACACCGACATGCGACCTTCACGTCGACTGCATACTCGAAGCAACCTCCGAAAGCCTCAAAGCAAAGATGGCCTCTGCTGCCATTTTCCTCGGTATCCTGCCGTCTGTACTGTCCATGCTGGGTCCATCCATGACCCAGCTCGCCCTCCTGTCTGCTCGCCGACCTATCCTTTCACTCTTGATTTCGGTTGGCAGCCCGGGTTTCTACCTTGAACGACTCTGCCGCCTCGAATCTCCCACCCAAATTCTGTCCATCGTACAAGGCGAGCGGTTTATACCCAGGCTCAAGAGCTCAAGATGGGGAGTAGTGGTGGGAATAGCGGAGTACATCTTTGTGGCAGGTTCCGTGCTCAATGTAATCAACTTGGCTGTCAGGGTAGGCGATCGGACCATCATGAGCTTCCGATGCAACACCTGGTTCCTTCCGCTTATATGGGTCTTCTCCATAACCTTTCTCTTCATCGTCGTCGCGATTCCATTTCAGTTCTCGGCTATCGCCAAACACATTCGGAACTGCACCGTCGAAAAGATACGTATGTCTGTTGACGCGGGACGGGGAAGCCCGGAAGATGCGCAGTGGTCTCCGCCCTCCTCAAGGACTGAGTGGCGCCCTTCTTCCACGGTCAATGTCGGAACAGTCAGGCAGAACAGCGGCTTGTCAATCTCCCAGTTCGTGATCAGAGAGCTGACGCCGGGTATGCGACATCCTGCTGTGAGAATCCACGAGCTTCCCGAGTTTGAGCCATGGGTGGCATTCTTGTTTAATGTTGGGTACCTTCTAGCTGCATTTCACGTCCTTTTAGGCACTTGTTGGTTTTCCTCTATTCTTTTTGTGTCTCCAATAGATGCCATTGGCGTCATCATGAGATTTTTCGGTTCTGCTGCGGCGTGCAGGCTTGTTGTTATGGTAGAACTTGCTAGTATGAAATCACAAGAGTTGCCGCAAGACGAGAAATGAAGGTATGGCCACCCAGTTTGAGAGGAATCAATTTCATTTCAACTTGCATAGACAATCGGTTCATCCCATAGAATAGCACAGCGACATACTCCAATACTACTTCAGGGTCTTCAGCTGCTAAATCTATGAAAAAGTGTCAACCCAATGTAAATCTTGGTCAAAAGCACAAGCGAAGCTAAGTCACCTCAATTCTCTTCTGTCTCAACTTTCATGGAGCTCACGTGCGCTTATTGACAGGGCTTCCGGACTGACCGTTCGTCTGTAAATAGGTGTGACATGTGTCAGACCATGCATGATGAACGGTTGGCTTCGGAGCTGAAGTAGCATGATTCGTTATACGTCTCAGATCCAGATGGTGGTCTGAGTTTGAACAGCAAGTAAGCCAAAGTCAATTTCTAGTGGCACCCAAACACTCGAAAGAGCCAATCAATACCCGGGCACACATGTTGCTGTTCAATATATGGAAGACTTATCAAGCATAGCAGTTTTAGCATCCTTATATGGCCAAGCTGTTTAGTCTGCCCACCGGTCTCCGCATTCACTGACGATTCGCTCAGCTGACATCTACCTTCAACAGTTGTTGATTGTTCTTATCGACCTCCCTACGTAATATCTTCGGTCCATGTCGATTCATACAATAATGCTAATGGAAGCTTTAGATTGGACAGTGGCTGGTCTCAGGACTTTTCAGCTTGAAACCGGCCTTCACTGGTGATGAGATCTAGACTGGATGATAGCTCAGCTCACCTTCGGCAATAAGCTTTAGGTTATGATACTTTCATGGGTTTGTAACTCCCGGAATAGAGCTTAAGACTTTTATCAAGCCCATAGCATGAATAGCCGCCGCGTAGCCTGTTCCACTCCTGTAACCATGCTCTCTACAAGCCTCAAAGCGCGCTTATGTGTTGAACAATAAAACGGAAAGCCAGCTCACAACAAAGGGCAAAATATAAAGAGTCACAATTTTCGCTATTGAAGTACTTCAGGTCAAGGAGAGACACAACAAAGTTCCTTGATTATCACCGCAAACCTACATCAATTTAAAATCTTTCTGCTGCATTTAAATATCGACACAAGCACTTTATTTTCATAACCATGCAGTTCAAGACATCTCTCCTCGTTATCATTGCTTCATATTTGTCTTTTTCCAGTAAGTCCTCTTTTCTTGTTACAACACATCAAATTCTGACCCAAAACCCTGTCAATAGTGGCTTGCAAGGACGCTCAAGGCAATGATGGCCAATGCAAACCTCCAAACTTTTGCTGTGCTGCCGATGGATTCCAATGTGTTTTTAGGGAAGAGTGCAGTAGCAAATAACAGTTTAGAGGAATGACATCTACTTTCTTCTTCCACGTTCTATCACTACATTTTCTAAGCTGCGGCGAATCGATCGCCTTGCGCGCTTATTTTACCAATTGAAACCTCTACCTGATCAGCTGACATGTCTGGCTGTGTTAATTGTGCGATACCTCTAGTTTTCCATTGGTACGATGACTACTGGATGCGACCTCGGCTCGTTTAATATCTAATCTTACCACATTGAGGGGAACGACGAATGTGGTTCGACACCACTGTTGTTTGCCACGGAAGGTGGACATGTTGAGATGGCCCGTTTTCAGCTGGAAAATGGTGCAAATATAGAGGCGCAGGATCAGCACGGCTATACGCCGCTTGATTGGGCTGTTAGATCCAGTGACTTAGAAGCCAAGAAGTTGGCAGAGTTGCTTCTGGACAACGGCGCTGACATCGAAGCACGTAACCGGTACAAGTACTCACTTCTTGCAGTAGCTACAGAGATCTTTAACGAAAAGAAGGTACGGCTTCTGCTCAAGGGTGCGTGGGTATTATCGACATGCTTCAAGCGGCAGGGTTAGGTCAAAGCAAGAACGAATTATGAATGAATTTACTGTTCTTGACTTATTTTAAAACGGTTATGTCGGATTAGGTGTTATGCCACAGGTCAAGGTGAATACAAGAACGACATTGTTGATTAGTGTGTTGGGTATTCTATTCTATCTTCAATGGCCAGTGTAAATATTGACAGCCGCATGCTTCCCCATCACTCGCTTTGAGACTGCTGTTCCTGGGCACTTGAGGTAATCAGCGTCGGATGAATGATGCCTGTGTCTCCAAAGCATCATCTCTTCATCTTGTCTTCTTCTCTGCGCCAGAAGGGTCAACAGTAATCTGTCTGATCAACCGCATATACCAACTCGCACCAAGGGCAGTGAAAATATGCCACCACCCATGCAACTCCAGAAACCACGCCACAGGCAGCCCAACGGCTTTTCTGGCAGCTCTTAACTCGGCGCAATAGTCCAAGTCGATATGCCACAATGTGAAACCAAAGATCAGGGCCATTACCGCCTTCCAAAAGTAACGCATGAACGCCTTCTTCTCCTCCTTTGAGTACAGCCCGGTGCCATAAACAAGGTACAACGTCCGCGGCCAAACGAAAGTAAGCAGCCCCGTAAAGGTCATTACGTGGATAAAGATGTCGCCGGAACGAACATAGATGACGGCCATAGTACCGATTCCAAGCCACAAACCCGCAATTATGAGGACGCGGACAAGAGGTGATTGGCGGTGCACGTACAATGGCTGAACCAAGGAGCCGGCAAGGATGAGCATGGAAAGGTCGTCGAGAAGTTGAGTTTCCTGATGCATTGTCCCATGGAAAATCCCGGAGAATATGCCGACTAGTAGGAGCCCTATGGATTGAATGTCCAGAGCCTGGTACCAGGGGACCGCAGCCTTGGGGTTGGCGCGGGGGTACTTGAGAGCCAAATAGACTGCCAATTATTTAGTGCGACAGAAACTCAGTCACTGAGTTGGGGCTACTAACTGTATGTGGCATTGGAAATGCAGTTAATGAATTCCGCGATGTACCTCGTAAAAACGTAGTCCTCCTCGCAGAAGCTGAGCAGAGCCTCAGGTCAGCATCTTGTCGATCGGTGAAATTTTCGGCGGCTGCTTACTTGGCCTTGCTGGTGGGATAACCCCAAATGCCATCCCCGGCGGTCGGGTCCTCCACAAACCGAAGCGTTTGATGCTTGTGACTCATTGCACTGGCGTGTTCTCAAAAGACAATATTCGCAGCCTCTTGTTGGATGGTTGTGATGGAGAGACGCGTGAGTTGACGCGACTCGAGGCTGTCGTGAGAGAAAATCTGGGCCCAACGTCGATCGCGGACAATAGGACTAATCGGGCTAACACGACCGATGCGCTTTTCTGTAGGGGTCCGGGAGAAATGGTCCGGATCTTTGGAGTCCAGCTGTCGTTGTCACGCACTTTCTCTCGTGGTTCGTCCGGTCTTTTTAGGCCAAGAAGACAGATAACATGTGTTCGGGAGAGCAGGGAGGGAGGAACCCACGCCCTTGGAAACGAAGGGTCGCGTAGCTGCAGGTAACCGAGAGCCCCACAAGCGGATGGGTTCCGCGACCCCGCGGAGGCCGGGGCCGGCTCCGATACGGTACGGCCCCCACTATCTCAGAGATTGAGCCGAGGCTTCTTCAACGGTGGGTCGGCGTTGAAATAAAATGAGGATCTCGCCGAGAGTGAATGTGTGTACATGTAATCATACACAGTTTGAAAGTACCCTCGGTATAGCCCGTTGCGATGAGTTTTGTAAATGTCTTAAAGATGAATGTTCATGCTTTACTACCAAATTGTTACCTCAACTTTTCCTCAGCACTGCCATCTGTTCATATGTAATTCTCAACCCTTTGTTGTTATCCTAGAGTATGGAGAATTTCTTCCTCGGCAAGTGAATATCATGTCTCTTCGCGCGTCTCGAAAGACCCTGAAATTTTCACGGCCCTTATTTTCCCTCTATCCAGAAATTGGTCTGTGTCCATTTTCAGCCTCTCTGCAGCCTCTCCGCTGTTTGTCGCTGCGAAGAATGCCTGCGCGGCATCGTCGTCCTTGAACACAACTTCCACTACGGCGTCTGCCTCGTGCTCCACATTTTCTCCCATGAGCACAACGGGCTTGCCATCGTCAGGCGAACGCTCGATGTACTTTCGCGAGTGCAACAGCGGAAACAGCGAGCCGGTGAGTTCCCTCGTGAGGGGAACGTGGACGTACTCATAGTGATCTTTGAACTCGGCGTGTGTAATGCCCTCTTTACGATGCAGAAATAGCAGCATCCGAAACGTCATGTTAGCCCGCCGTTACTTGGGGTCCTGGATAGGTACTGATTGATTTGGCGTGAGAATTTTGCTCTTTCTGTTATGTTGGAAGGATGATGCCGTTGAACTGCGGCGACTTTGTGGGGTGGTGGAGATAAGTATCAGCTCGAAAGTTTAACAAGATGACGATATCGTACGTGACATCAGGCGGATTTTCCAAAGACTTCGGACCGAACCAACCCTCGGCCCTGGTTAATCCGGCTCATCAGCAGAGCACAGGAACCAGTTAACGACAATCTTGCTTCAGAAACTGATTGAGGGAGAAGCTGTAACTTATGATTTTGAGTAAATGTAACCAATTTGTCGCAATATTTGTGCTGTCGTTTTCACTTTTTGGTTTGACATGTGAACTAAGAAGCTTGGAGTTAAAATCCTCTTTTCCCGGGGATTTTGTAGTGATTCTATGTGAAGTTGTATAACCTTTATATGCCTTCTGCAATAATTGAACTTTCAAGTGGACATAACTGTGCAACAAACAAGTTATAGTAGTATTTAATTATGATACAGTTGACTCGTCACAAAATGTAGCGATGCCTATGTACAGTTTGCAAGTCTAATAATAACCCGGCCACCCCTAATCCCCAACAATAATTATATAACTCGGCCTCTAATCGATATTATTTTCAAGAAAATAGACCCTGAGGCCTTCTAGTTGCGAGGGTTGACGGGGGGAACATCGACGGAAGCAACGTCGCCGTTCTCGACATCCTCAGCCACCTTCTTGGCAGCGCCCCTGTTGCCGGAGCTGTTGAGCCACTTGTCAAGCTTATACTGGTCAAGGATGCGGTAGCCCTTGACAACAGGGGGAAGGACCTTGGTGCATTCGGTAAGCTGGTTGATGTTGTCGACTCCGAGAAGTGAAAGACGAATGTATTCTCTGGCGTAGTCCTAATTTCATCTTTGTTAGTAAAAATGGCCCGATATTAAGCTTGTGAAAATTGAAGCATACCTCGTTCCAGTGGTTCTGTCCACCGGGGCCAGCAAAGTCCTTGAACTCCTTCCTGGTCTCGGGGTGCTGGGCAATGGCGATATCACTGGGGAACTTGAAAACACGGGGAGGAGAGCGGTCGCTCAGAGTCTCCTTGTAGTAGAGAACGTCCCAGACACCAGGGGTGCTGTCCTGCGGGTCGCCGGCGCGGGACTCGTTGACGAAGTTCTGCTGGCTGGTGGTGTGGGCGCCGAGGAGAGCAACCAGGCCGTGCGGGCCGATGGTCTTGTCGCGGAAGAGCTGGATAAGCTGGTCGGCCGGCTGGAAGGGGCTGGGCAAGAGACCACCGGGGGCCGGGTTGGAGCTGTCCTTGCGGCCGACGTAGGTCTTGATACGGGGGCCCAGGGGGCAGATGACAGTGGCGACGTTGGCACCGAACTGGATGAAGTCGCCCATGCCAATGTTCCAGCCCATGGCCTTGTACTTGCCGTGAAGCTCAGCGAACCGCGCGGCGACCTCGCCGAGGCCGCGGTTCTCAAACCGGCCAATCTCGGAGCCGCTGAGGATGATGCTGCCGTCAGCACCACCACCCTGCGAGGCGGTGGCCTTGGACCAGGTTCCCGCGTCGTGGAAGCCGAGGCGCACAGCGGCGTGCGCCCACTTCGTGCAGCGGCCAGACTTTCCAGCCATGAACTGGTACATGTCGTCGGCGACATAGCGCCAGACACAGCAGGTGTCCTTTCTGCATTTGTCTGAGTTGAGGTTGGGAACGTTGTTGTAACGATCGTTGGATTCGGGGTCTCCCTTGCCCTGGAGAATCTTCTTGATATCCTTTCCGACGGATGTAAGCTGGCGATCCTTCAGGGTAACAAGGTCACCAAGAAGCTCATTGGAGTCTCCTTTGTCCGCTGCGCGGGACATGATCTCGGAGATCTGGTTGCCCATACCCGGGTAGGCGAGAGTGCCGGGCACCGAGGCCACGGCCAGGGAGGTAGCGAGGAGCGATGTAAGATGCATTATGATTTGCGTGTAGCGAATGTATTATGAGAAGAGAAGATAAGAGAAACAGAGAAGGAAGCGAAAGAATTAGACCCGGTGTGTGGTCTTTGTGTGGAATAGAAAGGGAGAAGAAGAAGAAGCTTGACCCGATGAAGAGAAGAGAAAAATTGATCCAAGGACGGAAGATGAAGATGCCTTATATCATTCTGGCAAGCCGAGTTGTTGACCATCAAACACAAACATGATCTACATGTTTAGCTCACCGGTAACTAGGGTGCCCTCGGACACGAGAGAAATCCCACCTGGGGGAGGAAAAAAAGGGTCGAGATTGAACGTGCATGACTATTCCTCCGGGACAAGCCTCTTAGCTGCCCTCGTACCTGGGGCTAAGCTGACATCGGCTTTCTCAACTAGCCTGAATAGACCTCCCGGCACCAAACGAAACGGATGGCCGTTGGGGTACCATGGCAAACGTAGCCTCCAACATCTAGCGGCTTGTGCCTCACCCATTCTCGAATACGCTAAAGGAGATGGTAACCAGACAATGACACCCCGGACTTTGCGATGCCACAACGAAGGAGCAGGAAGCATATCACGCCTAGGTTGGCTTAGGTCTAGCCTCCACCAGCATCAGCAGATCTCTCTGTGTCGCCATTCGTCGGTGGTGGGCAGTGGATAGACAGACGTCTGATCAGAATAAGAGCCCCATGCGCCGACGCCGCCGCTTCTCGCTCGCTGCTACTGCAATGCAACGCACGCTAAGCCAAAATCTAACAATAGACGCACATACATAGACCTACAAGAAAAGCGTACGGTGGCCTCCTCAGGGATGAGCTGACCGTGTCCCGTCTCCCGCGCCCCGTCTTACCGTGCAGTCACCGGGGCGGCGTCCTCGTATCGTGCAACTTGGCACTTGGAAGGCGCCGCGCCAAGGACGACGGCGCGGGGATTGGACGATGATTGTTTAAGCTTCTCTGCGTTTCAAGCGCCACAAAAGGGTCCTATCAAGGAGAGAAAAAGGGGGGCGAGACGAACAGACGCCCCTTAGTTCGAACCGAACGTAAGGTGTGGCGTAGCACCGTCGACAGTCAGATAGGTGGACAAAACTCAACAACACCTGTAAAGAGACATTCGTTGCCTAGGTTGCGGTACGGTTTGTCGTCTATGCGAGCACGATGGATTTCGCATACAGACCCAAGAAGACGGTAAGGCATCGTGACTCGCGTGGCAATTGAGCTGGACAAACGTTCCCCGATGGCTCGAGTCTTCTCTTTTTTTTTTTCGATGCTTCTAGCTCGTCAGTGTGTCTGTCTCTGTCTCTCTCAGCTGCCGCTCCCGCTCCCCCTTCTTCGTTCCCAATCCTGGCGCTATTGAACGCCTCAATGCGCTGTCAAGGAATTGTTTATTTTCTTACTTTTATCTTCGTTCTGATTGGAACAGGAGGTCGACATGCAAAATCCGATGTCGATCAAGCCTAATCGATCCTGTGGAGCTCTAATGTTGGCCGGCGTGCTTCACAATCCCATGAATACGGGGGTCTCGTTCGGATTGAATGTTACTCCCGTACATATACGAGCACCCCCACATGTATATCGATCGCTATGCGTTCAATGCCCTACACATGTTACCTTACCGGTGAGTAAAGGGGACCCTAGAATTCCAGGGGTAAGGGTCGGTAGGGCAGAGACGGACGCACGAGGAAAACAGAGACACTGACCCCATCCAGCGCCTTCTTCTGTCTTGCCCTGTGCTTCTGCAGCTGTTGGTGCGACGGTAAACCACGAGGGAATGCACTCAACTTCGCAGAGTCAGTGTGCATTATGCATTGGCATTTCCTATCTTCGGACGAGCCCTCTCTCCTGCGACGCAGATACCGCTGTTGGCGGCTGAAGTTGTGTCAGAGATCAACCCCATTTAGACGCCGCTCGATCGTTCCTCAGCCGACCGGTCCATGGCGACTTTGTTTGCACGTCGATCAATCAATCAATGGGCAATGTTCATCCCGAAGGATCCGTTGAACAAGCTGAGCAACTGTAAAAAGGTTGGTCTATTATGCAAACAGGGAGCTTGTTCCTAAAAGCGGCCATGTGTTGCAAAGTTCACCGGAAAAAAAGCAAAAAAAGAAATTCGCAGAAAAGGTGAAAAAGCAAAAAACCAAACAAGAGGCTGCGGCATCAGTAAGCTGAGCGCGGTCCAAGACTGGGGGAAACAAACGTGGTGTGTGTACAAAATTAAAGCAGTGGCCTATTTTCAGGTGTGGCGCATGAAATCCAGGCGTAGCAAACTAACGGGTGGCCAGCCCTTCAGGCAATCCGGCCATAACCAGTTTGCTCACCGGTCATCATCCCAGCATTTAAGGAGGGTGTAAGCTTGGCTCACCTCAGCACCGAAGCCTGCAGTTTGGCTGCATCTTTCGTGATAGTTCCGGGTTGGTTGGCCATCAGAATACCTGCAAATATCGTAAGTTGTGATGCGAGGATGGAGCAACGCTCTCGGTAATCGAATAACTTTTGAACAAGTGCGACAAGTAGACAATTGATTATTGAGAGGCGGCCGCGTATCCCCACCGCACATGAGATATCTTTCAGTTCAAGCCGTTTTAAAGATCTCATCTCATCTTGACCACACCTTGGAACGACGCAAAGGATGCCACTTACCGATACTCGAAATGAGAATTAATATGAATCCCAGCGTCGATCTCGGGCATTCGCTGAACTTTCTCACCTAACCCAGGACGCTAGACTCTATACGGCTGCGTGAGGTGAGCTGTAAGTAGAAAAGCCCAGAGCAGACCACCTCAGAGCTATTGATTTCTTGCAGATGCACTGAATATCCCGTGTTATGCAGTTGAACTTTGATCTGATATTGACACATAAAAAAAATAAAGGCTCGGTCGAACCTGACAAACAGGGTGATTGGCTGGTCAACCCTATGCAAATTTTCATTACCTCCCAGAACTTTTCCGATTGTTTCCCCAATACAAGGCGCTCCACTCCTACTCGTCGTCCTCATCCTCCTCTGCCGTAGCTGCTGCCGCCTTCTTGGCGGCCACCCACTCCTGTGCCTTGGCCATCACCTTGTCCCGGCCCTTCGGGCTCAGCTTCTCCTCCCAGTCTGCCCAGCGCTTGAACCACTTCATGGCCTTCTTGGGCTTGAGGCCCTTCGCCTTGGTACCCCTCTCAAAGACATCCCTGATAGCTGTAGCATCCGGCTCGGCAGCTGAGAGCTCCAGATCAATGAGCTGGCCCCAGAAATCGAATCGCTTGGGCCAAGTAGCCAGGATTGTCTCGAACGTCGTACGACCACGCTCAGCATCGCCGTTGGGCGACTTGAACTCCAGAGCGGCAAATCTCGCCATCAACTGCGCGGTGTGGCGCTGCTCCAGTGCTTGTGTCGCACGTGGTAGGAGAGCGCGCGCTCTGTCGGGCTCATTCATCGTCACGTGGAGGAAGTGGGCGTAGTTCACCCACACGTCCGGTGACTTGGACTTGAACTTGTTGACCAGCGACTGGAAGACATCATCGGCTTGCTGTAGGACTGTGTTAACGAGTTTCTCGTCATCATAATGATCAAGTCTTACCTTGAGCTTTCCGGATTGGATGTAGATGCTGGCCAGGCGCTCGTGAACCTCTTGTTCGTCGTTGTACTGGCAGGCGCGCTTGAAAACTTCCTCCGTGGAAGTCTTGGTGCCATAGGCAACCTCCAAGTTGAGGTAGGCAATCCAGACGTTAAGCTTCTCGGCTTGCTCACGGATGTTGATGGTCTTGATAGCCCGCTCGGCGACCTCCCGGGCCTTGGAAAGCTCGCTAACCTTCATCTGGTGAGCCATGTACTCAATCCAGAGCTGAGACGAGTCAGGCTGACCCAACAGAAGTCGCTCGTAGTCGGTGGCAGTCTGCGGTCCGTGGGCATCGAGGTCACCGGTACGGTCAACCTGGATCTCGCCCTTCTTCTTCTTCTCCTTCTTGTCGGTCGCAGCAGACTTCGCAGCTCCGGCCGATTCATTGTCTGAATCGTCGAAAGCGTCGCCTGTCCAGTCGTACTTGCCAGCACCCAAGCCCTTGGGCTTAGCAGATGACTCATCCATATCAACGTCGCTTTCCTCCCCATCGGACTCCTCCTCGTCGTCCTCCTCATCATCAGAGCCGTCCATGTTGTCCGTTCCGCTGATGGTAAATTGAACGCCACCGTCACCCATCTCAACATCCGAGTCCTCGTCGCTGTCAAGCTCTGCGCCTCCGTCCACGTCGTCCATATCGCTATCTTCGTCAAAGTGGCTCGGCTTAAGGCTGAATGTAATACGCCTCTTCTCGTCGTCAACGGAGATAACCTTGGCCTTCACAACATCGCCCTCGTTGTAAAGCTTGCGGGCGTCGGCAACAGGCTTCTCAGCCATCTCGCTGCGATGGCACAGGCCACTGACGTTGGCTGAGTTGTCCACAACGATGAATGCGCCAAACTCTTCCACCTTGCGAACCTTGCCAGTCACGATTTGGCCCTCCTTGATGTCCTTGTACGAAACGGGCGGGGTGTAGTCATTCTCAACAACGGAAGCCTTCAGGTTGAGTTCGACCTGGTTGATGGCAGTATCAACATTGATGACACGACCCTTGACCAACTGATCAACCTGGAAACTCTCCTTCCAGTCTTTGATGTAGCGATCAGAAAGGTTGGCAATCTTCACAAGGGCAGACACGCTACCTCCCAGCTGAACGAATAGACCCTTATCGGCAACATTCTTCACAAAGCCCCTAATAATATCTCCAGACGAAAGCTGGGCCAGCGAAGTGATTTCGCGGTCAGCGACAGGTGATGTGGAACTGAGAGTACGGGAAGGACGCGTAGATAGTCTGAGTCTCTTGTTGCTCTTGTCAACCTCAACAACGGAAACCCTGATGATCTCGCCCTTGTTGAACTTAAGTGTGTTTGCCTCATCGTAATCATCGCAGAGGTCGACCACATGGACAGGACCAGAGACAGAGTCGCTAAGCTTGACCATAAGCTGACGGTCATTGACCTTGGTGACTCTTCCGGGAAGAACCATGTTCTTCTTCAGAGAATCCCATGTAACCTCGCTGGCTCCAGAAGAGGAACGAGCTGACAGATCCAAGTGGCCCTTATCGGCATCAACGGACAGGACACGGACCTTCAGGGCTGATCCGACAGGGAAGTACTTCTCAAGATTGCCAGCGTGAGACAAATCGTCCGAAACCTCCATGATGCTGATTCTTCCACGGACGGTCGGGGACAGGTTGACCCACAAACAGTTCTTTCCGTGGTTGTTGACAAAGGCGACGTGAGAGGAGCCGACCTCAACCTTGTCATAAGAAAGGAGCTCGACTTCCTTGGCCTCGAGGTCAGCTTTCTTGGCGGTGAGTTCGATTAGGGAGTGCGTTGATCTATGAGAGAAAGGTAGGAAGCGGTAGTTCTTGGAGTCGTGGATGCCAATGGCGCGGACACGGATAATCTCGTCAGGTCGAATCTTCTTCAAGGGGTTCTTGCGGTCGGTGATGTCTTCCCACTTGTCGAAAAACTGCGAAACGTCGATACGGCCTTGAATGTTGTCGGCGACCTTGACGTTCAACTGTGTGTTCTTGACGGAGGTAACCTTGGCGTTCATCACAGTACCCAATGCGACATCGTTGACGTTGCGGATCTTCTCATCGACAGAGTTCAGAGCAGCAGCAGCAGGGGCGGCCTCTGGTTCCTCAGCAGAAGCCGGAGCGACAATGATGCGGTTTTGCTCAGGGTTGGAGGAGATGATCTTGACCTCAATAGACTGGTGCTTGCGCATGCCAAAAGACTCCTTCTCTTGGTCGTCCTTGGGCAGCTTGGACTTTGGCAGAATCGCTGTCAGGTTACCACCAAACTGCACATAGACGGCATGGGGACCAATCTCTCGCACGTAAGCAGGAGCAACTGTGCCAACGGTAGCGTCATCAGAGCTTGACAAGAGTTTTCCACTCTTGCTAGCCTCGACAAAGCTGGGCTTTTGGGACAGAATGACGGCACGACGAAGCTCGTTCTTGTCAATGACAACCAAATCGGACAGAGTCTGGCCGACGTGAATGCGCTTGAGAGCGGCCTGAGTCTTGCTTGCAGACTTGTCGGTCAAGTGGCCAACGCGGAGAATGGCCTTGAGACCGCTTTCCTCCAGGTCAACGAAGACCTCATCTTCGGTCTTTTGGGAAACCTTGGCGGAGACGAGGTCTCCAACCTTGAGCGCCTTGAGAGCTGCCTGCTTGTCCAGACCGAAAGCTGAAGGGTCCTTGCAGGAAACAACCAGCTTACGCTCCTCAGGCACCACACTCAGAACGTGAACGCTGACAACCTGGCCCGCGCGGAAATGTTCCCTGGGGTCCTTAATGTAGGCTTCACTCATCTGCGACACAGGCAAAAAGCCTCTGATATCACCAAAGAACTCAAGACGAGCACCATCGGCGCTGACAGATGTAATTGTACCCAGGGTCTGCATGCCAACCTCAACATCGTCGTAGTTCTTGATAATAGCCGAATCCGAATTGACAAGCGTCTTCTTCAGAGTCAGGCGAAGCTGGTGCTTCCGCAGCCTAATGGAGAGCACTCGGGCCTTGACCTCTTGTCCCTCTCTAAACTTCTTCTCAGGGTGCTGGAGCTTGACATCGGCCAAGTGTGATTCGTGAACGTATCCAGAAATGTTTTCAGCCAACTTGACGATCAAGCCGCTAACACCGCTTCCGCCGACGATCATCTTCTCAATCTTGCCTGAGACGACCTCTCCAATGGGTACGTCCTCCAGACGGATGAAAGCCTGTTCAAGAACAGACTTCTCGAAAGAGAGAAGAAACATTCCATCAAGAGGACTGTAGCCCACAACTCTGCCGCGGTGAGTCGTGCCGACCTTGTAGGGCCCGCTAGTCTCGTACAGTGCGTCTACCTTGCCATCCTTGACACGAGAAATGTGGACAAAGCCGGACATGTTGGGAATACCGGTGTCGACGTAAAGACCGATCTCTGGCTCAACTTGGCGTACAGTACACTTCTCGACGAAAGAAGCAATAGGAAGCAGATCAAGAGGAGCCTTCGCTCTGCTGCCCTTACCCGATGCCTTGGACTGCAGGTTGGTAATGTGGGGCAACAGAGACATACCGAGCTTAGGTTCTCTCGCAGCCGGGAAATTGCAGATGATGCGTGCCTTGACACGGCCGCCAACCTTGTACTTTGCTTCGAGGTCGACACCATCGGGGCCGACGCCAGAGTGAATTAGATCAGCCGTAACAGGCAGGTGACCCAAAAGCTTGCCCTGAAGACCTCTCTTGGTCACTTCGGTGAGCAGGACATCGGCCAGAGTACCGGGCAAAAATGAGCTGATGGTGGGTGCATTTGAGGGAATGTTCGAGGTGTTGCCAAGCTTCTGGGGATCCGTGGAGAGCTGAACAACAATGCCGGTGACGCTCTTGACAGCGCAGAGGCAGACAGCACCGGGCTGAAGGCTGGCCTCGTCCATGCCTGGTCCAACCTCCTTCTTGGACAAGAAACCTTTAAGGTCTCCATCAATTCCCAGGTTCATCTCATAACCGTGGTCTTGCACGCTGGCAATGGACGCCATAAGGGTGATGTTCGCCACCACATCGTCGCCTGAAATGCCGGTGTTGGTGTCGACAGGTCGGAGAGACAGCTCAATGCGTCGCTTGGCCTTGCCGCCAGCCGAGTCGTCGGAAGTCGAGAGAACATGTGCGCGAACGTATTGTCCAACCTTGAACATCGAGTTCAGGTCAACATCGTCTGCCTCGTCCTCCGCTTCGCTTTCGTTGTCGGAGGTTTCCATAGCGCCTTCCAGTTTTGAGTTGATGGTGTCCGAGATCGCAGCAATCGAGACATGTCCAGTCAGGTTGTTCGGTAGCGCAATCGTGAGTTGGACGGGATCGATGTGGATAATCTGACCCAGGACCAGAGAGCCCTTCACCAATCGCTATTTACCCAGTTAGTTTGCACTCTTACCAGCAGAATGAACGATTTCCCCTTACCTTGAAATTCAGACCCTCAATCTTGACCGCATCCTCATCGCGGGCGGGCTTAAGATCCTTGGTCTCCTTGGCCTTACGTCTCTTCTCCTTCTTTGCCTTGCTCTTCTCGTTGACGTCGAACTCGGCCTCTTCCTTGGCAGCATCTGCCTTCGCCTCCATGGTGATCTGCTTCTGCTCAAGAGGAGTGAGGACACTGCCGCCTCCACGAGGAAACAGAGGCTCTTCATCCTTGAGAAGTCGGGACACCGCAGGCGCCTTGGGGGCGGGAGCGTCTGCTGCAAACTTCTTGTCCTTGCCGCCGTCCTGCTTGCGGTCCTTGGTGGGAGTGTCGCGTTTCGAGGGGCGTGATGACTTGGTCGACTTTGCCGACTTTGATGGAGGAGTACCCCCGGGGGCATCCTTCCTCTTGAGTGAGCTCATTTTTTCGAGTGTTCCGCCCAAAAACCAGGTGCAATTGCTTGCAACAGTCCCGGACTCGATGTTTTGGAGAGCGGATCAAGAAAAAAAAGAGTCCAGGGACCTATTCTCTTTGCGACTCCACCCCGAAATTTTCAGGCCGATAAGCGATAACGATAAGACATTGTCTTATCGGACCCAGGTGGATACATGTGGCATTGAGCCCGCCACAAACGACGGCACGCCTCGGCTCACAGACGCCCACCGGATGCAGCCCAGTCCAGGCCAGACCACCTTATCTAATCAGAAGGATGTACAGGTAGGCGTGGGCAGTCCAGGGTCATTTGGAGGGGTTGGCCACCCGCCAGCCAGGTAGTGTAATTAGTGCTCGCAGCCAGATCCTAGCCAAACACGGCCACACGCCGCTTCTCCAGGCAACCTACTCAACAAACAATAATTACAGGGCTGTTGTTATTATCCTTCTCCCAACCCCAAATGACGAATTCTTAAAACGAACATGTGGCAGATTGACTTCGACACTGCCAACCTGAACTTCATTCACGACTAAGCTGCCCTCCCCGCGTCATGTCTCCTCGAAAACGCCAGCGACCTAACCCTTCTGAGTCGAGCTCCTCTAACCCACCAGCGGCAATTGCCCCTGCGACAGCAACGTCGGCTACGTCACAGGTCACAGCCGTCTCAGAACCCGTCAACCGGCCAGCGCGAGCGATGCCTCTGTCGAGGGATAGGAGCGGCAGCGAAACCAAAAACATTCCCCAAAACACACAAAAACAGGTAGTTAAAGATTCCTCTTTTTTTTTCGTTTGTTACATGTATAGATGCAGGCCTCTAAACAAGATGGCGCAGGTCCGCAAAGCCAGAAGTTGGTACGGCTCTTGGCCGCGCACCCCCAAATCTTCTGCCTCAACGCAACTTGCACGAGAAACGATATTCGGAGGCACCCTGAAGCCGTCTAGTACACCTGATTTCCGACGATTCGAGTCGAAAAGAAGCATCGATTCCGCCAGTTTTGACGGGCCGGCAGACTCGTCGGCGTCACTACCCCAGATTCCGGAGAACGGGGCAACGACAGGGGAGGACACCACAATAAGCAACACAGATAGTGATACCACGAAGGGGCCGGCATCGGTTGCGAATGATACTGCACAACCAGAGACTCCTGCAAAAGTCGACGATACAGTGAAGGCTACCGAAGAATCACATGTTACACAGCGACCGGTGACGGCATCGAGTTGGTTTGGCTGGTTAGGACGCTCCCCGGCAACAGAAACGGAGACACAAACCACAGCGCCGGCCGAAGAACCACCCAAAGAGGCAGAACCTCCGAAAGAACCCGAGGTTGAACAGTCACCACCCGAGGAACCATCAGCAACAGCGGCCCCAGAGCAGCCTGTCGCGACCGTGCCAGCGCCGACGACATCGTGGTTTGGGTTTTGGTCCTCCAGTACCCCTGCAACCCAGGCACCCACAGCGACCGATACCGCCAAGCCGGCAGACGACCCCAAGGTAACGAGCACAATGGCGCCGCCTGCGAAAGATCCAGAGGACGTGGTGATGGAGGACGCCCCAGCGCCTAAACAAGATGCTCCCCCGAAACAACCGTCGGCCGGCTCTACTTGGGCATTTTGGTCTAGAGATACACGCCCGAAGACAGAGGGGTCAAAGACACCAACCACTCAACCGGAATCCGGCGAGTTAGCAGTCATTGGTCAAGGCTCAGAGGCGCATCCTGAGCGAACGACTGAGATGAATGTAGACCAAAGCCAACAACATGGTTCTGTCAAGGACGGCAAGAACGGCAAGGCTTCAAAGGATGCAAAGTCAGTCAAGGGCGCCAAGCCGGGAACCGCATCGGCGCCGTCAACATTTGGGAGGAAATCCAAGAGAGTCCGCCCCCAGTCCATGGACATTGATGTGCAGTCCAGGCCTGAGACGCCTAATCGACCAGAGTCGGCAGCGTCTTCAAGAGCTTCCATCACCGAACCCGTCCAGAAAGAGCCGCCTCTAAAACCTGGAACACCAAAGAGTACCACCCAAGAGACTCCAACGAAGTCGACACCATCAAACCTACTGCTCCCTTCATTTGGAAGCACATATCGCATGAAGGATAACCCATCCATCATCAAACAAATCACCTCGCTACTACTGCGAAACCAACAGCCTCCCGCCAATCATGTTTACAGAGTAAAGGAGACACCAAAAGTTCGGAAAGCACTAGCCATCGGAGTCCATGGTCTGTTTCCAGCCTCATATCTTCGCCCGATGGTTGGTCAACCCACGGGAACGTCGCTGCGTTTTGCAAGTCTATGCGCCGAAGCGATCGGGCGATGGGCAGACGCCCACGGCTGTTCCGATTGTGAGATTGAAAAGATTGCACTGGAAGGCGAGGGTCGGATTGGAGACAGGGTGGACAACCTTTGGAAGCTCCTTCTTAACTGGATTGAGCAGATCCGAAACGCAGATCTTATCATACTGGCGTGCCACTCGCAAGGTGTGCCAGTTGGCGTGATGTTGCTGGCAAAGCTGATCGATCTGGGTATCATCACTAACGCGAAGATCGGAGTCTGTGCCATGGGTAAGTTTATCAAATTCGTTGTTTTGGAGAGATTGGGACTGACGACCACCAGCCGGAGTTTCACTCGGGCCATTCCCTGACTACAAGTCCAGCATGGGCATTCTGATGGGGTCTGCTAACGAGCTATGGGAATTCTCTAATCCTGACAGCGATATTTCGAAGAGATACGAGAATGCTCTCAAGGAGGTTCTCCACTACGGCGTCAGAATCACATACATCGGCAGCATCGACGACCAACTGGTCCCTATGGAATCTGCAATCTATTCCCCTGCCTCTCACCCTTACATTTACCGCGCCGTTTTTATTGATGGCCGAATCCACGCTCCCGACTTGTAAGCAGCCCCCTCTCTTACGTTCACGCCCCGCCCATCTAACAATGGTCATAGCATCGCCCATCTAGTCGGCTTCGCCCTCAAGCTCCGCAACCTGGGCGTCTCCGATCACGGCCTCGTACGAGAACTCTCCACCCCGCTCGCGGGCAGCCTTTACTCGGGAGAAGGTCACTCCCGACTTTACTACGACGACCAAGTCTACGACCTCGCCGTCACTCACGCTCTTGAGACCGCCGACGTTAAGCCTAACATCCCTGCCGTTGTTGCCCACCGCCGCGACGTAGCCTCCTCCCTCGCGAACCCGAACCCGTATCATCTACCATGGATCATGAGGGGACTGCTCGAGGAGGACTATGTTCGTACCGAGCTTTCGTCCGAGACGGAAGAGCTACTCCGCCAGTTTGACGACTGGAAGCCTATCACAAAGGCATTGAAGGATGTGAAGTACCGGCTTGAGGCTATCAGATCAAAGCTTTGACGAACGAAGGCATCAGACACAGAGCCACTGGGGGAAGACTACCCGTATTATGCGCAAGCATTACCTTATTTTCTTTTCCTTTCTCTACGGATAATCATATTGGAGTAATCGGGCATCATCAAGGGGGTAGGATGTTTTTTCGAGGCAAACCGCGGAGTTTTTTTTTAGTTTTTTCTTCTGTGGTCTTTGGGAAGTAACATCTAGATTTTTACACGGGAGAGCGTATGACAAATGGTGTTCACGCACCGTAACCAGACGAACAGATACAATATACCAGACTTTTCTTTTTTTTTTTTATTCACATTTTTGTTTAAATTACAAGACACGAAAGTGATTTCAGCACCCTTTGTCATATATGAATTACCAAGTTGAAGGCAAACACCACTATCAGGCATGGAACTTAGAATTAAAAGATGAAGTTTGGATTTTCTTCCATGATATTTCTACAGATTTATTTTTATGGTCCTTTTTTTTTTCTCCCCTTTTTTTTGACTTTGCAAGCGATACAGATCGTATACTCAGACTTGCAACAAGTAAAAGTAAAGAAGAAGAAAAAAAAAAAAGAGCTGTTCAAGGTATTCTTTTGCCTCAAAAGTGCCAACCATTAATTTTACACGAGTTGTTTTTTGTTGTGCCGTCTTTGACGTGACGACATGTATATGGTACAAATGGCCCACGCATCCCCCCTTTCTTTCGCCATCTCTATGTCTCTCCGGTCGTTCTCCTTCCCCCTTCTCCCCTTGCCTTCTTTTCACTGTCGTCTAGATGAACGTCATAAAAAGCATCTAGCGCGCAAACGTACCAAATCTTCTAGGCTACGCCAGAGGCAATGCAGGTAACGCAAAAAATGCATCATGTGCTTTTTCTCAGGATGGAGCTCTCGTTTACCTGCGTCCCAACTGCCAATCATAAATCGTGTTCTGGATCGTCTCCCACTCGAGGGTATGCGTGCTGATGCCGTGCGCCTGCGCCTCCTGCAACACGACGGTCGGGGCGCCGCTGCCCTTGCCCTTGTTCTCGACCATGCCGCCAACGACGATGCGCGCGACGCGGCGGAGGTCCTCGACGGTGAGCTCCTCTATACGACGGCACATGTCCGTGACGGGGATCTTGTGGCCATGGACCTGTACCTGGCGGCCGAGGTCCTCGAGCTCGACCATGCGGCTCTCGAGGTTCATGAGCAGGCTCGAGCGGAGCTGGTTCTTGGCGCGGTTAACTTCGCCCGTCTTGAGCGCCGAGAAGCCTGTATCGAGCGTGAGGGCGCGGAGCTCGCGGCACATGACGTCCAACATGCTGGCCGTGCGGCCGGGGATGCAGCTGGCGGAGATTCCGAAGAGGCCGGAATCGGTGTATGAGTGGTTGAAGGCGACGCAAGACTCGACCCAGCCATGCTGGTTGAGAACGTTGGTGTAGAGGCGAGAATACATGCCCTTTCCGGGGCCACCGGCAGAGAAGGATCCACCGCCACCGAGGAGGGTTTGCAGAGTGGCGAGGGCGTAGATGTCCTCTGAGGAGATGGGCAGACCCTCGAAGGCAAGGTGAATGTGGGTGAAGTTGGGCATGTTGGGGTTCAGAGAAGGTGGCTGAGGAGGGAGTGAGAGGAAGCCGCCGGTGTAGTGCGCCGGGGAGTTGAGATCGTAGGTGAGCGAAGAAGTGCCGTTTTGGACGCCGGCGTTGTTTGGCGCTGAGGTGGAGATGTTCTTGAAGAAGGGGACTTTGGACAAGAGTTTCGATGGCTGCTGGACGGGAGATGAAGAGCCGGAGGAGACGGACGATGCATCGCTGGATTCTGAGGCCTGGGAGCTGATGTCTGTCTCAGACCCCGTTCTCGAGAGTGTCGGCGCCGAAGCCTTCATATCGCCAAAGTAGTGCTCCGCCAACTTCACTGCCTCATTGTGCTCAACACCTGCAAACGCAACAACGATGCGCTCAGGGCGGTAGAACATATCCCTATACCGCAGAATCGTCTCCCGCGAAATGCTTCCCAATCTATCTTCGGGGCACAATAGAGGGTTGCCCAGTGTATTGTCCTTGAACGCAGCAGTGTGCACGAGCTCCGGCAGGATCAGCTCGGGCTTGCTCCAGATCTCTTTAATCTCGTACTCAGCGGTGCCAAGCTGCTCCGCAACCTCGTCTTCTGTCAACTTCGGGTCGCGGATTGTCTCGGCCAGCAAAGCGATTGTCGTCGGCACAGCGCCGTTGAAGGTAGCCGCCTGGTACATCATGCTTTCTCTTGAGCTTGCACACTGGATGTTTCCTCCCAGCGCCTCGACCTGCTCGATCATGTCGTCTGCGCTTCGACTGTTGGTGGACTTGAAGGCGAGCCGGTCCATGATATGACTAACTCCCCTGAGTCCTGCATCCTCATATCTTGATCCGGCATCAACGTAAACGCCTACGCCAGAAAACGACCCGGGAAGCGCTTCTGAAGCGACACGCAGGCCGTTAGGAAGCGTCGTGATCGCGTCAAGGTCGGTAGGTTCTTTGGGGATAGGGTCGATGATGGTTGCGAGGGTACGGCGGGACTGGGTTGAGGGGCGGAGCGAGGCGGTCGTGAGCCGGGAGGGTGCGGCAGCGGCGGCGCGCCGCGGGAGGCGCGTCGCTAATGTTCGAAGCATCGTAGTATTTGGCTTGTGTGCGATCGGACCAGCAACCAGGGGCGTTAGGTTGAGATGGATCCTGGTGGTGGTGGTGGTGGGTTTGCGCGATGGCAAAGACTTGGGAAAAGTTCGCTGCCCTCGGAAAGTTGGTTCGCTGCCAATTCTGGTTGCTCCTTATCAGCTCTTATCGCTCTCGGAAATATCGGGGGCCCATGCTGCCGTGTAGGCCAATCAGGTAACGAAGCAATGCATGCGGCAGGAAGACGTCATCCGGACCCTTAGTCCTCGCGTAAGGTGAGAGGACGATCGCACATGGGAGAATGAGGCTCAGGACCACGAGGATGAAATATATGAACCATAATGCAGTTGCAGAAATTCATCCAAGAGCAAGAAGAAGAAATTGACGGTGAAGTTAGACAAGCTTTTATGCGCTTCTAATCTTCCTCGCACGCTACTTCAGGACGGCTCAGACATCAATGCTGCAGCCCAACAAGCGATGAGATATTTGGTAGAGCTCTCAAAACTACTATTCTGTCGCTACTATGTATTACCATGATGCTAAGCTTGACTTTATTCAATATAAGAGCTCCAATTGTCATGTAAAAGCTCTTGTCACAGCTGAAATCGACGATGCTAGGCCTCCCAATTGTCCCATTTCCTTTAACCAGTAATCATAGATCAACATTGTTCTGTTTCAATGTAACAAGCAGAGTGCGCTACACAATGCAATATAACGCCTGACACCACCCCGCGCGTCGCTCATGCAACCCATCTCTTCCTAGACTCCGTTGGTAAAGCCGTTTCAGTATCCGATGACATCAAACTTGACCTCCGCTTCCGACGGCTCTCGATAACCCCGACAAGCCGAGTCCGGTTCTACCGGTCGACGTCCATCTCTGCAGCCTCGTCAAGGCTCCTCATGCCGTTGGAAGCTTCGGCCGCACGGCGGCCAGCACTTCCGTCAAAGACCCATGGCCCTGCATCGTTACGCGGGGTGATAGGACCCTCCGTGCCATTGACCAAGTGGTTGCCAATGGGAGAAGGGGTGCGAGTATCACGCCCGCTTCGCTGAACAGCCGCTTGCGACGATCCTACAGCGGGAATCGGAACGGGTTCGGTAGTGGTGTTGGGGGCGACCGTTTGCGGTGGAGGCATTTCTGCCATAGTACGCGCCCGATCAAGGGCTACGGTAAAATCCATGGCATCCGGCTCCGTGCCAATTTCTGGCAGCTGCGGCCGTGAAGTCTCGGCAGAAATGGGAGCAGGCACAGATGGGGCTTCGGTCGGAGCCGCTGCTGCCTTGTCCTTAACCTCCTCCTTGTGTTCTGGCTCCTCATCCTCGTCCATTTGTTCCCATTCCTCAGCAGGGTCCTCAATATCCGCCTCAAGATCGGCAGCCATGCGGCAGTTGGGGCAGACGAAAATAGGGTACTGTGGGGAATTCAAGAGCGAACGAATACACTTGAAGTGCCAGGTATGCGAACAAGGCGCCACGAACAGGCACTGGCATGGCTAAAAAAAATTGTTAGTTCTCACGTTGGCACGCGATGTGGAGATCCAGTGCATGCCAGGCGGCTACTTACCGCGATCGAGTTGAGACATATGGAACAGTCCTGTGTTGATGAAGAATTTGCCGAGTTGGCCGATGTCATATTGCGCAGTCTCTTGTGCGTCGCCATGCTACCATCACGTCAGTATCAGTAGTTCGATTTGATAAAGGAAGGAAAAAAAAAATTGAGTGTGCATACTTGAACGTGTTGAGCTTGTTTTGCCAGCCTCGGTTAAGCTCAAGCCGCATCTTCACGCAGCGGAAGATCATCTCTTCGCCGCCCTTGAAATCGATGCCTAATTGCACGATGTCGCCATCGTTGATAGGAAATGGCTTCGATTCGGTGCCAGGAGGGCTGAGACGGATGTGATTGAGAAAGGTACCGGAAGAACTCTTGACATCCTTGATGTACCATTTTCCATCGTCATACCAGAATTCGCAATGGCGGCGACTGACAACCTTACTCTTGAAACCAACGGGGGCAGCAGAGGGAGTGTTGTTGGGCACGTTGGGCTGATTGTCACGCTCCGAGTAGCGACCAACGCGGATGATCTCGCTACCACTGGGCAAAGTTCTTGAGACGGGAGGAAACGTCAAACTGGGTCGGGTGGCGCGCGGGTCGTAGTAGGCGGAGAAACGGATCGACGGTAAGTTGTCGGGCACAGGAGATGGAGCGGCAGGGGCGACATCGCCGGTCGTTGAGGCACGTGCTCTCGTCATGTTCGGGGATTCGGTGTTGACTTGAGGCTGCGATGGCTGCTCAGCGTGGTGGACTGCTTGGCTGCTGCTACTGCTGCTGCTGCTGCTTGCGGCGACGGCGTCGTCCACAATGGACGAGAGCGCATTCACTGGCGGCGGACGCTCGAAGGCGGGGGATGAAGGCGTTGTGGAAGGCTCGTTCGCGACCGAAGCTGACGATGCGGGCTCTTGCAGCGAAGCAACAAGGGAGAGTGGGTTCAGACTGGAGTCTGTGTCGGCACGACGAGGGGTTGAAGTGGGCGAATAGCTAAGTGAGCGCTGCAGGCTCTGGGTGGGACGAGTGGTGCCGTTCCGGGTTTGACTTTGGGTTTGACTTTGGGTCTGAGAGTTGGAGTTGTGATGAAAGTGAGAGTGGGCGTGGGAATTCGAGGTTGGAGAACTGGAACCCTGGCTGCTGTGCTCCCTAGAAAGTAGGTGAGTTTGGGTGTAGTTGCGGAGATAACTTAGGCCTCGCAGGCGACTGGACCGCGTTGAGGGCGAGGCGGGATTAGTGACAGACGTTGGCACGGGGCCCACGGTTGGTGGCGATGAGACTGGTTGTGTAAACATTTGCGCCTAGAGGGGGGTAAAGAAGTGGGCGGGCGGTCTTGGTTTTGGTCCTTGTCGAAGGAGTAGTGCCAGTAATCAGTGGTGGCACAGGACTGAAAATGGTAGGTAAGCAGACCAGCTGGTTGGTAGTGTTGCAATGGTGCCGACTCGACTCGTGGGTTTCGGGGTGGGCTGGCTGACTAGTTGACTGAATCACTGAGCGCAGCAGGTGAGCGGGCTGGTCTAAGAATGACCACTTCTTGGGGAATGGTATCGCAGAGTCCTTTGATTTGCGTTCGGGACTTTTTTCCTTTCTTTTTCGGGACCCGGATATGGTAGACAGTAGAGGTTGTATCAAAAGGAGGTAAAAAAAAAAAGAAAAGAAACAAGATCAAGGGCAAATGGTGACGAAAGGGGGAGAGAGAGAGGGGCGGCAGCGAGGTGGTAGTAGTCGAGGTTCGAGACAGCTGCTTGGAATGTCACGGATGTACCCAGAAGCAAGGTAGGCACCTTATTTTGCAAGTTTACGGCGCAGGGTAACAAGGCCGAGGGCGAGACGAGAGGTTGGACGAAGGGACGAAGAGGAATCGTCGAAGAGATGGGAGGGAGGGAGGTCCGAGGACTTTAGATACTGGTGGTGACAGACGATGGGACAATATTATGGACCAAGAGAAGGGCAACAGATGGACTGTCGGGGTTGGAAAACTGGGGAAAGGCGGATTTTTAGTCGGACTGGCCACCGCAGGCCTTTTGAGGTAGTGGTGCTGTTTACGCTGCGTGTTTGTGGTTGTGGTTGCGGTGTTAGGGGGGGTGCAGAGCTGAACCTGAGGATAGGTGGTAGGCAGGTGGAAGTGAAGGGTGCTGGATGTCTGTGGTGCTGGCTGGATTGGGGAAGGGGCTAGTAGGTATTTCGGTTGGTGGCCAAGAAAGATGGGCTTCCGGTTTTTTTTTTTTTTTACAGTGCCTGTCGCTGTACGTAGCAGTCGTCAGTGTCAATCCAGGTTTGGTCAAGTGCGTAGGGGAAGGGCCCGGGCAGCAGGACAGCCTAGGCGCACAGCGGTGCCAAGTTGCCGTACTAGTAGGCTTCTACCTAATCAGTAGGGGAGAAAGGTAGGACCAAAGGTAGTACCTATGCAAAGTGTTGTAGGGGGGTACTTGTTGGGTAGTGCGTACAAAGTACTCCGTACCTTTTTTCAATGACCACCTTCAGGGCACTTGTAGGTAATGCACGTAGGAAGAGGGTGTGTGTGTTTGGTACTTGGCAGGGCAACAGGCTTGTCGTCCTCAAGGAGACGTTCTATCAGAGGATAAAAGAGAGTGGCAGGGGAGCAACAGTAAATACGGAATTTCTGCTTTTCTCAATCACTCTTACGGTGGCCGTCGTCGTCGATGCAGCAGGGGCCTGGACAAGAGTGACCAGAACACGAGTGACCCAGGTTGGGTCCAGCCCAGTCGGTCAGGTTTTCTTTGGCGCGCGTGCCACTATTTTGCCTGCTGGAGAGGGGGCGTTTATGGAGATAATGACGACGTTCGGATCAAGCAAGAGACACAACAAGGACCAAAAGTGTGCCAGTCCCGTAGGGGTCGAGCCGGGTTTGGATTGTTGCTGCAGGGAAGCCCAGGGGAGGACCCCTTGAAGGGCCACTTTCTTTGCCTTGAGTTAGCCCCGTAAGAGAGGCCGGGCTAGGTTGAATTGGATTCAATGGACAGGGGGGCAGGACTGCATCGATGCTGGGATTGGACGCCAACGGCGGGGAGGGGACTGGCGCGGTGCTTTTTTTTTTTTTTTTTTTTTTGGTGCTGCAGGAGGGTGAGTGATGGACTCTGGTGCTGTTGGTGAGGAGACACAGTGACCGAGGGCGATGTCAATGAGTGAGGGTTAGTAATGATGTTGTTGCTGTAGTTCAACGATGCCTGGCCGGTGATCCTTTGTCTCTTCACGCGACGATCACTGACGAAAGTCCGAGCCGAGGACCCTGGAACCAAATGTCTGAGGGTCCATGGCAGCTATAGTGACATACATGTACGTAGTACGTATCGATAATTGCGCATGCATCTAAAAGTGCCGCTGCCATCATTCTGTACAGAATATTAGAAAAAAGAAGCAACGGGAACAGCTGGGCGGCGCGGGACGCAGGGCATGACCCGGTCATATGCATCAAAGGTCTCAGTCTCAGCCAGCTCCAGGAGGCTGGGAAACAAAATAATAAAAATAAAAATAAAATAAAACAAAAAGACAAAAAGCTCCCTATCTCTCTACGGAGGAATCGTGCCGCAAGCGGTAGCAGGTCCGAAGGGGAGACAAATTAAGGTGACCAAGGTATCCTCACCTTGGTAAGTGTCAGTGAGGTGTTTATTATGTTGCCACCACGGATGCGCCGAGCAGGCATCGGACCTTTACCGGTCGTGTCGGGGGAGGGATCACGGAATGATCTCGGATCTGGCAGGGCAGGACCGAGAGATATATGCAGTACAAGCACCTTCCAACTCAAATTGGCTCTGAAAGTTTGAAGTTTAGACCTTTCATTCTCTCTGCTGTAGATATGATTGATGGTAACGCACGGGTCGGTGACATTCGACGAGGAAACCCCCCCCCCCCCCCCCCCCCGATGCCCTCTGCACCACCATCATCCGATCCTCGGTAATGGCACAATCTGGAAAGCACGATGTGGAAAATACGATGACTGACTGCAAAGAGTGGCAAGTCCCCAACTCACTCTGCCATGTTCCGTCCTTAGTCATCCCTTGAGGCAGGTACATACCAGCCAATATTGTCGGGTATGCACTTCCTAGTTCAAAACAAAAATCATCCGTGTGGTTAATTAAGGTGTTTGTGGAAGGCGGCAGAAGGCAGGCCACTTTCCTCCAAATGCCGCACATAGAGAAGAAGAAAAAGACACCCCCTTGGTTGTAATATGCGCTTGTTCTGGATCTCATCAGATGCAGGAATCAGCAGAGAGGCTGAGGATTCAATTCTTATCGATCCACTTGACCGTTATTTCCGGCTTTCCCGCCGTCCATCTCCACCGTCACACATCGACGAACAAGATCCCATCGTCAGCTCATTGTCAACTTCTCCTGAACCCACTGCCGTTCACTTACCCCCCCCCCCCCCCCCCCCCCCCCCCCGCTGTCAATGGCGGGAGTGATTTGACATGCAGCCGACCAGTATCACAGGCCGGTTCGCTGGATCTTCACCTGCATGACCGTGGACCATGGTGACCTTTAGCGGGACTCCCGTGGACGGTTTACAACCTCTCACAGCTCTCTGCAAATACCGGTCTGGCCTGTCCTCGTGAGACATGCTGCCCTGAAGAGTGAGGCCCTCCCACTTCAGGCACTCACGCGAGGGAACTAATCCCTCAAGGGGGGTTCGCGCTAACATAGTTGCCAGCTTAGCGTCCATTCAGCGCCTCAGCACCCTGCTAGCCTCCCTTAATGAGATGCCAGGCCGACCCATCGCCCAGGCCGTCTAGACCAGAGTCAGTCCTCTCTCACGGCGTACTTCGCCTGACAAGTCGAATCTTAATTCTGCGTGGCCGAAGCTACAAAAGACGTTTAGGAGTCAATACATGTGCGTGAAGAGGCAGACCTACGGCCTTCTGGGAGCTTCTGTAACTGTACGCCTAGAATCGTTGCCCTGGCCTTGAGGCACTGATCATTCGTCTCAACTACCGTTGGGCAAACCGTACCTAGCACAAGAGCAGATCGATGTACGGTTACAGTCTGCCTGTTTCAAGGACCAGGGAATCAAGTTGACATCTCTTCGCCTTCATCATGACTCGCCCGGCCCGCACTCCGCTCTTCCCCCGATGCACACTCGGCTTCCCTCGACGGTCTGCTGCAGAGGAAAAGTACAGCAAACTCTAAAGCATATCCTTACGGTCTTGCTTCCCAGCCTCTCACCGACATACAGGGCCATCTTGGCAAAACAGGACCACATTGAACAAAGTATTTCTAGAAGACGTGGAGTTGGTTGAAACACGGCTGTAATCCCGGCAGAGCCAACTTGCTCTCCCCAACAGGCGGGGAATACTCGCTTTCCGCCTCGCCTTGCCTCGCCACTGTCCTGTGTCGCCACATTCAAGCACGCCGCCAAGACCTTTCAAGATCGTATCTTTATGCGCCCTCCGATTGTTCTCCGTGGCCGCGCCCACGATCGACCCTGCTGTGGACACGTCCGTCCGCATTTCAGACCACCTTTCTTTGTGAGGAGATATCTATGAGGAGATTCTTCCGGAATGATTACCCCCTTCCGCGTCCCCATATACCTCGTCCAATCTCCCCTTGCCCAATGCATCCTCACAAGATTCAGATACAGATCCACCGGCGTTCCAGCGGCCTGGTTGAGGACCCCGCCCTCTCTTCACTCAGTTGAGCCTGCCAAAACCGACACGCTGACGGGTGAGCTCTTGAATCCGGAAGAACTAGCACGCGAATCGATGAACTCACGACGCCGCAGCCGGTCGTCCTGCAATGCTAACCCAAGCTGGGTTTGATCTCCAGTCTTATTATGATAGATCCTCTTTACTTTGCTGCTAGAGTGTCACAAACACGAACCTTCTCCTCGGTGCGCCAGCCGCAAGCATCCAGAGAAAGCATATCTGCCAAAAGGATGAACTTGCTTCCGCACATTTGACCTCATGCTTTTGCCGTCTCGAACAAACGTGTTCAGAGCTCCGCCAGCGTTACACACAAACCGGACCATCAACTCCATCTAAGGGGGCCGTCCCCAGAAAGCTACCTGATTCGTGACGTTCTCCCGTCTGTCCCGTCCTGGGTCCAACCCGGGGCGCTCTGCAATGCTCACCGTCTGAGGATCTGTACTCCCTTTTCCAAGTGGCCTGATGTTCTGAGCGCCAAACGTGCCAAAGGGGACTTGCCCATCTTGGATGAGCGATCTACCAGGCATTTTGCCCATGTGCTGCAGCGCAGAATGCCCGCTTCAAAACGATCCACTACGCTAGCTCCGCGAGTCTGGTCTTGAGGACCCATGTCCCGTGGCACGCACACGTGTGGCCCTTCACGCGACCTCCAATCACTCATTTCACCCTTCAAGGGCTACGGCAGGTCGTCTAATTGAGCCGCAAACAGTAACACAACCGGCACGTATCTTGACGACATGCATACAGAACTGCACATTCCAACTCTAATAAGTCCAACTGACTCTGCAGTCGCACCCAAGGCACCGAGTCTTTGGACACGCCTGAAGGTTTTTCTTTGGCATAATGTTCACAAAAACCTAGGCGGGAACCATCACGATGTCCTTACTATTAGGCACCGCTGACTGGTCCACGGGTAATCCTAGTCATCGCCTCACCAACCCAGCTTACCCCAGATTGCCCCCACCGCCTCAATGCAACCAACATCCTTTAACAGCACTGCTCCCTTCGCAAAGTGCGCCGCATCGTCACGTTAATTCTATGAGATTACGTATGTATATTGAGATTAGCACCCGTGCCTTTATCGGGCTTAATCTCCGTCATTTGACCGCCTTTCGAGAATAGAGCAAATAAATAAAAAGTAAACGCACTACTGTATGGCCTGCTTCATCCGATCTCGTTCGACACCAACTTCACTCTTCTCGAAACCTCTTCTAAGGACTATTTTTTTTTCACGCTATTTCTTGAACACGGAAGCTCCGAGCCTCTCAATCTCCCGCCCTTCCTGCGTTCCCCGCCCGGCCGCCTCGACAAGCCTGCCCCACGCCTCAGCATCCTTGAGCTTGACCGCTTCTTCAGCAGCCTTGACGCGCATCCCGCACTTTTCGTACATGGTGATGGTCGTGCCGGGTTCCAGACCGGTGCATTTAGGTACAAAGACAGCCGCCAGACGCGGGTTACCCGCTTGTAGCGTAAGGTTAAAGAATGGCTGCCGCGGCAACAACGTTAGTATACTTGGGAACAGTGCGCATTATGGAAACGAGAAGAACAATGTGTCATGCACACAAAATACAAGAAAAAGGAAAAAAAAAACTCACCTCCCATCCAATTGGGCTTTTCCTCGTCTTCGCGAGCTCTTCAATCTCTGCCCAATCGCGTTTCGCGACAAGTGCGCGGAGCCTATATAGATGGAGCAAAGTTAGCCAGTATTCCAGACATGTCGTGATAAGCCTTGATGAAGAAAAAGGGGGGAGGGGCGTTGACAGGGGGTGTGTAAAGCAGAATATCTGACCTGATCCACCAAGCAACCTTTTCCGGTACCTTGAACTCGCTCTGGATATTCTTCGCGCGCTTGTGATAACCCAGACGGATGAGCTTGAACATGGTCTCGTTAACGCTGAGCCCCGTGAACGTATCCGTCAGGTCCCGGTCGAAGGCTTCTTGCATCTTGAGCAGCGTCTGGGCTTCTTTCAGGGCGTGTACTTCAAACGACGCCTCCCGCGAATCCGAGAGCAGCTTCGCTGCGAGAGCGAGCTTATCCGATGCAGTCCGTGCGTCTGGTTGACGCAGGGCCTCGCGGAGGAAGACGCTTGCGCCGTCGACTCTGCGGTCGTCCTGGTAGTATAGATCCTTGAGAAGTGCGTTGTCGTTTTCCCGGGCGGCGGACGCCTCGACCAGCGCCGTGGCGGTCGGCCGGGCGTTGATGACTCTGAAGAAGGCGGCGAGCGGTAGCTTCTTCTTGAGCTGGAGGAGGACGTTGTACATGAGGTCGGTATCGCCGCTCTCGATCGCCTTGTCGAGGGCGAGCTCGTCCTCCTCCATGCTGAGGAGAAGCGGGACCTGTCTGCCGCCGCGCGGCTCGTGGTTGAGCAGTTCGGTGGCGAGACGGCTCCGGCCCTCATCGTATGCGGCACGGGCAATCTCCTCAAAGGAGATGCCAGGCTTGCCCGAAAGACGCTCGACGACGAGCCGGCAGATGGTATCGTCGTCCTCCGCTCCCGAGCGGACTTTTGCCGAGGCCCAGTGGACGTATATCCGGTCTGTGGGCAGTTTCAGATATCCTGCAATCTTGAGTGCGAGGAGGTACTCGTGGCGGTTAATGAGTCTCTTAATCAGACCCTCGGGAGTGAGACGCTGGTACTGTTCGTACGATAACGGGAGTCCAATCTCGAAAAACCTGACGGCGTTCAACACTCGTAGAATCTCGCACATGTCGACAAAGTCGTCGCTGTTGTAGATGTCCAGCACGGACTTGCCGAATGAGGCAGCCTTGAGGAGCTGCTTCTGCCAGTGCACGCTGAATTCCCTGCCGGCGGCGTTGACGCACGTGTCGACGGCCTCCGTCAGGTTGGCCCGGATGAGCTGGATGTAGTCGTCCGCCTTTGGGGACTGCAGCTCCAGCTGGCCGACGGCGTCGAGCAGAATGGACGCAGGAGACGACTCGGCCCGCGTACCAAAGACCTCTTCGGTTGCGCTGGGGACACGCTCGAGAAAGTCGCAGACGTCGTTTGTTATGAGCCTTGCACCATCGTGTTCTACGACACGTTAGAATCTTTATATGCTGGGGTTGCAGGGGAAATTTTTACCTGATATAACGTGAACGCGGCCGTCGTAAAAGAATTCGGCAGAAGCGTTGTCCGCTCCGATAATGTGCACCTCGTCTTCCCACGCAATCAACGCGTCGGAGCCACACCACTCAACATACTTTGGCGGAATCTTGGACTCTGAATCGTGCTCGATGAGACGCTCTTGGAAGTCGCTTGCGATGACGTGGGCCTTGCCCGTCTTCGTATACAGAGCGATGAGTTTGCCATCAGGAGACACACTGATGTGGCTGAAAGGTCCAATGTCGAGGAACCTGTCCTCGCACTCCGCAGCGTCGACGACAAATATCGTCTCCCCGATGCTCAACAACACCTCTACTGACCTCGAGAGCGTGTGGTCGGGAGACACGACGGCCCAGCTGTGAATCTCGCCCAGCCCCTCTGGCGCCTGCGCAAGCAACCTCGGCCTCGGCTCCGCGTAGCTCGTCACGGAAATGAGCGCATTACTGGCGAGCAGGGCCACCATGCCCGACTCGTAAAACCGACATCCCACAACGCCGAAGTCGTCCGCTCCGTTGCCCAGTGAGAACTGCGTGAAGTCGCCTTGCAGGTCATAAACCCTCACCGTTCCGTCTGCCGTAACAACGAGCAGCTTCTCCTCGCCGCCCGCCACCGACGCCCAACCTAGACCCTTGATGGAGCCTGATGGCTGCTCCCACGGGATGCTGCGCAGAAGCTTGCCGGCGTACGAGTAAATATCAATGCTTGGTTTTGAGGTGGATGGCTTGTTGGCGCGGTAAGCCTGGATCTTGGTGTCATCCCTAAAGAGGGCGAGTGCGCCAGCATAAGGGGCGCCCGCAACGATGTGGTTGTCGAGGTCGAGGTCCTGGTCAAAGACCTCGGTGTAGAGCTGGATCTTGCGGTACCACTTGTCACCGACGCTCTCCCATCCGGCTGAGGGATGAGACACTTCCATCATGTCATCTTCTCATTGCCAGGATTGCAGTCTTTGCTATTCGATTTCCTCTTGAGAATAATCCCCCGCGCTGTGAGGATTAAATAAAAGTGCTGAATTCGACGTTGACCGAAACTGAAAAATGCCGATGAGATTCGAGTGTCTTGTCGTTGAGAGTTCAAGCGAATGGAAGCTCCCGGAGCTGTGTCGCTAAAGCTCAAGGTACCTTACCTGCCTGGCACCGACTGGAGCTTGCGCCACGAATCAAACGCGGTGAGCCTCATTGCGGAGAGGTAATGGGCCGGGTAATCTCCGGCGCCATGGTGCTGCGTCATTACACCCCACCAACGACAAACCCCGATAAGACAAGCCTACTAGTGTAAGCAATGGAGACCCCCTCCCCTAACCGTAGCAGCCTGTCCCATCAACCCCAAGTTTGGGCCGCTCTGGGAACAGGTCTGGCGTCTGGAATGCAGCGCAACTCATGCACTAAGCCGGCCCATTACCCGTATGCTTGAGCAGAGGTGATTCACCCCCCATCACTCAGATTTTCCTCGATTTACGCGAGTGGAATTCTGCGACTTAGGGTACTTTTTGGTCGCATTTAAGCCAATGCGACTGACTCCATCTTGCACCATCTTCGTTCCCATCGACTCCAAAGACCATCGTCAGCCATGCCTTCTGATTGGCGTTCTGAGTATCTAGCCTCATTCAGAGAGCAAGAGAAGAACAACCCTGTTAATCTGGAGATTGTTCAGCTCTGTATGTTGATACCCCTCCATCCCTTACGTCCTCCCTTGGCTCCGAAATTATCACAGTATGCTGACCATCTCCCTCTCTTCAAACACACAGGCTCCCAGCTCTCCGACCGCGTCGCAGCCCTCGAGGCCGAAAAAGAACTCCTCAAGTCCAAGATCGAGCCTAACGCGGCGCCGAGAGGTAGAGAGACGTCAATAGATACCATTAGTACCGATCCCAACTTCAACCAGCTGCAACTCAACCTCGCCGAAGCGTTGCGGTCGAACGGGACGCTCCAGACTCGAGCGAAAACGGCGGAAGAAGAAGTGCAGGCCTTGCGGAAGAAGGCAAGGGAGGATGCGAGGCAAATCAAGCACCTCACAGCCGAGAAGACTGCTATAGCGACGAAACTGCAAGACAGAGAACACGAGCTTCGAGAGAAGCGGAAACTTGTCGAGGTAACATCGCATCGTTTCTTTACGAGGCGGCACGAAAGGTTAGCTGACCCCTCCGCGACAGAATGTCCAGGACGAAATGATCACATTAAACCTGCAAATGGCCATGGCCGAGAAGGAGAGAGACAAGGTCAAGAAAGAGAACAAGGAGCTCGTCGACCGCTGGATGAAGAGAATGGCACAAGAGGCCGAGGCCATGAACCTCGCAAACGAGCGCTGATGATGCGGTCTATTCATCTCCATGTGCAGATTGCGCCAAATCCCCCTGCCATAAGACCCGCGCTTCTCCGATGCTCTCAGCTCCTCTGCTCTGCTCTCGCTCTATGGGAGTATCAAAATTCTACAGGTAACGAACCGAACGCTATTTCCTCACCCTATGCCAACGTTGTTTCTGCTCTTTCTTTTTTCCCCCTCTCACCCTCAATGTACAAGGCATAATTGCGTCCAGCAAATGCCCTTCGTCCCCTTCTAGTCAAAAAGAGAAAAAAAAAAAAAATCCCTTGGGGCATCATACAGCGCTTTGGCGTATGCTGACATGAAATGCCTTAACAGTCTACTTCTTGGTCGAGATGCAATAGCTGCCGCCGGTATCCGTCCAGCTGACATAACCTCCGCCGGGGTAGGTCAGTTGCTCGACGTCGAGGATGTTGTTTGCAACGTCATTCATGTTCCGCGACCCCTGATCGTTGACAAAGGATTTCAGCGAGACAACCTTGCACCCTTTCTTCAAGTCAAGGAACATGTTAACGAGCGCACTGTTCAGCTGAGGAGTGAAAGCCTGGTTGTTCACCAGCACGACATCGGCACGCTTAAGGACATCATGTATCCTGGTGCTCTTGGTAAAGTCGCCCCGCTCGAGGTTCACCCTGCCCGGCAGGAGGCCCCACATCTTGCAGCGGGCGCCGAACTCCTTCTCCTGGGCCTCGGCGAAATCGCAGGGGTTGTCCATCATCTCGCAGCCCCAGCTCTCGCAGCCGATCTCCAGCGCGGCCTGAAACACCACGTTACCGACGCCGGAGCCCAGGTCGACAAAGACTTGGTCGGACGTCATTCGTGTCCTCTCCTGCAGGATCTCGGTAATGAATAGGTAGCCTAGCTCGCCATACACGTTATCCGTGCCGTTCTTGTATTGCCTCAGCTTTTCCACGTCTGGTGAAACAGTGCGGTCGTAGACCTGGCTGAGGATGAACTCGACCAGCTCGCGCGGCAGCCCATGCATCTTATCCAAATTGCTGCGTATTGTACCGTCGGCGGCGAGAGCACGGATTCTCTTGTTCGCATCTTTCAGGGCTGTTGTGAAGCCTTTCAAGTCGCCCGTGTTCTTCGCCCTGGTCAAGCGCCGGATGATGCCGGTATTCGGGTCGTGGAACTCTTCCGCCTGCTCCCTCGTGAGGTAAACGTCGGCGACGAATTTGACAACCTCCATGATATCCTTAATTGCATCGATCTTTCCGTCCTCGTAGAGCAGTTCGTAGCTATTAAACAAAATCATCCGTTAGCAAGGCAAAGGGAGGGGGATGGGCGGGATTGAGACGCAAAAAAAAGTTCATGACTCACCATTCCGGTCCGTACATACTCGGGTATTGCAGCCTGACTCGAATATCATCCTGCTCAGTGGCACCGAGCACGCGTTTGGCCTTGGGGCAGGATTTGACGTTGGTGATGTCGGCGGCGTGAATCAGCCTGCTGAGGTCCCGCAGCCCCTCTTTAAAAGCGCTGGCGCGGGTCAGCACGCGCTTCGTGTCGATGAGCTGGCCGTCGGCGAGGCGCTGGCGCTTCCGGACCTCGAGGTTCTGGATAAAGTCCCCCTCCTCGTCGCTGTCGGAGTCATTGTCGAACTTGGGCTGCGAGGGCCCCGCGCTGCCGACCTTGCGCTTGCGCTCGACGGTCCGCTTCTCGTCCGACGACGAGGGGTAGGGCGAGGCGCTCTTCTTCCGAGAGAGCAGCGACTTGTTGCTGCTGCTGGCGGGGTTCGGCGAGGCGCGCGGGGAAGGTCTAGCGGAAGAGTTGGACGATGTCGCGTGCGGGAGCCTCGGTCGTGGCTTCGGGGCGGCTACCTCGACCTTTTCGACGCGGATGACCGGGGGTTTGGCGTTGAACTTGTTCTTGCCGCCGAGGATTGGCATGGCGGCAGACGGTACGGCTGGCAAAGGCCGGGCTTTTCTGGTGGAAAGGAGGGGAAGATAAAGTGTGCGAAAGGCGCAGCGCGTGATTTTGGGTCAGGACGCAATTTGCAGCGTTCCGCAGTTTTTAGTGTCGCTCGGTGGGTGGCGGGGGAAGGCAATGAGTGTGCTTATCAAAGAGAAAAAAAAAAGTTAAAAAAAATGCAGGTCGGTATAATATTCGTGCCAGGCTTACAACGAATGAAAGATGCTTCAGAGTGATTGGAATTCTTCCCGTCGTGAGCGTCGGAGCATGACAGGTGAGAAGAGGGGGGGGAAGAAGAGTATCGGTGGACGATCGGTGGAGGCTCGGGACGGAGGGAGAAGTCGAAGTTGAGTGAGACGAGACGGACACGAGGGCGATTTTTCGGGAGAGGACGTGGACCTTCGCCCCGGGACGTGAACTGGGAAAAGTGGAGTGCGAAGCTGGGACCTTCCTGACCCAGGACCCCGAAAGTGTAGAAATTCCCCGGGTGAAGAGCCAAGCAGGCAAGTCAGGCCAGGAAGGTAGGTTTGGGGGTCGCTGCCACCACCAACGGAGTAAAGATCGGATTATTAAGGCAACAAAAGTACTTTGTACAATGTACTTTGGCTTCCCCAAGGAAAAGGCCAGAAAATCATGTATAATAATAATGGAAGAGAGATGACTTGGGCAGAGCCACCTACAACCAAGGCAGACAGACAGACGACATACGATATGCGACATGCGATAGGCGACCGGGAAGTGCATGGCGGCGCCACCTCACTGGTTGTTCTACCTACCAATTCTCGCCTCGATGCAGCCTTGAAGCCTTGCATTGCAGCAAACCAACCTGCACCTGTCCGCTGCCCCAGTTGTGTGCTTTGCTTCGCTGCTTTTGCCTCCGAGCCACTGGGCTTAGTAGCGGTACGTAGCACTACTCCGTACTCAGTACTACGCAGTAAGTAGCTGGTTGGTGTTGTCTCCACCTTTAGCGTATCCACTGCGGATGCCGCGTCACCCGACCTCGTCCTGCAGATGTGACGTTTTGATTGGCTGTACTCGGCACTATGAACCCTTCCCCCCCCGCTCCCCCCAACACCGCTGTCATCCAGTGTCACTTTCCCACTGTCATGCCCTATTTGGAAACCGTTGGGTGGCATCTTTCACGTCTTCAATTTTAAGCTTGTCTCAAGACGAAATTTACCAACCAACCCGTTCGGTCTCAGACACTTGGGTCCGCTATCATTGCGGAAAGTCAGTAAGGCTGTAGGTACTTAATTTTCTGGAGTGCCTACCGAACCAACTTTAGATCCAGAACGATGGAATAGAACGTCGAGAGTTGTAGCAACAACCCCCGTGTGAACATTAACCAATACCATTGTCTTGATTTCTCAGCCGATATGGACTACATCGTATCGTTCATGCAGATGACCGCTGAGCCGCCGAAGCTGAAAATATAAGACTGACGAGGATTCTGACCCAAAACAAAAATCAAGAGAAAAAGCAAAACTAGAAGAATCATTGCAAGACGTATGACGAGCAGAGTCGGTACAAAAGAGCTCAAAAATCATCCAAAATTCTCAGCATCATATACAATCCATATTCAACTCCGAGTTTTCCCTATTACATGTACATGCAATTGCGTAAGATGTTGACCTCATCGCTCTTTACCGTGATGTGGCCCAGTGTCTGTTGTAAATCAAAGATTCACTAGGGTCAGTCTTCTGACGGTCAGGATGCCGCAAACCAGTCAATTTCATATTCAGGCGTGAAAAGCAAGAGAATCACAGTGGCCCTTCGCTTCCCTCTTGTTCGATACTTTCAGGCAAGCTGAGCTTCACGACCGTCCTTCACTCATCATCGTGGTCGCCCTTTCATGTTCTAGAAGTCGCCAATGCCAGATAACGAACCGGCCATCAAACATGGGAAATTCCGGCGGGTATGCCAGTGTCTCTTCGGGTTCAAGCTTAACCTCACGGTATTCCTCGCATCGAAACGCGGCATCGAACCGCCCTACATCAGCCGGGTCTTGCGGATGATTCGGGAGCGAGGTATCGTCGGCATGCATAAACTCCACAACGACATGCGTCTGCAACATCAACTTCTCAAACGTCTCCCGGACCCGCGAGATTGCAAATTCGCTCGTAGGTTTACCCCAGAGAACTCTGAACCACAGCGAGTGCCGCCCGTGGTGGCCAGCGTGGTCTTGCACAATATCGTACAGCTCCCCCATGCGCAGTCCGATGAAGGGCGAGTCTGAGGCAGGTTGTAAGGAAGCGCTCCACACTTTGTGCCCTTCCACAGGCATGTCAGAAATATCGAATCTCACGTATCCCAGTGATGGCGGCGGCGGCTGGGAGACGAACATACGCCGCCAACTCGCCCCGCTGCGTGTGAACCGCCGTCTGCATTCTTCCTCTAAACGAGTTGCCTCGGAGTCGAGATCAGACGGTCTCAACTGGCTCCAGCCTCCCCAGATCTCTTGGGCAGTCTGAATTGGCTTGCGGGACCACGGGAGCTCATAGAAGGAGTTCGCGCGGCGGTGGAGCGAGTACGTCTGTCCAAAGTCGAAGAAACACTTATTGAACTTTTTGGCTAGGAGGGGATTGATCACTGGGCGAACACGTTGCTTCTTTTCTTTCGCACCTTCGTGGCATTCTTCGTTCTGGGATACATCGGCAGAAACAGGCTTCAAGAAGAGAGCTTGCTGAATAGCCGGAGACTCGTCCATGAGACTCTTCCACGTCTTGCTCACTCGCATAGCCGATAGTAGAAGGGTCGTCATGTCGAGCTGGATCAGGATGGACTCCAGGAGCTCCGGGATGGCGAGGACCACCTCCATCGCGGACTGGGTTTGCATTGACGACATCGCTCCTTTGCAAAATTCAAGAAGGTCAAGCGATTTCACGTATTCGGCTCACGAAAGATGAAGATGAGGAGATTCACTTGGCTCTTGCCGGCTCGCGCGGGGTTCATACGTCCTCAGATCTCCCCCTCTTCCGGTTAAGAAGAACCGTGTGCCATCATACAGCCACGGATGACTAAGCTTACACCTGTTGGAGAACACATGTGATGCAGTAGTCTCATCAACCAGCTTTCATGTGACTCTACTTATTCTCAAGTTCTTACTTACTGAGAAATAATACTGGTCTTTTGGTTAAAAAGGTTTTCTTCGTAACTGTCGTTTTCCTTTTTTCTTACTTTTCGTCCACTTCGTTGTGTAGTTACTACTTGTTAAGTTGACTATTCTTGCCGCCCGGGCTACAGTTGAAACAAGTTTAAATCAACAACCTCTCTGCTTTGTTTGGTACCAAAACAGCTTAGGATACTTCTGCTAAGTCTGTAAAGCATTTTAAATATAGTGCTTGGAACGCACTACAATGTTGTAATTGAATGGGCATGTCAACGATGACCGCCAAACCCGTTGTTCTTGGCTGAGGTTGTTGACACGCAGGCAGTTTCTTGCCTTTTCGATCAATGAGGATCCCTTGAAGCTGTGCAAGCTAACTCAAGTGCTCAATGGGAACAAGCATCACCGACTATGTTCAAGGCCCCGGAGTTCTCAAAATGTTGAAAACCGCAATACGCATAAACCGATAAAAAACTACACCTTTACCGTAATTGATTTGTATTCTGCCTCCCATACCTAATGCTAGCTGGCCTGTCAGTCACTAGGCACAACGGAGATGCATCCAGAGTAACATAGTGATCATCCTACAGGGGCATCAATTCAGCGGTTACAGATTTTGCATGCCCCCTGCCAATTAGCTGCGGAATATAAAGGCTGTAAGGATACTGCCAGGGGTGCTGCGCCTTTTTCGGGGGCTAAGGCGGCAGAATCCTATTTGTCTCGCGAAAAAAGAACTTTTGTTTTACGAATCCCCTCTTGCGGTAGAGAAATTAAGTGGTCCTGGTCAGCTTATGCATTTTGACCACCTTCCAGAAGAGCCCAATTGAGCGATCTGACGATTATGTTGGTGAATGTCTTGCTGAGGTTACACGGCACGCACAGCCTGATCTTGTCCAGCCCCTAGTTAATTAATAGAATGCACTTATGCCTCACTGTTGGTACTTGGTAGGTCCCTCTTCCAACCATATCAGTGGCTGGAACGCCACCCAACTTGGACATTTCGTCGCAAACCACATTAGACACTCGTCCTTTCGCGCACAGCTGGATGTTTTGCCATGGACCAGTACCAGTACAGCCGAGGGCCCAACGGCCGCGACGCGGTTGATGCACCCGGTCATGTCGATTCCCTCGGCCCCGACTCCGGTCGACAACCAGACGACCATGCAGTTCGTCACGGCCTGCTGAGTGACCTATCTGATGGTCATGATGTCAAAACCAGACAGGAGGACGACGTTGTTGTTACTCAACGAGCGACTTGGCGTCCGAAATGGCTTCGAACACCTCTACTTTCAGCCTTCCTCGCCTTTTTTATTTTGTGCGTTGCCAGCCTTCCTGCAATGTATGTCTATTCTCGAGATCACAACGGTCTCGTACAAACTCGGCAAAACCTTGTATATCTGTGGCGTTTTGGCCCGACAGCGAGTATGACTTCACAATTCCAGCTACCAATAGCTTTCACCGCTGTAAGCGATTACTGACACCAAGGCCCATAGTTATTACAATTTGTTCCATCTTCTGGTCAAGGGTTGAATACCAAGCACTCCGTTACATGCCCTGGATCGCCCACCACCGCAAGCAGTCACTTGAAGATGAAAAGAATGGATATACCCTCGACTATACGGCCATGCTAATGCCAGTTGTCGTATATCAATCTTTGCGAAGGAAGCACTTTCTTGTATTCCTCGTGACCCTTGCATCGATTCTATTGAGGGTTCTGATCGTTCTCGCCCCAAGTTTGTACAGCCTGGCAAACATCGAGGTCCCTCGGTCTGTCGACATACAACTTCTTGACTCCTTCAACACGACTGATCGGCCAGTTGATGAGTTAACTGACGTGCCTGGGTTGGTTCGTTCATTCTATCTCTCACTAGCGCTTCGAAATTTCGAACTTCAACGCCCTTTCGGCCTCGGCACAGACGTGGCGTATCAGACCTTCACGTCTCGAAATGGAACCGCGAGGGGGACAGTGAGCGCGCCTCTGACGGCGGTCGTTGACGGCATTTTCGCTGATACGCATTGCTCGAAACTCGAATCCTGGACCGCGTCACCTTTCAGGCTGGAAGACCCACAGCCGAATAATTACTACTACTTTTATGAAGCTGATGCCAGCCTCCAATTTGAAGGCTGTGATACCCCAGTCGACCTGGGAGAGATCAAAGTCTCACTAAAGAAGGACAATAAGACGATTACAGATGAATGGCTCCCAATAAGGCAACTAGATTTCGGATGGCTGCAGACCAGGCCTTGCCCAAACCTGCCACAGCAGGGTGATCAGTGGGTGTACTATACGGCTAGAGCCAAACCTCAGTCAAACGCTGCTCGAGCACCGTCCCTCATTGACGTCGCGGCTGTTGTCTGCACGTCAACATCTTGGGTGTCAAAACTGCGGGTGGCCGATGATGGCATCAATGTAAACACCACGCTGGTACCCGGAGAAGCCAAGAGACCTTTTACTGCATCCTTCTGGGATGATATATTACTCAGTGGAGAATCAAACAGAATGACCGGGGCAATAAACAACAAAGTAGTTGAGACAGCCTCTTGGTTACAGAGAGATTGGTCCGGCCCGATCGCACTGCCGGGCAACCAGACGTTGACCCAATATTCAACCGACATTATGTACGATTCCATCATGAACATCTCTCGCGTTCTGCTCCCATCGATTGGTCACCATGTTCTCCGACAAGCAAACGACAACGCAACTTCTACTGATGGGTTTACAATCATTGGTATCGATAAGCTCGTGGTGAACCAGTGGGTTTGCATTGCTATGGCGGCACTGTTTGGCTTGCTCGCCTGCATAGTGTTGGCGATCATCATCCAACGTGGCAAGGTCAACGTCTGGTGTAGGAACCCCACGACCGTCCTTGGACATGCGATGTTCTTGCAAAGCAACCAAGAGTTCTCGAGTCGACTGGGTCAATCCGTGCCTGATGAAAAGACAACAAATTGGGGAGAGAACGACTTTACTCCATTGGTTCTCAGGACATGGGTCAGAACGTCATTTGTTATTCTCGTCCTATTGATCACGGCCGTTTTAATATGGGCGTTGCAGTACTCGCAGTTGAACAACGGACTAATCACGGTACCCAAAGACGGTTATGTCCATTTAGTATGGACATCACTACCCACAATCATCATGCTCAGTGTTGCGCTATACGTCAGTTCTTGCGACTATGTATCCAGGACGCTGGCAACGTTATATAGCTTGTCATCGAGATCATGTGGCGCGCCAGAGCTTGACATGTCGTACGCAGACATGCTGGGATTCAAAGCCTTGGCCCATTCCATCCAGAAACGGATTTGGAATGTTACAATTGCACAATTTCTTGCAATCATTTGTGGATTCCTGACAACCTTGACATCTGTCTTATATGTCACCGAGGCTGTCCCGGAGCCAAAGGCTACAGAATTTCGACAAGAGACATGGTTCGGATCGCGAGTGCTCGAAGATTTCCAAAGCACAAATATTTCTCGAAGCAACCGGGAGATAATCGGCAGTCTACTCATACGTCAAAAGACTGATGCCATCACCTATCCTCTAAATACATACGATGACCTCCTTTTTCCAGTTCTCGAAAACATGGGCGACCTGGAGCTATCCCGTAATCTTTCGGTGGAAGTTACAGTGCCGGCCGCCAAGTTGCAACCTACGTGCCACAGACTACCTTCTACAAGTTACAACGCCTCCTGCCAGTCTTTCGGCTGTACAATTGTGGAAACTTTCAAGTGTCCGAATGGCTCCCAAGCTGAATACCGCCAATTCCCCAAAGCCGTAAAGGACAACAGGATGAATCTCACGGACGCTAAGGAATATATTTTTGAGGCGTATGGATCTTCAAGCAACTTATACTCCATGAACCTCCCTTGTAAGCTGGGTCTCAACGGCACCGACTTCGACCATTCGACATGGAGGTCTATGACATATGCATGGGGAAGCCTCGCCAAGAACAAGGGATTCGACTATCTCGCTATGTGGAGCTGCAATTACACCTGGGTGGAAGTTGACACCAAAGTGAACCTCATAGCTTCTGAAGGAAACCTCGTCTTGAACCCGGAAAAGCCGCCGGTACCGGACTTGGCTACTGCCAGACCCTGGTCTCGTCCTTTCGACGTCCCGCCCATTTCGAATGCGTTCAGCGGCCAACCATTTGGTAGTCCGTACCCCTTGACTCCTGGAGCGGATGGCGTCGGCACAGACTACCTTTCCCGAGAGCTTACGACACTGCTAAAACCATACGGCCAGTTCGATTTGAAGGCATTCGGGGATCCGGAACAAGAAGACGATGTCCTGGCGGCGCTTACTTACAACTTCGCCTTCATCGGATCTCAACTCGCCAACATAGAAAATCGCCTGGGCAAAGACAAAGATGACATGTACCACTTCTCCCCGCAGAACAGCCTTTCAAACCTCAACGCAATCGCCGCTAATAATGACCGGTACCGCCTTGTTCAAACCTCAACAGTCACTTACATAATTGTCGGTATCCTTGTAGCAGTGGCCATCGTCAACATTCTAGTGCTGCTTTCCGTTGCGTTGCGGCGCTTTGTGGGACGGCCCATCCTATTTGACATGGATATTAAAGGACTGGCGCCCGATGGTTTCCAGAGCATAGCAGCCATGAACGATTTACTGAAAGACTCGAACATCTTCAAGTATCTACCCGACGGTGTGTTGCTTTTGTCTTCGAAGGAGCTTTATGGCAGACTGTCTGATCTTAACTTCCGAATGGGTTGGTTCAGTCGCACTTCTGACATGGACAAAGTCTTCACTGTTGGTGTGGAAGGGGACGATGACTTTGTTTACATGGGAAGTAAGGCAAATAGTAAGAAGAATACCGACGTGGAAATGATAACAAGTGAAGATAACTCGAAGGCCGGGGTTCAAACGAGAATTTATGCTGGGAATAACGATAGAGTTGATGGAGACACGGATATGTCACGATGAGGGAAGGAAGCGGAGCCGATAGTAGCAGTATGGACAAAGACAAGGAGGGGAAAGGAAGAGAAACCGATAAGAGAACAAAGACTGAACGGGATCCCACAGAACCCAAAATGGCCGATGAGTTAGACTGTAGTCATATTTCTGCTTACTATGCCCCGGCTAGTGGTCTTACATCCCACCCAATAGTCGGCTGGCACGGAATACCCATTAGACTGCAAAGGTTGATAGTTTAGACATTACTACAATCGGAAATGAAAGGAATAAAAATAATAGATGAAGGCTATGGTTAGCAAGCTAATCCTGAATTCTAAAGGAAGGAATAGTGTCTAAATGCTCGAAGTTGTTTCTTAAGAATTAAATCAAAAGTGAATAAAGGGGCTTTCAGTGGAAGGTAACCCGTGAAAAGACACGGATCAAGAGAAGTGAAAGTCACACTTAAATAGAACTCCGAGCCACACTTGCTACTTAAGGGCCGTTGATGCCAATGGAACAGAAGCCTACAAGCAAGAAACCAATTCTGTAATTTATGTATTTCCTGAAACCGATGCGATGTGGGTTACACGGCCGCCTGTATCAAAAGGCGACTGTACTTTGATGTCTATTTTGCAAACTGAGATGGATACAACTGTCCCACCCTGACACGAACCAGTAGATATCATGCAGGCCCCTAGAAAGCGGCCTTGTTCGCCTCCAAGAACTCCTTCCAAGATGTTGGCTTCAGTCCAACCCCGGCCAAGAGGTCCAGGCTCTCCTTCAGGTCCTTGCCAGCAAAGTAGCCTGGTTCCTCGATAAACAGATGGTTCTCCAACATCTCATCAGCCAAGGGCCCAGGCAGGAAGCTCTTGTACGTCTCTGCGTCAATAGGGACAAAACGGGCAGCCTTGCCAGTCACCTCCGTGAACTCAGAGACGATACGGGTCGGGGTGTAGTAGTCAGCCGCCGCCAGGATCTGCTTTCCGAGCACGGAGGCTTCGTTGCGGATGACAGCGACCACGTACTTGCCTTCAGTCATCATTGTCAGTTATATCTTTAGGTCCATGGCAGCGAGGCAACTTACCGATGTCGGATTCAGTGTCGATAAGCGGGAACTTGGCCTTGTCTCCGACAGGGTAGGAGAGGTTGTAGACGCCGTCTTCGCCTTTGCGGATCATTTGCAGTGCGGTGAAGTTGCTCATGAAGTATCCAGGCAGGACGAAAGTGCTTGGGATACCCTTGGAGCGGATGTAACGCTCGACTTCCGCCTTGTCATCGAAGTGAACAACGTGCTTGAGACGGCCGTTGGTGGTATCCGTGACGTGAAGAAGAGAGGAGTAGATCAGATGCTTCACTCCAGCGTCAGAGGCGACATCAGCAACGTTCTTGCCGTGAAGCTGTTCTTGAGTACCACCACCAGACATGAAGTCAGGGGTAGTAACAAGGAAAACGGTATGGGAACCCTTGATGGCCTCGGCCAAGGAGGCCTTAGAGGTCATGTCGGCCTTCATTGTGTTAGCGCGCATCTCAAGAGGGAGTAGTGATAAGAGGACGTACGGCGACAACCTCAACCCCCTTGCCAGCCAACGCCTGGGCTGCTGGCTTGGAAACATTGCGAGTGATGCCCCTGATCTTGAACTCCTTGGAGAGAATGGGGTCGGAGAGGACTGCCTTAACAACGGAACCGCCCTGGTTTCCGGTTGCTCCAAAAACAGTCAAAAGTTTGGACATATTTGTAGATTTGATGGGGTTTAGAAGAATCTTATGAGAAGTTGTTTATATGGGCTGCAGTATATGATGAGCGAGTTGCGGAGGCTAAGATATCAGTGATCCAGCGAAGTGTTGCTTGTCTTTATACCTGCTGTCACTCGCCGGGAAGTGGCAAACCAGTACCCTTACATGTTCTCGTACCAAATAGAAGATGGAAACTCAAGGTGAATAATCATTCAGCGCACGGAATGGTAATAGACGGAGTCACTTGAGTCAGGGTACTCTGCGTCGGGTTCCTCTTACGATCCGGCGACGCAGATAGCGGAGTTTCTCGGCAGATTAGCCAGCGTTATGTAACGCTCATCAATATGAAAACCATCTGCATGGCTGTTTGATAATGGAACACAGTTATAAAGCGAAGGCCCGATTCCAGACCAAAGGGGGCTGAAATCGGCACTTGTCGGAGGCCGATTCTTATAATTGATCGGCTTGACCCACAATGTGCCTTATCATGATGGGGTGTAAAGTTAAATTGTTGGGAGTAGATTTTATTTCAGGGTATGCTGGTTCGTGAACTGTTAGATGGCAGAGAATTTCCCTTTGGTATTTGGAAGGACAAAGACGACAAAGTGTGGATTTCCATGCGCTGTTGTCAACATTTGAACTTCAAATTTATAATGCGAGAGACAGCTACACCTTTTCTGTGTAAGATAGAAAACCACAAGAGATAGATACACTAGAGTATGAAAAGACTATTACAAGATAATACAGACACTATTCTAACACAGAAGCTGCCTACTGTGAAGACGCTTATTGTCAACTGGACAGTCCCCCTCATCATTTAATATACTTCTTAAACTCGCTCTCTGTCCTCAACCAAGTCTCGAAGTCCTTAAGCCCGGCGTGCTTCTTCTTCAGTTCTGCAATGTCAGCGCCATACCCAACATCGTAAAACCATTTAAACATCACCCCAAAATCCTTCACAAGAGCCATAAAAAGCCAGCAGAGGATTCTATATGTCCCTTCTGGAGCCCTTCCAACGGTCTTCTGGAACACTCCAACCATCTGATCGAATGTCAATTCATCTCCGGCCAGCGAAACTCCCTGCCCCTTATACTTTTCCGGGTTCATGAATGCCTGAGCCCCAAAGAACCCGATGTCACTGGTCGCAACCAACTGTAGAGGCTTCTCCTTCACAGCCATTTTCCATGATGTGACAAACACCCGCCCAAAGAAGTTATCCGTGAAGTTATCCATGAACGCCACGGGCCGGAGGATAGTCCACTCCATATTGCTGCCCTTGGATTTGGCGATGAGATGCTTTTCGATCTGGTGCTTGTGAATAAAATGGGGGATGTCGGTCGGATTATCCAGCGAGGACTCGCCGTTGCGGTCGACGGACGTATAAACGAAGAACTCGACACCTGCAGCAAGAGAGGCGTCGACAAGAGCTTTACCTTGCCCAAGCTCGCCGCCACCGCCTTGATTGAACCCCATCGGGGACTGAAAGTGTTGGTTAGAAAAGAAATTTTGAAAAGAATCGCTACGAGCGATTGTCGCATACCTGAACGCTAAAGACACCCCATATGGGGTTCTCGGTGACGCTTTTGGCCGTCTTGAACAGTGCTGTAGGGTCGGCAAGGTTTCCCTGTACTAGCTTGATCTGTGCCGACTTATTCAACAGTCGTTGAGCGGACCCGGAAGTTGCGTCTCGTGTGACAGCAAGGATCTCGAAGTCGGCCTTCTCGCGCAGTAGTTGGTCAATGACGGCACCACCCTGCTTTCCAGTGGCACCGCAAATCAACAAGGCGCGGGACATGATGGATACAATTTAGGCGGTGTAAAGTTACAAAGGTGAGTGAAGCAAGTTGCCGGGGGGTTTGGAAGGGCTGAGGGATATAAGAGCAGGAAATCGTGGTGCGGTTGAGGTGCGCAGTGGGGACGATGCAACTTTGAAGTTTCTTGATGGTTGCGGCGGTAATTGTGAACAGGCGCGCAATGATGCTGTTGTCTCGAACGCTCAGACGTATATAGCTCCCTTGCTTGCTTGTGGAATGGCGTGGCGTGGCGCCGAAAAAGGTAGTATGGCCACTTACCAATCGCAGTGCATGATTGCCCCGGTGTTGCGGAAGCGGAGTGCCTAAGCCGATTATGTAGGTGGAGGATCCGGCCTCCGACTATGACCGAGCTGTGGGACTCGCCCGCAATGAGAGCTCCGGCCGCAGTGGGAATTTTGGACTGACTTGATGTTGATAATCCACTGTGCTTGAATCGGCAGTTAACAACCATTTAGTGCCACTTCTGGACATAGTTCTTTGAGGTCTTCGCATGTCAATGCTCACTAATATACTTCACAAGAAGCGGATTTTTTTTATTTTTTTTTTAACAGAACAGCCCTGGCCGTAGAATAGAGGCCAGCATACAACTCTCTGTCACCGCTGCAAATTCGTTGGCTGAGGATGCTGGCGCAGAGGTCAAATTCGGCTCTTACGCGGACTTTGCGGAGTTCTGTAGTCTAAAGGCAGGTTTCGGCGCCGAGAATGACTGCAGTGAGTTAAAATAGGATCGCGGTTTCTGATTTGTCATCGACGGTCTGACGAAAACAATAAGCAAAGCAACGATTTTGCTTCACAAGAATTCGTACAATTCAGTGATCAGACCTAATCGCGCACAGACACAGCTGGTGGTGTGTTAGACAGCCGTTATGATTATTTCAAATGGGTTTGGATTGTGTTTGCCGACTGTCAAAGAGCGAAATGTCCCCAAGGACTTTCCCAGTTAGCCCGGCCTATATCAGAGTCTCCATAAATAGCCGAGACAGCACCTCCAGACGATATTTGAAGGCGTATACTTTTAACCTTTCGGTATATCAGCGTAGAATGCCCGCTATGAATAGAATTTCGGTTATTGCCACGTATTTCCATCGAGCGGGGTCATTCCAAGTTTTCTGTAGATAGCCTACTAATCGGCACCTGGTAATGTCATAGCTCTGAATGCTTCGCTTGCAGTAATCCCTTTTTCAACTAAGACGGGTAACAACAATGAGTGGTAGTGCCAACTCAGAAAACAGGCTTCGTATCGTGGTTGTAGGCGGTGGCATAGCAGGCCTCGCCGCCGCTGCCGTTCTCCGGCAGAAGCACAACGTCGTTGTCTACGATCGCGATGCGGAAGACGCACCGGAGAGAGGTGCCGGGATCGGCCTGGGGCCAAACGGGAGCAAAATGCTCAAAAAGGCCTTTCCATTTAGCCCCGAGAACGTCAAGGCTACGGTCTGCTCCGGCACGAGGACTTACGACAAGGAAGGAAATCTGCTGAGGGAGGTCACCGGCGTTACGGAACCTTTCGGAGGCGAGTGGTTATTGATGCATCGCCAGGACTTGAAGGCCGAGTTATTGAGGCTTGCGACCTGGGACGCAGCCAAGCTTGGCATTTCAGGGCCACCAGCAAGAGTAGTGCATGAGATGGAGGTAACTGAGGTAGATATCGAAGCAGGAAAGGTCACTTTGAAAGACGGGGAGGTTGTTGCTGCGGATGTTATAGTTGGTTAGTCGGACAATCCACCTCGAATGGCTGATGTATGATGCTGACGACGTATTAGGAGCTGATGGCATACACTCCATCGTCCGACAAGCCATCCTCGGCGGCGAGTCAGAGATGATTTCGGCGGGTGTCTCATTATACCGCTTCGTATACCCATTAGATAAAGTGAAAGAAATCCTCGGGGGGCTTCCAGATGCCCTTGATCCCAAGGGGGGAGGGTTTTTAAACTTGATGACTGCCAACGATGATTTGAACCGAAACATCATATTCTATCCATGTCGAAATTACACCATTCTCAACGTCGTGGCTCGCGTTCCCGACAGCATTCTCGCACAAGACAGCGAGACATCATGGAGCGCAGAGGGAAACATAAAGGAGATGTTAGAGCATTTCAGTGATTTTGCGCCGTGGATGCTGGACATCATAAGGTGAGTTTTTCGCAGAGGCTTTTACGCTGCGAGATATCCTAGCTTACATCGAGCGAAAGACACGTCGACAACGTGAGACTGTATAAAGTCAAAGATGCAGATCCACTAAGCCATTATGTGGGCGGGCGCGCCGTGATAATCGGCGACGCAGCCCATCCAATGACGCCCTTCCAAGGCCAGGGCGCGACGCAAGCGATTGAGGATGCCGAGGGTCTTCGGCTGCTCCTTCATGACAGAGTAGACGCCAACAACGTGTTTGGAGTATTGCAGACCTGGGATTCAGTGAGGAGACCAAGAGCCTCACAAGTGCAGAACAACTCTCGTCACGTCATGGATATGTCGGCGCAGGCCCAACTGGATCGAATGAGATTGAATTGGACGTACAATGGCATTCACGCAGCGTTAAGAAACAGGCAATGAGAACGGTTCTTGGGTATAAAATGGTATGTTTCACCAAATTGCTCGCGGATGATTTACGTAGGAGTGGGAATTGGCACATGGGAGGAAGTGCGGTGACCTCCAATGTGAGTATGCGGACTTCATACGGCTGGATCCGTACAATGATGCACCAAAACGTACTAAGAACAGGCCATTGTTTGAATTTCTCCACTACTTTTATAAAATCTGATGAATCACTGATTATGATTTTATAAACGTCACAATTGAAAGGGGTTGCAGAAGCCTGCCGTCGGGCTGAGGCTGGCGTGTTCAGACTCGAGGTTTCTCCACACCGAATCGCCCCAGAGCATCTTTCGTCTACATCATCATTCTGTCATTTCGAGCACCTCATCAGGAACACATCAGACAGCAGTCATAAACGCCCCTGGAATTCAATTGAGTTAGCAAATAATAATTGTTTCACGAGATATATATTCAAATGGAGCCCAGACTTGGCTTTTTCATATCCCGTCTTGAGCGCCTTACTATTGACGTTCATCCCAGCATCAACCCACATTGACGATTCGTACCAACACAAAGTCTCCATTCTCAATCATCGCAGTTGATAGTACCTGAGAAAGATACACATCAGTAAATGTCAGCATTCAGAGCACTAAGGCTGCAATCGGTCATCCGACCATCCACATCCCGCACCGTACAGCACATCTCCCGCCGAGGCTACGCCGTCGAGAAGAAGGCGGAGAACACCCGCTCATATACCGGCGGCGACCAGCCGCCCCCGGCCGGATCGCAACAAAAAGTTCCCACACGCCCGAGCGAGGTTAACAACCGGTATGTTCCTTTACCCCTCATCAGCGATCCGGCCTCGTCCAGCCGGCTCTTCCCCATCCATTCCTTTCCAACAAGAACCACACCATCTTAGCCCATACGCGTATAACTAACCAACGCAATTCCAGCGCCACTCTATACACGATCGGCGGCGTAGCAGTTATCCTAGGCGGATTTTTCGCCTTCCTCACAGGCTCGCCCGATCGCGCCGCCGGCGTCGCAGACGCAACTACCCGCGGCGGCGGCGGCTCGCTACTATCAGGACCGTTGAGCGGCAAGGAGGGCGGCGAGAAGGATCTGGAGGCCCATACCGGCCTTGACCAGAACCGGAGCACGGGTCTGGCGGGCCTCAAGAGCGACGCGACGAACCCTCACGCCCGGAAAGCGAAGAACTAAATTTCTTCATGGTTGTTTGAAAAGGTACCCGGAGCCGTTAACCTTGCGGCAGTGTAAATTAGCAGCATGTTCATCTGAATTGACTCGATGAACCCCATATCTCTTGAGTGAATGAGCCGTTGTGGTTATCCTCGGGGTCGCTATCGCTCTTGTGACAAAAGAGACATCCAACTACGAGTTTGGTCTTAAGCTGCCCATGGCCGCCAAGTAAACTTAACCAAATTGTATCCTCTTCTAATGCATTGCCATTCCCAGATCTGCGGGGTGGCTCGCGAAATCTGGGGGACGGGTGACTCCCGCCGCGGGCTTGAGACGGGTGCCCTTGGCCATCGGTCTCGGTCTCGGTTTCGGCTTACCCCAGTATGCTCGCATCTCAAACTGCATAGCTTCACGATATTCGTATGACATTGTCCCGTTGTTTGGGACTCATTCATAGAGACAATCACTCAAATAAAGCTCACAGTCATCTCTCAGCTCAGAGAAACAGTCAGTCTCATCATCCCATTGACAGAATTCCACGAAAGTTGATCTCAGTTGGCTACAAATACTTGGCAAAACTCCAACCAACACCAAAATCAACATCATGTCCGTAGACTACACCTCCAAGACAGTGATAATAACAGGCGGCGCCGCAGGCCTAGGCCTCGCCCTGACAAACACCTTCCTCGCCGCCAACGCAAACGTAATCGTCCTCGACATCTCCCCGGCAGCCCTCGCCTCTCTCCCCTCACATGTCGCAGAACAACATCGCGACCGCCTGCATCCCATAGAATGCGACATCACATCGGCGTCCTCCGTCGAGGGCGCATTCTCAACGTACCTCTCGGGGGGCGAGGGCCGCAGGCTGGACGTGCTGGTCAACAACGCCGGCATCTCAGATAAGATGCACCCGACGGGAGACTGCGACATGGCCATGTGGGAGAAGAACATCCTGGTCAACATGACGGGGCTGTTTGTGACATCGCAGCATGCTATCCGGCAGTTCCTGAAGCAGGAGCCGGTTGGCGGACAGAGGGGTGTGATTTTGAACGTCATCAGCGCCGCGGGCGTGAATGGTGCGAGAGCCGGTGAGTCGCCTCGTCCATGACTGCAACCAGTCCGTATCGGAGTTTTTAAGTTAAACTGAGAAATATCAGGCGTCGCGTACACCGCATCAAAACACGGCACCGTCGGCCTCACAAAGAGCACTGCCGCATTCTACGGGCCAAAGGGCATCCGATGCCTGGCCATCATGCCAGGACCGATGCAAACCAATATGGCCAGAGATAAGGACCACATTGCTGATTTTCATAAGGAAGGATTGGCACTTGGTAAGCGCTCACTTCTACCCGAGAATGATTATTACCAAGTACTAACTAGGAAAACAGTTGTCTCGACGTTCAACACAGTCCACGGCAATCCTGCTCAAGGAGGTTGGAATTTCGGTTGGTCGGCTTTGGAACAGGTTGCGAAGACTGTGCTGGTTTTGTGCTCTGACGGGATGAATACCATAAACGGCGCACTCGTCCCAACTGACATGGGATGGACGACTATATAGGTAGCTACAGAGGTATTCGGCTGTAGCAACATGTGTTTATGCCATCTCTATTCCTCGCCAACTATGATTCAAAATCACTACACATAAGACAGTGTCTATTATGATGAGACATGTGTAAAGGCAGTATGTTAGGAGCTATAATGCACATTTCAAAAACAATTTGAGAACACAAGCAAAGTAAGCGTTTTCACAAACATCACATTTTTAGACCGTGATACACATACTCAAGATCAGAGTAAGCATGACAGAGCAAGACTTAGTGAAAGGCAATGTTTAGCCTATGGAAAACCAATAGAATACTAATAGTACAACAATTATTACCAAGGAACAAGGTCATTAGTTAAAGTCGTCGATAACCCCAATCTCTCAATCCGGGTATAAGCCTTTTCGTTTGCAGGTCACTCATCATGCAATTTCCTTCCCGCTAACAAAAGAAATGGGTCTAGTGGTGATGCCTCTAGTAGCCACTGACGTGGGCGGAGTTGGACAGCGGGTTGGCGTTGTTGTTAAGGTTGGGTTGGACGTTGCCGTTAAGGTTTCCGCCAAGTCCGTTGTTAACATTCTTGTTGAAGCCGTTAATGTCGTTGAAGTTGTTGTTGAGGTTACCGTTCAAATTGCCATTCAGGTTACCGTTCAGGTTGGGGTGGGTGTGGCCGTTGAGCGAAGCATTAGGACCGACGTTTTGCTGGGACCGAAGAGTATGCTTCTTGCGTTCGACACGAGGAGCATCAGGAATATCGTTCGACTTGTTGGCCTTTCCGATGGAGAAGACAGGGCTCTCCCAGCGTTCTCCCTTACGAGCCAACTCCTTGTATTCAGTGGCCTTGGAGCTGATGCCTCCAGGAAGGTTGATGTTGGGGAAGATAGAATCTTCCTTGGTAATGGCCATGTTAACCTTCTTGTCAACAACAGCCTGCTGGGCCTTCTGCTTGCCCTGAAGGGCACGCTTCTGGACGGCGGTGACATAGCGGTTGTAGATGTTGGGGGTTCTCTCAGGGTCAGAGCGGGCCTCGTCAATTGCACGGTCAGCCTCCTGTTTAACTTGGAAGAGGAAGCTGTCCAGCTGAGAAGCCTGCTGCTTGATAGCCTGTTCAACAGCCTTCTGCAACGCGGGGCGGAGAACCTTGAGCATGATTGGCTTGACGACACTGAAGAGAAGTTTGTGGTTGGACTTCTTCAGCTTGATGCTCATTTGCTTAATGTCGACGTCGACCTTGTCGATCTTGAAGAAGTTCTGGCTATCCTTTTTATCCGCAGAAGACATCTTCATCTTGAAAGAGAAGCCGTCGCCAGCAAGGAGAATATCAGCAACACCAGTATCGGTAAGAGATGGGAAACCCTGCTTGCGCTTGACATGGTAGCTGACGTCGCGGAGATCAAGCTGAACACCAGCAACCTTGACTTCGAAAGATTGGTTGTGCTTGCTGGTGATCTTCTTGCGGCCCCACCGGAAGTGGTTCTCGCTGGCAACCTCAAGAACATTGGGCATGAAGTTGTCGGACTCGAGCACAAGGTTCTCAATGACAGCATCAAACTTGGGATCGCTGTACTCGATACGAGGAATGGGGATGTAAGCAACATTCTCAAAGAGAGAAGGAATGATGACCTCGGAAAGATCCTTGATGAGATGGGGCTTGAATGTGGGCTTGCCGTTCTCGTCGTTGCCCAGGTCGTTGAAGAGTTTCTGGACGGCTTCACCGAAGCGCTTGTTTTGAGGATCCTGATCGAACTGGTCGATCAAAAACTTGATCTCATCAAAGACACGGTCGGTGTGAGTGCGGTACTTCTCGCGGAGGAGGTAGCGACCATGGTCATACAAGTGGTTCCACTCTTGGTTAGAATCCTCGTCCAGGATGTAGCCCTGCTCAAGAAGGCAACGGCGGACGTAACGGTCCATAGCCTTGAACCAATCCTTCAACTCGCGGTCCTGGTCGGCATCACGGTAAATCTGGTTGATTGACTCGAACAAGTCATCGGTAGAAGTGCCATTGGCAAAGCGCTCAATCAAGGTCTTGAGATCCGACTCAGCCTCAGCAAGTCCAGCACGGGTGTCTCTGACAGTGCTGCTTCCACCCTGAGCAAGAGCACGCGAGTGCCCGGCGTACTCCTCAGCGAGTCCGAGGAGAGTCTCGATAGCCTGAGCGTAGTCAGGATGCTGCTGGCACTCGAGCACCATCTTCTTCAGGCGCCAGATGGTCTGTTCCTTCCTCTCCTGAGGCATCTTCTTGTTGAAGTACTCCTTGGTGCGACGGCGATACTCCTCGTTGCGCTGACGAGCCTTCTCGCGGGTCTCTTCGTCAACGTTCTCATTGTACTTCTGCTCAACAACGTTGCGAGCGGCATTGATACCACCCTGGGCGTTGACACCGGAGTTGGTGCCCAACTGTTGGTCACGAGCAGCTGTAGCAGCCAGGTCTTGGGGATTCTGCTGTCCCTGAGGGTGAGCACTTTGAGTGCTGGCATTGAGGACGTCGCGAGCATCCCCAGTTGGGTTGCCCTTGTAGACGCCTTGAGCCTGCTTCTTCAGGTTTTCCTTGGAGAAGTCAGGTGCGTCATGCCAGGTGTTGTCCTCGGCAGGTCGGTCTATCTGGTCCAAAGCTTCACCCGAAGGCCGGACACGCTGAGCGGCCTCGGTGGCGGCATCGCCGGCCATGTCGCGAAGGAGGACGCTAGCATCCTTGACTAATGAAGTGGTCAGCACAAGTCGGGGGTAAGCAGAGAAGGAGGGAACCTACGCAATTTGCGGAATTGCCCGTTGGTGATGATCAGGGTTCCGAGGGTCCGCAGACCCTGCATCGCCTTGTCGCCATGCTGCTGAGCAACCTCCTTGTTGACAGGGGCGCCGGGAACATCAAGAGTCTTGGGGTCGAAGCGCTCAGTCTGCCAAATGAAGTCTTGAAGCAGATTGCCTTGGTTCTTGGAAAGCAAAAGGTACTTTGCTTGTGTGACAACCTCACGCACATCAGCGATCAGCGCCTTACCCTCGGCAGAGAGCTTCTCGGGGGGGTTCGACAATGCCTTGGAGGCCAGGAAACTGTTTAGGGCGACGTCGATTTGGTCATTCTATTACAGGGGTCACGTCAGTATCATGTAAACCTGCAGGGTCTAGTGGTTGAGGTGGAGACAGGGATCAGCCCAGCAGAGATGCGTGGGCCAAGCCATGCCGGCAGTGACGTACCGAGGGGACCTTGCCAGCCTGGAAAGCGGAGATGATGCCATAGAGCTGGAGCTTGCGGTTGACATCCGCCTCCTTCTGCTTCAAGTCGGTTGGCTTGTTGACGTTTGCTGACATGATGAAGTATCGGTTTTATCGTAATATGTAATTTTCTTCTCGAGTATAGGCGGGTATGGTGATTATTGGTAGTGTTGTACAGAAAAAGGGGAATAACAGAGGCGTGGTCGGAGGGTGGGGGTATCACAAGAGTGGTTTGGGTATAATGGGAATCGTTAAGGTGGTGTCCCTGTAAAAAAAGGCAAAACAGGAATAGGTATCTATCGATGAGAGAGAAAAAATCAAAGAGAGAAAGGCTTGGGTAGAAGCGCGGAGTGCAAGCAGGTGTTTATAGGTTGTTAATTTTTGTGTGCCCAGGCGCAAATGCGTCAGAATCGATCAATCTTGAGCTAGCAATTGGCAGGGAGGCAAGGCAGGGCACGGCAAGGCGCGTGGGTAGGAGATGGCTTCGTCAACAGGCGAAGAGATAGGGGTAGGGGAGGGATTCCGGAGCTTGGTCCTGACCGTGGTTCATTCCCTGTGATCGAAACTGGCCTGGCCTTGATGGACCACTTTGGCTGGGCCTAGGTCGTGCAATTGTGACGGTGACGTGAATGAAGAGGCAGGAATGTTGATGTACGTGATACGTCATAGGTCGATGTGGCACGGCAGAGCTAAAGGCAGGTACCTCCTCTAGTACGGAGTACCTTCCGCAACGCACCAAAAAATTTCAGACGAAGCAGCAGCAGCAGCGGGTGTGACAGAAGCTGAACCTGCCCTGTTAGTTCGGCTTTCCTGCTGCCCCTGCCTCCTGTGGCTAGCTTTAGGCTCTTCCAGCGGGTGCAGCGCCGCTAAGTGGGATTTCTAGCGGACTTTCTTGGCATTTTAGTGGATCGGGGAAGATTCACACCAGCGTTTTAGTGATCTATCATCCCGCATCCCGCATCGGGGCCACAGTACTACCCCATTGTAGCGTGGTGTAGCCATCTTCAAAAACCAGTGCCCTGTTTGAAACTTGCAGATCTTGGTCCAATTTCACCGTACTGTGGCTTTCTTTAGGAAAGGCGCAAACGATTGGAACGTGGTCTAGACTACCGTCGGCTCGTATCATCATGTCTACAATCTCGTTTGACGACGCTTGGGCATTGAAGCGGTTAATTTCTGCTTCTCAGACAACCGTTTCCCAGCCTCCCTCGTGATAAGTTCCTGTTTGCTCTAAAGATATCTGACCGTGTCAAAGTTTGTCTCTAAGGACGAGGGAGTCTAGAAATTGCAACGGCTGCGCTTCTACGAAACTTACAATGCCCCTTGAGCCACTTCAATAGGGAGGTGGCTTGCAGAGCTGCCAACTGGCCATCTCGATCGGAGCCGGCTCGGTGGCTAGCTCCATCAAACCCTCATCAAGGAGCCTTGCTTCTGCTTGGCTACCACTAATGCATTTGTGTCCAATTTCGCCAGCTAATGGACCGACCACCAAATACATATACTAGTAATGCGACTTGATGACAAGATGATGTGCACCAGGATGTGTATGGGATGCAGCGGGAGGTACCTACTATGGGTGTCTGAGGGTCTTGTTCAGGATTGTATACGGCGGTCTGTGGAAATACTCCAGCTGTTCTTGCCAGAGATAGCCGCTCTGATGGGGCCAACACGTCTGTCTGAGAAAAATAATGGAGTGGTGCAGAGACACATGGTGATTTTTAGTGTTTCAGCGGCATCGTAGCTTCCTGTAAGTTCCATCTTCTGCGTTGTGTTTCGAGCCATGTCGTCATATCAACCACCCACTATTGTTCTGAGCATGCGACCTCTATCGCGAGTCGATGGCAAATACGACGGAAGAAGGAGATTCCTACTCAATCTATTTTTTCTTTCCTTCTTGGTCGACCTTTTGTTCTTATTTTTATTATTTCTGAAAAGGAAGGCAAAGTTTTTACCAGGAAGGAAGGGAAAGTGGGGCCAACAGAATAACTGGCAGGAACGAGGGAGGGAGGAAAGACATGGTCCTCTTCAGGTCGGTATCTCTTCATTCAGCCGCTAGAAAGCATTCATTCTTAGGATTCCTACCTTTTCACGCAGCTGCCAGTGCCGACTTTACAATAGCTGTATAAGCTGTACACTTTCGGTCGTTTTCTTCTCGACCACATGTCCCGGCCTGCCCTTGATCCATCCATGACCCATGGATCGCCACGGCATTCGGAAGAAAGCTGCAAAGACCGTCAAGGGCCTGCAACCACCCCCATCCAATTCCACTCGCGGCTTGCCAGTCTGAACATGGCATTGGCAGCGGCTGGACGGCCACTTAGGGGGCCCTAGAACGAACGATCACCCTCCCTTTTGGGCAGTCTATTGCTGTCAACGGCACCCAATTCGTCACCAAGTGGATGCCACTACGCGATGGACACGTAATCGCCTAGCCAGCCATGGTCCAAATTGCCATGCTCGCAATGCTTCTCGGCTTCTCATCCATTACATTTCACATTTGATTTTCATTTGCTCTGCTTTCTTCTTCTTCTTCTCTTAGCATGCCAAATCGCGATCGTGCACATACCCACTACCACTCAAAAGCTTCGCTGTGCGATCCATGACGTCAAAGACCAGGTGCTAGCGCGACGCACCTCACAGACATCCCAGCTCCAGGCTCCCTCTGACGCCATGTCCTTGTGTCACAACAAGCCACTGCATCACCAGCCAACAAACGTTTCTTCTGATTGTGCCACTAAATTTCCAATCAACGGAGACTCAACGTCCAAAACGGTCTGCTTTCCAGCCAACAAGCCACGGTTCCAACAAAGCTCTATGCCGATTGCCCGGCCCGGACTCTTGCCATCCCACTCCATCCCTCTCGCTACCGTCTCCTCAGTGATTGTTCCCTTTTGGAGCGGCTGAAAGATGCAACATGGTGCCCAATGAAACATCCCAGATATCTTAGAGACAAGTGCAGTAGACAGCTCTTCCGGCGGAGGAATTTCTCCTTTCGGCTTTTCACCAGCATCAAGCCCCAATTGTCCCTTAACCTCTAAAGTCATTCGCGGCCTATTTGCAACAACTTTACAGCGAAAGAGCCAATGGATAAGTCACTTGTCAAATACCCTCACGCTTTTGCGCACTAACTGGGGTACCCATTCCAGTGATCGTCACTATGTGAACTCAGTATGAACAAACTAGAAACATAGCTCATCTTGAGCTGTAGTCAATTTTCCGCAATCAAGTAACATTTCATGTATACATCCAATCTATGAACAGCAATGCAACCTACAAGAAATCCTGCGATCGTCGACCCTCAGCTACAGCAAGTTTGTCAGTCGTCTCTTCATTCTTTTAAAAGGTCCCGTTTTGCTTTTGGATGAATGTGGATCGGAGGGGTCGGCAAAACACGACGGACCATCGCTTTCAGGACAAGAATGGCCATAACCGAGAGAGTGTCTGGGATACATGAGGGGACGTCCTAAGCGGAATGGCTCACAGCATGAGCCCATGGGCTTGAACAAATCATCGGTGGCGCATCGCTGGTACATTTCGTCGAGTTTGTTGATCGCTTCTTGCCAAGCCGTAGGCATGACTACTGCATCCTCCCATCCCATGATGGCGACAATGTCACCATTCTCGTTGACAAGAATATTGCCGGCATGGAGGTTCGTATGGTTTAGGGTGACGGGCCGATCAACGACTTTTCCACCCCAAGGAATCTCGCGCCGCGTAGCAACGATGTAGTCTATGTGGTTCTTGTCTTCCGCCTCAAGTCTTGCGTCGAGCTTTCGATTCAAGTAGTACTGCTCATCGGACTCTAATTCGCAATAGGCGGCCTTGAAGTATTCCTTGAGGTAGTCGTGGAAAGAATAAAACGGTCCAGCGTCAGCCTCGTACTTGAACAGATGCTCACGGATGTAGAATGGCTTACAGACCAACTCGCCCCTGTTGAAGCGCGAATCAACCCAATTCACTTTTAAACTGCCGACAACGGACCCCAGCCAAGGGTAATGCATGAAGTCGTCCGTGATACGTACAAAGAGGTTTAGAACATCGTTGCCGATTTTCATCAGTTTTTCTGCAGTCAACCGAGGGTTCTTTCGCGCTACAGGCTTGAGACCCTGAAGGCCCGTTTCGCACGTGCAAACATTCTCATCAATACAGTTCTGCAGTATGAAACCTTGCACAACTTCCATGATGAGCCACTCGAGATGCAGTTCGTTCTGTCCCCAAGGGTCGAACATGAGTACTTTGGGAACCCAGTCAGTCAGCTTCGATACCCAAGACATGGTCGAGATCTCATGCTGGAGCTGGGTGACTGGGCAAACAGGCAGACTAAAGCGGAGAATGACTTTCTCGGGTAGTTCCGAGCGCTCTCCACAGGCATAGCCCGGCCAAAAGCGCACGAGGAAGTACATCTTTGTGAATCCCTTCCCCAGGGGCGTGATGCTCTTCACGGGTGGGAACTGGTAAACGCCGTTCTTGGTGTACCATTCCAACATCTTCCGGATGGCGTGGGGGTCGAGGATGAAGTCGGGGTTCCAGCGAGCAAAGTACTCGCCCGACTTATCCTTTTGGAACATGACGTACTTCTTGGTTACTCGCTTCATTTCCTTGCGCGAGTGTTGCTTGTTGAGCTCCGGTGCGCGTTTCTCGTCGGGCAGGTCTGGGCGGAAAGGAAGTTGACAGGGGAGGTTGTGTGTTGCTCTGCGAGCGGCACGGGCCTCTGGGGTTCTTGTCATGCCGTGATAGAAACCCGAATATTCTCCAGTCTCCATTGCGTTTTTCTGTTGTAGTAGTAGTAGGTTGATGAGGTGTGGTTTTGTCTGGTAATTCCGCAGAAGGACTTTCTTGCGGAGGTGCTGGGTAGTCTTTGCTTGGATGTTGATGTTATGGGCATGCCTGGATGCTGATGATTCTAGTGTCTTCATTTATACTCGAATCCGCGGGTCTACATAAAGCGCATTGTTCTGAACCATCTTTGCTACTTTGTAGAAAGCTCGGTGCCTGTGCAATATCAATTGGATTGTTCCACTTCAGAGGGCGTTGTTATGAGGTTTTCTTTGAGATGATTCTGGAAGGAACAATAGAATTTCTTAAGCTACTAAAGACAAAGGCTAAGATACAGGTAACTAACAGGACATGAGTCTTGTAAATTCCAATAAATCATGAGATGATTGTTTTGATGCCAACATGTGCAAAGCGTATCTCGAAGATCTTCAGCTTTTCTGTCTTCGAGATTTTGGAACTGATTCATTGGTGTATTATTCGGGCTGTACTTCCAATGACATTGTCTCAGTTCAGTCATTAGGTTGTAAAATAAAATGGACAAGGTGCATCTGAGGAATTGTGATATCGGTCACTGGGCAAAGCCAGTTAATTCAAGCTAATACATCTTCTATTAGCACATATATGTCAAGGGTTGACACACTTCTGCGGAGAGAAACCGACTTATTGGGGATAGTACAACTGGAGATTGCTCTAATCAAGCGGAGACTGGTGTACAAAACACTTTCAGAGAGTTTGACAATACAAGTCTGGACACCACATTGTTGTCCCATTTTGGATAGAGCCATATAAAATCAATTTATGAAATCCGATTTAGATCTCCATCTCAATGACAGTGCTTACGGCGCATCGCAATCTTTGCCTATCAACCCAGATTTAACACGCACCATAACTTTCGCGATGCTCGCCTCCATCCACAGCTGTCCCATCATTCGCATCACCCCTTCCTCCTGATTCTTGAGCCTCGCAGTCATCCTTCTTTCGTGCCACAACCCTCTTCACCTCTTGCAGAAGCGTTCCTCGGGAAAATCCTCGCCCCGATCGATGCTGCACCGTAATAAAAATCTGCACGAGGAAGACGACGACGTTCAACCTTAGAGGAATGTCCGCCAGAAGTACATTTCCCCAGTTGCCACGCCACAGGGCTACCAACAAATGGCCAAAAGACCCAGAAAAGACGAAAGCCATCAGAAACAGCGCGAGACCTTGTCTGTAGGCGAGCACACAGTTACTCGCGATGTAGAGCAGTATGACCACCACAAGGTACCCCGTTGTCGGCTCCCAAAACGGCCCCATGGCCCATTTGAGGAACCAGTCGATGAAGATTCTATCTTCTTCCGGGATACCTATGAATGCATCTTGTTAGCACCGAACAGAGTTTCTGGATTGAGACGACGGGAAATGATGTTTACCTTCCGAGTAGTTGTACATTGAATATGCCGATAGAAAACCGATGAGAATCAACAGCCAATTCTTTCCCGATGCAGCAGCAGTGGGGTGTCTCCAGTATGTGTCGGGTTCACCGTCGGTAGCTTGTGCATATTGCAGTTCTGGGTCTTTGTGTCCATCGTCATCTTCTAGTTGAATCAAATAATCTCCGGCCTTGCTCTGATCCTTCGTCGAATCCACATCATCGGCGCCCTCGCCAGTTACGGTCTCGCCATCAACGTCGTCGCTACATTACTTCTACTCAGCAAGATCCCGGTAACAGAATAATGTCTCTTACATTTCATTATACTGGCCAGCTACTGGAAATATAGCCGGATTCCGGTCCTGCAAAGTCCAGTCGGAAAAGCGTGAATGATCGGACATCACCTCAGGACACCGATTTCGCGGGTTCGTTGATAAGGCGGCAGAAAGAGGGCACTAGCGTACAGTCGCTTCGTCGGTTTTCGACGGTGAAGATCTCACGATGATGCAGGACAACGACAGCAGCGCCTGGGGCAGTGGGCCTCAGCTGGGTCTTATCTCGCGCCATCTCCCCGGTTGGCGTACCCGCGCGTGACCAGTGAGAGGCACACCATACGAGTGCCAAGCGTACGTTCTTCAGCTCACGCCCGAAGGTGGTGTGTTGGGCTGTCTTGACCGTTGTGCCTCGATTTGATTGGCAGGTTCTTTTTCTACATGCCGACTGCAGGACTAGGCTGATCAAGGTGTAAAACTAGCCATCGATAGGACAATCTTATTTGACAAAGCGAAGTCTTAATTCTCGTGGGCTTTGAACAAAATAATGTCCCCCCTGTCTGTAAGAAAGGCCCTGAAAATTCGCTGGTTATCCGCGCCAAGAAAGCGACAGCTGCACACCACCATTCGCTTATCTCCAGTTACTGGGTCACGCGAGGTGTGACGCCAGCTGTAAATCGCCCAAAAGGAACAGTTGCTGTTATTTTCAAGGGTTGATGCTTTAACTGTATGCGCCTCTTGTGATAATAGATTAGAACTCTGAAAAGCTGTTGAAGTTGCCCGAATAGTTCGTTTTGGAATCACTCGATGAAGGAAGACATCATACGGATGATAAAAAGCAAGAGCAGTAGAGCAGTAAGGTACCTAGGCTTATGTATGACATAGATATCTAAAAAAAAAAAAAAAAACGACTTTGTACAGCACCCCATTAACTACCTTTACGTTTCCGCTGCTGATATCCCATGTAAATCATCTCAAATGTTCGCTATGTAACTTGGCACTGGGCCTGGTATCCATGATTTGTCCGTCATTCGTAAAAATACAAAGGAAAAAAAAACACAAGTTCGAATACATCCAGATGCAAACCTGTCAACGCAAAAGACCGGTGAAAGCCGCATACCTTGAGTCAAGGATTGGCAATCAAAGGCAGGAATTTGTTTCCTGTGATGTAAATCCCCCGTGGCTGTTCTCGAAGTGAAACAAAATCCTCAATGTAAAAGTACCCACGACAAAACACATACAAAGCGCAAACGATGGTCGTCGGCGCGACCACTTTCAAAGGTACAGTCATGTCCGGATCGTTGTCTGCGGATATGTTTCTCCACGAACGAATTCTAGCCAAGCAACCGTCCACAAAACCGCGAGGCTTGTTCTTAGGCTGACTGTCACTACTATCATCGGAGCGTAGTTGCTGGGCTTCGGGGTCGACCATTTCGATTGCCGCGACGGTAGTTCCGTACTGCCGGGTCCGCTTGAAGCTCCTCCAAGCCTCAACACTGTAATACCCGCCTCCGTACAACGAGAAGGCCATGTGGTAGACGCTGAATATTCTCCACGTCAGCTGCTCGGTGGCAGTTGGGAAGTAGAAGTTCCATCCAAACATGAAGGAGGCGCTGAAGCCAGTGATGAGGAAGAGGCTTAACGGCAACGTGGTGGAACCAATGGGAAACCAAATGTCGGATGGGAAACGGTCCCACAAGTGCTGCTTAATGGGTCGCCCGTACAAGTTGACGCCCACTATTTCAGAAATTCTTTTGTAGTACGCCCAGTGAGTGTCGATCCGAAACTCCCGGCGACTGATAAAATCCAAAGGAGTGCGGTACCACTTCTCGGCGAGCCCAACGTGTGTCTGTTCTCGGTCTCAGCCTTCAAAACGCAAGACGACAATGAGATGTGAAAGCCAGCAGGCTTCCGACTTACCCTTGTTGCAGCGAATTTTCTAATATCTTCGATTTTGGTCTGGCGTTCATTGCAAAACTTTGTTTCAATGAACCGAGGATATGATATGGAAGGCTTCAAATACCAACAAATCGAGGTTGCAAACATCGCAAAGGTGAACGACAGGGCGGTCAGTTCTAGGGGGGTAATAGGCAAGCCGTTTTTGATACGGTCCATCTCCGTAATGAAAAAGAATAATGCTTGCCACAATGTGATGAATCTAGACCGAACGGGCCTGTCAGCATAGTGCGCTGAAGAGATCACGTCACTGTGGGAGCCCTGCGTACCTGGATAGAGTATCTACGCTGTTGCGTTCTTTAATATCCATTGAGTCCATGTCAGGAAACTCGACAAATCCATGTTTGACGAGGTAGAACAATTGTTCCGCATTGATTGGGAAACCTTCTGGGTAGTCTGGGCTTTTGAGGTGAATACCTCCCATGTCAACAAACAAGGCATGCGTGTACGTCCATTTCAGACCTCCGGACAATCGTGGCTCGGCTTTGAATTGCTGTTCCAGATAATGTTAGACAAGAATTCGGGTCTTCGTTACGAGCAGAAATATTTTCTTCGACTTACTTTTACGCTTCTGCCAGCGTTGGCAAGTTGTCCAACGGCAATGCCAAATAGAAAATCAGGACCGAGGAGCCCAATCATAGCAAGATTAAACTTGTCAATGAAGCCATGATACCATTTGTCTTTGGGCGCTAGAGCATTAGGATGCGTGGAAACCCAAATGCAAAGCACTATGGTAATGATGCTGGACCACAGAATGTCGATGGTTCCTCGGTCCCTGCCATCGTCGACCCAACCGTAAACAGGAGCCCAAATGTCGGTTCCATTCTTAGAGGCTGAGTTATTTGAGGCGCTTATGCTCGGACCCGCCATTACGTGCTGCGTACGTGCTACGTAATCCAATAAGCATCCACAGCATGTATTATAGTATTCGCATGTAATTTCGTTACAATTGCGGCGATTGTCGGGATATTGTGGCTGTGGCGGTGTAATAACGTGGTGCGTATGTTGAAACGCAAGCTCAAAGAGCAACGAAGCTCACGTTCTCACACCATCAATTTCAATATGAAGGGCAAACCAACAGTTAAGTAAGTAATAGGGGGGAAGGGGAGGAATAACACGCCTGCAGTTGTCGTTCTATCTTGAGCATCTCTTCACACCACAACGACACCAACAGGAGTTTCCCCCCCTGTAATTGTGTAGACGTGCATTTCGCATTTGTAGAAGAGGGATGCATAGCCGACGCTTGAAAGTTTGCTTTACGAGGACTAATTGAACAGCAACCCTGGACAAACCCGTCTCATACATGGGCATCTATGTTGTCGAGACATCATGGGCGATGGAACTCACATGCGCGGGTATGCAGCCTGGCGTCCCGCTGACCAGGGTTGTTGAGGGGCTATCCGTCCAACAACGAATTTGCATGTCACTGGGGCATTGTACATCGCTAAAGCCAATGAGGTTGCCGGATAGCACGGAGGGGTTGCTTTTCGCGTCCTCGGCGCTGGCTGGGGTGTCGTCCAACGAGCGAATCGCATACCGGGTGGCGCGGCCGCATGTCGCGGATAGCCGCCCGCCCCAGCCCCTCCGACCTGTGCCGCAAACCTGGCCACACCTCTCCCATCAATTGTGGTGCGCGTCGCTTCGCTTGCCATGAGGCTGCGTTTTGGATTTCTCCCTTTTTCATCCTGCAGTTTCTATTTGGGGGTTCCCATTTCTTCTTATACCATTTCATTTCGATAGCAGTACGGAGCCGAAAGAAACAGAGAGAGAGAGAGAGGCCCGCCCCCGCCCTTGACCAGTTTATGTCGTATTGATCGGATTTCATCATGGCCTCCTCCACAGGAACCGCTGAGACGGAGCCTCTCATCAACTCAAACCCGGGGCTGCAATCTTACTATGCATCGCTTGAGTCCCGTATCGGTTACCGCTTGGTTCTTGGGGGCACAAGGCACTTCGGCTATTGGGACCACGACACCTACTTCCCTTTCCCCCTCAGCCGTGGCCTGCGGCGTATGGAGGACAAGATGGCCGAGGTCTTGAACCTGCCCAAAGGCTCGACAGTCTTGGATGCCGGCTGTGGTTATGGACATGTCGCGTTGCATCTCGCCCGCGAGCACGGCCTGAAGATTGAGGCCTTTGACGTGGTCCAACGGCACGTCGACAGAGCTCGCAAGACCATCAAGCGTTCAGGTCTGCCGCAGGGTACCGTGACCGTTAATAGAAGAGATTACCATCATCTCGAAGCACTGGAGGATGAGTCCTTCGACGGTATTTACACGATGGAGACCCTGGTCCACGCTACGGACCCAGAAGCCGTCCTTGCAGGATTCTACCGACTTTTGCGTCCCGGTGGCCATATCTCCCACTTTGAGTATGACCATCAATTTTTGGAAGGGTCGCCCACAGATATGGTCGACAACATGCGCAAGATTAACGAATTTGCCGCCATGCCTACGAACGACCGGTCAAATCCTGGCGTCTTCAAGCAGATGCTAGAGGATGCAGGCTTCGTAGACGTTCAGGTCCGAGATTATTCCGAGAACATCCGTCCGCTGTGCCGCATCTTCTTCTTGCTTGGCATCATCCCTTACATTTTCATCAAGGCTTTCGGATTGGAAAGGCACTTTATCAACACTGTCGCTGGCGTTGAAACGTATCGCGGCAAGGGTCGTTGGCGGTATGTTGCCATTTCGGCCACCAAGCCAGGTGGTCCTCTCGAGGCTCCCAAGACTCGGTAAATCGCCAGCATCAATGGCGATAATGGGAATTAAGCGTTGAATCGGGACATTTACTCGGAATTGCTTACCGCCTGTTTTGATGGGGCAAGTAGTTTCAAATCGGCAAATGGGGCAATCGGCTTGAAAATTGAGGGCTTGAAAGTTCTTTGCATTGAGCAAATAGACCTAGGAAATGGGGCGGTAGGAATGAATTAGGCTGTTCACTGATGATTGATTGATTGGATAGAATCGCGCTACACGAGTAGATCAAATGACTTCAGATATGATCGATATATGAATGCAAAGCGTTGGTTACCTAAGAAAGCCAAGCCCTTATGACACAGTCAGCCTGGATCATTCTGGGGATATTTCGCGACTGTGACGGCTCTCCCAAAGTTTAAGGGATACACATAGTTCCCAAACAAGTGCCGCTAATAGCCGGCTTAGTTACGGCACTACCTTGGAGGAATGAATTGGACTGATCTGTCAGGCAAGTATCATCGGCCTGTAGGCCAGGTGGACATTCCAAGGCAATGCGAGCAGGGACATGAATACCAAGACGGAGAAAAGGGACCTATAAGATTATAAGATCTCCATTAGAAAAAGGCTTTCGTGAGTGGAAGACAATTCACGAGCCGATGGCAGTGCAACTAAGCTTAACACCATTCTGTCAATGTAAGTAGACTAGGGGTATTGCTGCTAGTATCCTGCCAGGGTCCAGTTCGCTACAGCTACATAGTTCTCAATTCACACCCACTCTTTTCCCCTCATATCAGAGGTACATAACCGCAGACTATTAATCATATGTTCCATCGGTTGCTTTCTTGGAACTCTGATAATGCAGGAGCTTGTTCCATTGCTAAAATTCTGCAAATTTTGCAAGTATCCTTCATTTAATTGTTCGGCTGGCTAGAAATTGTCTTGGCTGGCCTCGTAATGGCTCATTGTCCTCACGAGGATGTACCTGTAGCCAACTGCATCTCGATGGGATACCCGGAAACGAAGACGGTGCCGCTGATCCATGGATCCGCATTCGCTGATCACCTGATGCTTCTTGAATGAACAGCAGACTCGAAATGTCATGTTTATTGATGCAGGAAATGAAATATGACAATGTGTAGAGGTGTACATGTTTACCATCCCATTCCCCCTCCGGTTAAAATTTCTCTTTCCGTGTATGTGCAGGCAAACTGATTTCGGCTACGACATAGCCGAGGATGTAATTGAATGGAAAGAAGAGTAGAACGTGGACATCGATCGCGCGGCATTATAGCGGGCTTGATTTAAAAGAGTGACTGATTTTATTCAAGTTCAAAGAGCGAATAGGTACCTGTGCCAGTCTGCAGACTAAACGTTTCCTGACCATCAACGAACAAAGAAATCCCAACGAGCGGAAATGAACATGTTTGACCGCTTAGCACTCAACCTTGGCAGAGTTTCTACCCGAAAGGGTCCAGCAGCCGTTGGTGTTCAGCGTTCTCTTGCTTCCGTCGCAGTCACCGGAGGTATAAGTCACCACTTTCAAAAGTGTATCAGATTAGCAGAAGTCTAAGAAGCAGGAAATATGATAGTAAAAATTTGTGTAGAACGTACAGTTACATGAGCCACTGCGCGAAAGGATGTTGACCGAGTTGCTGGTCGAGCTAAGGCCGATGCACTGGCCGCGCTTGTAAGTCCTCTGAGGGCCTCCACTGGTGCCACAGTTTCCCGAGGGATGCCACTGCAATTTAACATCTGCCAGGGCGGTGGGCACCAGAAGCACGCAAGCTGCGAGAGTAGCGGAAGCGATGTTGTTGAAGAGCATTTTGAAGAGTTGAAAAGATGGAATGGGAGAAGTCTGTGTTATTTATCAGAATGTTGTTCTTGTTTATTGAAACCAATGGTGTCAAATGAGGAGTGTTGTGGATGAGATGGGAAAGCTAAATTGTCAGTCAGAGTCCGGATATTCGAGAGCTTTTATAGTCAATTGTGTTCTCCAAGATACTCTACTATTGTTACTGATCTTGTCATTATTTTACTCAACGTGTTTTGAAATTTGTATCTATGTAAAGCTCAGGTATTTGATTCTGTCATGATGATACATCGCAGTTACCAATGTCACATCCAAAGCTGGGCTTGCATGTTTATGACTTGGTTGTCCACACCGCCTGTATTCATTTGTAAGTCATGATCAACAGGTCTCATCCTTCAACTAGTAGGAGTCGTTTAGGCTAAAGCAGCAATCCAGTCGCTTGATAAGTTCTTTTATGTTTCACAAGGTCTCCCCAGAACTTCCTTGTCGATTAACCATTGAATGAATATTAAGTATGTGAGAAACAAATATCCCAGGTTCTCTAGTAGAGGAAACTGTTGCGAAAATGGAAAAGGGCCCAAAATGTGCCTTTCCATTGACCTGGAAGCGGTTCGGAAATTGCATGAGTTGCTTGGATGTATCCCTTACTTTGCCCCAGAGAATGGGGACATATTTGTCGACAAGTTATTTAGGCTTCATTCAAGATCAGAAACTGAATGCTAGTCAGCAAAGGGAGTGTTGATGATCAGAAGGCCAAAGTTTCTACTGCCGCCTTACGCAACGCCTTTGTTAGCCTGGCTGATGCCTACACCAACGTCGTGATACGTAGGACTTTTACGACAACTTGGCGGCTTACGCGGCGCCCGAGTTTGCTGAGGAACCTAGGTCCCTTGCAGAAGCGACGGTGAAGATCAACGGCATCCACTTCCCGGCTCGTCAATGAGTACTCCTCCCCACAAGAAGATCGGAGTCCTTCGTCTGGGGTAAGCGGCTGATCGGCGCGGTTGTGGCGTGCGGGTTCAGCCCTGTCGGCTGCATTTTCTCAACTTAAGACATAAGTATACACACCATGACGTAAAATTTCAGACATACTATAGGTTTCACAGGGGGTGAAACGGAATTCCGTTCGTCAATAACAAATAACAGTAAATTGGTTCTAATCGATGGTTCATTATTGTTGAAAGTGGTGTTGTTGACTAGAAGGTGGGGATATTCCCCCTTGGCCTGTCACGTGGGTCTGGGAGGCTTGGGCCTCTCAGCCTGGCGGGCGTGTGGCTGGAAGTGCCACACGACTCCGTATTCCAACTATCGCAACACATACTGACTCTGTTCAGATGAGATTGTTCTACATCCCGTGTTGCCAGTGAGAATCAGCTTATTCTTGTAGAAGCGTGTCTGAATTGTGCAAGAAAAAGCATAGCATCAATCAAAGATTACAATACAAGCGATGTACTTTGTACAGTTGAATTGCCTAACGTCGCACACCCACTTCTCGCACACCCCCACATTTCGCACACCCATAAATCGCTCATGTAGAATTTTACCCTCTTCAACATTCTTTAATATCTTCACCACTTTTACAGCGATTATTATAATTCTTTGAATAGTTACTCTTATACGCTTAATGGGCCAGTATACGGAAACAGAAGTCAATCAAGCTCTCAATGCAGTTGCAAGTGGGCAGAGTGTCCGAAAGGCAGCTCATGATGCTGGAATTCCACCATCAACCCTCCAGTCTCGATTAAAGGGTTCACAGGCAAGAAATGTAGCTTTCTCTAGCTTCCAGAAGCTATCTCCAGCACAGGAAAGTCACTTAGCTGAATGGGTGCGTATCCAGGCGGCGTTAGGGCTGCCGCCAACACATCAACAACTCAAGGAATTTGCCCAGCGAATCCTAGACATCAGAGGCACTACCCAGCCACTTGGGAGAAACTGGATTCAGTTCTTTATTAAGAGAAATCCATCAATCAAGGTTCATAGAGCTAGAGCCATCGATTCTAAGCGTGTCAATGGGGCCTCAACTAATGTAATCAGGCAATGGTTTCAACAACTCGCCCTTCCAGAGATCAAGGCGATCAAACCACATCATCGCTATAACATGGATGAAACTGGTATCCTAGAAGGCAGAGGATCAAATGGCTTAGTACTGGGATCATCAGAAAGCTCATCAATGCGAAAAAAACAGCCTGGGTCTCGGGCTTGGACAACTATGCTTGAGTGTGTCTCTGCAACTGGTCAGGCGCTTCCTCCACTTGTTATTTATCGAGGGAAATCGGTTCAACAACAATGGTTTCCTCTTGATATCCATAAACGTGATATTTACAGTGGTTGGAAGTTCACAGCAACTGAGAATGGCTGGACTTCAGACTCTACAGCTGTGGAATGGCTTGAGAACATCTTTATCCCTCTGACTAAGCCTGATCATCCCTCTGAGCAGAGACTATTGATCCTAGACGGTCATGGCAGTCATGAAACAACAGAATTTATGTATCTCTGTTATAAACACAAGATATATCTCCTTTTCCTACCGCCACATACATCCCACGTTCTCCAACCTCTAGACCAAGCAGTCTTTGGGCCTCTCAAGGCGACCTATCGAAAAGAGCTTGGATACCTCATTCAACACAACGATTCTATAGTTGTAGGCAAACGGAACTTTCTTACCTGCTATGGAAAAGCACGCCAGATGGCATTTTCAAGCAAGAATATCAGAAGCGGCTGGAAAGCAACAGGACTATGGCCCATTTCGATAGCTCGACCGCTCATGAGCCCTCTACTGCTTGAGAATGCTTCCAAGCCCTCAAAGCCAGGCTATTCTACGCCTATGAGGGCCTCTGATGGTGGAAAAGACGAAAACTGGGCATCTGCTACATCCATAGTAGCCTGGTCAACGCCCAAGAAGACAGTTGATCTATATGATCAACTTAGCTTATTCAGCAAGTTGGATAAAGATCAGCAAACGCAGCGACTGTTGTTTCGGAAGGTTCAAAAGGGATTTGATGAAAAGGACTATCAATTGGCTACAGCAGAGAAGAAGATTGCAATGTTGGAAGCAGAAGTTGAGGCTGGAATGGTACGGAAGCGGCGTAAGGTCCAAATGAGCCCAAATTCGAAGTTTGCCAACATTGAGGCAATTCACAAAGCCCAAATTGAGGCTGGCGAAATTGAGGATAGCTCAGATGAATCTAGCGAGCCTGAATTACCTATTAAAACTGGCGATAGTATCACAGTTGCAGGAGACGAATCAGACTTATAGTTATGAAGTTGATGAATACCTCATGATGACCCAATTTATGGGTGTGCGAAATGTGGGGGTGTGCGAGAAGTGGGTGTGCGACGTTAAGTAGTCAGTTGAAGTACAGTTGCCGCCAGTCATCCTTGGGCCAAGCGACAAAACAGCCAACAGGACCAGGGGTATACACTACGAGCGTCCGCTTTCAACGTTACCTCCAAGTCACCACTTTGGTGGGCTGATTTAGTCAGATGGTATCCGTATCCACTCAGGGTTACTGGAGCACTGCCTCAACCTAGGCAACCGCCGGGAGGCAGCCATAGATGTTGTGATCCACGTAACATGAAACTAGGTCCTAACCTTACATTGCTCTACTTACTCCGGCCAAACACTAAATTATTGGCTACTTTCCGTATATAGTCGAAATCAATCATTGCCGACCGGCTTAAGGTTTTGTCATTATGGCTGATGTTGATTTTGGAGTCTTGAATGAGCCTAACCTTCCCCAAGGCCAAGCCGACGTACTCCGCATCTTGGAAGGGACTTTGAACTCTAGCAATGATCCCGCTACGGCAGCGACCAAGCTGGCGGATGACTTGCGGCAATTTTTCATCTCGAGTGGCTCGGAAGATGCTGCTTCTGGGCTGCTCTGGGACTTGTGGATGATGCTCTTAGATGCAGTGAGGATTGTGCCCATCGACCATCCATGGCACGAGACCCTCATTGCCGCCGTCAAAGAATTGCGGCTTAATGGTGGGTCAGTGGCCGGACTCGAAGACGTGAGTAGAACATCACTCTCTGTTCTTTACTACTTGTTGTAATCAGTGAACAGGACTAACCGCAGCATTCATCTAGAATTCCACTTTGCAGTGGGGGGATTTGCCTCATTTAAGCATGTATCTATTCGATAAATGGGCTGGTAAGTGGGATCATTCAATTCATTGTCTAGTAACACAATGCAATAGCGGGACGTTACTCTAACAAGCCTTAAAGACCCCACGGACTTCGATGAATACACTCCTGAAGACATCGAAACCTGGAAACGCTTCAACTCATTTGCTTCTCGGCTTCTAAGCGATGATTTTACGCAGTGGATTGTGCTGCCCTATTGGGAGATACGTGCAACCCTAGAGACAGCGCCGCAGGAGGTGAGTGTTTTTGAATGCAAACTCTGGGTCGCGACCGAGTGGCTGGCGCGCTGCGGCCAACTCTTGTATAAGGATATGGCCTCTACAGATGCCTTGACCGAGCGTGAACAGGCTTCCATCGCTCCTGGTCCGCTTTGCAAGGACATTCCTCCACGGAGTCTCGAGCGATGGAATTTTTGGCGATCAAGGCTCACAGAACTCTCGAGAGCAGATCCCTCGGCAGAGGACAGAGTGGAACAACCTCCTCTCAGTGACGAATCACTATCCCGCATTACGCAGGCCATCGGTCTGATGGATGAGGCGCAAGGCAGTTCTCAAGGGCGAGATTTGGAAGGATCAGGGGACACAGCAGAGAGTGCATGTAGGGTAGAAGACCATGGGATCGAAGATACAAAGGATGAGAAGATAATGGAGACTGAGAAGTAATGAACTTATATCGAGGAAGCTTATGGTTGTTAGCTTGAAGCGCCTGCCCTAAGATAAATAAAACGCTACTTAGAAACTTTGATATTCTTTCTTTCAAACGTGATTTTTCTTTTTAGAAAAAAAATCAAACTTTGAGCATTGATACAGTCCTGATTGAGTGTTTTGAGCTAAAGTGGTGATTATCTTAACTATTCAGTTTCTAAATGACCTCCGAGTCAAAGAAGTCTACCATTATCAACTGTCTTCATTCCTACGCCTCCGATACTGGGCCGTGACTGACTACCATAACCTCTATTACCACGTTCACGCTCGTCTCCATTCTCTGTTGTTTGCTCTAGAACCCCATGACAAGAAATTAAACGCGTTGGAGTTGAGATATAGGACGAGGCAGCCGACTCAAAAGGAGGCAGTCGACTAAAAGCAAAAGTGCCTAGTTTGCTACCACGATTGAGTTCCAAATCTCTAGCTTGCCTACACTTCGTGAGAAACTTAAAAGCGGCGTAACTTTGAGCCCAACCAAGTACGGATCTAGCGATAGCGAAAGCGAGCTCCACCTTATCTGGGATTCCTTGTCCGATGCATAGATGTACCTGATGTCAAAAGCCCTCCCTTCGACGTGAGAAGTGGGAGGAAGAAGTTCCGGGACCCGGTTAAGATGTGAGCTGCGGGACGGCTGATTGTCACTAGGAGTCTCCACAAGTAAGCATGTTAGAAACATCCGTTGCCTGTTCAATTCAACCGTTAAAGAAATCTAGCAAGGTTAGCATATCGCTAGTCAGCATCTCCATATCATGTTGCTGTTACAACAACAGCCCCCTTCGAGGTACAACTTCTATTCCCCGCTTAGGCACACGTCTAGGCCTAGGTCGACTCGACCGTGGAGCCGCTGTGGTATTGTTAAACTATGGAAGACCGATATTGGCGTATTCGGGTGCTCCCGGCTAAAGTGCACCCTAGCTAGCGTGCACCGGCTTATCCACATGCTTAAAGGGTAAGCCAGGTAATGCAGAAACTCATCTTATTGAAGCTTCTCCGTGGAGGTTTGATTGACACCCTCAGCTGTCTTTAGCCTTACTCGCGGGAGAATGCCAAGCACCACCCACCGTATTTTCGTGGGGGCTTGTCCTCTGAGAAATTTCATCAGAGCGAGCTTCTCCGGTAAACTGGTGGATGACCCCTTGCTCATACCCTGTCTGGGTCATTGGACAGAGCTGAGTTGATGAGGGTGGGGAACAGATGTTTTCGTTCTCGGCATCAATCTTGGGGAGTTCAAATTTCAAGAGGAACAGCCCACTACTAGCTAGTCCTATTCAGACCCGAGCTGAAAAATAACCGGTTAACTTTAACGATGCCTTGTTCGTGTCCCAAGTCACGCCCAAGGCCCCGAAATTCACCGTGGGAGATAAAAGCAACTGCCAAGGCGCCTGTCATGCTCAGGATGAAGCTTAATAGCCCGCCAGAATAGGTTAAGGCTCTACCTGCTTTTTCAAACTCTCGCGTATTGCCAAACCAACCTCATAAGCACTTCAAAAACACCAAGTTACCGCGCCCGAATGCAAGCACATGACATAACATTCTTGATCAGATAGCCTTAAATATCTTTTTTAGGAGGTAATCCACCAACATGTTTCTATTTTTCTTTTCAATGTTCTCAATCACTTGTAATTTTACGACAAATAAATTCGGTCGATGACATGGGCAATCAAGCCTCTGAAAGATTTAGATTAAGTTATTTACTATTAAACATCAGAGGCTGGTACCCTCCCCCAAGCCTAGTAGGTCTCGTGATGATGGCAATATTTAACCTGCCAGCTACCCACAAGTGCTACGCTCAGACGAAGTTACCGGAGCCTTGGCAGCGAGAAAGAGGGCGGTGGACACCGGGCTTCTCGCAAGGGGTGATGGCTCCGCGAATCCACTTCACACCACCGTAGCTGCCCTCCTCGTAGGCATCGCTCATGAAGGTTCCGATCTGAGTTTGCCTACCGAGGCAACCACGCATGACACGGCCATATCTCCTGGTCTTGAAAGGGTTGTTAACCATGACACCAGTGTGCTTGGCGGTAATGGTTCCCTTAACCATGATGGCCTGAGCAGTAGCCCATGATCTGGAGCCAGAGATGCCAAAGTTGGCAGTCAGGTAGCCTGTGACGACAGTGGGGGTAATACCACCGTTGACAGTGATGGTGTCGGTGACCGTGTAGGTCGAGGTGAGACTAATGTCGAAGTTGTTGGAACCGGCGATCACGACAGGACTCATCTGGAGGTCCCAGTCGTAGAATCTGTCAGTCCTGGTAATAATGACAGCCGTAGTCGAGCTACAACTGGCTTGGCGAGCGTCTAGTTCCTTGATCTCCTCCTCAGAAGGGGCCTCGAAGTCCAAAAGCGAGTGGTCAATCTCGGGAACACTGGATAGAATGCCCTGGGACGCCAACATAGCGCTGTAGGTGTCCTGGTTTACCACCTCCACTAGAACGAAGATGTCAGTTCGCTGGAACTAAGAATGCCTAGCCTCTTTAAGCAGAGCAAAGGCCATTTTGTGGCTTGGTTTCTCTGCATTCGGAAACTGAAGTTTTGCTGGAAGCAAGTGGAAGAGAACTAATCTACTTACTGTGTTCAGCATCAACAAGGAGGACTTCGCCGGGGAGGAGACCGCGCTCCGGGTCAAACTCGGTGGCGTTGGCGGTTCTCGGAACAAAAACCGGGGACGCAGCCACAGCCGTAGCAAGGCAGAGGGTGACGAAGCGGAACGCCATCTTGACGAAGGAACTAGGATAAGAGAGAGAGAGAGAGGCTTTGAGGGGTTAGGGTGATGAAAGAGATGAGACCATGCTCAGCAAGAGGTTGTTCCCACTCGTTTTATACTCACAACATCATGTTGAGATGTTGAATCTTATCTAAGTTTGCTATGCACATAACGTCCCACACCCACTTCTGGGCACCCCCCACATTTGGGCACCCCATTTACACCAAAAACGCCGTTTTTCGAAATTCTATATTAAACTAACTACTATACTTACTAAGAAAAGAAAATATATATAAACTATGTTAAGTATAATTATAGCCATCTAATTTTTTATAAAGGTTTAAATATAATAATAGTTATAATATAGAAGTTTAAAACTAAAAGCTTTAAAATGTTAGTAGATACTAGTAACTTACTAGTATTCCTTAACATTAGAAAAATATATTTTCGCTTATATATACTTATTTAAAAAATCTAGGAAATTAATATTTATACTTATTAAAAGTATATAATTATATCTAAAAGAGATTTAAAAGTATTACTTTAGTAAATATAGTATAATTAAGGGTTAAAATTCTATAATAGAAACTTTTCTTAAGGGAAATTTTAAAATATTATTCTAAGCTTAAAGAATTTTTTACTAAGTATAAGAATATATAAATCTACTATATCTTACTTAAAAATTCTAATCATATTAGTTAAATATCTCTACCTATTTTATATATTAAGATATAGGCTAGGTAAATTAGTATTATAAATGTTAAACCTTGAATTTATAATACTTATTATCAATAATACTAGTATATAGCTACTTAAGTATTATAATTAAGTCTTAATCTATTTAACATATATTTATTCTCTTTAATAAGTAAAGTATTTAGTTTAATATAGAATTTCGAAAAACGGCGTTTTTGGTGTAAATTGTTACGACCCGTAAACAAGGATAACAGCTGAACGACCCACTTGGGCGTCGGGCGGCTAGAACAGGACATTTGTACTGCAGGATCACGGGAACAACAGGGACTCACTCGGGAACGGAAGAACTATGGTGCAAGTCACGTGACGATAAGATAAGAGATTAGATCCGTACGCCAAGAATACGGAGTCCGTCCTTGGCACATACGGGATCCGTATGAACGAGGAACGGACCCCGTCAGGATCAGGAACGGTAAAACAAACAAAGGGTACTGTTCGGACTTGTATATAGTATGACCTGAGCTCGACTCATAGTCAGACTTCCATAGCTCTTCAGCAATCAACTTTGTATTCATCCTCAGGATACTTTCAGCTTACCTTCACTGCGAATACTTGTTGAGCCTAAGATTGATCACCTTAGCCTCTGACTACCGATCTACGACACAGCCTACGACCTACGAACCAGACTTACGACACGACAATACTGTTTACTAGCGTCAATCCCCAACTTCTGTTAGCAGACCCTACTGTCGGATAGCTGACCGTAACATAAATGGGGTGCCCAAATGTGGGGGGTGCCCAGAAGTGGGTGTGGGACGTTAGGTCATTAGCATCTGTTAACGCTCCACCCTGCTCAGGTAACCGGTCTTGTTGCGTTAGCGCAGGGCGGCCTGCTGACATACAGCTTAGCTATGGCTAGATGTCCTAACGTCATAAACGCCGTAAACATCTTACGTATAAGCTATCTGGAGTCTTCACCAATTACCAGCATGGTTTTCCTGGATTAACCTGCGAAGGTAAACTAAGAGACTGGCATGCTGTTGGAGGGCGACTCTCCAGAGGCAGCTTTGCGTGCAACCAGCCTTACGAAACTGTGTTTGTACCCGCCAATGATCTCTTTGGTGGACGGCGAATCCAAAGTGTTCGTAGTGCGGGGGTAATCCCAGTTAAACTCTGAGCAAGTCAACTTAGTATTGGCGGTGAAGCCAAGAACTTGCTGAACGAAGATATCGCCGAGCTGGGTTTACAATTGGGGAGCAGGTAGGTGGTGGGTCTTTTGTAAGAAGGGAACCAGCCGCCCCAGTGAAGATTTCCATCATCCATCTGGCCGTACCTACAAAGGGTAGAAGGGGAGGTGGTGGGAAGGCTTGCAAGGGCATCTCAGTGCAAGAACTCCAGGGAGTTGAACGGAGGTGGACCGAATCAAACGGGGAGGGTGGGTGGCCGTCTTACGGCACGTAACTAATTTCAGACAGTTTCAGAGCGTCTGACATGTTATTTTAAATGACTTGCCTGATGTGTTCGGCGTGTGTGTCGGCTTATTTGCTCTTGCTCGGAATTATCGATGTTGATGGTTGCGTGTAGGTAGCTTCATCATCCAATGATTCTCGGGAAGATGTTTTTTACTTATCACCGAAATCTCCGTTAAATCGAAAGCCTCCACTTTGAATCAAATGCCGAAGCTAGGAAAGTCTCATAATTAGCGGGTATCAAGCATGAGAAGCAGTGGAATCTAAACATGGATGGAAGGTTTTATCCTTCTTTTTTTCCGGCTTTCGGAAACACAAAATTTACCGATGGCTCCTCGGGTCATTGACGGATTCTCCGGCCTAAATTTACTGCTTCTGGAACAAGTTTGAAGGTGACATGAACCCGAAAAGTGCGTCAAATAATAGTTGATAAATGCCACTTTTTCGCATCACTTACGACTTGATGCGGCGGTGGTGGTGATCAAACTTCAAAATTATCTGTCTAATTCAATGATTGGGCGCAGCGCTCCTTCAAGGCTACTCAGAACGAAGGAAATCCGGTTATTAATCATCATTACCTCGGTCGGCCATTCATCTTGAAACAGCTGTTTCTCTGAGGCTTGCTGGCGGGCTAAAGAACCATTGCAATTGAACCACTCACTCATAACATGTCCGATACTGTCATATACCACGCTGACTGGAGTACAAATAAGGAAGTCTAAGCCTTATAGTTGCCGTTTTAGGAAGAGATGCTCTGGTACATGACACGGTGAAACACAATAAGTCAAAACTCCAAGTGTTATCCTGCTGTTGGACATGTCGTGTGAGTGGACCCGACCTAATGGGTTCAAAGTCGCTCAATAGTAAATATGAAGACAAGAAATACCATGCCTGCGAGTGACAAGCGAATAAGTCAATTTATTGCTAGACAATACCGGGTTTGAATCTTGCGGTTCCTTCCCGTAGGTTTGTGGAGATACATCCAATCGAGTAAATGACAGAACCGATAGTGGAGCATCAATTCTCGAAGTCAAATGCCTATCTGCAAGATCCAAAAGGAAAATGGACAAAAAATAAGCTGCATGGTCTATCTAAGTTCATTCAGGCTCTCACACACAGGAACAGTAAACACAGCATAGACTCCCGACTTACGCATTCCGTGTTGTCCGGGGCCGAGGCCCAGTGGGAGTAATCCGCATCCTTAGGTGCCACAACTTGACTTTGGACTCGAACACACCATCACCTTCGTTTTATTCCTTCTGATGTGGTATTTAAGTTAGTATTCGGAACATGAAATCCGGCGACACAGCCTTGTTGCAAAAGTACGTGCCCTGCTGGAACTGAAGGCTGCATAGATACATCACCTGGAAACTTTTGATATAATGCCAAGGGAAGGCCACAAAAAGGCTTAGATCGAAAATTTACGCGTAAAATATTTGGCACAAGTGGCAGTGAGTCAGCTATCACATAGAGTGCTGCTGGACCTAGGTTCGGCCAAGAACAAAAGTTACATTTTCATACACACCTTTTCTACTGTTCGATCGACACCTTGCGGTACGCCATAATAGACACTCTATTTCCGCTTGGAAAGACACTTTTTCTCCGCACCCCAGTGGGTACGTGAGCAGTACGTTATTTACATTTACATTCTTCCTATTATAGTCATGTAGCCGTCCGTACCGTTCCGGTTGGTTGGCACCTTTAGCATGCCCAGCATCTGTGAAAAATAGACGTGCCGCGAATCTTAACTGATAATGCAAAAGGATGGATGAGCACAAGGTCCCCGGTCGGCTTCCTTCCCGAGCGTCAAAAGTGAGGTCCAGCAGCATTGAATATTATAAAAATGGCCTAGTTTCCCTCTTACAATTTATCAAGTGTGATAAATTATCAAGTGTGATAAATCCACTTACTTTATCACCAAATTAAAAAATAAAGCATACAAGCGCAGTCTCCTACAACAATAACAAGATGCAGTCTTTTGAAATCTCACAGTCCAACATGCATCTCCAGTCCAAGCTGTTCCTTAAGCCTAAGGGCAGCGATAACGTCCTCAAGCCAGCCGGCGATAGAGCCAATTACACCACTCTCTGGCGAAGGCCCGACGCCGGTACCATATACAGAAACACTGAGCATGTTACAGCTCCGACAACTCAGCCCCTTCTAGACTATTGCGGCCTGACCGAGGAGAGAATCGCCTCACTCGACCAGCCCATCGAAGTATTGGATATGTGCTGCGGCGCAGGGGTGGTGGCGGCGCACATTCATGCCATGCTGAAGAGACTGGGACTGGAGAAGAAAGGTCTCGTCAAGGTGACATGCGCGGACTCCAGTGAAGCGCAAATTAGTCACGTTAGGGAGAGGATTAAAGTGGAGGACTGGAACGATACTACGACCGTGCAGGCTGATATTGCTGTAAGTGAAAGCCTCAAAAGCCCCGAGTTACTTATTATAGACGAAATGCAGTTGCGGAAATGAAGAAAAACTGTTGACATGTCTGATTCTAATACAGCGCCTTCCCTTCGAGTCTAACACCTTCGACTATGTCGTGGTGGGGCTGGCTATTCATGTCGTCGCAGAGCCCTACGTCGGCCTCTCTGGTGAGAATAATCAAATACTAGTTATTGAAAACGCTTGCTTACGGTACGCAATCAGAGTTAAACCGAGTACTCAAGCCTGGCGGTCGAATTAGTTGCTCGACATGGGCAGTCGAGGGCTGGGTCGCCATTACCCGTGAAGCCGTCGCAGAGCTCAGCCTCCCAGGCCAGCAGCCCGTCCCTTGGCCGCAAAAGTCGTTGCATTTAACGAGGCTCTGGTCGCCAGGTGCATGGGATGACGAATACTTTACGTACGCCATGCTCAATTGTGCCGGGTTTGAGAAGATCGATACCAAGATCATCACAAAGTACATCCCCTTCCAAAGCGCCGAACATTTCTGCACCGTACTCGGGGCGTATGAGATTGCTATTGTTGAGAGGTATTGGAATCAAGAACAGAAATGCAAACTGCTTCCTAAGCTAAGGCCTACTCTGATCGAGTATCTTACCAACAAGTACAACAAGAAGCAGTTTGAAATGGAAAGATCTGTGGTTATTAGTTGTGGGACTAAGCCTTCAGCTTGAATTCAAAATTTGTAACCATTAAGCGGGCTACTGCTAGTGCTAGATAGGGCTGAATTTGATAATTCGACACGGAATTCGGTACTCTAGCAGAATGGTTTGGCCAAAATGTATGATGAGATTTTGTGAAGAGTAAGTTATTGTTTTGAGCGAGTTGTTCTTGTAGGGAGTTTGGTAGCTGCCGAAGGCAGTAAAACAGATACAAAAGAGTGCGCTGTTCACTGTGGTAAGTTGCTATGTAAAAGAATTTCTCGAGGCACTTGCACCGGAAATAGTGCCTATAATTGGTAAGTTGAACCGACGACCACAGTACAAGATTCCTACAGGCCAAGCCCATCAACTCGGGCAATATGGCGTCGGCCCGGCCACCCTCTGCGGCTTGATGGTGCCTGTATTTGGTTGAACTTGAGTTCTCAGAACCTGAGTCAGTCTTTACCTGCTACCGATAAGATTAAGCTTCTATCCAATCAAAGCACGTTGTAGAAGACTAACGTTTTCATCTCTTTTCAAAGAGAGGTGTCTCAATTTGACAAGTCTGCCGAGAAATTCGGCGAAAGAGCAAAGTCAGTAAGGTTTCTGAGTTACGGTAGTTTAAAGGGCCCAATTTACAATCTTTGACGATCTAAATATTTGTGAAGTTTGAAGTATATTCAATGGTCCATTCATGGGTACTTGAGCTGGGTCAACAGGATGACGCAATTGCCAGGTTCACGAACCTTAACTTTCCCTCCGAGAAGATAAGTTTTTAATGGAGCTATTACCTAACATGAACATGGTGCAATTATCAATCTAGACGTGTGGCCGTTCAAAGAACATTCAAATGCCGTTTTGCTCTAAATGACGCCGGCCTCCACCACCCTCGGCGCACCGGCCCCCCAAGCACGGCCTCATCCGATGTCAAACGGGGGTGACAAACCCCACATTTGCCGGACCATCCGCGCTTCCCCAGCGGATTCTCAATCTACCTACGTCAGCCACACGCCCCCCCAACAAGTCGCCGTTCGGACCCTCCACCTCCGTCCGACTTTCAGCCTCCTCATCTCAATTCACATAAACAACATCTCCTCATTCAACATTGTCTGTGTTTGTAATAGTATCAACGATAGCAAATCTCATCCATAGCATTAATGGCATCCGAAAGCAGTCTCATTGCGTTGACAAACCAACTCACCCGCCGGCCGGTCGTCTCATCGCTCTCCGCAGCACTCGCCGCAACGGTGTTGGCCTGGGCAGTCCGCGACTACCGTGACTATATCGCCCTCGGTCCGGGGGGCGTGCCTCACAACTTTGCGGGATGGCTCATGGTCACGCTCGGCATACGTCCCTTTGCGCTCTCCAAGAGCTCCGCGACGTGGACAGGTGACTATCCTGAAAAGGGATACCATGAAGACATGAAAGCTTTGCCGGAGAGGAAGGGCGAGAGGGCGGCGCTGGGAGGCATCGTTCCGCATAGACAGCTGAGCCAACACGCGCCAGAAAACATGAGAGAGGTATGGCCACCATCCCGTTTCAAGTCCCACGACACCCCAACTCTCTTCTGTCCTCTCATGAGCCATAGACTTACTGTGAGATAGTTCATCCAAAATCTATTTGCCAACGCCGCCACTCAAAACCCAGCACTCTTGGAAACAAAGCGCTCCCTCTACGAACGTCAGAATCCAGCCTTATTCGTCGCCCCGGGTGTCCTTTCTCAAACGGTCGTAGAGACAGCACGTACCGCCCGGGGCGAGATTGCCCATCACCACGGCGATCTTTCTATCCACATGTATCTTTCCCCCGCCGATGCCAGGCTCGCCATTGAAAAGGGCTGGGCCGAGCGTCACCGCCTCGCCTTGCCGCAAAAGTCGTGGTTTGCGAACCGCTATCACGTCGCCGACTCGTACGTCATGATCTACGGACCGCGGGACGAGGAGGAAATGGAGATTTTTGCAACCATCTTGCGAAGCGGGATCCAGTTTATGACAGGGAGGGAGGACGTCGAGCCTATCGAGTGGAAGCAGCTGATCGTATGAAGCTGCGTGTAAACAAATGAGATATGCTCGACTTGACCAGGAATCATGTGTAAGATGCACGAGTAATTCTTAAATATCTTGTATTTTATCAATGAATATCTAATTTTCTAATTGTCCGACATTCAGGGTGTTCACGCCAGGATCCTGTAAACGGGATACTCATCACCCTTGTCGAGGGGAACAACGTTGAAGCTGGCGTACGAGTCAATGTTCTCCGGTTCCAGCGCCACGAAAGCAAGCGCGGCGTTCTTCTGCTTCGTGCTAACAAGGAAACTGCCAGCGGGCAACTCGACCTCCTTCTCAAACGACGCGGTGGTCACGGTTGCGCGAACGACACCCTCGTAGTACTCCGAATCAAACTTCACAGAAGTGATGTTGAGGGCCTCAACGGTGCCCTTGTACGAATCGCCCAGCGTCTCGACCTCGAGGCCGCCAACCTTCAGACGCTCCGCGAGATCCGCCCAGGCTGCGGGAATGAGATACGCCTCGGGGCGGGCACGCGTAATGTTGGCCGTGACGGGGGTAGTGGAGGCGAACTTGATGGGTACCTGGACGACGGAGCCGTTGCTGATGCTGACCATGGAAAAGGGGCGGTCAACGACGGAAGAGAAGTCAGTGACGATGATCTCTGCGTCGGAGGACTTGAAGTCGGCAATGGAGGACTCGACGGTGGTGTACACCTTCTCGGCATTGTCGGCGGCGGTTTGCAGGATGCTAGACGCCATGGTGAGACCTGCGACGGTGCGACGCTGGAACTCTTGGTCTGCAAGGTAGATACCGCGCATCTCAATGAGGAAGGTAACGGACTGCGTCAGACCCATGGCGTTACGGCCAATCTTTGCGTCGGAGCCTGCCTCGGCGAAGTTGGGTGTGAAGTTCGGATCGGTGCTGGTGGACCCGGTCACGTAGGGCTCCCATCGCAGGCCACGGGATTCCATGGCGGCGCCGATGTTCTTGGCGAAGAGCTCCTCGGAAAGAGACCGGATGTTGGGATGAATGTTGAGGTTCTTGGCGGCGGAGAACAGTCCATCGGCGGCGTGGTAGTAGCTACCGTAGCGAGACGTAGCTCCGTACTCGTGCATGTCGACGACAACATGGGGGTTGAACTCGTTGAAGAGGGACTTGATGTCGCGCGTCTGCTTGCGGGCGAGCTTGATGTGGTCGCGGTTGGGGTCGTAGTTGGTGGCCAAGGTGCGCTGGAAGTAGAAGACACCGTCGGGGTTGTAGCGGGGAAGGACAACGATGTCGAGCTTCTCGAGGAGGGAAGCAGCCCAGGTTTGGTTTGCATCCAGAGCACCAAGGAGCGCTAGCATGGACTCGTCGCCGGCGGGCTCGTTGCCGTGGACGGCGCCCTGTAGCCAAACGCGAACCTTCTCAGTGGAGTTGGCGACCCTACGAGACTTCTTCGACCCGGTGGACAAGTGCAGGTAGGGGAACGGGCGGCCCTCTTCAGAGGTGAAGTTCGCCTTGTTGTATGTCAACCAATCGTTCTTGTCGGCGAGTCCTTGAACGAAAGCATCTATGTGGTGGTTAGCGACATGCCAGTTGAGAATCAGGTTTCTTTGAGCGTACCGAGAACATCTTCGTCAGTCGGGCCCTTGGTGCCGTCTGAGAACCCAGCAGGGATTCCCTCAGGGTTCAAGAATGCGGGCGAAAACAAATCAACGCCCTCGACATCTGGAAATGCCGCTGCAACGATATCACTGTCCGGGCGAACACTGACGTGGTTGTATCCGTACTTTGCAGCTTCCGCAGACGCCAGCAAAGAAAGGCCGAGGAGGCCAACACGGGACGAGGTAACCATTGTTTTAGACTACTCGAGGCTGTCTAAAGTTTCTTTGACTACAGAGCCGCGCTAGAGGTTAACCTTTCGATCTAGAAACTGACGAGCGATGATGGCCTTTGGGCAAGCTTTATACCCTCAATTAACGTCACATCGCGACCTGCCAGCCACGCAAAATGCACCCAGATGCATGGATAAAAGGTGTTCCTGGCATGACCAAAGTCTTGGCTGAGCTCATTCGGAGCTTTGCAATTGGTAATACCACAAACATCTCACAATAGCCGATAACAGGAACAGCAATAAGGTAGTAGTGCAAGTCCCATCTCAGTTGGCGTCAACATTGGCAACGAAACTAGATGAGGCAGCTCGGTACAATAGATGAGGGGAAAGCGGGGGAGCCCCGTGGACAAGATAACGGCGGCCCATGATGCCAAGGCTCTGGGACCCGTAGCGAAATATGCCACTCGCAATTGACGTATTAAATGGCCTCAATGAATCTCAAATGCTCCACGCGCCGATGCTGAAGTGCCGATGGTCGGGACTCGGGCTCCCGATTGCAGTCGCCAAGAGTCCGGCTACGCTGTTGCGGTATGGATCAGCAGATATGCAACTGGCCGAGCCCGCGGAAAGTGATGAAATGCCGGGCCGGTTGTCATCGGCTTCAATTGCTGCTGGGCTCAAGGGAGATTAGAGACCGGAGGCATTCATCGATATCGGAGTAGCTTCTCTACTAGTTGATCGGTGTTCCCTGCAAACCGCAGGGTTGATTAATATTATTCCCGCCCTGTACTACTTGAGCCTAATCTTTGTCTTCAAAACAAAAGTACGTGATATTGGTATCCAGCAATTACAAAGCTGCCTTTCCTCTTGACTCGAAAGGCATAATCAGCACCAAAACACCTGCTGCGATGAAGAGGGCGCCGCTCGTGTACACTGGCGCAGATGTCTCGAGGTTGGCGAACATGGCAACGATAGGCTACAATGGCATGTTAGCAACCGAGGCATTGGTGATACAAGAGTGTCTTACTTACTGCCATGATACCGAAGATTCTGTTGCAAGTCGCAGTCAAAGCATTGCCAGTACCGCGCTGGGGAGTGGGGAACAACTCTGGCGTGAAGCCGTAAAGAACTGCATACATGACGTTGCTGCAGAAGTTGAATGCACAGTTCCATCCTAGGAGCGCATTACTCGTAAGCGCCGTCGTCGAGCAGTAGAGGAATACCCCGGTGAGGATTGTGCTGATGGAGAGCGTGCCTTTTCGTCCAAGATAAGGTAGCTCAACCAGCCACCCTCCTAGGAGCGCACCTGGAACCCCAAGAACAGCAATGATGAGACTGTTGCGGTAGGTTAGATATGTGCTGCCGTCGCCGAGCTCTGCGCCTCGAGTCGCTTGGATATAAGGCAAGAATGCGTTGTACAGAGGGTAACCGAGACCAATGAGTGCCCATACGGCCATGATTAAGCTTGTGCTCAGAGCCAGCCTAGGAGTCGCGAACAAGACACGGACGTGGCTGAGGTCGAGCTTTTCCAAGTTCCTCTTGACTGCAGCGGTAGCGTCGGTACGAGCAACATATCCCTCGGGCTCGCATGCTTTGAGGTCCTCGATTGACAATGACGATGTCTTGCCGTTTCGCCGGGCAACTTCGTGGACGATTCGGACTGCGTCTTCATCGCGGCCCTTGCCCATCAAGTATTTAGGTGACTCGAAGATCGTGAAAAGAACGAATCGTACAAGGAACATCAAGAGGGTTAATCCGCCCACAGTAATGATAAAGTACCGCCATCCCATATTCTTGGACTTCGTACAGGTCTCGCCCTGTTGGCATGTGAGATTGCCGAGAAGGGGCCAGGCAATGAGTGTTGCAATGACTTGGGCAATGGCCCAGTCGATGGAGAGAACCGTCAACAAGTATTGATGAGTAGCGGGGAGGAATTCGAGGAATATAGCCGAATCCACAGGCAGGTTGCCGCCAACACCAAAGGACCAGAACGCGGCAAACACGCCGATGGCTGCAAAGTTGGGAGCGCCAGCAGCTACCAGTCCCCAAAGAGCCGTAAGGCCTAGTGTAAAATTAAACGCAATCTTCCGGCCAAAGAGGTCGCAGCCGAAGCCCCAAAACATGGCGCCAGCTAGGAGACCAATGTTTTGAGATAGGGTTAATAGAGGCGGGCGAGTCGGTTTGAATTCGTTGGCGATTGGCGTGAAGATTAGCGAGGTCACGATAGGCCAGAGGTTGTCGCTTGCCCAGCCGAACCCCACGACGATGAATAGTTGCCATTGGTACCATCCCATGCCAATATCTTGGATCTGGAGATCAGAGTTAGCGACGCTTTCAACGGTCACGGCCAATTCAGTGTGCTAGAAGTCGGATCGGAACGTACCGCGCGGTTTAGGACTCGCGCCTTGGCTTCGTAGACCGGGTCGAGGGCGCCCTTGGGGATAATGGCAGCATCATCGACACCGTGAATATCGACACCGGTGTCATGCGCAACGGGTTGCGGCGACTCGCCTTTTGGCGTCGTATCAGACTTGGTGCCCATCTTGTGCAAGTCACGTTTATTTTCCTGGAGATTCAACTCTCTGTGGGAAACCGGTATTGTGGCGCATCAACTACCTTTGCTATCTTTGAGAAGACGGAAATGTTTCGTGAGAAACGACAAGGTAATGTCGCGCGGGTGATCAGCAGCATGAAATACGGCAATTTTAGCTGTCGTCCTCGGCGAATTTTGATGTAACCGGCGCAAGTTCTCCAGGTCGCCTTGTTTCTTCGCGTCGTACTCAGCTAGAATGGCGCAATCCGGACGGTAAGCAAGCTTTATGGCTGTTGATTGGTTTCGCTGGCCCTAAGGTGGTCGGAACACATGCCGATCTGCACTCTGTTTCTGCACCATCTCTGGGAGGGAGGGGAGGGAGAGGGGTCCTAGCGAGCAAATGTGTGGGGGGATCTGACTATATCCAGGGAGATTTTCTCTGTCTCATCCGATTTGAGGCAGCTTTTGTCACGTTCCAGCGCCATGGGCGACAGGGAGTATCGTCTGTTGCGTCATGGATGCGTTCTTCAAGGGGGGTCGATGCAGACGGCTGCTTCTCGGTGAGCTGCAGAGTGCTGAATAAACGTCGGCCTTTCCGAGAAGCTGTAGAATAGTAGAGATAAGATGTCACTTTGTGGGAGCTAAGCTAGGCTGGCTAGCTGGAGATTGACTGGGACAAACGTGGTGGCGCGATGATGTGGTGGTGTGGTGGTGGAACAACGTTGGCATAGAAAAGTTCCAAAGACCTGACAATTGATGGTCCACTATGTTTCGTTCACCCTTGCCGTTGCAGAGCCACTGCGCCTGCTTTGTCCAGAGGAGACAAACGCACAGGTTCCCGCCTCCGGATCAGGCCCACAGCGGTTGTTCAGTGGGGCCGATCAGCGATTGTGTCCACTGAAGCCTCCAAATATCCCGCACGAGCCTCAATTCCAGCCTCTTCAGGCCAAGCACATGTCTCGATAGACTGGTGATTATAGACAATTTTACCATGTAATTGTTGCAAAAGTGCAACAAAATTGAGACAAATGTCACTCTCATTTAACATATATCTTTCTGGGGAAAATGAGGGAGATTGGACTGCTAGGTAGCTTGCTACATCCATCTCCCAATTCTGAGCCCCTCAATTCGATTCTGACAGCTGCCATCAGCTGTAACACTCCCAGTCAGTGTCATCATCATCCCCTCATAAACATCAACAGAGACCCCACCAGGTAAGAAGAATGAGAATCGGATGATGACTGGGGGTTCGATGGCACAACAATGGTTTGGCCGAGACACTGGATCGTTTAATCGGCCTTATCATCTCAAGATCTAATCTTGGCAATAGTTACAATGTTTAACAGAGTGGCATGGTTCTTCATTCTTGGCCTCTCTATTGTCGCTGCGGCCCGCAAGAATTTGATCGTTGACACAGACTTGTTCAGCGACTGCGAGTAAGAATAACTTCAATGCACTGATTTCGATATGAGTTTAAATTTTCTATAGGCCCGGCTGATCTTGTACAGTGACGCAGGTGCACTTCTCCTCGCCGCAACTTCGCCTGAAGTGAACCTGCTCGGAGTCAATATCAACTCCCAGTCGTCATACTCGGTCCTAGCCGCTTCTGCCATCCTCAATCATTACGAACATTCCCATGTTCCCATAGGCGCTCGGCGTCCTTTGAATGATGTTCCTTTCTTCGACAACTGGACTAAGTTACTAGGGGAGTTCGCCAGCAAGCTTGCAACACACTGGCCCAGAAGCCTTTCTACTGCAGACGAAGCCTGGGGTCCTGTCGAACTCTATCGGAAGCTTCTAGCCGAGGCCGAAGATGGATCTGTGACGATTGTGTCAATTGGCTTTCTCCACAACTTGTCGGGTCTTCTCAACTCAACAGCAGACGCCTATTCCAGTCTCACTGGGCCTCAATTAGTAGAGGCCAAGGTGAAGGAACTCGTAGTTATGGGGGGTGATTATCCGACAGGGTACGAGTTCAACTTTTGGGGAGACAACCCATATACGGCAGCACATGTGATACACAATTGGAAAGGGTCCATTGTTTACGCCGGGTTTCAACTTGGCGGTTCAGTTTATTCCGGAGGGCCGCTCATGGCCGACGGCCCGAAAACAGATCCTGTGCGCGCGGCGTACATTCTTTACTCATATTACCAGCCACGATGGTCATTCGATCCCATCGCCATGCTATACGCCATCAAGGGCTTGGGCAATCACTTCAAATTTGGAAATGATAATGGATACAACACTATCAAACTTGACGGGGAAGGTAGCGTTGGCCGCAACGAATGGGTTTTTGACGAAAAGGTCTCGAGCCAGCACTGGCTTAACCCAACCGTCGCGTACTCGGAGCTTGCTGAGACGCTTGATAGTCTCTATCTAAAGGGTGCAAGGTCTTCAAAGAGGAGTTCCGATCCTCTCGACAAACTTCCAAAGTTTGGCAATTGCAAACCAGAGGACGTGGACGTGACAGAACCTCCCCAAGAGAGATCTGAGTTGTGATGGATGATATGCAAACATGGCTTGACATCCGAAATTCACATTTATACTTTTCTGATCATAGCCCGCGAACAAATCACTTTCGGGACTCCAAACGGTGTGAAGTCGGTTTCAGTCTCGTCCACAACCACAAATCCACATTTCTGATACAAAGAAAGCCCGTCTGACGAAGACAGAAGAAAAGCAGGAAGATTCAATCTCGCCGCCTCATCCAGACCCCACTGAACCATTCGTGTTCCGATGCCTTGTCGCTGGTAATCGGGGTGAGTAATCAGAGGCTGGAGATCTACGGATGTTAGCAAAGATGAACATATCCACGTGGATGATGCGCAGTCCTCACAAACACAACTTTTGCCCATCATCACGCGTTCCTTCAACTTATCCATGCCCCCAAAGAACTTCCCGCATGCTTCCGCGTTGCATCCAACACCCCACTGCCGCTGCGGTGAAGGCGGCATTCCATCCGTCCACACATGCCACTTTGCAAACCCGACAATAGCCTCTTCGCAAGATAGCTCCGTGTCAACGGCCTTGATAAAATGGGCGCTCGGGTCCTCCCTCATTATCTTGGCCATCAATGCGGCCCTACGGGCGGTTGGGGCATCTTCTTCGACGGCCGAAGACGGAGGAAACAGGATTCTCTGAATGTCGCCTTCACTGCTGCTGGCCCCGAAAGCTGCCTTGTCCAACTGTGCGAATCGCCGACAGTCGGCTTCGACAGCAGGGACGATTTCAATGGTCATGACTTGGAACTTTTAGGTTTATTTTGATTATAACGTAGCGGACTTTGTATTGTCTGGAGTTGATCATGAACATGGGGCCTGAATGAGGGGGTTGCATTATCAACTGTGATTCCTAATTCTTGGATGACTCATCCGGAGAGAAGCGTCAAGTTCCATGTAAGCAAGGAGGATTTATCCTCCGCATCTATTACAGGTGTTGCAAATAAGCCTTTCATATTAGGGTGACGAATGTGTTGATATGGGGATTAAGTCTATGTCACGTTTGTTCAAAACTGCAGCTACCAGTTGTGGATCGATCGTTCAGTTGTGAGGAAGTCAATTTGAGCAACAAAGTCATGTTATCTATGCCATCCCTACTAAAGCCGTGATTATATAGTGCATTTACAGAAATGACTCAATTCTACTATTTTCTGCTATGAATTCGTTTTTATCAAAGAATCTCTTTCTAGTCAAAATCCCATTGACTGATATAAGGCAACAAGTACATTGATTTCACTTACCTGGTACGTACTCCTCAAGGCAGGAATAGAAAATGGTGGATCATCAACATCCATGTTTCTCAGCTGCATTTAGTACAGATTGAGTAGCCCCGTTACTTGCTGGTGTATTCTTCACACTCAGAATCTTTCTACAACTTAAGTACCTCCGAATTGAAGCACGTAACTGGGCACGAAGAGCCTTGGCTGTCTCCTGAGAGGCCAGTTCCTCTTGCGGGTGTATACAAATCAACTTGAACAGCTTGTGGGATAATAACCATTCAAAGAAGCTGTGGGCCAGGGCTGGGGAAGAACGAAAAGCCAAGTAGAACCAAGACTCATCATGTGGCATGATGAAAGTTCGGGTACAGTCACGCAAGGGCAGACAAGTGAAGGTTGTGGCTATTACAGGCCGGTTGTTCGGCTGAGGAGATACCGAACTTGATGAGAGGTTTTCTTTCCATCCGAGAAAGTTACTGCCGGAAGCTGAATCCATCCAGTAACAGATCCAGTATTCATACATGACTAACACCTGCAAGGTCATCAATATAAGCCGGACACAGTATTCGCCAACAGTTTCGTGTGCCAAGACCAATTAACCATGGCGTGACTATGTATTGCATGAACATAAATTAACGGAAAATTCTTCAACGCCAACAGATGAGTTGACTTTTAGAATTCAGAAGACGTCGGGGAGTATTATACCAGGCTAACCAAGCCCTTCGTCATCCGGGACATTCCGCCTCCCGCGGGCAGCCTGAGGGAATTTCACACCACCATAACGGCTATTTCGGATACTTTTGTGGCGAACTCGTTTCGTTCCAGTGGCCTTCGGAGTACGAGAACGTGACTACTAGCTGTTGGCTCATCGCATCTCCCCCACCGTTTCCCTGTTTCCAAGCTTCCGTGTTTCCACAATATTCAATAGCAAGTTGTCAAATTTAGCCCGTGCCGTTCTCGTGGACACCGCCCAGATTTACCTCAAATCCTGTTTCCTCAAGCCAAACGATTTCGATTGCCGTCAATACTGCGATGGACTCCAGGCAGTGTAAGTGGCATGAAAGATATTAACCCTTACAGCGAGACCTTTTACAAAGCGGCGCATCAATGTTGTATTGATACAACCCAACGGTGCGGGACGAGGGCAGTGCCGCCAGGGGCGCGATTTTCAAAACCGAGCCTGGGCAATCAGAGGAGAAAGATCACGATGCTTATGGGAATCTTATCAATCTAATCCACGCCGTGGCAACGCCAAGTCTCTCTGTCTTTGAGTGTGGCCCAGGACATCCCCTGTATGGGATCACGAGAGGACAGGCCCCCGGGCCAGGGCCGCCAGACCAAGTTGCAAAAGTTCCCCAAAAGGAACCTTGCTCGTGGAAGTCCGGAGGTACGAAGGCATGTTTGTTGTCAATGTGTTGGCGGGCTATCCGCTTCCAGGCACCAGGGCTAGGCTTGCCTATTAGTGAATATTTTGATGGACAATAGGCAATCCATTGAAGGATACGTTACTTACCGCCATTGCCATCCCGACTGGAACGCTTGAGCGGTGTAAAACAGACGATTTGTGTTTGGGCTCATCACTTGGGAGTGCCACGTATCTCGCTGGGTTCTTCAGCAGCAACTCCATACTAGAAAGTCAAAACACATTTACGACATTATCGGAGACTGAAGGTCACTTGTATGCCATATGAAGATTATTGCGCTTGAGGCAATTGTTAGGTAAAGAATTGTACATCGCAGAGGATGAGGTTTGAAAAACGACAGTGATCAATAAGCCAGCAAGGATGGAAAACCAGTCATAGCACAGACCAAGAGTTTCACAGGCGTTGGCCAGGCCGGGAACCCGAAGTAGGGCACACGACCGCTCGTGTGCCGAGAGATCCATAAGTGATGTTGCCTTGGAGGGAAGTGAGTTCCACCACTAGTGTGTGACTGGCACTGGGCATCAGTGCAGGCATTGTCACACTCCGAACCTGGACAACAGAGGCGCTCGAGGCAGACACAATTGGATAGACCTGGCATGAAGAGACCAGGGGGCGGCAGTGGGGCGTTGGATTTTGCCTTTTCGAGGGCTGAAGCCTTGCAGTTAAGGTATTTCGAACATACGAGTGTGCTCGCCCAATGAATTAGGACGGCTTGGGCCCGGCCATTGGGTCTGTTGTTCGCCCGCCTGTTCCTTTCGAATCGCCTAGGTACCGTTTAGTGAGCTTATCGCGCCGAGTCTCGTCTCAGGCCTGAACCGTCTGAATGCCTGCAAATACTCCCGCTGAATGGTGCCGATGTGAAGCCGAATCGAGTTCGGCTGAGCCTTTGCTGGTCGTCGATGATCCGTTTATCACATGCTGCCCAGGCCTCTTGGCCCGAAAGCAATGTGCTCTCCTCCACAAGATCGAAGACCTGATGCCATCATCCGATGGGATGAACTGGGGCTTCGGAAAGCCTGGACCGAGTTCGACCCAACGGCGTCTTTTGACTAATGGACTTCCATGGGGGGTGGTGGGCAACGGTTTACCCAATTTCCGGTCTCGCAGGACAAGACTGATGGAGTAGGTCAAGACTTTTTTATATTGCCGGGCTATCGCCGACATCGCGGCGAGCTGACCTCGGACGCCGACTTTAATCCTTAGGAACGCAATGATTCGTCGTTGGCACAAGAGTTGCTCGAAACGGGTTTTATCGCCAAGACAAAGTAAACTAGATTACTGATACCTCGTGCGGCGCCGTTTCCTTTTAGATCTCAACACGGAATCTCCCAAGAGTCAGGAAAACAAATTTTCAGTCAGGGTCGGGGCAAATACGAGAATGAGGATATTGAACCGAAAACAGAAGCTGGACTTTGGAAACGTGTGAAAATTGGGACCCCGGCCACCGCGCCGAGAGGCGCTAGTGATGCAGAGCTGATGTATGCGGCCAATGAATGGTAGGGGATCCATCTTATCAGATGATCAGATATGATGCGATTCCGCTCCTGTTGGAGCACCGACCAACCCTATCCAGGTTTCGCATGCGCCAATGTGCGGACCAAACAAGTAGTGGATACCGCCATGGGTGATTTCATCAGATAACTTTTTCAAGTGGGGAACCACACGACGGTGGGACTGTAGCAACACCTGCGAAGAGAACCGGGTCAGGGTCGTGATCGGTGCCAGGGGTTGGCGCCGGTTTGTCGGCTCAACTGAACTTGGCGGATCAATCCGCTGACGGGTTCGCTGCGCGCGCTCCTATCTGTTTCTCGGCATGGGAAGCGGTTGGCTGGCTCGGCGCCAACCTTGCGGCAGCGAAGGCGAGCATATATGGAGGGCCGAAGATCCTCTATCCCTTTGATTTGGACTTCTTCTCGTACAAGTTCATCTTGTGGTCATCTGAGCCTTGAACCTTGCTCACCACTTCTTCACACCTGAGACCTGATCTCCCCTTCTCAGACTCTTGTCAAGTCAATCTTCCCCAAGATTCATCCCGTCAAGATGGTTTCCGCCAAGTCAGTCGCTTTGTTCGGCAGCATGCTGCTGGGCAACGTCATTGCTGATGACAAGATGGGCCCGGCCGCCTTCCTCTGGCCCCCTGACCGTGAGTGGAGCGCCGACGCCGACAACAAGGCGCCTTGCGGATCCACCAAGGGCCCCGGTGTCCGCACCTCGTTCCCCCTCGGTAAGTTGAACATCAACCAGTCTTCGGACGGTACGCCTCGCCGGAAAGTAGAATCGTCGGACTAACTTTCATAACTAGTCAACGGCAAGCTCGCCCTTGTCACCCAGGACCACACCCGTGCTGTCCACCTGAGTGTCTCTTACGACAACGGTAAGCCATCTCACCCAGCAACACTCTCGTGCTCGTCTACTAGATATTCATGAGCTGACGACCGGCCATAGACCCGAAGTCCGCTTCCGACTTCGAGACCTTCATTGGTCCCAGCGACATCAGCAGCCTCGACCTCGGTCACACCTGTGTCACCGTGCCCTCCGCTCCCGCCGGCGTCACTGCCGGCTCCAACGCCACCTACCGCATGCTCTACGTCTCCAACTTCGACCAGGACGAGTCCAAGCGTGAGACCTTCTACGCCTGCTCTGACGTTACCTTTGTCGACGTCTTCACCGCCTCCATCCCCTGCTTCAACGCCACCGTCTCCGACCCCGACGTCGACATTGACAACACTGTCAACGTCACCACCACTGACGCCGGTGGCAACACCCCCCACACCGCCGCTGACTTCACTGCTGCCGGCGAGTCCAAGTCCTCCGGCCTCCCCCGCGCTACCATCGCCGGCGCTGTCGTCGGTTCCATTGCTGGTGTCTCTCTCCTTGGTCTTGCTGGTTTCTTCCTCTGGCGCCGCAAGTCCGCCAAGAAGAACGCCGTTACCGAGCCCATGCAGCAGCGCTGGGACGCCGAGAAGGCTGTCAGCGAGACTTCTTCTCAGCACAGCGGCCGCACTGGTCGCCAGTAAGCGCCTCCTCGCCGTGGCCAACTCCTAGTGTATCAGACGTCGTCTGCATACGCGAAACGATCAAATATTGAGGAAACTGTTTCTGCATCGCAGGATGAGATATGAAATGATTAATGTAGCTCATGAGTGTAGGAAACTGTTTAATCGAGAAAAGGAGCCCACCGGTTCTGGTTACCTCTTAAGTTCTGTCTAATTGCAATAAGGAGTGAGAAAACAAGGTGAATGTTTGTTTAAATGAATATTCTCATAGCATATTTCGCCATGTAGTTAAGAGATTTCAACGGCCGCGCTAGCTTGTGTTGCCCCACCTGTGCCCCTTTCCTGCTTTCTGCAACTCCAGGCAGCATCACCCAAGGCAACCAATCCACAGCTGAATGCCTAGCTGTCAGACCAGCGACATGCGACGGGAAACTTATAAGTGATGACGCGACCCAACGCGTCTAAACTTTTTTCCTTGGACATTGACGACTTTGCGATACATTAGACATTCATTTCCGTCAAAGTTAATAAAACTGTCTTTTTTTCTGGCTTTTTCTTCCCTCAACCCAGCCGTTATCCCCACATAGAGGCAATCGACGCATAACAGGTACGAACCATGAGCCAGCGCAAACGTCGGCAATCGCCCGATGAGGCTGCAATCAAGGAAGAAGAAAAGCAATATGTAGTGGGTGGAGTAACCCTTGAAGAACTCGATGAGAAGTAGGTAAACCCCTGTACCACTCCCGTTGCTCACAGGACGCAGGTATCCTAATCGCCCGCGCAACCACTCCCGGACAATGCGTTTCTCGGAGCTCTTCCAAAGTCTTTTCAACCCTCTTAACGAGAATAAGAAACAGCCTGCTGGAAGAGGACCTCCGCGTACGAAGAGAGGACCGCATGGTCCCACTAAGCTTTCACCCCAGGAGCAGAGACGCCACATCATCGAGCGCTTCATCTCGAGATGGCGGAATGAAGTAGGCAATGACATTTACCCGGCATTTCGGCTCATCCTTCCCGACAAGGATAGGGACCGTGGCGTTTACGGCTTGAAAGAGAACACCATTGGCAAGCTCCTGGTTAAGTTGATGAAGATCGACAAAAACTCGGAAGATGGCTACAATCTCCTTCACTGGAAGCTCCCTGGCCATACCACTGCGTCGCGGTTAGCGGGAGACTTTGCAGGGAGGTGCTTTGAGGTTCTGTCGAAGCGACCCATGCGAACTGAAGTGGGCGACATGACGATTGCCGAGGTCAATGAATTGCTAGATAAGCTTGCCGCCTCGGCGGGAGAGCTGGAGAATCTCGAGGTTTTTGAAGTCTTTTATGAACGCATGAATGCAGAAGAGCTCATGTGGTTGATCCGCATCATATTGAAGCAGATGAAGGTCGGTGCAACAGAGAGGACCTTACTAAACCTATGGCATCCGGACGGAGAGACACTCTTCAGTGTGTCTTCCAGCCTCAGACGTGTCTGCTGGGAGCTTTCTGATCCTCAGGTCCGGCTAGAGCAGGAGGATACCGGAGTTACTCTCATGGAATGTTTTCAGCCCCAGCTTGCACAGTTCCAGATGCCTTCCTCCTTCCAAAAGATGGTTGATTACCTGCGACCAACCGAAGATGACCCTGAGTTCTGGATTGAGGAGAAGCTGGATGGAGAGCGCATGCAGATGCACATGACGGAAGACTCAAGTGTCCCTGGGGGATTCCGGTTTTGCTTCTGGTCCCGAAAAGCCAAGGACTACACATATCTTTATGGTAACGGCCTCAAGGATGAAAAAGCTGCTCTGACGCGACATCTTGCAGGCGCCTTTGCGCTCGGGGTACGGAATGTTATTTTGGATGGCGAGATGATCACTTGGGACCCTGAAATCGATAAGATAATGCCTTTCGGAACTTTGAAGACGGCAGCTCTGGCAGAGCAGACCAATCCCTTCAACCAGAACGGTCCCCGGCCTCTCTACAGAGTATTCGACATCCTCCTGCTCAACGATCAACCGTTGACACAATACACTCTCCGAGACCGCCATCGCGCATTAGAAAAGGCCGTCAAGGGAGTTCACCGACGACTTGAGATCCATCAGTACGAATCTGCCACATCGCCGGACGCCATCGAGCCGCTACTGCGCAAGGTGGTTGCGGAGGCATCTGAAGGCTTAGTCCTGAAGAACCCGAGATCAATGTACCGACTCAATAGCCGCAACGACGATTGGCTAAAGGTTAAGCCGGAGTATATGACAGAGTTCGGAGAGTCGTTGGACTGTGTCGTTGTTGGCGGCTATTACGGCTCCGGACGTAGAGGCGGTGCGCTTTCGAGCTTCCTGTGCGGGCTACGCGTGACTGAGAATCACATCCAAGCAGGCGCAAACCCAGAGAAATGTTTCAGTTTCTTCAAAGTAGGCGGTGGTTTCAAGGCTGAAGACTACGCCGAGATTCGTCACCGGACAGATGGCAAATGGCATACGTGGGACTCGAAAAAGCCTCCAGTGGAGTACATCGAACTGGCTGGAGACAGCCGCCAATTCGAAAAGCCTGACGTATGGATCAGACCAAGAGACTCTTTCGTGCTCGAGGCAAAGGCGGCGAGCATCGGCTCTTCGGATCAATTCGCTCTCGGCTTCACTTTGCGATTTCCGCGCTTCCGCAGGCTGCGACCCGACAAAAGCTGGAACGATGGGCTTAGTGTGCAGGAATTCCAGGACCTTCGTAGGCGGGTGGAGGAAGAGGCAAAGGAGAAGACGATGAGCGTCGAGAACCGCAAACGAAGGGCGACGAAGCGCGTCAAGCGTGAGTTGACCATTGCAGGGACGGAGAACATTCCTGCGCAGTTCAAAGGGGAGACAACGAAGCTATTCGAAGGACTTGAATTCTGCATCTTGTCAGAGTCACTCAAGCCCTTCAAGAAGACCAAGGCACAGATCGAGACGTTGGTCAAGGAAAACGGCGGACACATTTCCCAGCGAGCGGTGGCCGGGTCTGGAATGACTCTCATAGCCGACAAGAACGTGGTCAAGGTTGCCAGTTTGGTGAAGGAGGGCCAAAAGGAGGGAGGTGTCAATATAATCCGGCCGATATGGTTACGGGACTGCCTCGCCCAGAACGACCCGTTCATTTTGCCATACGAAGAGAGGCACCTCCTGCATGCGACAGAGGCGATGAAGACGGTTGCTATCCAGAACACGGACATGTATGGCGACAGCTACGCTCGAGACATCAGCATTGATGAGCTGCGGGTGATCTTCAGGGATATGCCGAAAAAAGAACCTGACGCTGAACCATTCAACAAGGGGCACTTTTTGAACCAGCTGGAAGAGCGGGGTCACGGGATGGGTCGGCTGCAAGGGGCAATGTTCCACCGATGCATTGTGCATTTGTTCAACGCAACCAACAGCAGCGACGACGACGACATCGGACTGTTGAAGCTCAGGAACTACTTGTTGTTTGGCAGTGCTCGCTTGACTCCCGACGTCGAGGACGAAGAAGCCACGCACATTGTGATTGTCGGAAGCGGGGACAAACTGAAGGAGGCAGCAGAGTCATTGCGCAAGGAGGTCAGCACCCGCCGTAAGATCCCGTATATTGTTACGGGAAGCTGGGTTGAGGATTCCTGGAGTGAGAAGACGATGGTGGATGAAGAGAGATATACTCGTATCTAACACGGTAATGGGGGGCAAAGGTGGTATTTTCATACGTGGCATCCTCAAAAAGGAAGGGGGCTCTTATACCCGAACATATGCAATTACATTCAACTCCAGCATCCAGACCTTCTATGAATGCCATGACCTTATCCGTAAAACGACCCATAAGTAAGGCGCGCAAAGTCACTCTTCGCTCCAACACGTAATACCCCGGCTTATTTGCCAATAGTCAAGAATAAGCGGTCACCCACATCACCGACACCAGGCTTCAACATGCCATTTGGTGTTAATTCGGAGTCCACACCAGCAATCCAAATCTCCGTCGCATCCGCCCACTCCTGCGCAGCACGCTTGACACCCTCAGTAGCACCGATGACTGACATGACGATGATTCGCTTGACGCCCCATTCGCGTAGTGTCTGAATAGCGGCTGCGCAGGTACCACCGGTCGCGATGACGGGATCGAGAACGATGGCGAGACTGCTGACGTCCGGGTTAGAGCCGTCGGAGGAGATGTGGTGGGGGAGGTTGTTGTAGTATTCCACAGGCTCGAGAGTAGTCGGTTCGCGGTAGAGACCGAGGTGATGGACGGGCACAGGGCCGGGAAGGATAGTTTGTACGGCTTTAGAGAGGTTAATAAGACTTGCTTGGGGCCGTAGTAAAGGGGGGGGGGGGGGGGGGGGGGGGGGGGTGCCAAAACGTACCATCTACCATGCCGAGACCTGAACGCAGGATCGGGACGAGACAAAGGCGGGATGGAGAGATCTCGGTCGAGGTGAACTCGAAGCCTAGCGGGGTCGCATCCTATGGCGGTCAGTCCTGTACGGAGCTGGCAAGGGAAGTATCTACGCAGGGAGAGAGAGAGCACGACATACCTTGGGACCATCTGTCGCTTTAGTCGAGGCAGCGAGAGCTTCGCATGCCACAATGAGGCCGATTTCATGAATCAACGTCTTCACCTCCTTTGCCGGAGTCGACTTGGATCTCAATTGGGAGAGCTTCGCCCGCAGGCAAGGGTGCTGCGAGACGTGGACGTTGGGAGGAAGTTCCGGAGCCATGATTAAGTCTTGATATCTTGGTATTTGAAAGAGGAAACACACGAAGCAATTGCAAAGGAGAAAAAGACGTAAAGAAGTAGAGAAATAGAAGTTCAAAGACGAAGGACAGAAAGCAGCCCAAGAGAGAGGCTGGGGGGGAAACGAAGGAGGGGGGTTCGCGCCGGCTCAACGTCCGTCCCTTGTCCTCCTGATCAGCGCCGGTACCTTGAGTGGGGCATCTTGCATGCGGGAGGAGCTTCCCTGATAAGATAAGACGGTTTGGCGCCCGCTAGCTTAGCCCCCTCGTCAAAGGTAAACTCCGGGGTCCGGTAAGGTGTCGGAGGTCGCCGCCCTGCAGATGGATATGAGCTGCAGGGCTTGGAGGTGGATGGAGCTGTGTAGATAGGATCTGAGATTTTATAAACGTGTTCATTCTTGAAACGTTGTCCGTAGCTCTGGCCGTTTAACCGCGGAGAGAGAGATATCAGCCATGAACCCCGAAATCCACATGCTCTTAGTCACCGACCGGTGTACTCCGCCTTTCTCGGTGAGGGACCCCACTAATGACGCTATGGCCATCGGTGAAGCAATCCACATGCCGATGTAGCCGTCCAGCCCACATCTTCGCCGTCGCCGAGGGGCCGAAATTGTGACGTCCACACAGCAACGTCAAAGGCATTCCATCCACTCCAGATCCGGCTCCAGAACCCTTTTTTTCTCATTTCTCGCACATTGTTGGTAGAGATGAATCTCTCCTCAATAACATTTCCTCCCGACGGCTGAGGAGACTGCACGAGCAGAAGGGGAAAAAAAACACCGAATCTCACCATTTCGGCAGTCATGAATTGCTGCAGTACCACTGCCAGGCAGGATGGAAAGCGGCAACACTAGTGAACCGACGCGCGCACACGATCCTGAAACGGAGAATGATCGATTCGATGATAATACGGAAGAAGGACTCAGTCCCAGGCGGAGGAGCACGTTTGGCAGGATGACACCTGGGAACCGGTCAAGGAGGAGCAGCGTCTGGCAGGACGATGCGACGGAAGGATATGGCTTCATGCGGAGGGGCACATTTGGCAAGGTGATCTCTGGCAGCCGGTCAAGGAGGAGTAGTGTCCGACAGGAAGATTCGACGGAGGGACATGGCTTCATGCGGCGGGGCACGTTTGGCTTTAACCTGTTTAGCCGCTCGAGGAAGAACAGCGAGCAGCATGATGGCCCTACCAGACAAAACTCGACGGTTCATGATGGCGGCGGCGGCGTCAGTGAGGTGGTTGCCGATCCCGTTGGGGTTGCCGACCCCGTTGGTCAAAGCCCCGGCGAGACCCAGGCAGGCAATGAGAATGCCTTGGACAAGACACCTAGCCAGAGACAAGATGGACATGAGCCAACAAGCCGTGATATCGAGATGCAGGACGGACAGAACGGGACGGCTGAAACACCCCCTCATTCTGCGGTGCAGGTGTCCAAGGCCGCGACGGAGTTGTATACCCTATCGTACCTCGTCTTCTTCGCCATCTTTGGCACACTCGCTCGCCTAGGACTCCAAGCTCTAACGACGTATCCCGACGCACCTGTGTCGTTTGGGGTTCTATGGGCCAACGTTGGGGGTAGTTTAGTCATGGGCTTCTTGGCGGAAGACAGGAAGCTCTTCCGGTATGAATGGGGCACAGCGACGTACGACGAGGCTGTCAAACGGGCGCGTGGGCAGCGAGACTCCGAGGCAACCGCAGCGTCAGCGGTAGACCTTGCTGCAGCAAAAAAGGCACATTTGGCGACGAAGAAGACGATTCCGCTATACATTGGCCTTGCGACAGGCTTTTGCGGTTCCTTCACGTCTTTCTCTTCATTCATCCGCGACGTCTTTCTCGCCATGAGCAATGATCTTCCCGGCGCCGGTGGCGTGGTCCCTACGCCCCGCAACGGGGGATACTCCTTCATGGCCCTGTTAGCCGTTATAATCACAACCGTAAGCCTCTCACTCTCTGCGCTCTTTGTCGGCGGGCATCTCGCGGCCGCTCTCGAGCCGATCATCCCTTCTATCCCGTACCCGTTCAGTCGCAGAATTCTCGATCGCGCGGCAGTGCTGCTGGGTTGGGGTAGTTGGCTTGGCGCTATTTTCCTCTCCATCTGGCCGCCCCACGACGCCTGGCGCGGTCAGGCCGTTTTCTCACTAGTGTTCGCGCCGCTGGGCTGTCTGGCAAGGTTCTATGTGAGCCTCTGGCTCAACTCGCGCATTACGACGTTTCCCTTGGGTACTTTTACCGTCAATATCGCCGGCGTCGCCGTGCTCGGCATGTGCTGGGACCTAGGGCACGCGGGTATCGGCGGCCTTGTGGGGTGTCAAGTGCTACAGGGTGTCGAGGATGGTTTCTGCGGGTGCTTGACTACGGTATCGACGTGGGTTGCGGAGCTGGCGGCATTGAGGAGGCGCCATGCGTATGTCTATGGTGCTGCCAGCGTTGTGGCTGGTTTCGCCATCATGGTTGTCATTATGGGTGGCCTTCGATGGTCGGACGGCTTTCAGCCATTGATGTGCATCCACTGATGCTCTGGTTCGAGCTACTGACGGATCTCGCCGGATGAGTCTAAGCGCCGCCGTTCGCGTTGTGCGCCGGTGAACCTAAGGGTTTTTGCATAAGATCTAGATCTCACCTCTTTTGCTGTTATTAATAATATGTGATGATTACTGTCCATGTCCATCTTTCTTCAATCTGCAAAAATCCCTATCCATCCATTTTCGTAAGACGACAATGCCTCATGCTGCGTAAGCCTTCCGCAACACATCAATAAGCTCCACTTGTCCCCATACAGTATTCTCATCCCCGTCGAACTTGTCCGCCATGACCCCGCCAGGCAGTGCCGCGGATGTGAATTCTCCCATCTCCTCCAAGTAGCAATTTGGTATTCCGTAAGCTGTCCAGTACTCTGCGAGCTGGTCTTTCTCGAACAGAACAGTATTGACTTTTTTGCCCATGACCTCTTCCATGGCAGCTTGAACATCCCCAGTGCTGTAATGCCGAGGCCCGAACAGCTCAAAGACGAAGGTCCGCTTCGGGAGTGGCGTGGACAGATCCAACAGCTTGCGGGCGCAGATTCGGCTTATATCTTGCAGACTGACCTGTTCCGTCGTCAGCGCCCAGAAATGGTCCAAGGTTTGTTCACGCGACCTACCATTGGAATTTTGTGGTCAATCGGCGTCAAAGGAGAGTGGAACACGGGAGGATCGGCCTTGGTTGTCTCAAGAGGTTGGGTCCAGCTCTCTTGGAAGTATCCCGGCTTGACGATGGCTACTTCGGGTGCAGACACCTGTAGGATCTTGTCTGAAATGTGATTGATTTTCAGGATACCCTAGTCTGTCATCAGGTTGGCATTCTCGAGGAACGTTTTGAATTTGCTCACAATTCCATGGTCGTGTTCCGCTCCTATGGAGGAGAAAAGAAGCAGTCTCTTCACTGAGGGCGCTCTGTCAAGGGCGACTTTCACATTGTTCGCTGCTGCGGTTGCAAACTCGGCGGTGTCTGTTTCGCCTGAGTAGTAAGGCGGCGGAGGGATGTAGAGCACGGCGTCTGAACCGCCAAAGTCGAGATCAGGGCTGGTCGATACGTCGCCTTGGATGCCGGTGAAGTTTGGGTGGTTGGTGAAGTCGATGGGGGCCTTGGACAAGTCACGATAGAAGGCGCGGATGAGCGGTTGTGATTCGTCTTCGAGAAGGACCCTGATGGTTTCTCTTCCGGCCTGGGTAGATGCCGGTACAACGGTGATGGTGTAAGTCATTTTGGCTGAGGATTATGCGAAGTCTGTCTGAGTATGCTCTGGAGAACCCAGCTAGAATGGTAATCTCACGGCCCCTTTAAATACATAGACATGACAACCCGACGTCGTTAACTGCAGACTGCACAACATGATCGTGTAAGACTGCGGGATCCGCGGCGCGCGAAGTCCGCAAAGAGCAACCACTTGGCGCAGAAAGTCCGCAGCCGAGTTCAAGTCCGCCGGCCGACCTCTACCTGAAGTATGCGCATTTCATCGCGAGGACAAGCAGTATGCGCGGTGGCCGAACAATCCGCCCAGCGGAACAAAAGAAACCAGTCGACATTCGCTCGGTTCTCTGGTCAAAATACGTTGGAACGTCGTATGACTTGCTCACCTGATCTCATCTTGCAGAAATCTTTTTGTTATTAAGGAATGAAGAAAAGTAACCTAAAAGGTAAATATTTTGCGATGAAAGGAGGTTGGAGGTCTGGAAACAGGTTATTTATTAGAATGGTGCGGGTTGTAGCGATACTGGGTCTCGGCAAGCGGTGTGAATTTTTCTTTGGGTAATCTCCGCCAACGTTCAGATTATTTCTCAAACGACGGCTTGTTTTCAAGCAAGTAATATTATGTTATAGTGATTATTCTTATCTTATACTAGTATTTTAGATTAGATACCTGTTCATGTTAGTAAGTTGTTTGATCTTACTTCAAGGTTCCCTGGAGTGCCAGCTGTTTACAATATCCCCACATCTTTACTGTGCTTATATTACCTAGTTCTTCGACCCAAGTCTTTATAGTTCCAAAAAAGGTATTTCTTTTGTGTAAGTTTTTATTCCACGTTTGAAGCTAGATTTCCGCAGTAAAATGTCAAGAAAGATTGAGACTCGGGAGAAGTACGACTCAGAACCAACGGAAGGTGTCGTACGGCAAACGATCTTACCAGCATGGAATGATTTTCTTGGGCATTTCGCGGCAAACACTCACAGATATGCTGCCAGTTACTTGAAACTGCTGACAAGTAGGCTGTGCAAAGGCTTGCCCTGTTCAACTGTGGTTTGATCGTGGTGTCGAAAAGCCGGGTGCCATTGGGACTCGAGAAGTAGTAAGGAGGCTGTGCTCGATGAAACTATACGATAGAACGTCGATCTCAGACCCTGTATCTCTCGAACTGGCAGCATGTTCGTTGTTTGTTCGGTGAAATAGTGACCCTATGTCTTGGCAGTTGAAGCTGTGCTCTTGGCATGACGGGCGTGACTGCCCTCTTCTTATTCTTTTGTGCGGCTTGGCATGAAGCAAAATAACGCAAGACCAATTTAAAGAACGAGAGCCAACCATTTGAACACATGGTATCCCTCTGATTCTCGTTTTACATTTTGTTCTTTTGCTCTTGAATGTGGTCCTGTTCGATGTTGCAGCAGTAAAGGAAAGAAATGCTCTTCGAGAGTAGATGCCACAGGACGTACCTTCTTTACCCCACAGTGAGTATCCACACCCCACAGCATCAAGGTGCCATGCCTCAAGCGCTGATAGGTAGCCCAAGATACGGCGAAAGCTTATCTCACGGCTGGCGCACTAACACTGGGGCAAGTCTGTCAACGATGGCAATCACGATCTTGTGCCCGACTTTCCCAAAACACCTTCGGTCAAGAGGCACACGCATATGCCTCACACTACCAACCCCAGCCAGCAAGTGCCGTACACGACAACATCATCGTCGTTTCTTGGCAATCAAATCACCAGCCAAAGCATATCACATTAGCATGCAATAAATGTTAGCTTAGTCCCACCATTCATCCCGCCAAGACATCGGCGGCCTCCCAGTCATGGTTGTCAAACTCCCTCAGGGCGCATAGAACGAAAATGGTGTCTAATACTGCGAGAGGTATCTACTGAATACCTATGGTAGGCCAAGTATCCACGGTTGAATACCTTTACCACCCATGAAGCATTGCGGGGACGGGTTCGTGGGCAATTCGCAAGCTAGTTGCCACAGCCAAGAGACAACACTTACGAGTCAAAGGTTTCGATGGCCTGTGCTGGGATGGCGGTGTCAAGAAATAAACTCATTGCCCCAGTTCGCAGCGCGGATCTTTACTGTCATCTTAAGGACGCTGATATCATGGGAATATAGGTTGATTGTTCTACATATTCTATTTCGCTCAGGATGACGTTCTTGGCCTGGGAAAAGCGGTGGCTGTATGAATGAATGAAATTTCAATTCATCACCGGTTATGCATTGCCTTATTCAGGCCAACCTGGGAAGGGGCCAAGGAAACGTAGACTATGAGAAACACAGGTGGAGGAAGCTCTTGGCAACCGCAGCCTTTATACCTTCCGTGCTACATCTGGAATACTTCCAACAAGGTTGACGGAAGCTAAAAGTTGGGCCCACGCCTACAAACCAGGCAGTTTCCTTACTTAATATCGACAAAAACAGCATGAACTGCGGTACCCAGCCCGTAACTGTCAACCTAAATGCCAAGAAGTCAAATATCTCTCCGCTGTTGTCCAGCCAGGGACTTCGTCCCTTCCATGGTACAATGTCATCCTTCCTCCCAGTTTTATTGCTTCTTTCTTTAAATTTAATCCCCTACCTGATATTTATTCACGTGGATGTAGAACGCGTTCCGATTTGACAATCTCAGAGCGGATGGAATGTCGTCTTCGCCTTGGACTTATATACAGACATTATTCCCCAGGGCAATCATCGCTAAACGCCATATCCCTTCATCATCCCCCAACAATGGCACTCTTTCAAGGCTTCATCGATAGGCTCGGGTCCTTTACCCCCCAGGAAAGGAAAGCCATCTTCCTCTACATCTGCGGCATCATGCTTTACAAGTTTGGCCTCGAAGCATTTAACGGCTCCATCACCGCCTTGGTTACCAATCGGTATGACTACGAGAGCATCACAACAGGAACTCCTTCTCGTACTTTCGAGCGCCTCGGCCTAATACAGGGGCTAAATCAGGCCACGCAATGTGTCGGCTCTATTCTCATCGCACCGCTTATCAAGCACTTCCCGACGAAGAACGTACTGTCCGCCGCTATCTTGCTTTTTGGCCTGATGACAGCGATACTCCTCATCCTCGACGCTGCTACCGGAGGATCCTTTATTCCCGCAGCTTTTCGCAAAGACCATCCCGAAGACAGCTGGCCGTATTATGGTGATTACCCTAACGACTCGATAATCCCCATCTATGCCGTAGCCGGAATCACTTACGGTATGGTCGAGCTCATTCGTAGGGTTATCCCTAGGGATATTGTTGGTGGAAACGTTTCAAAGCTCCGTCAAATGGACGCATTGGTGCACATATTCTATGAAGTCGCCGGAACCACTGGGGCGTTTGTTACTGCGCTAGTTCTGATCCCCAATCTGGGGAACAACCGATCTTTCGTCATCACACCAATCTGTTTCACCCTTGCTGCCATCATATGGTTCTTCGTCGCCGATGGAAGCCATGAAAGAAACGCCCTCGCCCGTTCAGAGGCCCGTAGCTCCAACTACTTCGTCGCCGCAGGCAAAGGTTTCATCACATTTTTCGAATCCATTTGGGTCGGCGGCAAGATCATTTTCAGCTCCAGCCGCTTCATTTGGTTGCTGCCTGCATACGGCATCGCGCTCTACGCCCATAGATATCTCGAAAATGGTATTGCACCTCAGATCGCCCGTCGTTACCTCAAGCAGTCGGCATGGTCACAGATAATGGTCGGCGGATCCAACTTTGGTGAATTACTTGGCGCTCTCTTCGTATTCTTGTTCACCAATGTCATCAAGACTCCCATTCCATGGCTCAGGCTGGATGCTGTCTTGTTGCTCATTGTTTGGTACATACCTTCTTGGTACCCTCCGGAGAATCAAGTCAGCCAGGCATGGGTCGTCGCTGCAACATTCTTGCCCATTAGCTTTGGCTGGGCTGCTGGTGACGTTTCTCTTGCCGCTTACATTCAGGCATCTCTTGCTCGTCTTGAAAGCAATGAACATAGGGTGTCACCGCTGGGCGCTGTCATGTCTTTCTTGTACTCGTTTTATATCGTCACGTACGCTATCGCGAATACTTTTCTCGGGCGATACGTCGATCAGATATACAGAGAAACTGGAGAGGTGCGGAAAGCTCTCACTAACACAGCTGGTGTTCAGTTCACCGTAATCTTCGCCATCGTTTTCCTGTCGACATTCATTCCTGTAGGATCACGCACTTTCAACCCGAGGATGCTTGAGGACACAAATTTGGAGGAAGATGTCACTGAACCGGAAGTGTCGGAGGACCTCAAAATCAAGGAGAAAGCTCCTGCCATTGTAGTGTAATTGTTCGGTTTTCATTGTCAGGGGTACCGCAGGGTGTTGTCGTAGCATTACTCAGCATCAATGTTTCTAGTATGATTCTATGATTTTATCAACATTTTTGTCTCATCATGCATGATACGAAGTAGTGAATAGAGATGATGAGTTAAACTTGTATGCCACTAACTATTATGAGCCATGATATTTTTTGAAGAGTGTTGTACTGATCTCATCAATCCTAGCATGGAAAAAATAGCCGAGACTGATTGGCGTTTTTTTTTCTTTTCTTTTTTTAATTACCTGACTCCCACAGGGCCGTTGTGCTTAAAGCTCCCCTCCATCAAAACCAAAGTCTCGCACACTCTCGTCACCAATGTCAGCGGCACTCCATCAGCCTTCTAATGAGACCAACGGCATGCTTGTGAGTTGATTGATATGCATCGTCCCTTGCGTCACTCTCGTTAATTTCGTGCTCAGTTCAACAAGTATGTATTGGGCTTATAACTATACAGGAAGCACAGGCGCTAGTAGTCTTGATGAGATATTTACAGGCAGGCGAGCGAGCTATGTGCATATCTCTTACTCGTATCCCTTCTTCATGCTACTACTACTGGAACAAAGTTGACTCTGCATAGTGATATCGCAGGACGGCCAAGACGATGTCCGAGTCGGTCTTGCTCAACCTGGCCTTCAGTTTGTTCCTATTGCGTCCGTAGAGTCAGCATCGGCATCGCGAAATGTTGGGGATGTGGCCGAGGGAAACTTACCAGTATTCGGCCATGCTCTGAGGGTTCTGCTTCATGATTTCCCAGAAAATCAGGCGCTTGTCAAACTGCCAACCCATCTGTCTCTGGTCGAACGGCGCATCGACGTTGCCGATGTTGTTGCTCACCGTGGGGAAAACGTCGAGCTTTCGGTCGACGAGTTCTAGAATCGCCGCGGCGATGCGCCCCTCGTCCATGGCGAGGCCGATGGGAGCGCAGTTGTAGACCTCGAAATCCTCGTTAAATGTAGGACCTTGGTGAAAGATCATGTAGGGGTCGTCGAATCCCGTCTGGTCAAGGGCCTGCATGCCAAAGGCCGTGGCATAACCCTCTGAGAATGTGAGCCCCTCGTGGTAGGTTTTGCCGTCGCAGATGCTATGAGGCCCGCCAGGACCTGGGAAACTATTGACGCCAATGGCCAGGTAATGGAGGTAGTGCCCGAGCTCGTGTGCAATCGTTCCTGGATATCCGGCATATATCTGAGGTAGATTGACGTACACATTGGGGGCCTCCGACATGATCAGAGCCGCCGTCGAGGGGGTTTTACCGTCGGAGTTCAAACGAGTCGAGGGGTACCAGACGGTGACCGGCTTAAACTCACTGCCGACCAGGATGTTCTTCTTTGCGTAGTCAATGACCGTCTTGAATGAATCGGCGGCCAAAAGACCCTTGTTGGCCTCGCTGTCGGGGTAGGTCGTGTTAACGACGATGGATTTTCCTGCCTCGACCACCCAGGGGGAGGAGGTCAGGTCGACGAGCGCGTTGCTGGTAGAGAAGTCAGTGAACCCCGGCTTGTACTCCTTTCGGACCGCCAGACGGTAGGCGTTTTCCGAGGAGAGCTGAGCGATGACGCTGTTGACGACGACAGTCTGGCCCTCGCGGATGCTAAACCTGAAACTGGCTATACCGTTGTCGTCCGTTGTGGCAAAAGAAATCCACCATCCAATCTTGTCCTTGCCCTTGAAAAGTTCCGCGATAAGGCTAATGTACTGACGTCGGATTGGTCGGACTACACCGTTGTAGCCTTTGTAGGTGAAGGTCCCGCTGATAAAGGCGGCCGAGACGGGTCCGGAGCCACCGCCACCGCCGATATTGCCGGGATCCTGCCGCTTCTCTTGCCGCGGTCGCTGCCCGCTCTCGAGTTTCTCATCAGGGCACGGAGGCGGAGGAGGGGTGGGGTCAGGGCAGAAGGTGGTCGTTCGAGTGACGACAACCACAGTCTTTCCACGGCCGCCTCCGCCGCCAGGGGGTGTGGGTGTCCCGTTAGGGTTAGGAGTGGTGGTGGTGTTGTCTTTAGGAACGTTCTCCTTGACCTCCTTGGGAATGATCTCGGGATTTTTTCTCCCAGGCTCCTCAGCAGCTGGTGGAGTGATGTCCGTACCAGTAGCGGGGATGCTTTTCACATAGTCGATGATTTGCTGGTTGATGTTGTTCTGGTGCACACCGACATCGACAGCAGTCCATTGACCGCCCTGGTCGACGACAATGACAAAGTCACCGCCGGAGTTCACCGTGCCCCTTCTATCGTTCCGGGTCGTGACCTCGGCATGGATGTAGTAGTCCTCCCAAGGACCGCTGTTGTTGAGATGTACAAAGACGGAATACGGAGCCTTGTTCACACCAGACGCAACCGCGAACGTCTCGGACGATAGACGGGTAGTTGGGATGCCACCCGCGGCATAGCTCGCGTTTTGCACCTTGTATGGCTTGGCGAAGACTTCGATGAGCAGAGAGGTAGCGACAGAATTGACCCGGTTAAGGGTAAGGGGGACATGGAAGTGAAGACGGTCGTCGTACTGGAGGACCTTGACGGTGTCGAGCTCGACATCGGCAACCCAGCCGCTGCCAGGCTGGGTAGCTTGAACGGAAAGGAGTGAAGCCGCGAGGGCTATCCACCCGAGAAATCGAACCATCGCTACGGCGGAGCTTATGATAAAGAGCGGAATTATTCTGGCAACAGGTGCCAGAGTTCGGTGTGATTCCTCCCTTCCTGAACTTCAAGCCGTGTCTTCACACGCCTATATACTTGAGAAACAACATATCATGATATGGGCCTTGGGGGAAGCACAAATATTCGCCAAGCTTTCTCCCCTGAGTTATTGATTTCGTACATTCCTAGGCTGTTGCGAAAGCGTCCAAGCAAGGCTGGGCAGTGATTGTTGACTGGCTGTCTAGGGAATTCCGCCTCGTTTAAGCGAAGTGCACATCCCAGATATGTTTTTTTTGAGTAAGGTTAAGTCAAACGTGACAAAATGTCAAAGTGGCTTGTTCTAGGCTAGGTGGTAGCTGTTAAAAAGACTGAATCTAAGCTTAATTTGGTGCTTTAGTCGCCGCCACCGTTATTCTGGATTGGCCGCGCAAATGCGACCATCAGCCGCAGCATCTCCGAAACGGTCTCTCCTTTTTTTCTTGGCTCCCCAGACTGGATGGACGCCTCAAATTCTACTAAGGTGGCCTTGGCAGGGGAGCTTTTTTTCTCCCTTGAGATGGCTCAAACTGGTGTTATATTTGTGACTGAGGCCAGGTGTCATACTGCGTAAAGGACGGTCATGTTATGATTGCATAATGATAAACAAGTTGAGCGAGTGTCTGTGTATTATAGTGGTAAAAAAAACAAGCCAGTCTATTTCATCCGCAGGTCTGAGAAGAAAATGAGCAGAGATGCAACCTCGCTCAGCGCCTGTTCAAGCCTGCGACAATAGGTCGCAAATTTTCTTTCTTCTGCTTGAACTAAAGTCTTCTAAGCTATTAAAGAATGGAAGGAGTTCTCAAGCCACTTCAGTATGGCAAGCACCCTTAGTAAAACGATAAGATTAGAGTAGCACATGGAAACATTATGTCTTGGCCCCCAGATTGCCTAGCAACCACGCATAACGCAAGGCAAGAACCAAACGGAAGTGGGGTTGTCATCGACACAATGAGATCTCAGTTTCTATAACTTACGCTGACGATAGTAGGCAGGATGAATGCAGAAGCTGCGACGATGAGGTGGGTAAAACTGTATTAGCTAGCTATGCATCCTTGCCCGACAAAGCTGAACGATTTCTACCCAGCTGTAATCTGTACATTTCTTCGCGACGCCGAATCACTGTAATCCAACACAAAAGCCTTTTATCCTTCAACAAGACATCCAAAACCGTTCCAAGTGCCATCAACGATGAAGATGAGTGCCTTTGCAGGGCGTGAACCGAAGACCAAGCTGATTGAAGTAGACGAGCAGGTCTGCATCTGACTTGACGTGCTCGGGAATGATGTAGTTTCTCTGGAAGCTATCGTGTAAAGGCACACCATCTGAGCTTGCCGGCGAATTACAGATCCTCTCGATATCCCCCAGAGCTTTTGTAAGCACGCAGCCATTTCTTCTCATTTCGTTCTTCCTGGCGTAGTACCGCTTCCTCCTCTCCCTCTTCTCTGCAGTTCTTCTAGCAGCTCTGTGTGTTTCAGGACAATCATCTTCCTCCACATCGGCATCGTATTTCATTTCCTTTGCTTCTTCACGCACAGCTCTCCACCATGCCAGCTGCGAGTGTAAGAACCGGCGATTGCGACGCTTATGACGGCGGCGTAAAGCTTTGGATTCCTGACGGCGGCTGAGTTTCTCGGCGAGAAGGTCAGCCCATTTGGCATTGACGGAGACTAGACTGGAACGGTAGTCTCGGAGCAGAATGGTAGTAGGGTCGGTGGCTGGGAGGCTGCCTGTGGGTGTTGGGTAGGCCACGAAGTTGTGGAAGAGGGCGATGGATATCTCGCGAGCGCGGAGGTTGAGAGTGCCGCGGATCATAGCGAGCTCGATTTCTTTGGGAGACTTGAAGAACGTCAGCTGTTTTTGTGATACCTGATCTATTGATAATATTATGATCAAAAGGGCGGAAGGTGTTGTGTTGGGTGATGCCGAATGACGAAACGATTCAACTCATTGGACATGGACAGGTACTGGAGAGAGTGACGGAAGAGCTGAACGTACGGCATACTCTGGGACCTTGTATTTAGCCATTTTGTACTCTTTCTGGAAAGCTTCGACCTCGCGATACAGAGCCACAGCTTCGTCTATGGTCAAATTCCCGGCGACGGGGAAGGTCGTGGTAACATTTTCTTCGTTCGTAGATACTGACAAAAGTTTGCGCGTCGCTGAAGAAAAGGGACCTTTTAAAGATGTGGCTCTTTGTTCCATTTCGCCCATACTGGGCAGTGAGGATGAAAAGATCGGCTTTAATGCAATGAAGGTGGAAAATTTGAAAGACTTTGATTTTTCGACTTCTTCTTATGGAAGGACTCAGAATCTGTCGCCGTGAGGAAAGCTCTTGTCGAAGATGACTCGTTTTGTTACCACTATCACCTTTCTCTTGCACCTGCTGTATTGTTCTTATCTTATTCTTTCACTGTGCACCTTCCTTGTAAATGTAATAGGACTCATGGTGGCTAGTATCATAAGGAAAGAAGTCAACTTAGGGCAACGTGAAGGAAGCTACAAAGTACAAATGACGATATTAAGGCTTTCTGTTACTTTTTAGCCACGACGTGCAAACATCTCCATTAAGAAAACCCCTAGCGACCATCGAAAAGTTCACAGTTTTCGCCATGGCAGACGAAGACCAGAAATCAGCCACGCTATCCCCTATTTCCACCCAACCTAAAACTCCGCTCGGTATTTCTCAGCTTGAGGGCGACTAGAGGATCGCCAGCCCTACCAGCCTCAATGACATCAATACGAAAAAGGGCTTCATTGCAGTTTACAGCATCACGCCAGACGCTATCAAAACGCTACCCTACACTCAAGCTTGCTACACGATGATGCAGAACTACTGCCACGAGCTCGACTCAATGATTTTAAAGGCGGTACAAAATGAAGAAGAGTACAATCGCCAGATGGCCGGGGAGCCACCGACCCCTGGACTGACGATGGTAACCTTGGATACGAACTGGAAGATTATCAACGATATACATTTGAGAATTCTCTCGGCGCTGGAGAAGCTATCGACAGAGTGGATTAGCCGGTTTGTTACCCAGAAGGAGACCGAAGAGCTGGGAGCTCAACCAGCAGGGGAGGTTGAGGAGCTTATTGCAGACTTGTCATTACAAACCCTCCCTAACACTATCTTTGGCTTTCCAGACTTGGACTTTGCAGATTCACCACCTCCACAGTCGCCTAAAAAGCCGACCAAGGACTCAGGCCTCGAGTGATATCATGATAGGGAGCATGGAGTAGGGCTATGGTTCTACGGGGTATGGTATTGTCACTGGGTGCTGGCTACAGATCCAGCACGGAATGAAAAATAGCACTGGCTTAGAATAGCGTCACGTTAAAAGCGATAGAATACATGTGGATGCCTGCTATTTTGGTTCTTTACAGTGTGCAATAGGCAGCTTCCTGTGAAAATTTATGGGGCTTGTGGCTCATAGAATGAGCTGCGAGATACTGACAACAACTAATATTTTCTTTGCTTCAGATCCAGGTATAAGCGCAATAGTAGATGTTCTTAACGTATAATTGCAAAGCGGCTGTCGTTTTGTTGCCCTGGAAAAAAGTGGGCAAATGAGCATGAATATTTCATTGTCAAAGTATATGGATGAGAAGTTCTCCTCATGACCACCATCAGTTCAAGATTGTACATTCAAGAATACACCGGAGTCGGAAGCCAAGACAAGGCGATTGTCCGCCATCAGCTGGTCACTTTCTCAAACACCTCCGCGTGAGACTTCCTCCACGGATACACCTGTTCGACGGAGCGGATCAACTGCTCGTGATGCGGGGATCTCGGCTTGATCGACGTCTCGAAATGCGCCGGATGACTGATTAACCCAGGCAAGAACTTTTCTTCAGGTTCGATAACCTTTCCATCAATGATCTTCTTCTCAATGTTGAAAACAGCCAACACTTGCACAATAGTAAGGTATAATGTGTTTTCCGCCAAGAGCCTTCCCGGGCAGATCCGTCTGCCGAAGCCAAACACATACTTTCGTGGATCAGTCTCCGGCTCGTGACCTTGACCGTCCACGTATCTTTCTGGTCGAAATTCCATAGGATCCTTATAGACGGCAGGATCATGTGTAAACCACCTACAAACGTAATCGTCAATAACAGGTCTTCCTGCACTACCTGGAAGAGCATGGAAGATCATACCAGATATTTCCAACTACTATCGCCCCGGCCGGAATAAAGTAGCCATTAAAGGTAGCGTCTTCTGAACTGGCATGACCGATACCCATGGGGGCAATGGGGTGCCAGCGGAAGACCTCCGACAAGAGAGCCTCAATGTAAGGCAGGTTTTCACGGTCGTCTAGATTAGGCAGTCGCTCACTACCTATTACGCGATCGATTTCCGCTTGTGCCTTTTTCTGAATGTCGGGGTAGAGCGTCATGGCCAAAAAGAAACTGTATAGTGCCGATACGCTCTGAGCTAATCAGCAAAAAACTCCTTTTCCTTGTTGTCAGAGAGGTGATCTTAACTGTATCTGATCCACCCGCGAATAAAGATTGGGCAGTCATTTTAACATCATATGTATCGTCCGGTTCATCTCCAGTTGCTGATAGGAGACGCGAGAGGTACGACTGGTCGTCTTTGCCCTCGGCCATCTGATGTTGCACAAACCTGTACGGCTTCTCGACGGTCGCCATGTATTCCTCGGCGTACTGTTTAGCCTCTTGCTTCCAGCCGGTGCCAGGGAACCATTCGGGTACATATCTTACTGGTAACAATCAGCATATATAACTACGTTTTGGGCCTCTCACTGCTATGAGGCCGGAAAAAGGCCACAATACTCACGCAAGGGGAATATATCGACCATGTAGGTACCAATCGTAGCTATCCGAGTGAAATCATCCATCACCTTGTTCATCAGATCCAAAAGACCATCTTTCTTGAATTGTTCCGTATTATAGCCAAAGACCATGCTGAGAATAATTGAGCCAACTTCCCTAAAGCAAATGCGCATTAGTCTTCTGCTTCGGAGCCTCACAAATCGGGTCAGCGTTCACCAACCTTTTTATGTGATCTTCGAGATTCTGGGGGCTTTCCAGTAGATGTAACAGAAAATGGCCCGCCTCTTCCTCTTGCAACTTATCATATTGCGCCGTAGACGTTTTAGAGCCAATGATACGAGCCATGTGTTTCCGGTGGACGCGCCATGTGTTGTTATACGGCAAGCCGCCGGTAGAATCTTTCCATCCAACCCTAACAATTCGTCAGAGAGCATTCACAATGATTCATTGGCAGGAAAAAGTCTGTCCAGTAATGAGCCTTTACATACAGATCACCTGCAACTGTCAATTTTGCTCTCGACGAAAACGTGGTAGATCGCTTCTCAAATATCTCAGAAGCCATATCAGCGTCATTGACAACGATGATTGTTTTGCCCATGACCTGAACCGAGCTGATTGGGCCTATGAGTGGTTTAGTTCCGCTGAATCGAGCATAAACACGTCCGACAACTGATCCGAGCAACATGTTGTGTAGGCGCTACGCATACCGTACAGATCCTTAAATTTCACCCAGTGGTGCGCTCCAAAAGTGCCTCTCTTAGGCAGGTCCCGTATGTTTCCCACAAAGGGGAGCGGCTTTGGGCCGGGCGGAAGAGGGAGGCGGTTTGCATTCTTCCTTGATCGGAGGAGCCTATCTACCACGTAGGCAGTGATAAGGGCGGCGCCGAAGCCGACCAGAAACGTTGCAATTTTCATTGGATCAGGATACAGTAGTACGCAAGGGGATAGTTGTGGTGTAACAAGAAGCGATCAGCCATCCCTTATATAATATCCTGTTTTTTTTTAATGGTAAGACACGGTATTTGATCCCTTGGACAAAGTCCCCGAGGGCTTAGCCAATCAAGAGTGTAATTGTTGTGCACTAGGTGACTTTCAATTGGTCGGAGCCGGTTTTGTTCGTGATTACTCTCCAAATTGGATCTGGCCTGCAGTCAGCTTACTGTTCCCAGAGACCACGGTCGCAGTCTTGATTTCAACAGGCCGATTCGCGAAAAAAGTCATGAGAGAGATTCTTGGGTAAAGGGCCAAAAACGGTATAGGACTCGGTCTGATCGGAGAACGCCGCACAAATCACACATGCCACATTACCGCTTACATGATGCATTATTCCCCTGTCTCATATTACGCCTGTTGACCCCGCCTGGCCGCAGCGGACAAGCTTGCCAAGCCAAGTAGTGGCAGCTGAGGTGTCTTGTCGAGGACGCGAGTAAGTCTAGGGCTTGAGCCTCAATTGTTTTTCAACCTCGATCCCTTGCTGGAGCTCAAAACCAAGCTTGGATGTATTGACATGAGAGTATATTGGGCAAGATTGCACATCTGGCTCAAAAGTTCTCATTCATGAACCGCCTTGCCGCAAGATCACGATCTTTATAAGGACAAGACTTTGTGACATGTGGTTTGATGATCTGTGAAGTTCCAAGCCAAAGGCCCTACTGACATGCATGGCGCCCTTGGCAGAGGGCCTTGTCACTAATGAGCCAAGCCTGCAGCAGTTTGGGGTGAGGCAGACACGTGCTGTTTTAGTGATGGCGTTGACATGGTAGGCTAAATATAACAGACCACGCAACTACTGTGTTTGAGGATTCTTTAGACATGGCAATAATTTGGTTCAACGTTCGTTCCTTTGCTACGTGTTGCGAAGCCTAGCCGGGTCGTCTCATGTCGAAACTATATTCTTTCCTTCATACGCACATACTTTGTATGAAGCCCTTCCTGCGCGCAATTTGTCACTTTGTTTACGTATAAAGTTTCTGGTGACTACCACGGCTCACAATATACAACTGCCTTATACGCTAAACAATGCGGATGCCATCGCTTGTGCAGGTTGTCGCGAAAGGGGCTTCCTAAACTCACTCTGGTTTGGTATCTTTCGCAGGTTAACGCAAGTTTGACACCAAGCGATCACCAAGGACCTACGCAAACCCTTGTACAAGTATTCCTATTCATTGTTTTGTGAGGGTTTCAAAAGGTTTCCAAAGGTTTCGCCATCTGATATGATTCTAGAGAAGCGTCCTTCAAGACCTTGAGGCATGCTTGAACAGACACTCTTTAAGTGATTCTTTCTCTAACTCATCAGCTAACTTGAAAAAGCGGGTACCTCTTTATCAATGGTGATCCAACATGGCAACATCTTGGATATTCAAGTGTAGGGCAAAGTAATAATCACAATAAGAGGGTTCTTTGTTTATGTAGCAAAAGTTTGCTTATTATCCAAGGTATTATTATAATATGCCTCTTACGCTAGACTTAACAAAATGTTCACAAGTCTCCGCTTATTCTGGCATCCACTACAAGATGTTTCCCCTTGCCCCTCAACTTGACGCTCTTCAACAGGAGCGCGCTGGGGGGGGCCATGCGTGACTCAGTCAAGCCGGTAGACCTTTGGTCTAGAACCTAACAATAGCACAAAAGCAACAAATGCACATTTACTCGTCATCGTTGATGTCGATGACGGTCTTCTTCCACTTGCGAGCGGGGATGCGACGCTTGAACATGATGTCAATCTCACGGACGGAACGGTTCTTCATCTCAGGAATGTAGAAGAAGGCCATGACGAAGCAGAAGAAACCGGTGGCACCCCAGACGTAACCGCACTTGCCGCCCAAGTCGACACCCTATTTATCATGTTAGCGAATCTGCTTTTTCTTTTTGTCGGATTGTGGGGGGGAGGGGGGAGCAAACATACCGTGCTGTTGAGCATGTAAGTAGAGAGGAAGATACAGGGGATGTTGACGACGTAGTAGGCGGCACGTCCAATACCGGTGGTAAGGGGACGGAGACGGATGGCGGAGGTCTCGGCGATGATGACCCAGGAAGCGGGGGCAGGTCCGAGGGTGAAACCGACGGAGACGATGAGACCCAAAGAAGCCATGGCCAAAGAGGCAGCGGTAGAATCGCCGACAGAGCCAGCAACACCAAGGGCGATGAGGAAGAGGACGTTGATGAACGAACCCCAGACGTAAATGGTGCGGCGGCCGAGGTACGTCGTGAGAATCCAGGAAAGCATGACGAAAACGGTCTGCAGGGCGGAGGTGATGAGACCAAGGGCGAAGGCAAGCTGGGAACCGATACCAGCCTCTGTTGATGTGTTAGTTAAAAAAGGCTTCACGGGCTACCTACTAAAAAGCAGATAGAAAGGGGGGAAACTCACGTCTGAAGAAGAAGACGGCCTGGTTGGCAATAAGATTACCAGTAAGGTTCTGAGCAGCATACACACCGCAAACGATGAGGGTGCGGTATCTGTCGGTGCCCCTGAAGAGCTCGACGTAGCCGGGCTCCTTTTCGGTCTTCTCAAGCTCAATGGTACGACGAATCATGGCGACGGACTCTTCAACATTGGTGCCAGAGGCACGTCCAAGGCGGCGGACGGCAACGGCAGCGTCGTCAAGACGTCCCTTGCGAACCAGCCACCAGGGGGACTCGGGAGCGATGTAGAGGAGGATGGCGAGGGGGGTGGGGAACATCCATTGAAGGGCGATAGGAACCCTGTTGAATATCTCTTGTTAGCAAAAGGGAAAAAGACGTCCATCACGCGGAAAAGGGGCCACAGACTTCCATGCGCTCTGGTCGGTCTTGCTCTCGTATACGTAGCAGACACCACCGACGATAATGGCACCAATAGCCCAGAACATCTGCAACATCTGGGTGGCAGGGGCTCTCAGTCTCATGGGCACGATCTCACTGCAGTAGGCGGGTGCGTTGGCGATGAAGATGCCCCAGGGGACACCCTCGAGAAGCTGGCTGACAAACATGACGGCAAGCGAGTTGGCGAAGTAGAAGACGAAGATGAAGGCGTTCAAGACCATGAGACCGCCAATGGTGGCCCAGCGGTAACCGATACGGCTGGTAATGGGACCAGCGATGCAGACACCAATGATGGCACCGAGAGGGCCACCGACCTGGAGAGCAGACTGCCACGATGCCTCGATTTGGTACTTGCCCTTGGAGTCTTTGATGCCATACTCCAGCTGGAACTGATTCATGGCGACGAAGGCGCCCATGAGGAAGACGCAGTAGGACTCCATGATCTAACAGTGGTTTTGTCAGCTGCAAGCGCTTTTTAAATTGGGAGTGAGTTAATGTGAAGGGTTCAGTCGCTTACAATTGTCGTGGACATGATGAAAGCCCACATGGAGGCCATGGGATAGAGCTTGACGGCCTCCAACACTCCCATCTTGAGCTCAGCCAGCTCTGCCTCGATGGCATCCGCCTTGTAAGCGGCGGGCGAGGCCTTCTCGTCGAGGTCGGCGATGTGGTCGACATCGGCGGCGGCGGCCTCGACCTTGGCGGGGTCGGCGCCGGATTTCTCGTCGACTTTACTCATGTTTGTTGATCCCGAAGATTAGAGGTGTATTGGCCGGACTTGAAAGGGGAGGTTGTATTGAGAAAGAGAGCAGAGGGGGACAAAGAAGAAAGGAAGCCAAGAGGGAGAGAGAGAGAGAGGGTGGTACTGGGCCTGTCTATTAAAAAGAAGTTTGTGTTGCTTCGACTCTCTCTTTCTCACGCATCCATTCTCTCTTTTCCGCCAGCGCAGCCAATACAGAACGGCCCGACTAGGATGTGGATCCGCTAGAGTGCATTCTGGGCAACTTGGGCCGCTAACCCCGCCCCCCGCAAAGGCCAGAACCGTCCCACAAAACCCCAGAGTGTCACCCGCCTTTCTAACAGAGGCCAAAAACCGGGTCTTAATAGCACGAGCCCGGAAGGCAATTCTCCTGCGCGTTGGACGCGCTCCAATCGGGACGCGTCCAAGGGTTGAAAGCGGCGGAATCCTACACTTAGTTTGGGTTGATAACTGTAACTTCATTACTGAGTCTCCATAGCTCAGAGAACCGGCCATGTCTTTAATGGTTTGCTCTGCTCAAACAGTCGCAACTCTTCAGTTCCATATGACTTGTGATGAGTTGCTGATTCTATTCTTTCTTGTCGGTGTTGATGCAGGCGAGTTGTGGACACTCAGGGTGGTAATGGTGTGTGTGACCACGTAGCATAGCACATATATCCGTACATGGTAATGAGTAAATCCCTACATACATATGACCTGAGTCTGGATGCCCCCTGGTCGTACATCAAGAATGCTACTGTAACGTAGCTAAGAGTTGAAAAAGAAAAAACGGGGCAAAGGTATCAAGCTAAGATTACTGGGATCAAAGACCAATAAAAGTCTGGAGATGCGGAGGGAAGGATGGGGAAAACTGGGGTCTCCAGGGGGGTTCTTCAGGGGGGGAGGTGTAAGCGCAACGTTTTGGAGTAAAGTACCCTAGGTAGGGGCAAAAAAAGCATAAGTAAAAAAACCTCCAGATTTGGAGACAAACCCAACTGAAGCGCGGACTCGGTTCGGCGGAGATTAGCGTCCGAAACACGAGTGTGAAAGCGCCCTTCCCCTCGGCAATTCGGGGGAGCTCTAGGCCGCCAACCGAGGAGTTTTCTAGCCGCCCCCGTTACAGAGGGGGACGAACCCCCCCAGGCTCAGAAAAACCTTAGGTAGTTTTGGCAGCAGGAAAAGCAGGGAACCAACAACATGGCCTTGAATAATGGAATTGCGCCCTCTTCCCAGAAAAATTACCAGTCAGCGTTTTGCACCAGGCGCCCGGGGCCCTGCTTCGGCCAGGATCACAAGCGCAAAGACCTTTTGCCGCTCGACTTAGGCTTCTAGTCAGCCGATGTCTTCGGATTATATCCAGATGATGGTGTAAATGCCAAGTGCCGATTGTGTAAAGATATAGTAACCTAGGCCGAAATCATCTTAGAGAATCAGACATACGCCGCACAAAGGTGACGGTGTAATAGGTTCGCATAGCATTGTTGCGCGCAACAACAAACCATTCTGGCCTAATGCCGAAACCAGACAACCCCCCCTTCTAAGCGATCCGAGTGTTCAGTCCTCAATCGCAATACCCGCCAACTTATATTACGAAGTAAAAGCATGCTGCCGACCTAGGATCCCATTTGCAGTAGGAACTTTGCCATTTCCCAGGATTAGGGGGATCACCAACAGCGGTCAGCTGACTTTTCCTGGGGTTAATGTTAATGGGGGGGTGGGCGTCGTCCTCGTTTTTCCCCATCTTCCCCAGGAACCTGGGATTAGTGGGTTGGCCCCTGTAAACTGCCCGCCGCCCCAAACGTTTGCCTCTCCAGCTCATCGGCCACCATCGACAAGCCTGTACCCACCACATCGACAACATCGAACGCGTGGGTGCCTTTCAATATTTGGGCCCAGAGCCGCATAGTCGCAGCAGCTAGGTTTCTTATCTGGGCCGCATGACTTGGCTCGTCATCCAGAATGTCACCGTACTCCGTTTCCCGCACCAGACTCGCCGCCATGTTCACGAGCCTCCGCTCGTCACCCCGCAGCGAACCAAGCCCTGAAGCTTCCACGGACTCGGAGACGGCCAAGAGCCACTGTCCAAGAACGAATGCGCATTCTAGGTTGCACAGGGCGTGCTGGATGCTCCAGTTTAATGTCTGCGTACGCGACACAAACGTGATGCCGATCCTTACAGGGATGCTGAGGGCATGAATACACTGGAGCACTGCCCGGTCCAGGCAAAGTGACCGTTTTTCTGAAGTGATTATAGGCTGCTTGAAAGCCTTGAGTATACCGTGAGGATCACGAGATAGTACATGTCTGTTAGGCCCCAGATTTACGTTGAGGCGGATATAGACAAGACGTAGTATCGCAGTAGAGTTGAATCCCATGGGCCCTTTTGGGGATGAAGGATCCGTGGTCGACTCGTATGTAGCCTCCCAGGACTCCTGCCAAACACGAAGCGCAGCCTCCATGCGTCCGACATGGTCGTCGCTGAAGGGAGTGTTTTCGTTGGTTGGGCCCTCGCGAGCATGGTTGGTTAATAAAGTCTGCTGCAGCAGGCCGTGAACGAGAACATAATTCCCAAACGACGAGAGGGGCGATTCGACGTGAGTCCGCCGCCCCGATAGGATATCATGCAGTCTTTTCTGAAACGGGTCTGGCGGCATGTACCTGTCGAGCAGAAGGGACCATTCCGTCGAGTTTGTAGCCTTCCATGCAGACGCACAGCCAGGCAAGTCTATGGCGATCTCCCGATTGAGGAGTAGTGGCGGCACGTCGAATGCAACAGACTGCAAGTTGAGCAGCACGTAAGCGCAAAAGAGTGTACGACGGCGCTCTTCCCGACCTGTCCATTCCTCCCAGCACATGTCCCTTGTTGATCCCCTCTCCGGCTGGGCAATTCCTACTTCGCGGGCGAACATCGCCACTTGGCTAGACATTGACAACGCGTCCGATAGTAGATCGCGGGCACCCCATGATGCCATCGCCATGATTACAATCATGGCCTGTAATGTTTGAAGTTTGGTTCCGTTTCTCTCGACTGGAGCGCCAGCCCCAAGCCCGCTACTCAAACTCACATCAGGGACGTCACTAGGCACATTCGGAGATCTTGAGTAACTCGAGTGGCTTGCGGACTCGTTGGTGAGTCGACTGAGAACGGCACGACGATTTTCTCCAAGGCGCCAAGTAATCAGGCACTGGGCGGCCTCATAGAGCCGGTATGCTTTGATGCGCTCAAATCGATAAAGAGCGCCGACCGCGGCCAGGGAAAGAAGGAGTTCGGGACTAGCAGATGAGGCAGAAAAGGTGACGCAGTGTAGAAAGGGCATGTGAATGTGGAAACCGCGAAAATACCCTTCCAGAAAACGGGATAGGGTATGCTTTGACGGAAGCTGAAATGTCGATGGTAAGACATCTTTACATGCTGCGACGTTGTGGAGAATTTGGACGTGCTCAGAGGATGAAATCTTCCAGGGGCGGATGGAGTGAGTCTGCCCTGCTACAGGCACTAGCTCGGGACCGGCTGTCAGGGAAGCGGGAATCGATCCGGTGCCTTCGGGTTCCATGGAAGGCATCCTCGAGGCAAAAGCCGAGTGCTCTTCTGGTGCTGTAGAGTCCATCTGTTGCTGCGAACTGGACGAAGGTTCCCATGTCCCCAAGTTTAAGTCAACGGTTGGTCTTATATGATTGCTTTGGCCGGAGGTTGGAGTTGTGTGACATTCTGTCAAGCCTTCAGTGGATGGAAAGTTATTGTCGAACAGACTGTCGGACAAAAGAGGGTTCAAAAGCTGGGTATCATTCCAGAAAAAGTCAAAATCAAGGCTGATCATCCCAAGAAGAAGGTCATTAGTGAATGGGTGTTCTTCTGTCGAGGCGTCAAATGATGTCGTAGGGTGTGGAACCTGAAAATCTCCATCTCCTTCAGGTAGCATCAATTTCAAAGATTGCTCATTTTGTAGATTCGTCTCGTCTACAACTGTCGTTTGGTGCTCAACTGCAGTGGCGTTCTGGGTGTAAGTCTTGGTAGTTGGCGCATCGGCGGTTGTAGCTTCAACCGCGTCCACATTGGCGTCGTCCGGACTCTCTTGCTCTTGGTGTGCACCGGCATGAGACAATCTCTGATGTCTGGATAAAAGATCCCTGTTGGGATGGTAAGTAAAAAGCTCAGCACAATTATAACTCTGTTGCCATCATCTGATATCACTTACTGGCGAGAAAAAGTACGTCCACAGTCACACGAGAATGGCTGTTCCCGGGTGTCTTTGCAAACATGTTAACAATCCCACCACTGTTCATTCGACCAATAGGGAGAGACATAAATACAGTTGTAAGATAGAGGCTAGAAGAGATTTGGGGCTGAAAACATACGAGTGCGTTCATGGCGCTCAAGATGCTCCTGTCTCTTGAACTGTTTTTGGCAAAATCTGCAGGGTGCCACATTACGACGTGGCCGACCACGGGGCATTGGCATAGCCAAGTACGATCCAAGAAAGTCTTGATTCCGATACCCGTAGTGCAACGTGGCAGGGGTTTGATGTTGTCCAGGGTTCAGAAGCTTAGCACGATAGCTTGTCTAGCTGCGATTCACAGCTCTGACAGAGGTGGAAAACCTGATTACAAAGAAACTCAGGACCACCGTTAGTCACGCTTAGCGATTAATAATCTGGGCCCAAGACATTTTCACTCCAGGGGTAAACTTCGGCTTCTGACATTTTTTTCCTTATTTGGTTTGCCACAGAACCAATGCCATTGAACAACTCAGTTCTGGGTATTTTGACCCCAAGTTGGAGTAGAAAATACCCACGATGCCCAGACCAACCAACTAACAACTCATGAACAAGACGACAGAGTCATCCTCAGCTGCTACAAGTAGAAAGCTTTTTCGTAATTTTGGGGTTAAAAATAATATTTGTCAGTAGACATGACGTTTGTCCGTGATTTATTCAAGTGCATTACTGCTTCATCATGATTAAGCTAGGCCTCCATGGCAGTCTGGTTTTTGACCCCAACAGCCGGTGGGATTCCGCCAATGAATCGCGATGATTGACCGTGTTTGAATGGTAGTTTCGTCACTTCATTCTTGACATGAACTAAACGTAAAAGTTCTTGAGGAGGAAAATTTGCACAGTAAATACAGGCAAACAGATATGTATATATATTGACCATCTCCCATCTCCAAAGCATCCAACATCTTTCTCTGCCTCCTCATCAGACAGACAACACACAGCCTATTACGACAATCATAACAACCATAGAAATGGCAACTCAGCAGGTTTTCAGACTTCCCCAGAGGTCCTCCATTCACGACCTTCGCCAGGACACCGAGCCGGTCCCCGAGCCCTCCTCCTACGAGGTCCTGATCCGCATCCGAAGTGTCGCCCTCAACTTCCGCGACTTCGCTGTCGCGATTGGAAAGTACCCCTTCCCTGTCAAAGACAACGTCATTCCATGCTCCGATATCTCTGGCGACGTCGTCAAGGTTGGCAACCAAGTCGACGGATTTTCCGAAGGAGACAAGGTCATTGCAGCTTTCGACCTTAATACCTTGTACGGTGTGATCAAGGACTCGCCCCGTACCCTCGGTGGTAACATCGACGGCGCGTTGCGACAGTTCATCGTCCTTCCAAGCTCCGCGCTTGTCAAGGTTCCATCGGACGCTCATCACCTTAGCTACGCGCAGCTGTCTGCTCTGGTCTGCGCTGGAAGTACGGCGTGGAACTCGTTGTACGGGAACGTCCCACTGAAGCCTGGCCAAACTGTCTTGTTTCTCGGTAAGCCCTTTAGCCATAGACCAGGTATGAACTTGATCTAAACAATGTCCCAGGAACCGGCGGCGTTTCAATCACGGGCCTCATTCTCGCCAAGGCGGCCGGAGCCACGACCATCATCACATCTTCTTCCGACTCCAAGTTGAAGTACGTCCAGGACACCTACGGCGCTGACTTCGTCATCAATTACAAGACTACCCCAGACTGGTCTAAGGAAGTCTTGAAGATCACAAAGGGCCAGGGCGCCGACTACATCTTCGAGAACGGAGGAGCTGGAACGATCGCTCAAAGCATCAACGCCGTCGCATACGGCGGGTCCGTTGCCGTCATCGGTTTCCTGGCTTCATGCCCTCAGGACCAGATGCCAGATGTTGCGGCTTTGGCCATGTCCAAGGGAGCGGTAGTGCGCGGAATCATGGTGGGATCGAGACAGCAATTGGAGGAAGTAACCCGCTACGTTGTGACTCGGGGCCTACAGGTTCCGGTGGAGAAGGAGTTCGGGTTCGGGAGAGACGAGGTGATTGCTGCTTTTGAGTACCTTTCTAGCGGAACTCACATTGGCAAGGTGTGCATCAACATTTCCTAAAGTGCTAGCAGCACCGATTCTCCAAATGGATTTGGAGATCCAAGTATGATGGAAATTCGGAAGAACTCCATCTTTCATGTTGAAGAGAAACAAGCATTAGGTAGCTTATAAAAGGACAATGGAGCTTCATCTTAGAAACCAAAATTGAGAAATTAGGAAGCGGAATCTGCAGGAACGAGGATATTATATAACCAAGGTCTCGTGATTCATATGCGACATCCTTACAAACAACCTGAATACCTATAAAAGAAGACACTTTAGATAAAAAATAGTGTCATCCACTGTTACTGCCTATGTCAAAATCAGTCAAAATCGCCCAAAAATCAAATTCCTTACTCAAATTACAAAATCAAATATTTTGATAGCAGAGACCAGTGAATTTAACCCTGACAGCTCAGTCTCCGTTGTTGAGTCAACGGACAGAGGTGGGTTGAAAGGTGAGATTTCGGTCGCGTGAGACTAAGCATCAGATACGCGCTCCCTCCCCAGTGAATTGGGCTCTGGGTAGGGCAAAAGCTCATTCACAATAAACACTCTAGACTAGCTCACTCTGTGTGATTATATGAGCGCGTTCATCTCTTCTTGTGACGAGTATACACTTTCTTCTTCTTCAAACCACTACCTCAACCTTTCACAAAATCACAAACAACCTAACTTTACTCCATTGTCAACCAAACAGCAACATTAGTAAAGATAATACTTCATTGTTCTCATCAATTCTCCCGATTCTGACCAAAAAGACACTTCTCTTTTGATCTCTACCTTCTGATCCATTCGTCTTCAACATGCCTGTCGTTGACAAAAGTCCGGCCAAGGAGCCCGACATCACCTTGGGAGACTGCATTGACTTCTTGAGCGTCATACGCGAGTTCAAAATGCTACCTGGAACGATGGAGACCAACGAAATGATGGTAAGTACACAGGGTGGTCAGTTGACCATTGAAACCGCATTAATAAGCCTTCTACAGAACCAGATTGGGCAGAAGACTCATGCTTTGGCGGTGCGAAGTCTGCTTAAGAAACGAAAGCTTCTTTGGGACAGGATTCCACGGCTGTTCGAAATCATGAGCTCGGCAATGGATTCGCAAAGCAGAGGATATGACATGCTGTTCAATCACCAGGCAGGAAATACTGTCGGTGAGCTGAAAGAATACATTCTGGCGTGGAAAGCGCTCATGGCAGAGATCGAAGAGATTGAAGCGAAGCATGCGAAGAATGAGGCCTCGAAATGAGGCACAATACGTATCGCGCGGAACGGGTTATTGCTAGAGAGCAGGTCTCCGCATACCTACATGTAAATATTCAACGCGCAGAAATGAGAGAAGTAACGATGTGATTATGGCTTTGATTTGTAGCCACGTCTATGATGGCGATCCTTAACTCAAAAGGTCTTTTGATTGTGACAAACAACCAAAGCTGAATTCAATAAGCCAGGTCGGTCCCAATGAAGAGGTGATGTGATAGTACATGCCAACTTAGTTCATTGTTTTCTTTATTCCCAGTATCTTCGTTCAATCCTCGTGCTATATTCTTTAGCCTTGGATCAACTGACAAGAATCACACAGCCAACCGTGAGGCAATCAGGTTGAGACTCATACAGCACCACTGTTCTATTGACTTTTATAGCCACACTAGAGGAATACTGGTTTGTGATACACAGTTAGCTCCAAGCTTCCCTCGCAAAGTTGATTGGAGGCGAAGACCTCGGACTGCCCCCAATTTTCGGCTAGGATTGTAGATTGACAAAGTGGGCCAGGCCTAATACGTGCTTCGCCGGATTCAGCATCTTTTGCATAATCTTATCAATCAGCCGATCTTCCGATGGCGTACCCAAAAGGCGCCCCTCTGGAGGACTTTTAACGAAGTAACGAAGCAACGAATCGCTGTCATGGTTCCGGGGACTTTTGCTCCTCTGCGTCGTCGTAAGCGAATTACGTGGTTTAATCAAGCAAATACGGGATGTGGTTGAATGCACCTGGAACTACGCTGACAACTTGCCCATCGGTCTTCGGTAATAGACCGTGCGCCTTTGGGCTCCGCCGAGCCTATTCCGAGCCCAGTTACTAATTAAAATATGACCACTACCGCGTAGGCAAAAAGCCCGATTTTGTTTCATTCTTCGAAGCTTTTGCTTGGGAGGATCTGAAGACCCCACCAACGACTAACCGGCAGCAACGGCTGCACCAGGGCCGCAGAGATGATGGCATTTACTGTTCCTGCAGTTGTCGTTCTCTGCTTGTCTACACTGACACAATGCAACCCGGTGGACTTGCATCCTAGCGAAGAGGTTGCCCGAAGCCGGGGACCCCAAATCTTTAACGCCGTACATGATTCTATGAAGCAGTGGGGCTCGTCTCTTCATCACAATGGCATGTCCATCTTCCTCGCAACGGTCCCTGAAGGTGTGCTTCTGTACCATGGAAACACTAGCCCAGAGTCGCCTTCTGAGCCGGATTGGCTGGCGTACGAAATCGAGCATGCCGAACAGTTTGCCCATTCATTTTCCAGACGACCACCCAAGGGACCTCCTGGCGGACCACCGGGAGGTCCACCAAAAGAGCCACCAGGAGAACCGCCACAAGGCCCTCCTGGACACCCCGACGCAGGATTCTTCGATACGAATGGGCGGCAACACGTACTCGGCAGCAGAGCTGAGAAGCGCGCCGAAGGGGCAAGAGGCTGGCTACACGTGTATCGAGCAACCGAGCCTCTCCAGCTTCTCTACGTCGACGGCATGAGCGGCGGCAAAACTACCATGGGGACACTCGACACCCAAGACTACCTCCTACGGAGCGTCAGATCTGATCCGTGGGCAGAGAAAGAACCACCAAAAGCCCTTGGCGGTGGCCCGATGGGAGAGCGAGAGCGCGCCGTTGACCTCTGCAAACTCAGCACGTCATGGGGCTTGCACGGAATTTTGCGGATGGAAGCTGGCTTTGAAATCATCATGTGCGATTTTGAAAAGGGTCTGGAACAGGTACAAGCGCTGCGACGCCCGGAGCCGAGCCGTCAAAATGAGCGCCGGGGCGAGGTTCGGGGACTCGAAACTCTCCGCGGCTTTGCGGAGAGATACCAAGGTATCGGCGCTTCGCGAACACTAGTGGACTACTCGTCCATGGTTTCCGCCTTCTTCTTCCCGGTCAACCTTACGAATCCCGACGAAAAACGACCGGATCTTCCCAGACTTTCAGAAGTCTCCGATTCCGAACTTGCATCCATCAAGGACTACCTGCACGAGACCATCCAGTCCCGTCTAGGTGCCCAAACTTCTCCAGTTAACTGGCAGGGTATTGCGGATCTCATCGTCGGTCGATACTCGGATAGGATTGAGTTCATGGCGAGCCGTTCATCTTCGCCCACCCTTTTGGCTGACGAAGTAAGCTTTCTGTTGGATGTCTACATCCACTACCCCGATGACGGAGGAAAACCAGATCTGCCTGAAGCTATTTCGCGGTGCAGCGAATTCTACCTTCAAATCATGAATCCCTCGACCGAAGCCGACCGTCTCATACACGCAGCTTTCCAGACGGTGACATCAAGGATTTGCTCGACGCTGTTCGATATAAGGGAACGGGTATCCGGAGTGGCTGAAGTAAGCCGGTCCGACCTGGAGTGGTCCGCTGAAGCGCTTCAGTCTCTCATCAGCTTCCTTGGATGGAGTCGTTTCAAGCGATGTGAGAGCTGCGACCTTGATGCGGTGTGTTTTATCCCTATGTGGCCGATGGGAAGCCAAGACGACTACTATTCTCCCAATTGCAAGAATGGATCAGATTTGCGCGGCGGAAACAGTTATTGGAAGATGTAGTTGGCGTACATATGGAGGATATTCATCAAGATCTGCCGAGCGTCTGGGTGTGGTGTCTGCATGAAGTTCCATGATTGAAAACCATTATTAGCGAAAAATCTTTGGACTGTTAGAAATCAGGAGTTTTGGGTCTTGTGTTTAAGAAGATGGGGTAAGAAAGTCTTGTGTTCTAGTGGAGAGCACTGCGAAGACACGTTCTTGTCAAGCCTGCCCAGAGTGAATAGACATAGGACAGCAAGAGGAAGCATACACAAAAATAAAAAAGTAATAGAGTTATTTTCTTGATCGCAAGCAAGCGGGTGCTATCAATCCCCAAAGAGCTATAGACAGCTTCATCTTTATTGGCCATGATTTAAAAGGGTTTATGATCCTGCTGGCAGAATCCCATAGCTCGGCTACGAATTCACACATCATGATGCATTTGTGTGTACTTTTTCATGATACCCCACAGAGGTAGACCTTTTCGTGTTGCCTCAGTCGACTCAAAGCCCAAAAGCTCAGCTCCCTTTTTTCATGTATGATCCTTCACCTAGTAGCCGCTTTTTAAGTGCCCCCTCCCCATGCTGTATGCCACAAAGAACATGCGCTGGCATCAAAACTTCGACACAGTCGTGTGAGCGACCTAGACACGGTGTGTGGTCTCGATACAGAACAGAGCATTCTGGCATTGTGTGAGGATGGTTGTCCTCTCGATTTCCAAGGTCTCCATGAAGTAATAATTGATATTTCCGATGTCGTTTGAGGCGGTGTTGCTGGCCTTGTCCTACTCAGCCGAGTTACCATTCGCAGGCTTCGCACCACCGTCAACATCGTCTTTGTTCGTCTCCCTTGCTTTCTCAATGGCGGCTTTGATTTCTTTATTCATGCTTTGCGCATTCTGAAGCAGCTTTTCAGTGTTCCGGCGGAGCACCAGAGTGGTGATGATCATATCCTCAAGAGAATGCTGCACTGAGGGTTGGACAAGCTTCGGTGTCTCGAGGATCACGGTCGCTTCCTCGCCAATCTGGGCCAAAACATCTGCGAACTCAATTCGGGTCATTGATGTCCTCTTTTTTGCCTGGTTTCCGTGTTTCGTCAGATTGAATGTCGTGGATGTCGGATCTCAGCTGGAGAGACACTTACCGACTCCGAGAGGAGGGCTTGAGTCATCGTCTGCTTGTTACCGTTACTCATGGTCAATCAGTGTAGCGATCCAAAGAGTGAGTGGATAAAAGGTTTGTTGAACAATTCTCCATCGAAGTGGTATTGAGTGTTGAAGGATCATGGTCATGTGAAAAAGTGAGAAAAGCTGGTAGCAGCGTGTTTTGTCGGAAAGGGCAGGAAGCTGCTGCCATAACAAGGTGCAAAAGTGAATTCGCCCTCAGACCATATTTTTTTAGTATTCGAGGTAGCCGTGGAACTTATATCCACAACTAGAGAAGTGTTCCATAGCATTGGGTATATCCTACCTTTTCAGCACCAAAGTATGGGGAATTTCTTGCTCAGTTCAACACAGCCGAAACTCTCCTTACTTCAACGAAGATACTATCCCATTTCGCAGCCAACAAATTTCATCAAGCCATGGCGGCATACAATAATCTAATGGACGGCATGTTTCCTCACCTTGCCCAACTGGCCGCCCTCTCAGGCTCCTCAGTCAGAGTTCGCGCCCACTCCCCCTGGCGTGGTCATCACATTGGAAAGATTCTCACTTGCTCTCATGTGAAATTGTTTAACTGGTTGAGTTCATTCAATGTGAAAAGATTTTATCTTTTCCTCTTGCTACCTAAGCACTTTTTCTCATGCCGAAGCTTCTTCATCCAGCTCAGGGTAATGGCGGTAAATGCCCTGTGAGTACTTTTGCCGGCGGTCACTGGCGAGGTACTCCTTGATCTTGGGTCGCTCCTTGACAGCATCATAGAGCTCGAACAAGCCCTTGTACTCGCCGCTGGCCTCAATGCGCTTCAAGGCGTTGGGGAACGCAAATTTAAGGCCATCAACACACTGTAAATGTCAGTATTCGTCGCCGGTATTTACACCGGGGTGAACTTACCTGAAACAGAACCAAATCCGCATAGGTCAACGATCCTCCGTACAACCAAGGTCCGTCCCCGCTGGCCTTGCCCTTCAGCACCCTCTCGAAGTACCCAAAGAACTTGGGCAGGCGGTTTTCAATGTAATCCTTGGCCTTGCGCTTACTCTCCTCCTTTTGGTCGTCATAGTACAAGCCCGTCGCGACTGGGTGGTGTGTATCGTGAGCCTCGTTACTCAATCCATCCAGCGCCGTCAGCGCAAGCGCATTGATACGGTAGATTCCGTCGCCATCCTCTTCAGTCTTGGGCGCCAGCCCGAGGCGTGGGCCGAGGTACAGCAGAATGTTGGGGGTCTGACTGATCACTAGGTCGCCGTGCTTAAGAATTGGCGGTGCCAGAGGCGGGGGGTTGTGCTCATCGCCGAGATTCTCGCCATCGATCTGCGCAAGCACCGTCTTGATGCCGTCCTCGATGTGCGCAGTATCGGTATACTCAGCACCGGCTTCCTCGAACGCGAGACGAATGTGCTCGCCGCGACCGGGGATTCCAGGCCAGTAAATAAGCTCGTAGGGAACGTCCTTGGAGGACTTTTGGCGCTTGGCGGTGGGTGAAGTAGCCATTGTGGGACGTGCTGGTGGAGGTGATGGATAAGACACGATAGGGATGTGGTAAGATGAGAGGATAAGAAGGTAAGAAGAAGGTTGAGGAGAACTTTAAGATGGCGGTGTGGAGTTTAGAAGATTACGAAAGACAGGTAAGGTAGGTATAGGTTGTCACGTACGACGAGAATGTGAGCATGAAGTCATAGGGCGTACGGATGCTCGGATCACTCTGCCGCCAGGGGCGACGGCGGGGTAGTGGACCCCTTGCAGCCGATGGAGGGGCGATACGGCAATATGACGAACGGGTGAGCATCCCGTCTTTGGCAACGTTGGTAGCTTCTCATACATATGAATTGCTGTTCTCAAGCAAAACTAATATCAACCGAGAGGATTCAATGCAGAAAAGAACCAAAAGTCTTTTGCTTTTTTGGCCTTGCAGCCACTTGGGGGCTAGCAATCTCTCCTGTTGACCATTTACTACGGTCTGCCTCCCAGCCCACTTCAATGGCGACATTCCTTTTCAGCTGAGTTACGCGACTCAGGCAGAGTTTATTGATGCATCGCCAGGAATGTAAACGTCTGGGGTTGTCATCAAACAGAAACTACAGCCAAGGAGCTATAAAGCAGGTCAATTGACCTAAAAGCGACCTGCAGCTGCAGCTTCCCATAGCAACCATGAGGGGCAGGTTTTGAGGCTGTGAGAGCCCGGGGCTTTTTTGGTTCCGTCGAGCTGAAAATCGGCCCGGGTCCTTTTTGATTCCGCCGAACTGAATGCCCGTCCAGCGCCGGGTTTTGCTCCGCTCCGGCCGTATTGACCCCAAGGAAAATCGTACTTGGCCAGTATATGAAGCTGAGCCTCACCAAGGTAAGAGTGTCTCCGGACAGGACTAAAGCAATGTTTTCTTCATTCACATAAATTAGAAGCAATGCGATACTGATGCATGCTCCCTTCCCCATTTACCTGTCTTTGGTTAACTGTCGGCGTTGGTCAGCAATTTAGCATCAAGGATATGAAGCAAGATGGAGCCATAGTGTTATGTTGGTTTCGTACATCGTTCAATCTCCGTCTATAATCGGCCCCGACCCGGCGCCGAACTCCACAACGATACCTATGCCCTTGTCTTCTGTCGGGGCGAACATCATTCTCCGGAAGGAGTTAGCAAGTGTCTCGACTATTGTTGTTCCTGGATCAACTACCGGGTACAATAAGTTCCTGACGCTTCGGCGTGAATGCATCGAGGCAGCAACAGGGATTTGTACAATCTCAGCTTATACGTTTCAGAATGACCAGAATGCCACAAGACATCTCTTCAACATCTGCGCTTTTACTTTCAACATGCCCTTAAGCATTCATTCATGGACTAATATTTTCTCATTGCCTTGTATCCTTTTTGGTGTTCAACAGTATCGAACTATTTTCATTGCAGGGCCATCGATCACATTCTCAACTTCTTAATCTCATCATTATCATTGCCGCGGCCAAAGAGACCCACTGGTTTTGTCTGCGGAGTACATGTTTGCAGGTCCTGGATTGTGGGTTATGAACAGCGTAATAAGATTATTGAACAATGCCCTCCGTTGCTTGGACCTCCGCGGCCTGCCAAAAGGATTCATTCCCATGATCCTGTCAACTTTGAGTCAGCCAATTGAAATGACCAAACATGCCAGTACGGCAAGTTTGCTCTCCTGTCATTGAGTGAGCCGGAACCAACCCAAGAACCGAAATCAGGTGCTCAACCCCACTTGTGAGCCAGTTCCCCACAATCTGACATCGCCAACAACAAGGCGCATCACACCACGGACTGAGCACACTTTCTAGAACGAATGATCTGATAGCCCACGAAAAAACAATGTGACCACGATTCGGAAGTTGCTTCATGCTGCTATATCTACCTGCGATTTTGCCTGGCTAATGGATTATGTCCTTCACGCACTACTTGGTTACATCGTTATCACACTAACCACTGCAGTGACAATCACGTATTCCCCAAAAGCAAGCTCACCTAAGTAAAGTGTTCATCCTACAACTTCTAAGCTTTCTCCTCAACCCACCTAATCCCTACCCACTGATATCATTCTTGAAACCTCCGGTCAGCCGAGCAACCCCGCACAGCTCACTTATACGCCTAGTTCTCACAATGGCAGCAACCTCACGAGCAGCCAAATCATTCTTGTTGCGAGCTTCAAGATCAACTCTCCCAATTCTCGCAAACACCTCAAGGCTTTCTTCCGCACCAATAGCTCATAGGAAACTTGCTGCAAGCCCCTTGACTCTTCGTTATATATCAACAATGAAGGCTCTTGTCTACGGCGGCAACAATTCCGTTGCTCTTCAGGACAAACCGGTTCCAGAAATAATCAACCCTACAGACGCCATCATCAAGGTGTCTAAGACAACCATATGCGGCACCGACTTGCATATTCGCAAGGGCGACGTGGCAACCTGTGAACCGGGGCGAATCTTGGGCCATGAGGGCGTCGGCGTCGTCCACAAAACCGGCACCTCCGTAACTCGATACAAGGAGGGCGACAAAGTATTAATCTCTGCAATCTCCAATTGCGGCACCTGCGAGTATTGCCGCAGAGGCATGTACAGTCACTGCACCTCAGGTGGCTGGATTCTCGGCAACAAGATTGACGGCACCCAAGCAGAGTATGTCCGCATCCCGCACGCGGAATCGAGTCTGCACCCAATTCCTGAAGGAGCGGATGAAGCCTCGTTGGTGATGCTGAGCGACATCTTCCCAACTGGGTATGAGTGCGGTGTGCTCTGCGGCAAGGTGCAGCCCGGTGGTACCGTCGCCGTTGTCGGAGCAGGGCCAGTTGGTCTGGCGTCCATCATAACCGCCCAGATGTACGCTCCATCAAAGATCATTGCCATTGATACAGACCCGAACAGACTTGAAGTGGCGAGGCAGTTCGGTGCTACCTATACTATTGATAGCAGTGACAATAACACCGTGGACGACGTTAAGGCCATGACTGAAGGCAAAGGTTGCGATACCGTGATTGAGGCAGTCGGAATCCCGGCAACGTTCGATCTCTGCCAGGAACTGCTTGCTCCTGGTGGTGTACTAGCTAATGTCGGCGTTCATGGAACAAAGGTGGATCTCCATCTTCAAAATCTCTGGGACAAAAATATCGGTAAGCCTTACTTCTTTGTTCAGCTGAGTGTATTCCATTCCATGACTTACTTGGCGTTTAAGCTATTACTACCAGGCTCGTCGACACAACGACCACGCCCATGTTACTCAAACTTGTCCAGTCTGGCAAATTACAGCCTTCTCAACTGATTACTCACCGTAAGTCTACCCGAGTGTAGCAAGGAACTTTACTAATAGCTCTTATAGATTTCAAGCTTAGCGAAATGGAAGAAGCTTACGCAACCTTTGGCGAAGCTTCGAAACACGGAGCCTTGAAAGTTGTCATCGATGTGGAGTAGATAGTGAAGCATTACTCTTCGCAGACATATTGAATCAGAGAGATCGTTCAGGGAATTAAGACGATGGAAAAGGGCTGAAATGACATAAGGCTAAATTTCAAGGTAATCAATCGTTTTACTGCAGATATGTGACGAACTATGCAAATAGCAATCAGGATAACGACTGTTTATAAGAGTTACTTGGCTTAAAAACAGAGAATTTGCGTGAGAAACCGCATACTTGTATACGTCTTAGTGTGTGTCTTGTATGGGGATTCGTGAACGCGCCCCTCTCAGTGCGCTCGGTGTCGTCTTTAAGAACAGCCATCACAGGCATAGGTACGGCGCTATCTGCTGTGATATAATCGAGCTGGGGTGTGGACAATGATGCAGAGGATGAACAGAGATCGACGGCTTAACACAATGAGATTTTCTCTGTGCCTTTTCTCGGTATGCAGTGGACCATGCTCATACGTTCAAATAAACCATATATTCATACAATCAATGTTCTCAGTGTCTGCTCCAAGCTTTGTGCCAAAAGCACAAAGTAATCGCTAACGCACTACCCCATATCCATGGGCTTTCAAGGTTCTTCCAACTGCAGATTGAAAATTGGCGAGTGTATCCATCTATCGGTGTTGAGGTTGTATCTGTGTTGTCAATGCGACATCCCTCCTCCTTCATAGGAAGAAAAGTCTTGTGGTCAAAATGTGAACACTCGCAATTATCCGAGTTGACAGTGCTTCCATCATAATCTGTGTTATCATGTGAGCACTTCATTCCATGGTTGGAAGAAATAGCTGTTGTCATACAACTTGACTGAGAAGGTAGTTCAAAGAGGACGGGCAGTGAAACCTGTTCACTCTTGACCATGAGCTTTTTCGAGTTTTTAATCTCTTTATCGTCAATAGTTTCAGACGATTGTTCCAGTGTCTTTGCGTCTGAACTATTTTCATTGGAAAACTGAGCATCAACATTCCCCAACAGTTGATGCGTTCGAATTATTCGGTCAGACAGATGTGAAGAGTCATTACTGCTAACCGCCCATGTTGAAAATTCGCTTGGCTGAGCATGGAATGAAGAATACCAATATCCTGGTAAAGTTTGGGATTCTTGCGAATGCGAAGGAACGTGTAGCATTCCTCCAGCGGCAGATAGGTGATCTCGCTGATCGACCACTATGTCTTCATCGGGATAGTTGTCTTGTAGCGATTGGTCTAGCTCCCTCAAAGTGATAACAAGTAGGTCACACTTTTCTCTATCCTTAGGCTCTGTGCAAAGAAGCCTGTTTTGGATCAGGTCTAACAACCCGTTGAAGTATGTGGTGCAATGCTGATTTCGCCGTAAATCTGTTATAAGCTACGCCAGTTAGGACAGTTGTTAGACTGCGTCATTCCTAAGCTTGAAAGAGACTTACGTTTGTGACTGAACGCTTTAACTCCGCGCCATGGCCGCCGTTTTCTGTAGGACTGAGATTGAAAAACTTGTCCTGTCTAAATGACTCTATTTGTCCTCGGTCATCTTGAATCCTTCGTTGAATGCTGTTTTCGAGGCCTTCAAAGCCGATCAAATACCACGTGACAAATTCCAAATAGACACAACCCAGCGCCCATATATCAGCAGCTCGAGAAATGCCATTATGAAATCCGTATTCAGGAGCTTGGTAAGTAGGGTCCTTTCCGGGTGGAAGCGCATTGGATCTGGTTTCTTCTCCGTGAAATCGAGTGAGCCCAAAATCACTGATGACTAATTTTCCGCCTTTGTCCTCTGGGTCGTTAAACCACAAGATATTCTGTGGTTTTATGTCTCCATGGATTCCCCACTGCCTCATAGGGTCTGAGCGACTTTTATGAATGCTTCTCAGGCCTTCAGCTAAGCCAAGACATTGCTTTGACACCCATTTCGTAAATCGTAGATTTCTTCCAGGTGTTTTACTGCGCCAAAATCCTTCGAGGTTGCTATTTGCCCATGGGAATAGAAGACACCAGGTATCGTTTTGTCTCCATGTAGCCAACAGTCTGATTAGATGAGGATGTTTTGAAACACCGGCAGACTTTGCCCAGCTTCGTACCTCTTCTTTAAAGTCAAGTTCGCGCTTGCCATACTGGACCTCACGGTAGCGATGAAGTTCTTTGACTGCAAAAAAAGGTTGTCCCTGACTGGAATCCTGGTGAATTGTCAGCTGAAATCAAGGTATCAACTCCACATAACCGGATGCAGTACCTCATCATGGTGTGCCGGATGAATTTGTACTCGTCTCACCGTGCTGAATCCCCCTGATGCTGTTTCTAATTTGCCGAAGTCACCAACAAATGGTAACACCGTCCCCACATCCAAGTCGTAATGGGGCAACTTGTTGTTGCTTTGTCGCAGCTCAAAAAATGGAGACCTTGTCATTCTCTGGTACGTCTGGAATGCTGTCCACTCCCATCGTTTCCAGGTTTGCCCGATGGTCCAACATTCCAACTCGCCAGTTGCAAAGCTCTTCGGACAAAGACGATGCCCAGTATTATTGGGCGGAGAAACCAGAGGTAGGTCTTCGTCCGTGAACCCGTTGTCAATATATTGCTTGATTTCGTCTACCTTATCAATCATCACCAAAATGGCAAACATACTCCTCGCACCTGATGACGACAGTTGGTCTCTGTGGTCAACATATTCAATCAGTCCACACACCCTTGCCGCGTACCCTCTTACATCGGTTGCATCGACTTGATCCGGGTTCAAAGTATGAGTCAAAGCCTTGTATACCGATTCTTCGTTGACGATTCTGTACAAATCATTCACGGGGAGCCAATATGGGGCGTCCATGTTTCCAGAGTAGTATACCCGAGACTTGTGAATGTCTTGAGCCATCATGTCAATTACCGTCAGTTCCGAGTTAGTCTGCTGACCGGCAGCTTTGAAAGCAGACCCAATACCGTTCAAATCAAAACTGTCTTTCAAGGATTTAAGAGACATGTTGTCTTGGGAATTTTCTTGCTGCAGCTTCTTCGCAGCGGTCGAGTAGCCACGATTGCGTCGGGTCTGGACACTGACTTCATCATCTGGTCGTGGATATCGACTGTTTTGCACTTCAAGGTCGGCTGTGTGAGGCGACAAGTTTCGAGTCACACGTCTTGCATCCCCAAATTTCTCAATGTCGTTGTGTGAGACATTGGCGTCGGGGTTCCATGGAGCAGGTACGACCTATGTTGGCTTGAGTCATTTCAATTCGGATTTCACAGTCTTCAAGGTGTACACTAACTGTTTTAGGTTCATTCATTTCAGTGATCGACCTTTGTAAGGTAAAGAATAATGGGCACAATTGTGGAATTTGCACAAAAGTTTGCCGGGGAGGATTGGTTGATCTACATATATACAAGCTTTGCATACGCTCATCCGCGTTCAGAATCGAAAGGCTCAGACCAAAGAACAGCTAGCTAGTTGCTGACAAACGAATCTCAAGAAACCAAAAAGAAATAAAAGCGAAGTGCAACGCCCATACAGCCACCACAAAGGGAGACCTAAGAATGCCTACGAATATCAATTGAGGTTGAAAACTAGAAGTTGCACACCCAATTGTCTCGCGAATAAATCCATTTTCAAGCATAGCTCCCAAGCTGACAGCCTGGGAGCCTAAGAGCCTCATGTGTCTTACTTTTCGGTAAGTCTCTAGTACGTCGAAAGGGTGTAGTGGTGTTAAGGCAGTGCATGTTTAAGGCAGCCATTCTCGTCTTAGGGATGACCTTGATTTTTCTACATCCAAGAAAGCCTCGAGGGGACGGTTCAATCATGTTCCATGGACTCGTGACGTGACCGCCCCCGAAGGATTGCACAGCCTGATCTTTTGGGGCGAAGTGAATATAGATCTACGCTTAAACTCAACTGCTTGCGGCATTACTTGCAGCATGGTATTTTTATGAACGGATCTCAATTATTTCAGGCCTCCAGGCAGGCGGTATCCCTTTTCGGCTGGTTTGCCTGATTCTCTGAATTATATAAATTGTACTGGACGGACTTTCTGTTTGCACGTTACTCCTATCAAAAGATCCATCACAGTTCTGCATCATTTCCTTTCGAGCTACCTTCACTGCCTATTAATCCGAGTCTTTGATATTACTCACCTGAAGGCCTGTTTCATGACTGATTAAGCTTTGAAGAGCTAATCTTGACAAATTATCTGATGCACTCGACATCAACCTTCAAAAGCCATGATGGAGGATGGCAACTTATCCATTGCAATTTGGTAAGAAGCCCAAGAGCGCTCTCCAACCTCTTGACAAAGCTTTATGGAGAAGGAAAGTTTGAGATAGAGGTAATTTCCCCATTTACAACAAAGCAAGTAACTGGAAAACCAGACGCATCGTAAAGTATTCATAGTTTAAACTTGTTCTTGTCTCTCCATTGCTTTGCTCCGAGCTCACAGAAACAACACACAGACACGGCAAAGTTTATATCGCATTAGAGCACATGACACACCTCAACCTCTAGATCTTGTATGTATATCAAAATCCAAGCTTATTTGCTACACAGCTAATTTTGTTTAGGAACTACCGGAAGTTCGAGACTGTTTGAATGGAAAAATCATTGAATGAGTCTAGATATGGAAGCCAATTCGTACTCATTTAAAAAGATAGCTTTAGTATCTTGGGTGCAGCGTTATTTGCGCTTGTGTATGTCTATTCAATTCGGCGTTGAGCCTGGAAATTTTGTTTAATATTTTAAAGATAGCATCAAATGAATGAGAGCCATTTTCCTGTGCCACACAGCGTAACTGTAAATAAGTAGGAAAAGGAAGGGCCAACAGCCTGGAACGTTCGCACTCACCAGATGAATCGGAGGATACACTAAATGTTATGCACGCTGCACCTTTGCAATTGGGTAGCACCAGCCGCAACACAGTACCGCGCAATATTGCTAGCTAGTTCTGACGTGCATCCTACACCAGATTTCTCGCCCGTGATGGCAGGCGACTGACTACCTGAGATTCCAAGACCCAAGGTAGCATCGAGCCATCGGCAAGGAAAGACAAGGCAAGTGACGCAGTCTGCCTATCGGTTAAACAGAAATGATTGGCAGTACTTGCAGCCAGGATGGTGTGCTGAACGAGGCTTCCTCTTATTGACAAGCCACATCTTTATGGTGTGCAGACTTCTGTAGGCATACTGAGCCATGGTCGCCAAGAATGCGTCTGAGGGTTGCGACTTGATGATAAGGAAGCAGTTGCCTTAATGCTTCCTGACTTTATCGTCCGAAATAATATTTATTTTCCCCTCGGCCTTTTCTCCCAGGCCATCAGCTGTTTACGGTAGTCGAATAAGCCATGGAGTCGCATCCTTCAGTCCCAACTATTGTCATCAACGACAATGACGAGATACACCCTCCTGGTCACTTCGACGAGACTGATCAAGAGCGCCGCAATATGGAGCAATGGATGTTTCCAACTTTTCCCCAACTTCAATGGATCTACGATTCTCAAGAACATTCTGCGGATGAACAGGTCGAAGAACGACTCAGCATGCATGCCGTGAAGGGCTCTGCCGATAACCTCTATAAGGACGGATTTTGGCCTCAAGGATTAGTCGAACATCTTATGGACGAAGAGGCGGTTCGTAAGATCGTCGCAAACTTACTAAACCGAAGAGCTCTTCCGAAGAACGTCTCGGAGTCGGATTGGATCGAACGCGTTTTGGGAACAGGAGGCCGTTCCCCAAGTTACCGCAAAGTCTTGGCAATCCTGGTGCTTATGGACAAGACAGTTTATCTCAAATGGTTCATTGACAAGAGATTTGATGATGAAAAAGTACGTCTACAGCACGGCCTGGTACTCAAATGTCTCTCATCTGAGAACCCCGATCCTACAAGTCCTCGGAAGAGGGTGCCCCGATGTGAGCCGACAACCTTTGATTCCCTTAGAATCGAAATGTATCCGCCGTTTATTTCAAAGTCAAAACATTCGGGAAAGGTATCCCGGCATGTATTCGAAGCGAGAAGCATTTTGCCCTGGAAAATATTAAGGTATTCTCAAATCAACTCAACCCCCACGAACATCTCATCCCTATATGGGGGCTATGGGGACGTCCAGAAAATTGTTATTCACCCCTGGCAACATGATTTTCATAAAGATCTTGAAAAGGTTAGTTTAATGACCTGGAAAATCGATACCTTGTGTGATTGGATGACTGACTTTTACTCAGATGGGCGCCGAGTCAAGCTGCTTCGCTTTGAAGAGACTATATGCCTCTAATGAGAAAGCATTCGACCAAGAAGTACAACAGTTGGAGCGTTTTGGGGGGCGTCACCCCCATATTGTAACTCTCCTTTCGACAATAATCTTACAATCTAGTCAGCCTACTTACCAGCTTCTGTTCCCTTTGGCGGATTGTGACTTGCTAGGCTATTGGGAACTAAGGCCTCAGCCGAAAGATCAGGTAGCCCTGAGTTGGGTAGCAGAGCAGTTGTTTGGTATGGCTGATGCATTGTCCTTCATTCATAATCCTGGTTTAAAGGTTGGAGACAAAAGCCTATACGGAAGGCACGGTGATATCAAGCCAGAGAACGTCTTGCTTTTCAAACGCAGAGATCGGGACACCCTGGTTCTTTCGGATTTGGGTTTGACGATGACACATGGTGAACAAAGTCGGTCAAATAGACCTGGAGAAACAATTCCTACATCACCCAATTATAGGCCACCAGAATGCGATATTGATGGGAAAAAAGGTCACGTCTCCAGAGCTTTCGACATCTGGACTCTAGGCTGCTTATTTCTTGAGTTTTTGGTGTGGATTTTTGACGGCTGGGATGGATATATCAAGTTTAAAGAACGGCTATATTCTCTTTATATTAACGGTATGGTTACGTGTCTCTACTTTGAAATCGTTCGTGTTGGAGAGAGAGACTTTGCCTTCAAGGTTAAAGACGTCATTCATGAGGTAAAGTCTTTGAGAAACCCCACCAAGTTCGTGTGATAATAACAATCGGCAGGAATTCAATCGTCTCCATGAGCACCCGAGTTGCTCCAAGTTTCTACATAGCATGTTGAACTTGGTCGAAACACGCATGTTACTGGTGAGATCAAAAGAAGTCGACCGAATTACCGCACAAGACCTTCGCAATAAATTGCAAGCCATAAAGAATGATTGCAAGAGCAAATCTTACTGCGTAGATCCATGCCCACGACCAAGTTTTAACCAGCCCCGATTGCCGGTCAGAGCTCGACTCAATAGCATGGCGCAGCAATACATAGATCGCGACCATATCAACTTCAAAGATCATCGAGGTGCGACGTCTTCTTTTGAGAATATTTAAGACGAGAAGGCGCCCATGTTCGACTTTATTTACAAGTACGATTCTCTCTACTCAGCAAGATATGAATGAAACAAGGCATTTTCTTTTTGTTTTTTCGATGGCTCTAATTCACAGTTGACTCAGTTTTGTGTGTAATGATCCGCTTCGATTGCCCTCAAAATGACATCCCGCTCAGTCTGCCATTCGGTTAGTAACTTGGCCTAGTTCTTCGTCTATGTCATACCTCTGTCAACTTTCGCGGAATCGTGCAGAAAAAGCGACCTCGTTCGGACTAAATTCAATTAGATCTTGTGGCTATTGAATTTTGGCCCGATTCCATACAGATATCCTCAATATTTCTCTTGGAAAGATGGTTTTCAGGTGAATAAGAATCACAGTCTCATCTGTGTACCGACCTCGAAATACTTCAACAGCCATAATTCGTACTTATTTCACGTGGTCCCACAATTTTATCGCAGCTTGAATTTTCTCTGCCCCGTTATTGACTGCCGGCGTATGAACCTGACGGATGTGTTAAAATTCTAGGATCTAGGTTGATGGGAAAAGTTTGGAGATAATGGTCTGAAGAGGGGAGGTGAAGAGTGTCAAAATTTTACTACGCGCTGCCTTTGAGAAGGCCATAGGAGCCTATCCAAGGATGTCTTGCATTACTATATCCACCGCACCTACCTTCTCCTCAGACGATCTCCCACATCTTGACCACAACCCTTTCCCCGTGCCAATACATGTGACTTGGTTGTCGACAAAGACGTATGTAACCACGTTCTAGTCTAACACAGCCTACTGATGTGAAATGAGTAATTTTCATGGCATCCATAAACACAACCCAATTACTTCGGCCTTCAGCTTGGGCTCCCCAAAGGGCTCCCCAAAGGGCTGGATTCCGAATATCCAATTGGCTGTGTAGCCCAGATGACATTTTCAATCACACCGAAAATGCGACCATCATCATAATTCGGACCGCATGTGGCCGGCTAGTGCATCGAAATTGACGTGGGCTGTTTTGCCTCGCCTCTGGTTGTCTTACTGCGCCGCTGCGCAGGCGACGTGGGAATACAGCAGGGCGAACGGCAAGCTACTGGTTCAATAAAATCAGGCTGTGCAGGAAATGGCTAGCAGCGTTTCAATGCATATGCAGTGATTCGAAGATGGTGTGGACAGGTAAAAAATTTGTGTAATCGGTGTAACCGCCACATCACATTCCACGTGTCCAGTCCTTGCCACCAAATCACACTTCTGAAGGCTCCCCGTTTCTGGCTGCTGCAACCCTTTTCTTGAGAAGCTTTGCAAATTATTTGGGTCTTGATGGAAAGCATACTGATGCGGCAGTGAATGTACACTCATCAAAACAGTAATGGACTGGCCTCATGAGAATAGTATCATGAACGATGCCGACTTCGAAAATGTCTTTCATTATCAATCTCAAGAAACGACGGTCGTTAAATATTTAACGAAAGACCATGTTAGCCAGAATCTCCGCCACATATTACAGCTTACTGACACTAGTTAAATACAGTGTCCGATTTCTTGGTCATTAACAACGTCAAAAGATTGGACAAACTGGTTGAGTGTACGTTCAATGATAGCCATCACCTTCTTTGTCGTTTACTGTGATTATGACTGACCCCATAAAAGTCTTTGCCCTCAGTCCATGGAAATTCCGGTCTAGTACTCATGTAGGTTTCAATCAACCGGGACCAAGTTACGCCTAATGCCTCAAGGCTCGATTCTGACCTGGCATAAAAAGTTTAGCACGGAAACCTGGGGAGCATCAGAGTTTTATTAGTAAGCTTCGTTCAAATCAAGCGCGAATAACTCTGGAGCCTACAGATGATATTGATGGCACGTTCAACGAGAAGGCTCAGCCGTCAAATACTCTGGAAAATCCTTTTACTTCGCTTTCTGAACACGCCAACCTCAAAGCAAACAGCCAAAAAGCACGCGGTGGTAAACGAGATGTACGGCAACTTCCCTTCGAGGAGAGTACTTTCAGAGACATATGCAAAAGGTTTTATGTGCACCCATCTATTGCACGCGTCATCAACAGAGCAGATACGTCAGTCTTCAGTAGGTCTATGGTGAACATGGCAACAGAAAATTCGGAATCTTCAGGTCATCCTGCTATAGGTAAATTTACATCACCTTAAGTTACAAGATCGCATCTCACATATCCCAGTATACCATTGCCGATCCTCGAATGTTTGGGCAGATGATATGGCTCTGACTGCAACATACTTCCCTGAAAGCAAATTGACATTTGCAATAGTTTTTGGTTGCAACGCAGATGCTGAAATGAAAATCCTCAATAGACTGAGCCGAGCAAAAGGTCACGTAGCTTTCCCCCTTTTACTCCCGGGAATATTTGCAGAGATAGAAAGGGATCGCATGGTCAGAATCGTCGAAAAGACCATAGATGAAATTGAGGAAGCCATTTTCGAAATAGGCTCTAGAGATACTGCTATTACTGGGACTCCGGATCACGAGGTTGCTACCGGTACGAGGCAGAACAGAAAGACAGCATGGTTGAACACTACCTTCTTGCGTAACAGTCTTAGGATGTGGAATAAACAGCTTAGGAAAATGTCGGAGCACGTTGGGGAGCTTTCCACAATGCACAAAGAATTGTGCACGCAGAACCGTTATCTCGGTCCTAAGCCTATAGAGCAAGAGGGAAAACACAATGAAGTGATGGAGAGAACAGGAAGAATGATTTATGATCGTCTTCACAATCTAATGGAGGAATATGAAGACAGAATTCATGAATGTACAATGTCTGTGGAAGGAATGACAATTGCAACACAATGGGCAAGTTTTCTTCTGGGCTGATTTCTTTGCTCTTGTTGAGTTTTGAAAGTTTGCTGACAAATGAACGAGTTATCAGGCACAAGGTGATACCAACGTAGATATTGCAACGGCTACTGGGCAAGATTCGCGGCAAATGCGATCCATTGCTTTGGTTACAATGGTTTTTCTTCCGGGGACGTTTTTCGCTGTAAGTCATGACCTGTGATCCCACAACAGCATTCGCTAATCAAACAGACCCTGTTCTCCATGACCTTCTTTGACTGGTCACCTGGAGAAGATAAAAAATCACTCGTCTCAGGCTACATATGGATATACTTTCTCGTTACCGGAGTTTTCACTGCAACAACCCTGGTCATTTGGTGGTACTTTCTTTCTAGCCGCCGCAAAAAGTTAACATCTTTTCATTGAGGCAGCAATGAGTACTTTTGAAGTAAAACTGCAAACTCAAAAACATTTGATTGCCAGTCATAGTGGCTAAGCCCAGAAGGTATACCTGCCCATTCATTTCAGACACGCTCATTAAGGATATTAGAAGGTCAAATCCCGACAACCTTCATCAGAAACAGCACCAAATAGAATGTCAACATAAATTTGGCAAGGGCAGGTCATGAATAGCAGGATAAGGTTCAAACACAGAATTTCTGAAGGAATTCTCATTCTCCAGTTTTCTTATACTTAGATCTCATCAAACCATCTCAATCGTTTCATTCTTATGGACTAAACATTTTATATGTTGCTATCTTCTGGAAAAACTCTGGCCTCATGAGTACGCGACATTAGAAGCTCACTGTTTGGCAGTGATTAGTTATGTTCTGCGTTGTCCTTAGATCGACAACTGGCTACTACAAAGTCTTTAAACCATCTCGACGTTGCCAGCAACAACTTGCAGACAATAAAGCTCGCCAGTTAAAAAACTCACTGCTATGGGTCCATCACGGTTAATTCATAGTCAAGGCCAGTGCATCTATTGTGAACATCAAACATCCACTTAAAATAGGTAAGTTCTGATACCGGACCTCGATATTTGATATTTGGATTGCATATTGTGATAGGTATTTCATTGCCACTTGTATACCCTACATCTAGACAAAGGCTTCCAACCACAAGAATCTTTAAGAAACACCACACTATCGCCTCCAAAGTGTCTGAAATTAACCATCCGGGAGGTTATCTTACACCGAGGGCACACTTCTTTCTACCTTGAGTTAGGCATTCAACTTGATGAGACACCGGTGGCCGCTTGGTACCATGAGAAAATGTAAAGCTGGTTCCATGTCTTTGTCACACATGCCTTCCTGTTCCGAGACCGTGGCATTGGGGAAGTTGCGGAAAAACCGAGCAGTGATCAAGCGAAGCTCGATCCTCGCCAGGTGCCGACCAAGACATGCTAATCCTTTCGTTAGAGACGCAGGAAGCTAGGTTTATGCGTCAAGAGATGACTTACTTCTTGAGCCGCCGCCAAATGGCATGGTGCAATCTTTCATCTCCTGAGTTGTGTTCTCCCATCGTTCAGGGTAGAAGCGATACGGGTCGGGGAACGCATGCTCGTCACGATGCAGACTGTAAGCCTGTGTTGTAACCGTGGCACCCTCGGGTATAAAGTGGCCTACAAGCTCAGAACCTCCGCTTGGCACGATTCTGGGAAGACCACACGGCAGGGCAGTGTAAAGACGCAGCGTTTCGTTCACGATCCAGTTCAGATACGGCATTTCCCTCAGTTGTTCGTAGTTAAAGTCTTCCGGGAGAGTTTCGAGTTCCTTGAGAAGTCTGGCCTTGACATCAGGCAACTTGCAAACCGCCCATATAAGGTATATCATAGAGTTTGCTGTGGTATCGCTACCCCCGACGATGAACACTTGTGCGTTGTCGCGAATCTCGATCGGTGACCAAGAGTCCTCTGCACCAGCTGTATAGAGCTTTGAGAACACTGTCGGCTTGGGGTCGTCACCCAGCTCCTCCACGCGCTTAGCGTGGCGGTCAAGAGCACCTTGAGCATAGTCAAAAGTGCGGTATTGGATCTTGGTGGCGTCACGGAAGACAGGGATCGGAAGGTATAGAGACAGCCACGCTATGGTCGGAAACATGGAACGAAGGCCACCGACGAAGCCTAAGCTAACGAAATCATTGACTGATCGGTTTTTCTATCGCCAGTGATTAGCTTTTAGTAAGCTATATTGGAAAAAACTCGTTATTTCAAGAGAATGGAGACCTACCACACCACTTTCAAGTTGACCAAAACCTTCGCCAAATGTCAAGTCGCCGATGACATCGAATGATAGAAACATAAACCACTTTGCAATATCGGCAGCGCCTCGTGTTTTACTCTCTTCACGGATGCGTTCAATAGCAAGGCGTACCTTACCATCGATACGAGGCAAGAAGGTCTTCAGTCCAGTTTCTGACATGGGATTCGAGAGAAGGCGTTTGTACTTGCGGTGAATCTCGGGCCGGATTTCATTGAATACACTCGATGAGTCTGTAATCAGCAAGGAATAAAATGGTGACTTTAGGAAGCCACCCTTGACACTGTGGATGCGTTGACATGTCGGTGCGTCGGAAACATCAACTTCATGTGGGCTGATGCGTACCACGGGACCATATTTCGCGTGTAGCGCGTGTACCCAGTCCGGATGGTGTGCGGTGATGACAAAGTACGTGGACACTAGAGTAGTGTAACGTGTATACCATGGGCCTGGGATATTTGATAGTGGATTTGTCAAGCCTGCATAGATATACTGTGATTCGCCGTGTTAAATCGAGGCCATCAAGTTGGAGGTTGCTGGGGTACAGACCGTTGCAAGGGCGACGCAGACGAATGCGCCTCCAAGGTATAGTGGATTCGTTTTGATGAAATCCATTTTCAAATACAACACTTCACCAAAATAACTTGAGAATACTGCTCGATAGCACCCTTTTTTGGCGACATATCTCTCTTATAGGCCTAGTAAATCATTTCTTCTTGATGTCATCACCCTGCCTCCGTCGGAGACCCCCAACTAAGCCGTACGGACATGTTTGTAAGCATTAATCCAGGACGGGTAGGGTGTGAAACGATGCTGAGGCGGCATATGTATTTGAAGTTGGCATTGGGATGACATTTCAACCAGTCAAGTTGGGACACACCATTGGTATGGCTTGTACTACCTAGTATGGTTCATTCGTTCGGCATGGTCCGATTGCTCCGTTTACTGCCAAGGTGAACGTGTGCGTAAGATGAGAAGTGTAACACGAATTCTATAGATAATACAGCTATAGTATTTAGAGGAAACAAAAAGCGAAATTCCTTTTTGACAAATAATGACTGTAGCTGCCCAAAAACCTTCTTTTAACTCCGTACATACACGGCCATGTTGTGGTGTCGAAATCCAAACTTTGTATTGGACACCACCAATAGAATGGTCTTGGGGTATTGTTACTCCTTTTCTGCGCTGCGCGGAAGCCTTAACCACTATGTTTCCCAAAACGCCATGTTTAAATGCAATACAAAATACCTTACGCATAGGACAGGAATATTCAGAATGGAAAGTCGAGACATTGCAAACCCTGGCTACTGTCTCTCGAATGACTGATGTACTTGTTATTCCTGCACACATGCTACAGGTCATAGCATCAAGGTGTGGAGATTTTGTAACGTTGCCGGCTCCAGTGAACATTGGCTGACAATGAGCGCTGACTCTCTACTCGTCCACTGCAGGCGGAACGGACAGTACGGGGAAACTGCTGGAGTCGTCCGGTGTACAAGGTTTTTGTCCCAGACAGTTGTGTCTGAGGGCCCACACCGGCTGTCACTTGTCCATGAGAGGGGGCGAATACGAACTACAACTTCCGATCCGAAAATCGAGATTAGATGAAGCTTCGGACTGCCGCATTGTACCTTCGCCAAATCTGTTCATACAAAGAGGTGCAGCACCGTGATATTTCGGCTTTCGGTTGACCATAAGAGGCCGTCTCGTCTGTATTATGGTGTCGAAGAAGAGGGAATGTTAATATTAATGATCGCTTCTGGTTCACAAACTCGGCCAACGACCAATGTCAATCAACACAATCTAAGGAGAATAAGAACATATCTGCCATCTTTGGCCATTCTAGCTTGGAAAAGACCTGTCATGGGTACTTCAGTTAAGCTCAGCCAGGAGATCGGGACGAGACTGAGGCCACCCCAAGCAATCCAAACCATAACCACCGCAGGGAAACTCGAATCGGGCTGAAAGTTAGCGATTAGTAAAGGCAACAACCTTCAGCTGACTTTGGAGGTGTAAGCCACGAGTAGCACGGCAGCAGAATGATCAAAGCGGCGGGTCCGCCGGCTTTAAACCGTTGATGACGTTTACACTTGGAAAGGTGCAAATTTAATAGTTTCTCATCATCTTTGGATTTTCAATATTGATAGGATGCGAACAGTTTTACTGTTTTGGGACCATTCGGGCTTGACTCCTGCGACAAGCAGCGACATGCAATTTATTTCCTTTCTTGCTTCAATGTCAAGCGAACTTTGTTTGCGATAGCGACATGTAAATTGTGGGAAGATTCAATAGATGAGCTGAATCTAAAATGATTCTAAGTTCACGGTGCACTCGATGTCAGTGAATGATTTTGTTATAGGTTTCACTGGATAAAAGCTCCGCACAGGCAGAGAAAAAGTAAACAAACCGTGAATTGGTGCCGCTCATAACACCTTATAACACCTTATGTAAGTTACAGTCAAATTATGGTTTTAAACGTACGGGAGAGATATTGTCTCCCGGGCCATCGCGTGTGGGTGGGAGGTTGTCTCTCCCCACCTGACCGTGACTGGCGTTTGGCCCGGCCTGGTGGCCACACAAGCCGGATCCTGATGATTGCAACAGTTTTTATGCTTGCAATAGAGCTAACTGTTTGAAGGTGATGCGTGCGAGCAACCGCTATCAACCGACACATTTGCCTTTGCTTTTGGCAAGAGACATGATTTTGGCTATTACGAATGGCGGAAAAATGATCATCAGTCTCACGGCTGCTGCAGAGTCTTGAACCATTTCTATGAAAAACAAGCTTTAATATTAAAAGAAAACTTACAGAGAATTTGGCGACCATCAAAGCTTGAAAGATTCGCAGAGATTGTCGACTTTGAGCAATAGGTAGGTGGTGAAAGCCATGAAATTATGGACTTGGCATCTTGAGAAAAAGGTGAGCATGTCGCTGATGTTCAACTGCTTAATGTCAGTCAAGGCGCAACAGTGATGCTTTCTAATCGATTAGTATTCCAAAAATACTCTGGACTCTGAAAGCTGAAGCATGAAGTCCGATAGACGGAGAGGGTCGGCCGTCACGATAATCTGCGCGTCTGGCACCATCACCAGCATCAAGCACGTCATTTCGTAGCCACCTGGCCGACCCAAACATGCAGCGGATTCTCCGCAGTGTGCCCCCCTAAAACCGACATCAACATCTCACTCTAGTTGTTATTCCCGTTTTTAAGCATGTTAATGTCAGCGAACCAGCGGGACGAACAGATGCCAAAGGCAATTATCCCACGCAAATCCCCCATCTCGGCCTGCCACTAGCCCCGCCCCACCCACATTCTTCCAAGGGCGTCGACCGTTCAGAACAAGATGTCGGGCAATCCCCGGCAAAGCCCTGCACCACGCTCACCATGTATGTAATTGCCACGAGTAACCCCCGCGGAAGTGGTGACTATCTGTTAAGGTCGGACAAGGCCCGACTCCCGGAAGTGCGCGGAAGCGGGCCTTTTCCCACAAAACTTGCCTGGATCAAGAGCCGTCCGCATGGCATAAGGCCGAGGAGCTCTGGCGCAATCGATGGCTTTGGGAGAATTTTGACCGACAGGGGTTCTTGAATGGCAAATATCAATCATCTATGCCTTCTCCAGAGAGCTGGACCTCTGGGTTGGAGGTTCAACTAGTTTCTGCAGTTACAATACCAGAATCTCAAAAACGAAAGCAGGGTTATCCTGCAACGTCAGCAGCACAGAATGCCGACTCTAAATACAGTCCCCCGAAAGAAGTGGTGGAAGATTCAATGGTACTCCGACGATGACACGCCCGAAGAACGCAAGCTCATTATGAAGCTTGATATGATTGTGGTTCCGTACGCTGTTCTCAGCTACTGGGTCAAGTACATTGACCAGGCCAACCTTAGTAAGTCTGGTCATTCTTGGGAAACCTGCGACAACACAAGACTGACTTGAGAAGACAATGCCTACGTCGGAGGTATGAAAGAAGAGCTCGGCTTCCAAGGTAACGAGCTGGTTGAGCTGCAGACCATGTACACTGTTGGTGCCGTCGTGGGGATGGTCCCGTTCATGTTCCTATTCACCTATGTTCCTATGTATTGGACGATCCCCGCCATGGATATCCTTTGGGGTATTTTTACTCTTTTGCAATACCGCGGACAGACATTTGGAGAGATGGCTGCTTACCGCTTCATGGTCGGCTTTTTTGAGGTAAGCAGTCTCCCGTAGCTCTGTTGTTTGTTGAACGACTTTATCTGACATTTTACAGGCTGCATTCTTCCCTGCCATGCACTACGTCTTCGGTTCGTGGTACAGAGGGCATGAAATTTCTCGAAGGGGTGGCATCTTTTACACTGGACTCAACCTCGGAACCTTAACAGCAGGTCTCATCGCTGCTGGCGCCTCTCGTCGCTTGGAAGGCGTCCATGGTATGTCCAGCTGGCGATGGATGTACATCATTTGCGCCATAATCACCATTCCCGTTGGTATTCTCGGTTATTTCCTTCTTCCTGGAACCGTTGATCAGCCTAACCGATGGGTACTCAACGACCACGACATCAAAGTTGCCAAAGCCCGCCTCGAGAGAAGTGGTCACGTCACTCGCGGGAAGTTCAAGCTCGGACATCTTAAGAAGATCTTCTTGAGTCCGCAATTCTGGACAGTCGTGCTTGTTGATGTACTCTTCTGGAATGCCGGTATTCACAAGAGCACTGGCAGCTTTCTTCTCTGGATCAAGAGCTTAGGACGCTACACACCTGCAGAGGTCAACGAGATGGGAACTATTGCACCTGCGCTGGGAATATTCTATAACCTGGTAGCATGCTTCCTGTCAGACCTGGTCTTGGGACCCGCCTGGGCTATCACATTTTCATCGTTATGGAACATAACGGGTCTAATCATTCTCGTCAAATGGGACGCACCCGAAAGCGCAAAGTGGTTCGCGTTCGCCACAATGTACTGGTCTAACGCGCTATCAAGTGTGTTACACGGCTGGGTTAATACCATTCTTCGAGACTCGCCAGAACAGCGGTCCTTCACCCTCGTCACGATTACAATCATTGCTCAATCATCCACAGCATGGACGCCTCTATTGACCTTCCCCACGGTCGAGTCGCCGAGATACCCCAAAGGATTTTCCTTCTGCCTTGGGTGCGCTATATCGCTCATCATTGCAACGCATGTTCTCAACGTCTACATCAAACGCAAAGAGTAAGTTCAGAAGGCCTGGGTCTCTATTGCATAATTGTCTTCTAACCTGTGTAAACAGAAAAGCGAAACTGGCGCATCTCGAAAGCGAAAGTGACCGTGAAGGCAGCTATGGTCATTCGCCTGAGGCCGAGGCCGCCACAGGCAAGAAAGTGAACCCTACAGTTACAACGGCAGTCAATACCTCTGAAGAGTCTATCGCTCATCGATAAGCCTGGCGCGCACTTGGTAGTTACAGATGGGGCATAAACGCTGAATGAAAATCCACCTTGTTTTTAGCCACTTTGGTCAAAATCATATTTTCTTTTGATTCAGTATTTCTGGTGATCTTCTGTCATGCTGTAGTAATCTGGACGTGGTCAAATTAGCCTCTCCTAATATTAAATGTTTTCGGATTTGCCTCCAGTCCAACCTGTTTCAGCCTTGTAGTAACTGCGGTGTTTTCCTTTCTCTCGTTTTGCTACAGAAGTTGATTCATTCTATTACGTATAGGAACGGATAATGTTTAGTTGCTGACCTATCCCAGCTACGTCCATCGGCCAATGTACTTTTGCTACCTTAGATACCGGTGGGTGCCTGCCACGAAACATGTTCAGTACAAGACATCCTGGAATGAGGGGAAAGGTTCTAGAATGTTGCATCTACCGAAAGAACGGTGAGATTCGTGACCGTGTCGCCTGACATGTCTACAGCGAAGATCACTCCGAGGTGGTACCGACAGCACCGAATCTGAGACCGCGCGGAGACTGTGGGGTAGCGCCGGCAAACCGTTCGGGGGGACTCCAGAGGGGCCACCAGACGCCGGCCCAGTGACCCGGAGCTGGTGACTGCACCGTCATAATGTGTGATACCCTTGGTTAATAGCGACATCGTGTGAATCATGAGGTTTTCTCTTGTCGCAAAACTCTAGGATACTTTCCTCCGGGACACTTTTTCTCCCTGTCCACACTGCTTCTTAGGTGGCTTGCCCACGTCTAAGCGGCCCGACAAGCACCACACCACTACAAAATTCGGTTCAGGATCATAACCCCTTTGCACTTAAACCACCAACCAATCATACCTCAAATCGCTGCCGACTTAGGGAGCTGCCCACATCCCTTTAGCCGCCTTTGGCCCGCTCTAATTCCTGTTGTTGTTGGCAGGTTTCATCGCACCCTTTTCACATGCCCTGGACTTTTCCCTACGTGGGCAAATTGCCGGCCAAAGTCGCGATTATGGCCAAGTATCTGCTTGAAACTCGATTTGTTTGGCCGGAGCCAACATTTTCTTCCATTTGGTTCAGAGAAGACCCCAACTCCCTTCCTAGACCACCAAGACAAGACACCTGTCAAAGGTGCAGCTGGCCAAGTTTGCTCCTCGTGCATCTGTCCTGCATACTGATGCAGGCTCTCTCATGATTCATCACGCCTCCCAAACGCCGCACATTGAGTAAAGGGAGAAAACTAGTCGTTGCCACAAAAGTACCTGCTACTAGTTGTCTAGATCTTGCAGCCTCTGGCACTAACCACACAACTGCCGTTAGCGTGGTGGCGTCAGGTACTGTTCTCCCCCTCTGACTGGCTATTACACAAGGTCATCCAATATATGTCGTCTGCTGGTCTCTTCATAAGCTTGGTCACCATGTCAAATTTGACTGGACATGATGAAAACAAGTGTCTGCTTGGCGAAGACGGGAGGAGTTAATAAAGTGTGGACGGGCTTCAAGGGTCATTTGGAGTAAAGGGGAAACCCCTTGAAGCCCAAATGCCACTTCCCGCGTGGTAATCCAAGGGTATAGCAAATCGGGTCCCACCAACCAGATCGACGGAGAGCTTGTTAAATCATCCACACGGGAGGCTTGGGGGCCAGGCTCGTCTTTGAACAGATGTCTGTCGCCAGTACTGATTGGTGGATGGTTGAAATGAAACGGCGCCTCTCCCGATAAATCTTTCAAGGAGGATTCTCCTTGGAAAGGACCCGGTTCTGGGTATACGCCTTTACAATTTATCATTGGTCGCCGCTCAGCGCCTTAATATTTTCTTTTTTTCCGCCCAGCACGTTTTCTCAAGCCTTCGTCTGTTGTATTCATTCCGTGCGCACCGCTCTTTTGGGAATAATGTCCGCCTTATACCCATTCTCTGCCCAGTTTGACCCTAGCCTCAAAGTAGGGGTTAAAAAATTAGAGGATGTCGGTTAACAGCTCGTTTCCAGCAGGAAGCCGCTGCTTCGATCGCGTGCGGATCTATTCCCGTGGGCTTTCATCGAACCGATGTGCCATCTGATTTTTCGAACACCATCTTTTACCTTGTGCAAGACCAGGATCAAGTGTTTAGGAACAGGATATCTACTGGGTAACGAACTACCGCCTCCCGGGCTATTCCGTCTAATGAACTGGGCCCATCTACAAGGCCTGGGGTCTCTTCTCTCTAAGAGGAACAAGTATGAATTTGTCCCCAGCATATTGGCTCCCTGCGATTGCGGTCTGGACTCCGTCTTTTTGGTTAGTTCGATGAACTACACGTCCTCTATAGTTTAGACCGAATCAACCCCTAGCTGACTTGGCATCTGCTTCTTCTTCCCCCGGCCGTATCTCGCTCTTTCTTGTTGTATATAGCTGGTGAGTCCCATGATGAAAGCTGCCGTTTTGTTCTCATGGTCGCCTCAGCCCACCCTCGCGCGACCCCACGACCGTACTTACCATCGTGATCTTGGTCTCAAAGACATGTCGTTCTTTTGGTGATAATCTCACTTCAGTCTCTCATTTATAAAGCTTGATATCTTGCAGTCTCGTCCGTCATCTGAAGCCTCTTTACACATCAGCCACTCCTTACATCTTATTACACTCCTTTCAAGCCTTGTGCATCCAACAGCATTATCATGTATCTCAAAGCCTTTCTCTCAACCTTGCTGCTCCCCGCCGCTCTGGTCTCAGCCTGGGACTCCCCTTCTTACGCCGGTCTCACCCGCATCTGGCAGGACACCTTCTCTGGCGCCTCCGGCTCGGGTGTAAACGAGGGTAACTGGAACATCATCACTAACCTCCGCGTCAACAACGAGCTGCAGGACTATACCACATCGCGCTCCAACCTCCAGCTATCTGGCGGTAACACAGTGCAGATTGTACCCTGGAAGGAGTCCTCCGGACGCTGGACCTCGGCTCGCATCGAATCCAAGTACACGTTCACCCCCGCCGCAGGCCGTCTCACCGTAGCAGAAGGCCAGATCCGTTTCGGTGACAACGCCATCGCCAACAAGCGCGGTATTTGGCCCGCCTTCTGGATCCTGGGCGATGCCATCCGCAACGGCGTTTCATGGCCCCGCTGCGGAGAACTCGACATTCTCGAGACGGTCAACGGGCAGCTTACGGGTTACGGGACGGTGCACTGCGACGTGACTCCGGGCGGCGCGTGTAACGAGCCCAACGGGATCGGCGGGACGACGGGAATCCCCGACCAGGGATGGCATACATGGCGCATCCAGTGGGATCGCCGGTCGAACAACTGGCAGACGGAGACGATCACTTGGTTCCGTGACGGCCAGCAGTTTCACCAAATCAGCGGTGCCCGGATCGGGAGCGAGGGGATCTGGAACACGCTTGCTCGCGCGCCGCTCTTTTTCATTTTGAACGTCGCTGTCGGGGGTAACTGGGTAAGTTCCGCCGTTTTGTTTTACAAACTGAAAACCCCTACTGACTTTCGTAGCCTGGTAACCCTGACGGTTCGACTTTGGGTGGTTATGGCAGTATGATGGAGACTGCCTATGTCGCTGTCTATCAGTCGTAGATGGAACACTGTCTTATCTTGCCATGTTTTACACTTTGATGGAATCTGTCTTGTTGCTGCTCCTGCAACTACGCCATTCATTGCACATACATACTTAAATACCCTTGTCGATGTAGTTCACGAACAATCACGCTCTTTAAAGCAATCAACTGTATATGCTAAAATCTCTATGGCCGTATGTTAACCAGTATGGAAATGATTTAACGTCTTTGTTTCATTGATCATTAATCTTGCATTGTGCAAGATGTGCAGTCATGACATATCTAGATCTAATTCTGGAACACATTCTTTCCGAACCTAGTCGTAAAACACCAGACATCTAACCTCGATGCTCTGTCGACCCTTCGCATCAGCAGGCGTGGCAGGGTCAACAAACGCCGTGTGAGGTGTCAGTCCCGCAAGTCCAGGCTTGCCACCGGGCTTCCCCTCGCTCCTTGAATCAAAGCACTTGATGAACATGGCTTCATCGGGAGTCATGTCCTTCATGTAGTAAAGCTTGTGATTGTCATTAGGCGCAATAGAGTAAGTTTCACCTACGAAATGGTTAGCATGTATGTTTCACTCGTAAGCGAATTGGAATTAAACTCACCCTTGACTTCGTAACCCTCAGTCGACCGCGCCAAAGTGGGATCAGGGAGAACTTCCTTTCCCCGATCGTCGTCGTCATTATCCGTCCTCTTCGGATACAGCAAGTCCACCGCAACCAGGTCTTCAGGCACTGTCGTCCGCCAGTCGATGACGGCCAGCGGGAAATCCGTCGCAGGGTGGCCGATCGGCCTCCAGACGTTGATGATTTGATACCGGCCCTTCAGAAGCTCTTCCACTTCATCGGCGGGGGCATGCCTCCTTACACGAACCTCGGCGGCGCCGGGCGTCTGGTCAACGTGAACCTGCTGCACTGGCTGTCTCGGGGACGCCTTCTCCCGGCGGCGGATGGTGTGATCGAAAATAATGACCTTCTTCACCCCAGGCAGCTTTTCCTTCAAAAGCGCCTCGACCTCGCCGTAGTACCCATTGCGGACGGCAGCGTCATCGGTGAAGGCCTTCTCCTTGGCGGGGGAGTTGTATACTGCAAAACCAGAAATGTCTGTGCCGAACTCGATACCCGAGTCGCGGATGTTGGCGACGGAGCGCCGGCGCTCCGTCCGGCTGAAAGATGTCACATCTGTATCGACCTTGGCCCAGGGCTTACTGTTGCCGCCCTCAAGCGTGGCAGGGTCGAGGTAGCGGAAGACGCCGGTAGTCATTGTCGCTAGGGGTCTGCTGTGTGTAATGCGGGGAACGCTGGCTGTCAATTTTGATGTGAGAATTGGGGCTCGTCGTAGGATCGTGGTCATAATACAAGTAACACGTACAAAGGACAAGAAACTTCAATTACAGGGCTGATGATGAGATGTTCGGCTTTGGTATTGAGGATCTCTATCGTGCGGGGGCGAGGGGTGGACTTTTAAAACAGATCGGAGGCGGGCCGGATGGAATGGAAGGGCGGCGATTGCATCACCATTGACCAGTGAAAATAGAATTAGTCATACAGCATTTCTAAGCCAGTTGTTCGGGACCCACCACCGGCGCCGGCAGCTATTGCCGGCTTGATTTCAAATCGCCGGCTTACCGTGCAGCCGCGGCGATCCACTGCCGGCCGTAAGGATTCAATTTCTGGCAATGATTTACGGACTATGAATCGGAATGCATCTTTACCAAGCTCCTCATGAACACCCGAGCGACAAAGACAAAAAACCAACAATTATCTGCTTTTTGCAAGCGTCTCTACCCTTCCATCAGAAAAACCACAATCATGGCGGCAAAAGTCAGGGGGGCCCTTTTACTTTCATATCAAGGTCTAAAGTATTTTATGATTGTTTCTTCTAGGTTTTTCCAAACGTCTTTTATTGAGGCTAAGTTTGTTGACCTTTAAAGTACTATTTTTGTGCAGCAGAATTTCCTTTTTTTTTTTTTTTTTTAAATTGTCCCCCACGTGGTGATCCAATCCATGGGTTTTACTTTGTATGCGTGCGCTATTGGGCTGACTCTGTAGTGTACCTTAGATTGCGAGTTGGAACATTGCGAAACTGATTTTTTTTGTTATTCCCTTTTCTAACTTACATGATGATAACCCAGAGTGGCGATTCATCTGCTCGAACTGGAGAAAGAACATCTTAATCCAAGTTACCTAGTTGTGATTACGCGATTCAAAATAGCCGTTTCACAATCTCATTCACGCATTTCCCTACCCGGCCTCTCCCCCTTACTTTTTTTTTTCGCTGCTTTTTTCATGCCGGAAATAATTCTTCCATATCAGCTGAATCTCACGCAAGGGTTTGTGCAGAATGCAGCAGCTAGGCATCAGAAACGGGCTGGCTGGTCATTTTGCAGTTGAAGGCGAGTCATGGGCTAGTCACCCAGCTGAATTATGCATAAGACCCTGGACTTTTTGGCGCTTGCGTTGGTCGTTCAAAATTTTAATCATCGCGTCCGACTAAATAGGCAGCTCAAAGGATAGCCAAGCTTTTGGTCGTTGGTTCCCACCTTCCAACGACATAAAGCATGTAAGGTTGTCCACAGATGGCTATGCCAAGATATAACCTTTTGGTATGAGTATGGAGCTAGCCTGGCCTATGGGGCTGCCCATGTTGAATTGACCGGAAATCATGCCATTCTCCACATTACCTTGCTTCACGGTTCGCTTGACTGTAAGAAGTGTAATTGACGTTGATGCTCGGCCATTTTTGCATAGCACTTGACATTTGACCGTTTTGGGTTCCTCGATGGCCTTCGTCAACAGAAAAGAGATATACAAGTATTAAGTATCACAATATGGTAATCCTTGCCGTAGCCATGGCCTTGTCATTTAGCTGCTCCTCTTGGCTCATTTATCCAACTCACAACTTGCTAACTTCTGCTTCACGAGGGCTTAAATGGAACAGGCACCGAAAATATGTCTCGCGCCTGCCCTGCACTTTCTCAAATGGAGACACTGTCGATAACAAGCAAGTCAACTTCAGCCAGAGTTTTCTTCGCATCATGGTGTGCAAGTCAAGTTATATCCCTAAGCTATCCTTGCGGTGCCGGCAGTAGTAACAGCGTAACACGACAGAGTGAGAAGGTCACCGTTTGTATTCTACTCTCGAGAGGTTGCCTAGTCCTCGCAAGGATAGATAGTCCAGCCTTCAATGCCGAAAGTTACCATGAGAGATTCACAAACTGGAACCTTTGGGCCAGGAATCCCATTGTCCCTGATTCCATCTCTGCTACAACTCCGCAGTCGCGCAATGACCAAGCATGAGTCAAAGGAACTGGTGCTGGAAACTTCAAAGAGCTCTTCGAGTTTGACTGTAAGTACAGTCATTGCCCTATATTTTCCTTTGCTCTTCAAGAAATGTGACAACTGGGCGTCTGCTCTATGTAACAACATCGTTTTCGCTAACGGCGCCGTAACTGACGGTACCTTAGCCCTGCACGCCATGACCATTAGCGAAGCTCTGCAATATGAACTGAGAGGGTTTTCGGAAATAGGACAATGCTTGTAAGGGATGTTATCAATCCGCTTCCTGATATATCAGTATTTATCTCTTTTAATTGTTCTATTACTAGCATTCCTTGGCTTATTTTCTTTACCTCCATCAGGCGAGGTAGTTTGGAGGAGACGAGGCGAGGGATTATAGAATTCTATATCTTTAAGGTTGATTGAATAAGCCTAGACGCGGTACTTCTTCTGCTACATGCTGCACACTAGTCCTGGACAGCCAGTCTGTCTAGCAACACCAATGAAACCTAGCACATACCACACAGCTTTAGGAAGAACACAGCAAAGATGAAATACAAGTACGACCATGTGCGATAGTAGTCCAAGTATGAATAGTAGCCTAAGATAGTCGAGAGCTCATTCCTAGCTTCCAAAACTGGCCACCAACATTAGTTGGGGCCAGGCATATCGTGCCGTTACAATTATTCAACAGCTGCGCCAAATCTCTTGTTGGTGCATGGAAGAATCAATTTATGGTATACCCTTTTGGAACAAAGCCGCCCCCAGTTGACATACCCATGCTTATGCATACCGGCATGCCCAAAAAGCTCATTTTTCATTTCCCCAAGCACGACGCCAAGACCTACGTCCAACATGTATTTTTCCCAACCGCGTTGTTAACATAACCAACCATAACCTTCCGACAGCTAACAGTTTCCCTCCCACATCATGTAAACACTATTGACCATCTTACTATTTCAGTCGAAACTCCGTACTCCCAAAATCGAAGGCCATCAGCATGGCCACCGCGACCACGAAAGCGCCCCCGCTCACAACACCTTTTGTCTTCCCGAAAAACTGTTACATGAGCGAAGTGGTTGCTTTTTCGGCTATCGGTGACAATGTTTCTCGAAATGCGTCGGTCGAATATGCGCTCTACGCGAACCCCGATAGATCAGCCTTCGCCGTTTGCCAACCGTCCGGCTGGAAGGGCGACGGCACGTCGAGCACATTCGCCTTCAGCCCCGCAGTCTGCCCCAAATCATGGGTCATGTATCACATGACTATGCATAAGCAGGTGATAGAGGGGACGTCGACGAAAACGGTTACTACTGGATATTGCTGCAGTGGGTGAGTCATCTATGTCTGGTTTGTTTTTCATCACTACGTGTCTAACGGAAAGCCAAAAGCCGAGAGAAAATCTACCCATCTGGGGTCCCGGGTCTAGGCATTGACTACTACTCTTCGAACCCGGTTTGTCTCCAGTCATTCGCTAGCTGGCAAGATGTGACCTTGACCGGCCGGTTGGGTGGAACAGGAGCTGAAGTGACTTTCACAACGGGAACAGCGGTGCAGCCAGCGTGGCGCGTTGCATGGGAGGAATCGGATCGGCCCACATTGACGCCTGCACCGCCGTCGCTTAAAACTGGTCAGTCAGTGTTGGATTGGTTTCCTGGTGAGCCTCTCTCCACATCCGGGTCCGGCAAAATCTGCACTAGTCGTGATACCTGTGACCGCAACGACGGTGCCGCACTTGGAGGCATTCTTTGGGCTATCGTTGTGCCGGTAGTCGTTGTTATTGCGTTGATTTTGGCTGTATGGATTTGGTGCGTGGTGCACAGGAGCAAAAAGAGAAAGAGGGAGGCTGCTTTACGTAGCCAGGGAGAGACCGGGATGGAATTGAAGCCGCAATGAATCTGACATGATCGACCTCCGTATTAAGCTGCGGAATCGGTAACTCAGGCCAACATCGAATGAGAAACTTGTAAACCAATCGGAGGAGTATAGAAGCGTATCCTTGACACTACCATTTCTGTGGCCTACTAAAGGTGCTAGTGTAGCATACCTCTGTTAGGAGGCATGGAGAACGGACAGTGAGGATTACAGCCGTTGGAAGCTCCATGTGTATCATTAACGAGCGCCTGCTGTCCTAATCTTGCTTTTATTTCTGGTCAACGCTTTGGCAGATGTAGTTGTACATGGCCTCTGTTAAATAAACCAGCGATCTCTCTTAAATCCGTGCTTCAACGTAGTTTCAACTTGCGGCACCGAAGTCCTGCTCCATGAAAATACTTTGATACACTACGAGCTGCCTCGTTCTCACACCCTACTTGTGGTTATGAAACTTGAAAGCACTTTTAAAATTGCCCTCAAAGTGAGTCTTCAGCCCTTGGCCTTTTCACGAAAGGTACCATGGCCTATCTGAGAGTTTGATTGATGGAACTGGTAGAATTGTTCTTAGCCGTTCGGAAACTAAGTCTTCAAAGGGGATTCATGGTTGATCCAAGAGTAAGTTTCCTGTTCCCAAACTCACAATGCCTTGCCTTCCTTTCCCTACTCCTGGTGAGCTCTTTGATCTGTCAAACAGCCTAAATGGCCTAAGGCCAGGTCTACTCTAAAATACGAATTTAAGGCCGTTGATAACCTGATCTAGTTATGGGAAGTCTGAAGACGCGGTTTTCCTAGTTTAACCCCTCAACATATCTAAAGCCTTTCTTCAGACTGACGGAGGCAATCAACTGAAAGTTAAGATAAGAAGTTACAAATAAAGAGGATGGCGTTTAGATCAGTCATGCTGGTGCAGGTCTGCGCTGTACGGATAGACTGCTGAATTATATATGGTTGTATGAAACAAGGCATGGGTCCAACCAGCAGGCGGTAACAGGTTTGTCCTTGTCAGGCTGGGTGTTGCACGGAGTGAAAGAGTCAACGATGACGCAACGTAGGGGTTAGCTTGTACTATCATTCCAATCTGCCTCCTCTAAACCTTCCTGCGCGCGTTCCTTCATCCCTCGTATAGACTATTGTACTTCCTGCTGGTACTCTACTGGTGCCTTGCTGATAGCCTCCCGACCGTGGGCCTGGGTTCCTCCCCGTAGTGCCCGCGTCTCTGACAGTCATTTCCCGACATCATGTTGCCAACCAGACTGCCTGTACAACGGTCTGGTAGTCTCGGACATTTGGCCAAATTCATGTTGTTGAGTTGATGCTATCCCAAAGAGTGACAATCCGAACTCATCATGCGCCTGCACCTGTCAGCCTTAGAACCACCAACTTGTACGCTCATCCTATCTTGTAATTTCGCGGATTTTCAAACTCTTCGATAAAACTACGATGCCGCATGTTTAAGAACTTTGCAGAATCCTCAAGATCGCTGGGCTTTCAGAAGTCTATCTGTTTTACAGACGTTGACCATTGTGTTCCGAGTAGGAGTGCTCCAAGAATTCCCATCACTCGTGGCTCCTGTCGTCTGATACCATCTTATGGTCTTACATAGAGAGAGCTCTAGGGCAATCAACATTCTGTAGTAGGAAAGTTACAGCGCTCATCCAGGTAAGAATACCGTCACGAAACTCGTAATGCTCGTCTTGTATATGGCAAGCGAGGTCACTGCCTTCGCAAAGATGTGGAATATTCGTTTCAGAGTAGAAGCGAAGATAGCGAAAGTCTCAACGGCTTATGAAACAGAATGAAGGATACTATGCTTCTGTAGACAGAGACCTGCAGGCATCGGATCAAACACTTTTTTGATAGGAGATGGATAACTAAAATATCCAATATCCTTACTACCTTACGTGGAAAATCGCACAGACTGTAACTTCCAAGCGTAACTTTCGTACTGGGCCAAAGTCACTATGCCATAACCAGCTCCCGCGGAAGAATGACAGAAACAGCATATGCAAACCCGAACGGAAGTAGAAGCAGCATGCCACCCCTCCGCTGCCCTGAGATCGCAAACAGACTACCTAACAGAAGAATTTTCTCCAACAGTCCAGACAGCACTAGTCCATAACGCAAGAGGTAACATTGAAATTTATAAGCAAAAGGAAAGCTGGATCTAATGTAGATGTATGAAAATGCACTCTTTTTTTTGTACATTAACTTTTCTCACCCAACGTGTCTACCACCGCCATCCTCATATTTCCCATTGTTCTTTCCAGCCCAAACGTCGATCCGTCGCAACCCTAATACGAAGTCCACTACAAATCCCACTATAAATAAATACAACCCAAACAACATCCCAGACCAGAATTCCAATGTTACAATCATGACGTATCCAGCGCCGTTAGCAAACACCCCCCCCCCGGACTGCGATCGGCGTCGCGGGGGATCGGCGCTGTGTTCCGCACATCATGTTTCCCGCACATCAGGAACCGCATCGATCTGCACCCCCACGGAATGACTGATTTTGCGATTGTGCAGAGCAAGAAATTGGTGAAAGCGGATCTGTCCGTCATGGACTTTGGTCTAGCGACGATCTTTGGACATCGGGACGCGCTTTTCCGTGGTAATGAGCTGGTGGGGGATGACATCAATTCAGCTGTCTGCGGAGGTAAGCTCCCGTCAAAGTTGGAGTACGTCTTAAATGTCAAGGAACTTAAGGTTCTGCTGAAGGCGACATCAAGCTCGGCGAAGCTTTGGTAAATGCAAAAGGAGTGCTTGGAAGCTCCAGCTAAGCTCTGCTACCCCGTTGCGAACAAGGTGTTGGCGCAAAAGCTAGTGACAGCCACTCGTGCCGGTGGCTTGGCGTCCCGCGCCTTGCAACTGGCAGAATTAAAGGGGGCGCGACGGAGCTCTGGTAAAAAAAGACATGCCATCAATACTTTGTATTATGCTGGGTGGGCAGCATCACAGATGCCTTGCGGTCATCTCTCGAAAGAAAGAAGAAAAAAAAACCCCTCGGCCACTCCAGCACGCAAAGCCGTCACGAAAGCCCATAAACCATAACCCAAACCTCCCCACAATCCGCATTTGTTTCCAGTGCGGATCGGTCGACCCGTTTCCAATAGTTGTACGTGTACATGGTGTTGGTACATCCCCTCCCGTGCCTTCTTCTCCATTTCATAGTCCTAAACGACATATCTCCAAGCCAAGGCCGTCACAAATCAATGTCGGGTCGGTAACTCCGGAAAGCCGCCATTCATAATAATCCTATTCCTCCCTCGACGGCAAGACCAAATGATCGAAGGACGCAACGCCATGCTCGCAAATGTGGCTAGTCGAATCAAAGGCGCAAAGACCTTGTCGGATTGCAAGGCCAGCGCAAGACGATAGTGAGCGGATAAAAATGTTCCGCAAGGCGTGACCTCCAGTAAAGTCTCCTTCATTATTGTCCATAAAAGAACATGGCCACTATATCATGTGCCGAAGCAGTATGCTCCCAGTCACGGGAGGTTTACTACCGGCGGCCCGGCTCGAATGGGTTCTGTTGCGGCTGCGTCGGCTGCGGCTCGAAGGGGTTTTCCTGTCTTTGCTGGCCGTTGCGCTGCCAAGTGGCAGGTGGCTTGCCCATAGTCGGGTGGTCGTCGACATCACCGTCTAGCTCAAAGTCGATGTCGTCCTCCTTCTTATCGATGCGCTGCTTTCTCATGTGCAGATAGGTGAGGACACCTCCGAGACCGATGACGATGACACCCCTGCAGAACGCGATTGTTAGATTTCTGAACTTCAGATGAAGATTGGATGGTTTGCAAGGTTTGAATGACAGGCCAGATGATGCAGACACGGAGTCTGTTTTAGGATGCAGGGGCCGAGAGCATTGGGAGAATAGGAGGCTAAAGAACACATACATTGTAACGCCGATGGTGATACCAATGATTTTGGACGAGGCATAGGGCTTCTCGCAGCGGGGGCTGTTGTCGCCATCCTCGCAGCTGCTGTCACGCACCGCGAGTTGGTGAGCAGCGCGAGCAAGAGGTGGCAGCAAGCTATCTGCGCGGCGCGCAATAGTAGTAATGGACGAAGTCATGATTGCTGAGGATGTTTCTTGTTCGAGGTTGGAAAAGTGATGTAATGCGACGGGTATAATTGCTGTTCGGTGTTTTTTCGGTCTAGGCGGATGGAGAGGACCCGTCTTTCTGTGGTGCAATGCCCAGACTCAATGCCGTCGCGATGGGTGGTGATGGTGATGGTATAGTATGTTACTGCCCCCTGGGTTTTTTTTGGTGTTGTGTTCTCCTATCCCTTTCCCTTTCCGAGTCTCCAAATTCCTATTTGCTGTGCAAATGCCTGGGATTGCGCGCGTTCCTTTCGAAATTCCTCGAGCCCGGGTACGACGGAGATGGGGCTATAGGCGGTGGCGGGCTTCGTTCTGCAAAGAGTGGATATTGCCCCTGGATTCGCTTGGGGTGAGACTGGTTCCGTGCCCCTGCTATGGCATTCTCTCAAGTGTCAACGGTTTTATGCAAGGAGTGACGATGGAAGTGAAGAACTGAAAGACAGAAAAAAAAAGGAGGGTCGGTCAGCAACAATAAAAGCAGGAAAACAACACAGCGGCAAGCGCAAGGCGAGGCGGGGGATGATGCAACGAAGAAAAAAAAAGAGTGAATGAGTGACGGAAACAGGTTTGAGTTTGTGTTGTAGGAGAGATGAGATGCCGAGAAAGGGACCAAGGCAGACGGAAAAAGAATGGAAGGAGTGGATTCTGGGAAAGGGAAGGTCCCAACCGCTCACTGAAAACACGGGGAAGGGGCGGGCGGACACCGGGAAGGCAGGAACCAAAGTGTGGGAATGGGAAGGTGAGGCAATCAATCTATTCAGGGGAGGGGCGGCCGTCTCAGGCAATCAGGGTCCAGCGGCAGCAGGAGCAGCTCTCACTCAGGAGATGTACTATGCATGCTTACTACTAACATAGTACAGCAGACAGAAGCACACCACTACCACACAGACCCAAGGGACCAGTAACACACAGAGACACATACTACGCAGTAGACTCAGAAACGGGGGAATGTGGCTGTGTTTCACTCGTTTTCCCATGCCGACCAAGCCGGAATTGGCTGGCCTGATTGGTTACAGAAATTCCTTCCCCCCTTGAAAGTCTGCCACCTATTCTACTCCAACAGTTACGAATGCGAGAAGGAAAAAAAAAAAAAAAGGATACCACCAAATGATCCAGCAATCCGAGTCAATCAGGGGGCGATAGGCCACTGAGTCTGCCATTCTCATTTACTTTCCCCAACTTTCCCTACGCTAGACGATGGCAACACGAGGATGGCAAAGAGGGGTTCTTCGCCTTCATTCAAGGGTATGGCAGGGCATGACAGGGCTTGCAGGGCTCTACAGGGCATCGCGGACCTCACAAGGCACCCGATGCCAAAGTGAAAGTGGGCGCGTATGGAATTAAAGTGGCTGCCGGATAGGGCTTGCGGGGAAATGCTTGTCTTGTGTTTCACATTCTGAACAGTTGTTCGCCGCGTCCGGCTCTCCCAGTATGCGCTGCTACTGCTGGTGTTGCCAATACCATCTAAGCCTTTTGTCGCGCGCGGGATGTCGCTGTTTTGGTGCAATTTGTTCAGCGATGCCCCCTGACAGCCTGTCTGTCACTGCGCAGGTGACTGCTGACGGGTGTGTTCGTCCCTGGCAAAAACCTTGTCCGGTGGGCTGTGGCTGTATCGCCCGAACTCTCTGCTTACTCATGTCGCAGGCGGCAATCAAGTTGGAGTGTTTTGAGTTTCATCATGGCAGTGATGGGTGTTGCTCTGGTTGTTGTTGTTGTTGTTGTTGTTGTTGTTGTTGTGTTGTGGTGGTGGTGGCTTTTTATTATCGCCTTTCTCTCCTCGTGCGCCAGCATTGCTCCGCAAGTACGACGCAATATAATAAGATGCTTCTTAGGCCTACCTGTGACATTCTTCCCGCATGATATATGACGGAGATGACAGGCCGAGGAAGCATGTGGCCTCATTTCCCTACGATCCACTCAATCCAGAACACTCTCACTAAAAATATAGGGCGGTACGAAGGGAAAAAACGCACTGACCAACGGCGAGAAAGAAAGGTTGTTAATAATAGCGCCGAACCAACCCCATTTCTTTTTCCGGAATCCCCTCGCCTGTTGCCGATTGTCCGTCTGCGCAGTTGTTCGGTCAATTTACCTGTGGGGATTCGGGATTTATCACGAGCCAGGGCCGGAAGCGAGCATGGGCAGTGCATTCGCACTCTTTTGAAGCTACTCGTGTATTCTCAGGCTGCCTCAATGCCGGATGCGGCGAGAGGCCGCCTACACGGCACCGCCAATGATGAATACGATCTTGATATTGTTCCTATACAGCACTCTTGCTTTTTATGCTTCAACGCATTCAGCAGCCAAAAACGAACAAGGCAGGGTCGGAACCGCCGTCGGCCCGAGTAGTGACAATTTATAGTGGATCCCGGCACCGAATAATGACCCACCAGCCGTTGCATCGGCCGGGCCCGACACTGTGGGATGGAAGTGGGGCCTCGTAAATCGGTAAGCACCGCCCCGCCGTGCCGAATCTCCCGAGATGCAATTCCCGTACCCAAGCCCCGGGTCATAGAAGCGAGGAACACATCTTAGTCACAAAAACACAACGCAAAGAAGACGAGCGTGGGAGGGGGAAAAAAAAACGGACAGGAATGATCGACGAGATACATGAGATCAGTGGATCGCAATGTCGCATCCATCTCGCATAAGGGCCGTCTGCTTGGCTGCCTGTGCTAAAAATGCAAGTTTCGAGGCTATCCAAAACACCTTCCGCAGCGCCCGAGCCGGACCGGGAAAGTCAAGAACAGGCAACTGGGCATCGGACGGAGCTGCAACGCGGACACAGACGGCATCGTCATTGTGCACGAGAGACGAGACGACAAGAAATAGATGCATCTAGCGCTGTTCGTGTCCTCGAAGCCATGATTGACTGCATGGGTTGAGCACACTCCTATATTTGCCACATTTGCGGGCTCCAAACATTGTAAGTGGAAGAAAGTCTCCGGCGAGGCATGGAATTCTGTTTCGATCTACAAAACGGAAAGACGAGACGAGCTCAAATGGGACCCAGCAGTTCTAAGTGAAGATCACCACCGTTCCATAAAAAAAAGAAGAAAGAAAATCAATAGAAAAAAAAAAAATCAATTTTTTGTTGACGAAAACTTTACGTCGTTCGCCCCAGTGATCCTCGCGTGGATGGGGCAGACCCAGCGCCCAACGCACAGGTTAGCGTAGTGTGTAGTGTATGTACTCTACAAGCTCTGGTTAAAAAAAAATGCCCCATTCTCTCTTCTCCGCTGCTCGTCGCTCTTCCATGGAGATGCACCCGCCGAGGTCAGCCCTGCAGCGTTAGCGAAGCTGCGGCTGCGGCTGTTAGCCCCATTGGCGCTGTCTAGCAAGCAGGCCGCGAAGCCAAGCATCACCAAAGTAGGTACTGCTTTTACCATGTAGAGAGAATAAAATAAAAAAATAAAAATAATCAAGCACACCATGCCCTGTCGCGGGTGCGGGTGATGCGCAGCGCCATTAGGTAACAACAACGCAAATGTTTGGTTCTGACAGTCCGATCCAACCCACTTTCAAGGTGCTGCAATCCCTCTTTTAACCTCAATTGCAGAACGAGGCTCTTTGAACGACATGTCATGAATTGAGCCCCAAAGCAGACGACTGCGACTTCTCATGGAATGGGGAAAGGGGGGGGGTGGGAGGCTTGAGGCGCGCACTACGTCTTTGCGGAGGAAATGACAACATTTACGGCGTGAATTAGCACGCGTTCCTCATCCGGGGGAAAGCACATCATCGATCCACGTCTTGGACATCTCCGAGGGGGAGCACGCAGCTCTCAGGGTGGTGCTACGTCTGCAAGCTAGCAGTAGGCTTTTAGGCAAAGAAAGAAACACACGCAAAAAACAGGACGGACTGGGGGCGGAGGGCTGGGACAGGCCACTTTGCAATATTGTCCTATTCCTACCGCCATCTTTGCATGGGGGGGCTTTTTTCGTCCTTTTTGTTGGCGTGACATTGACGAGCTGGGTGCCATGGCAAGTTTTACCTTTTACCTTGGCGCGCGCACATGATCATGACGACGACGGCCTGTAGACGAAGAGACTAGAACAGACTTCCTTGGTACCCCTCAATCGTACGGTAAATTAAAACCCGGGGTAAAGCGAGCTGAGCGATGGGCGCAGACGCCCAGGGTATACATGTTCACATGACGCGACAAAATATCTGAAATCCCGCGGAGATTGAAGAAGATGCCCATCCCGTTACCGTAACGAGCTATACACGTTGCTGTGCGACCTCCCCAGGGCATATTAGATCCCGCATGCAACCAGGCTTGCCCCAGCTAATAAGAGCACATTGTCGAGGATTTATTAGGAATGCGGGGTGGAAGAAGGGTGAGGGTGACACAAGAAACGAAGCCGAAAAGCTGGGGAAAGCGCAGCAGCAGCAGCAGCAGCAGCGGCAGGATGCTTTTTTGCCATGTCCGCGTGAGGTTTCACAAGCCTAGTTGGTGCTACCGCGTATCCGCATGAAGCGGGGGATCGTCGCCCATGGGACGCGGGCCATTGGGTGAAATGAGGCGGGGGATAAGGGCACTGGACAGTGGTTTGTAATCTCGACGTCTATGTGTATGTGTAGCAGCAATGGATGGAAAGTGGGCGCACGTTTTTGTTTTTCTGCTCCGTCTGTCTTTGGCATCAGTCATTCTGGAGTGTCATATCGCCTCGTTGTTCGATGGGTTCCTCTGGAAGGATTCCTCCTCGAGGTTATTCTGCTCGGGCACAGCACATGTCTGTGGGCAGTTTAGGTTGGACGAATAGCGGCTTCGCGTGGGAGTCTGGGATGTCGAATGCGCGTAATTTGCCAGTCTGTGTCTGCGCGCAGACGAGAACGAAGCGATCTGAGGGGCGAAAGAGTAGCAAAGCTGCAACAAGCAAGCAAAGTAGAAAAAGACGTTTCTTGGCTCTCAACTATCGAGCACATCTTCAATGCGGTGTGCAAGAGGGGGAGAACGAAGGAAAATA